TTAAAAGTACTTAATATCCTTTTAAATAAAAGTTATTAATATATAATATTTTAACCTAAAACTTAAATAGTATAAGGTAAATTCCTAAGGTAATAAGCTAAGGTTAATTAATTTATATTAGTAAAAAAAATAAAAAGTAGCTTTAAGTAAATATAATTATAAAATAAGTAAAATATAATAAAAATTTAATTTATATTTAATTTTAATATTTTATTAATAATTATTTATTTAAGTTATTTAAAGAGTATAAAGAATTAAATTTTATATATTTAGCTGTTTTTAATAACTTACTCTTAGAATCGTAAGCCTAAGTATAAAATTACTATTTTATAAGTAATTTATCTAAGGTAGCTTATAATAAGCTTATTACTCCTATATTAATTAATTCTTTAGGTAAAGTATTCTTCTATAGTATATTCCTAATATACCTTATCTTAGGTTAGGCTGTAATAAATAACTACTTTAGCTACTACTTTAAATAAGGGTTTTAGAATTATAATTAATTTTATTAAGTTTATTTTTACTTATTTATTTAAGTTTATTATACTTTATTTACTTTTACTAAGTTAAAAAGCCTCTGTCTTATATAAGGCTACTAGGGTAATATAAGCCTTAGCTACTATAACTACTACGTTTAGTAAGGATCTTTTTTATATTTTATTTAAAAATCTTAAGAAGTTAGTTACTTTAAAAGCTTTCCTTTTTATAATTTTAAGATATTTTTTAAAAAAAAGCTATAAATTTAAGTATATTTTTAGTTAATAAACTAAGTCCTAGGGAACTATAGTTTTTCCTTTAAAGTTTACTTTTTTATTATATATTTAAGTTCTAGTCTTATAAAAGTATATAAGTTTAATTTTATTTAAGTTAAAGGAGACTATATTCCTATTACCTTAGTTTAAGGTATTTTTTAATTTTTACTAAAGCTTTTAGGTAGTTTTTTTAATATTAACCTTTATTATTATAATATTAATATTATTTATATACCTAAAGTAAGTATTAAGGTTATTAAGCTTTAGGCTAAAGGAAAAATAAAGTATAAAAATAATAAAGGAAATAAAGGACCTTTATAAAGCTTTATATTTTAACTTTATTTTTAAAAAGGTAATCCTATAGCTATTTTAAATAAAAGTTTTATAATTACTTATAAAGGAGTTAACCTACTTTATAAAAAAGGGAGGCTACCTTTATTCCCTAAGTTTATATATTAAATAATTATATATAATAATATTAAATATACTAAAAATATTAAATATAAAAAGGAAAATAATAAAACCTTAGACTAAGGTAACTTTAGTATTATATAATAAGTAGGTAACTAAGTTTATTATAAACCTTTTTAAAAAAGCTTTAAAATATTATTTTAATAATATTTTATATTTTATTATTAAAAAAGAGACTTTTTTAACTAGGAGTTTTTTAAAGCCTTTACTTATATAAAAAAACAGGGAAATAAGTTTATAGCTTTTATATATAATATATACTTTTTTTAGTTTTTTAAGTTTAAAGATAATAGTAATTTCTATATTTTAAAAAGGAAGTAGGTAGTATTTTATTATTAAGTATTTATAAAAAAGGTTAATTATATATTTATTAATAGTAAACTAAGTAAACTATAGAAAAGTAATTAATATATTATTTATATTAAGTATAATATTTTTTAACTTTATTATAACTTTTTTAACCTTTAACTTTAATATTATTTAATTTTAGTAAATGTTTTTATTAATAAAAAAGTCCTTTTTTTATAGGTTTAAGATATCCTCTTTTATTATTTTATATTTAAAAAGTTTATTTTTAAAAAAGGTTACTTTTTTTATAAAATTTAAAATACTTTTATCCTTATTTATTAAGGAAGGTAATTAAAAATAGTTTATTACTTTATACTACTTAGCTATTAACTAAATATTTTTAATAATACTAGCTTTTACTATAATTTTATTTTAGTAAGCTTATTTATTATAATATATAGTATTTTTAAAGGTTTTATAAGCTTTTTCTTAAGTAAAGGAGCTATTTACTACTTTTTTATAAATTTTATAAATTACTTTATACTTTTTTAACTACTATAATATATTATAGCTATTTTAGTATTTAATTTTACTAACCCCTTTTATAGCTTATTTAAAAAAGTTCTATAAGGCTTTAGTATATTTATTAAAGTTAGTTTTTAATAATATAGTTAAATTAACTATAGGGAGGGTTTAGGTAAAAAAGTATATAAATTAACTAAAGCTTTTTTAATATTTTAATAAAATATATTTTTTCCTTACCCCTAGGGTTATTTTAAAAAGCTTAAGTAAGTTTATAATTACTATATAGTAATTTAATTTTATATTAAAAAAATATTTAATTTTAGTTAATATAAGATAATTTATAAAAACTAAATTAATATATTTTCCTAAGTATTAGGTAGGTATATTTATTAAAGCTAAAAGAAAATTATACTTTTCTACTTATTTTATAATTTTATTATTTACTAAGTTTACGCCTTTACCTAATTTTTAAAATTAATATAAAATATTAAAATTATTTATAATAATTAAGTAAGGGGGGGGAGGACCTTATTTAATAAAAATCTCTATAGCTAAGTTTACTAAAGCCCTTTAGTAAACGTTAATAATAGTATAATTATATACCTTTATTTAATATATATATTTATTTTTTAAGCTTAAGAAAAAAATTTTTTATTAAAAAAATTTAAAAAGATTTTAATAAATATAAAAACTAAAGATTTAGTATTTTTTTAATTATTTAAGAGGTTATATATTTAATATTTAAGGTAATTTTTAATTTACTTTTTATTTAATACCTTATTTTATTAAGTATAAGGTTTTTAAATTAATATAATATTATAGCTACTTTTTTATATTAGTAATAAAGTAATATCTTAGTATAAACTACTTTTTTTAATATTAATTTAGAAAATTTTAAAGCTAATATTTCTTTAGTAGCTATAATAAGGCCTATTATTTATAAGCTTATGTTAAAAGGTTTATTAATTTTAGGGGGAGCGTTAAATATATTTTTATCCCCTTTAACTACTTTATCCTCTTTTTTATTATTTAGGCCGGCTATATAGACTACTGACCTAGTAAAAGAGATTCCTTTATAAAAATCTTCCTTATTTAAGTTAACTTTAATAATAACTTTTTTAACTAAAGCTTAAGGGGGGAAAGGTAAAGCTAAGCTAAAGATTAATAGCTATATATAAAAGCCTATTTAAGTTTTTAAGTTAAATATTTTTTTAGTATTAAGGGCTAAGGTAGGAGTAGGTTTAGGTTTAAGTAAGTTAACTTTATTATATTCCTACTAGCTTAATTCCTAAATTACCTAAAGTTAAACCTTAATTATATATACTTTTTTCCTATTTTTAATTATTAATTTAGTAAGGTATTTTAAAAAGTCTACTATATAAAGGCTATTATAGTTAATATACTAAGGGGGGGATAGGTAATTTACTATATTATTAATATACTTATATAATAGTTTACTATATTTAAGGTACTTTTTTATTTTAATATAATTCTAAAGGTTATAAAAACTAAGGTATTATTAATACTAAGTAACCTAGGGCTACTATACTTAAACTTCTACTAGGTAGGAGATATTAAATAGTCTAAAGCTAGGTTTAATATTCTCTTTAAATAAAATAAAGTAGCCGTAGGTATTAAGGGATTCCCTAAAGGGGGCCTTATAATAGACTATTAGTAGGTTTTTAGCCCTAGTCCTAGTATATACTTCCTTAGGGATTAGTATATTTATAAAATAAATCCTGCTTATATTAGTATAAGTTTTCGGTATATTATATATAAGGAAGATTTTTTATATATATACTTCTTTAATTTTTAGGTTGTTATTTTTTATAGCTAGCTTAAGAGTAATAATTTTATTCTTAGTATTTTAATCCTTTACCTAAAGGGTAAAACTTAATTAAACCTTTTAAAAATAGGTAATATCTTTAATATTAAATTTTATAAAGCTAATTAATTCTTATTTAACCCTAATAGCTATTATCTTCCTTTAAATATAATTTAGTAGAACCTAAATAAAAATATAGTTATTAAGTTTCTAATTACTTAATATAGTTTTATTTTTATTCTATTTTCTATTAGCGGGGGCTAGCCTTTTACTACTAAAAGTAAGATTCTTCTAGGTATTATTATTATTTTATAGCTTTTTATTATAAGTAGTATTCTATAATATAACCTATACCTACGTAACCTTAGGGGCCTTCTAGCCTACTTTTTTAATAGCTGCAGGAGGTCCTATTATAGTAAGGTTCTTAAGGCTATTTAATTTACCTTCCTTATTATAAAATATATTAGCTAATACTATCTTAAATAATTAAGTAGCTTTTTCCTTACTACTTATTTTCTTAGAGTTTTTAAGCCTTCCCTTTAAGTTAATATAAAAAGTAATAAAGTTTTTAAATATAGTATTTAAGTATATTTAAACTTATTTTACTATTACTAAAAAAAGTTAAAATATATATTATACTAAGTAAAAGTTAATAACTATAATTATATTTAATATTATATTTTATTTAACTTATTATTAAGTATTAATTTTATTAATTTAGCTTATAATTTTATTTTTAGTAAAAGATTTTTTTTTTTTACTTAAGTTAGTAGCTTTTTTTATATTATTAAAAATAAAAGTAATAAAGCTTTTTAAAGCTATTTATACTATAGTTAATATTACTACTATACTTAATTTTACTTTATTAAAGCTAGGTATAGGTATTTTATTTATACTAAAGGCTTTTTTAAAGCACCTTTTCTTCTTAAGGGTAAAGGGGAGGACTATAACCTCTCCTATCCTTAGGCCTAAGGAGGTTGTTTTTTTCTAAAGTTAAAAAACTATTACAGATCTAAGGGTAATAGGGTTTATTCTATTTTAGTTATCTAAAGGGTTTATAAATATTACTATTTCTCTAGAGTCCTTAAATAAAACTGTAAAAGTAAAAAACGAGGTTGTTTTATCTAATAGCTAGTTAAATAAAGTAAGGGTTTTTAGTAGTTAAGCACCCAAAAGGTGGGGTACCTGTAGATGTAGGAGGGAAGCTTGTGGGCAAGATTGAGAGGTCTTGGAACGAGATTGTGGGCTATGACGATGGCCATCGCTGCTGAGCGATAGCTTTGCAAATCGGTCCTCCACGCTGGCTGACATTTTTGGGAATTATTTTTGATCTTGACTGAAGCGTGATTAGGTGGCGTCAAATAGCAGATGTGTAGAGTGTAAAGATATTCTGGTAAATGTCAAATGGCGGAATCGACCGTCAATGTAAATCGTCTTCAGCCTCGCAGTGTGATCGTTAATCCTACATCATGGGATATATAATATTCACATTACTGTAAATCATTACTGGAAATATTCGCAAGTAAGTGGAGAATTTCGACCGAGATTTACGAGGTCATAAGCTATTGTAAACGTGAATTTGGCTCTTATTGTTTCACGTTTCTATTGCACTGTTGTATGAAGTCTGGACAAATAACGTGCAATCAATTCACAAACTTATATCAAGGTGTTTTCTAATCCAAACCCACATCAGTTTACATAAGGATTACTGATAAAAATTGGAAGCACGCTGGCGTTCATCTTCGTGGATCTAAAATAGGATAATACGTGGGTGGATACATCCTAAAATGGTATTCTGTTTTGGAAACTTCGGTGCTATGAGTAATAGCGATGCGTCTCCGTCTCTTACCGAAGGTAAAATGACATAAATTTATAATAGCGACTGGGATTTATTATAGACTAGTAGGGTTTCTCTTTAGTGGCTCTTTGGCTAACATAGAGAGCAGATCACCAAAGCAATTTGAGCCCAGGTGAAAAGAATTTTGGACTCTATCAATGTTGCTAATAGTACGCATAATAACACAATCAAGACATATTTAGTCCCAGATCATAAAAAGAGATTAAAATACCGGCGCCATTTAAAACTTATATAAAAGGCAAGCCAGCTCAGGAAACAGAAAACAGTAGCAAAACGGAATAACCCAACATATTTCGCCTTGGAACTGCTCAATAAGCCACAGGAGAACCAAGAGGAACATATCCAAAATGAGGCATCATTTGACAATCGCCGCTGCGTTATTGGGCACTTGCCACAATGTCGTAGCTCTGGAATGGAGTGCAACATATGGACGTCAGCCAGCTCCGTTTAAGCTCTCAGTGAATCCAGAGATCATCGCATTGGCCCATCAGAAAGCCTATTTGACTCGCTTTCCTGTCGATGTTGAGCAGCCTGATTGGAGCGATGGACCTCCTGTGCATAATGCTACATCCGTTCGGGATTATTGGGTGAATGAGTATGATTGGTCCGAGGTTCAGAGGGAAATCAACTCGCAGTGAGCATTCACCCCACCCTTGTATGACATTATTATTGAAGTTGTCTGTTGACCATGGCGGTTCAAGATTTAAAATGTTTACCACCACAGTTGACGCTAAACCACACTCCAACTACGAAGAGCCGGTTCCTCTGCATTTTGTACACCATCGTTCTAACCGCTCAGACGCCATTCCTCTACTATTTATTCACGGATGGCCAGGGTCCTTTCTCGAAGTTGCAAATCTATTGGAACCATTGACAAACCCTCACGATCAAGCGTTGCCTGCCTTTCATGTCGTGGCTCCATCTATCCCTGGCTTCGGTTTCTCTCCCGCCCCAAAGAAACCACTTTTCGGACCTCGTGCCGCAGGCGAAGCTTTCAATAACCTGATGCTCCAACTTCATTATCCGCATTATGTTATTCAAGGAGGAGACCTTGGAGGCTTTATAAATAGGTTCATGGCCTCGTCACATCCAGAGACGGTGCTTTCGGTGCTCAGCAACTTTTGGCTCGTTCAGCCTAACTCTACCGACTTTGAGCGTTATTATGCTGGAAAAACCACAAGTGACGAGAATTACCTTATCAATGAATTCTGGAACTTTGAGAATAAGAGCAGCGGGTATCGTTTTGAACAGCAGACTCAACCTTTGCAAATTGGACATGCCATGACTGATAGCCCTATTGGCTTTGCCATGTATATATACGAATTCATGTTCCTGACGGTACAGCACTACGTGTGGAGTGCGAAGGAGCTTATTACTTGGTCGTTGATGTACTGGATTCAGGGACCGTATGCTGGCTTCAGGTTCTACAAGGAGAGCGTCAATGTAAGTCAAAGTATTAGACGGAGTTCATCATGAACTAGAATAATCTGCTAACTTCATTCTAGGACAATATTCTTGAAAACGGGCTCCTTATTAATTCCACAACATTTCCCTATGTTCACCAACCAGTTGCTCTCTCGGAGTTTCCAGCCGACATTTGGTACAGAACAGTAAGTAAAATTCCATCAAAGTTTATTCTAGAAGTAGGTACTGAGCGAAATTGTTTCTAGCCACTGGATTGGGCCCAGAGAGGCGGCAATGTTGTAGTAAGAAAGGTTCACGACAAAGGAGGGCATTTTCCTTCGATTGAAACGCCAGATGTCCTCATCGACGATATCCGGTCATTTTTTGGAAATGGTTCTCTCGCAAATACGACAATGTTCGGTCGCCAAGAATTTTTAGCGCTGCGGATGGGCAGTCAGCGAAACCACACACAAATTGCATGCAGAGTTTTCAGTAAGATGGAGATGGTCGGCGAGCTCGGGAGGTTTTTTTTTTTTTTTTTTTTTTTTCCGTTTGGTTTGGGGGAGGGGAGAGGTTTCTAGACTCAAGGGGTTAACGTAAGGAGGGGAGAGGTTTCTAGACTCAAGGGGTTAACGTAATTCAAGGTATAAGTTCTAGAAATATAAAACTAATAACAAACTATAGACAACCCTAAAACATATATTTACTTTCATAGAATTTGTGATTTGATTCAATTGATTGGCAAGCTAACTGTATGTACCTATATATATACTTGTCATGATATCAAATCACGCACTGGATAAAGTCCAACCCATTGCTATTCATTCACCACACCAAGTTCTCTCCTCAGGCTGCCTCTAACTCCTCCTTGCAGCTCCTCATGAGACATTACGGCGAAGCCTTCGCATCGGCAATGATAACATCGGCCGCCTTCTCACTAATCATATAGATCGCGGAAACGATAAAATATCCCGGGATCTCTGGGAAGACACTTGCATCTACAACACGTAGACCTGTTGTTCCTCTAACTCTGAACTTGCTATCCAAGACAGCTGTAGAGTCATCATCGGCGCCGATTCTCGCGCTACAGCACGTATGGTGGCCCCACGCCTCCCGTCTAATAAAATCCTTGATCTCTTCCTCAGTTTGTACATCTGGTCCAGGAGTGACCTCGGTCCAGGTGTCATCTACTAAACTGAGGTTCCCATATAATTCGCGAAGAAATTTTACTCCCTCATATACAGCCTGAACATCCTCATCACCCCCATTCTGGAAAGAACGGAAATGGATGTTAGGGGTATCCTGAGGATTATTGGAAAGCAGCGTGACGGTGCCAGCATGGTTTCTATTGTGAGCTTTGAGAACAATGAACGCGACATGCTGTGCATCTGCAAACGCTATCTCGGAATACCCAGGGAAATAACCACGGAAATTTCCAGGGATTCCAGCCATCAGAAGATCAGCTGCATTCGGGGATGCAACTGATGATTTCATAGGAATTCCGAGAAAAATTCCATTGCTTGAATAAATGCCTGGAGAAGTATGGTTGTTTTCCCACTGAAGAAGGCATGGGTCATCCGGAGTTTGGAGTAAAGTACAACCGTTAAAGAGTGTAAAATTCTGCGTCGATTCTTGTACAACTGTTACCTCATAACGGTCGCTCATACCAGTTCCCACGCCTGGTAGGTCGACAATAACTGGGATATCAAATGATTCCAACTCTGCAGCAGGTCCAACCCCACTAAGTTTGAGAAGCTGAGGTGTGTTGAAGGTGCCGGTAGAGATAATCACTTCACGAGTGACATTGACGCTTCCCTTCCCGGTTGGAGCTTTAGCAGCAGAAAACCGTGGATCAGCGCTGTATAGACTTTGACCAGCTAGGAAGTCGACTCCTACAGCTTTAGGTACAGGCCCGCTCTGGTCGAAACGGATTTTGGTTACCAAAGACTCTAGGCGAACATCAAGATGATATTTTCTAGATCCATCCGAGTTAACAGCATTTGCAACCTGGAGAATAAAATCTCGTGGCCCAGCTCGATCCCAACTGGGCTGTTTGACAGCCTCTGGAACTTGGAATAAGCCTTCAGTGAAGTCTCGAGTGGAAGAATCGCTGTTGATATCGCCAGTCAACCATTGTTGGTAAGCGGTAGACATGCTGCTTATTCCATTGCCAACAACTGTAGCAGCTGCTCGGACAACATTCATAATCCTGTCATCTCCAAGCCAGAGATCCACTTGCGTAAGACTTGTTTCGAGCCAGCCGTTAAATCCATGTCCAGAAGTACCGTTTGGGAGATAAAGGTTATCTTCCACACGTTCCCAATATTGTCTCATCGAATCAGGATTCCACGAGTTGTCACCCGTTATCGATGCAACAGTCTCCCAATCACTGTCTTGAGGTGTAATTGATACCATGACATTATGCCCTGCACAGCCGCCAAGGGTTCCAGCACGTGGGTACCATATTCCGAGCGGTTTTGCTCCAGCTGGTGGGTTACTGCCCACAAATCTGGATCCATCGGGAAGTTCCCAGGTAAATTTGGAGTCTGTTTCTTGAAGTGTCTGATTGTCGTAATGCTGTACAAAGTAATCCCACTCCTGAGACGGAGCCTCCGTAGACTCAAGACTGAGTATGGGGATTTCTTGAACGAGCATGTCGCCTTCATCGTCACCGGCATCCATCAGTAGAACCTTGTATCCAGCGAGAGCCAATCTAGCAGCAACAGGGCCGCCTCCCGGTCCAGAGCCAACAACTACATAATCGTAGGTTGGAAGGGCTATAGGGTCTGGATCACGTTTATGGAACTCATTGTTGGAGGAACTTTGTGGAAGTCCATTTGAAAGACCACCCAATGCTCTGGAGATATATTAGCCATTGATATGTCACTGTTTGCCATTTTAAAGCCAGAATAACTTACAAAGTAAGCACGGCAGCTTTAGTAAAACCAAGAGATGCCATTATAAGCAGAAATGTCGCGGAACTGAGTTATAAAGGATAACCTCAACGGGGACTCTTAATAGCTCCGATCTCTCTGTTTGATGGTGCTGTTGAAATCATTTACATTCCATCAACGGAGAAGATCGTCCTGCCTTTATACATTTCGAGTACCTCATGCATCACACAGATGTAATGGACTTGAGGGCTGGAGCCTACACTCTAACCCTGGCAACTTGCTTTCTGATCTCACTGCAGCTTATCAACACTTCACTAGGATCATGATTTTTCTTCTTCTCGTGTCTGTGATACATTCCATATTCACTACTAGGTATACATGTGAAGAAGTTTATATAAAACTTGAGGATAATATAATTTCCTATTATCCCAGTATAGGGACAAAGTTAATTTAATTTAGCAACAAGTACTCTACACAGTATGCATATATCATTTCTAATGGAAATGCTTTTCGCATCTTGTAGCTTAATTCTATAATATAATAGTTAGTCTGAGAGGCGAGGATGTACCCTTGTTCTGAATTGCCTATTGCAGCTCTACTGACCCTCCTGATTCTAAATGTAACCTCCACATTCAGGATTCCAATCAAACAACTAGTTTTCATCAAGTAGCCTAAATAAATACAAATACATCGTGCATAGCTAGTTCTATTTCCCCTGGCCAAGCGGATACCAATCGGCCCTTATATAACTCAAATCAATATCCTAGGAGCCAACTACGAGAAATGGGCAGGACAAGGTCAGATAGCGGATTCGCGGATCCGCTGGATCGCGAGAGACTGCGGTATGCGGAAGTATGCGGCCGCATTGGCCAAGGGAATACCAATCGGCCCTTATAACTCAAATCAATATCCTGGAGAAATATGCAGGACAAGGTAAGATAGCGGATCTGCGGGATTCGGAAGTTCCGGTATGGGGAGGTATGCCTACAAGGATAATACGATAATAAGACATAGATTCTTATCTCTAACAGCTGAAGGTATTATTTCCATGTTTCTGCTCCCCTGCTATCGCAGGTGTCTATTACGGAACCGGCCAAAATGCTTGGAACCTTCCCCAGAAAGGAATTCCGTTGGCCTAAAATGGAAAACGGTGGTGGGCATGTGAACCTGTATACGTGCTCTCGAACATGGGGCTTAGACTTGGCATCAGCATTTTCCTCCTCTGCATCGCGGTTGCACAAGTACACAGAGGTATCACCTGGACTATATTATAGCAGTTCTTGAGATCTGTAGCGCTTTCTACTTCTTTCTTTTTGTTCTATAGTGCAGGTGCAATTATGGAGGTTGAGATTCATGTTACGTCTTCTTCCCTTATCCGCTTCAATACAGATAGTTGATGCTATGTTGCATCTGAAGGCATATTCTAAGTTGAAATTTCCAGCTGGACAGTAGCCAATCTCCTCGCCTCCAGTAACTCAAGATAAACACCTTGAACCCCCGTAAGTTACATATTATCACATAAAAGAGGTGCTTACATACCAGTAGCCATCCACCCCACCCCTAATTTCTCCATGGCTCTTGTCAAAACTTGTTCACAGTCTCTGAACTCATCACAAACATGGGTCTGTTGGAGGGTGATGAAAACGGCCGCCGAGCGATACATTATATCTAATAACAGTGGTGAAGCTTCATCCGACTCGAATTTGACTTCTGTAATAAATTTATGAGCAAACGACAGCGTGACACGAGAAAGAGCTTCCATGGCCGCCAGGGAGCGGGCTCTGCTCTCCGCACCGAGAGCATCGGCTTCAGGATGAGAATGGAGAACAAGCAAGGCACTAAGATGTCTCTTTTAGATTTAGTCGTACATTGGTTGGAACAGTATTGGATTACCTCGCAGATAACGCAATTGGGGAGCAATAGTGAGATGTGCTGAGTTTTTCTTCATCAATAGTTAGGGACAATAAGGACTGTAAGGCACGCTCTAAAGACCTTCTCTCCTCGCGAGAGAATTGAGGATCCATCTCTGTGTCTGATACGTGACGTAAAACACGACCAAGAAGGTGTGTAGTTTGAGCTGTGCGAGCAAATTTCCCCATTTCTACTTCTAGTCCAGCAGACAGTCTGTGTGGAGGGTTGGTTGGGAACTCCTAGGCGACTTATAAGTATACACGACTGAGCAACCAAACACTTTGCACTCACTCCATCGTTCCAATTCTTGTCTGGGACAGGCAAATACCAATCTCCGCCGGCTCTTCAGTACAGAGCCCGCGTCTAGGAAAACTGATGTTTAAGTGACTGATTAACTCACCAACGTAAGTAATCGTATGAGAAGATGGATTCATGGAAACCGTAATGATCTCGACTTTGAGATACTCTTTCGTAGCTGCAGGGATGGGAGCGTTATCAGCCAATTTGGCGATTCCTGGTCCCTGAATGACAAATAAGTCCCTGCATGATTTGATGCATACTCAGGTGACAGGGCTTCTTATGATCTAATAAATCGAAGAATCATAATTACACAACGTTTACAAAGAGCATCTGCAGCTAATCTTAACATGCCTCGGACTGATCAATAGCTCCAGAATGATAAACCTTGAATACCTCGGTCATACGGTTGTTGATTTGTAAGATAGCAGGTTGGTGGGGTAAATAGTAGATATATGCGGTAGATATTGATATGTACCTACCTAGGTAGTATATGTTGTCCAATTTCGCCGCATTGTTGCCTCTTATCATAGATCAGTATCATCGACCAATTCCTTGCGAGGATTATCAAATATCCAAAGCCTGCCCAAAGTCTAACCAGATTCAATTAGCAACATTAAACATGCCTTTTTACGAGATGGGCGTCTTCAGTTACAGCCTGCTATAAATACATACGTACTATAATACCTTACCAACATAACGAGCTTCAGCGCACTATATCTCTGTTTCGACAATAGATCTACCACTCTTATCCTCTCATTAGAGCCCAGAAACAAAAGTTTGCCTCATCAATTACCGAGCTGCACTCTACCACTTTCACAACCCCATCTCTATTTGTCAACATTCTATTTGTTCTTACTGAGCCAACCGGCGACTTTTTCGTTGCGGCTAAACCAGTTGAACCTCCTTCCCCAAATCGGGTTATGACCTTGGTCCGAATGGGAGCGGATCGAACAAAGGCACAGTTTGATAATCTGGCTGGCAAGATTGAGAGGTCTTGGAACGAGATTGTGGGCTATGACGATAGTCTACATATTGAAACTGTTGAAGATAAAGAGAAGAAGCTACATATCGTGAGTTTTGTTGCTATTATTACTGGTAGGGAGAATGGGGTTTACCTTCACAATGTACGTTTCTCACTTTTCTTTTCTGTTCACGCAGATGACATTACATTTATTAGTGCTAATTTGTAAACTCTAGACTGGTCAAGAGAAGACATGGCTAAAGGATAATATGGCATACTTCAAAGAGAGGGAAGAGGTTTGTAGGGATGAGAAATTTGCTGATATGTTGGAAGAGATAAAACACCGCTCAGATTTAAATGCTGCATTATAACTTTTCTTGTAGATACTTTAGTGTGCCGGACTAAAGACTTATAGATTATTATAAATAAGAAATCCCAAGGGACAAACTATAGTTCTAGTTGATATAAACAAATCGGTTAGGTTAGATGATTGGGTAATGTTAATAATATTACTAAAAGACATCCAACTTACAACGGAGGAAAAGTATGTAGTGCAGGTTATGTTTGGCAGCAAGCCGTAGCCCCGCATTTTCCCTCAATGAGGCATAGGATTAGGAATCTGAGCTTTGTTGACTTATTTCCACAATGAGGAAAAGCGATTCGGACCAAACCGGAGATGCCATTATTGGCTTAACGGTGATCTAAACCACCGTGCAATATGTAGCGGGTGGAGCTTGTGCCCCGAGTGTATGGTACAACCGGTTCACAACAACCGAATCTAGGGTATTGCAATGCGAAGGCTTACTTTGAGTTTGTCAGCTGTTTGTTGCTTTCAATATGTTGAGGAATTGAATTGATCTAGTTAAACTAATGCGCCCATTACTAATATTGGATGCCCTCACACACACCAGGTTGGCTGCCGATCGCCGAATAATTGATAATAGATATGTTTGTCCTATGCACATAGGTATATATATATAAGTGTATCGCATGCGCTCTGTCTGAAAGAGATTAAGTACTTGAACAAAGATAAATAACGAATAATCCACCTATCATCCATTATCCAGCAATAATTTATCAAGATTTCACATCAGCATCTGAAGATAACTCTGCAAATAATGGCTGCATCAAACGTTTTGGCCGCTACTCTTAAGTCATTGCATCGCCCTGGCAAGCCAATCATCTTTACCAATGTTTACGACGTTCTATCAGCTCGTGCTGTAGCTGCTCTTCCGAGTTGCAAAGCACTAGCGACAGCAAGCTATGCTGTTGCTAGAGCTAATGGGACAGAGGATGATGACATGGACGCCCAGACGAACCTCCGCGCCGTCCTACCGATCGCGAAAGTTGCGGCAGAGTTCAACAAGCCGTTTACAGTGGATATTCAAGACGCATATGGAGAGAAGCTCGAAGAGGTCATGACAGCACTTATTCAAGGGGGTGTTCATGGAGTGAACTTGGAGGATGTCAACAAAGACACTCAGAAGTTTTACAGCCAGCAGGAAGCTGTGGAGCGGATTAGAAGGACCTTGAAGGTCGCCGAGAGTCTAGGGGTCAAGGATTTTGTGGTCAACGCCCGATGCGATGTTCTTGTTCACGGTGGTCAGCTCAGTGAGGTTCTCACTCGAGGAAAGGCATATCTCGCTGCCGGCGCTACCAGTGTGTTTGTCTGGGGAGGCTCGCAGAGGGGGGTTAGCCGCGATGAAGTTGCAACGATGGTGAAGGAATTCGATGGGCGACTAAACGTTTCGATGAAGCTGTCGCCTGACGGATTGAATGCATCGCAACTATCTGAGATTGGTGTATCCAGAATAAGCATTGGGCCTGCGATTCAGTTCATCGCGATGGATACATATGCAAAGGAGGCAGAGAAGATTCTCACTTCTGTTTAATGGAATGTACACTAGAATAATGAGCTCAAATAGACTGTAACTAGATATTATCATACTAATGTCTTTGTTTAAAATGGGGATGTTCAATTACAGCGTTAGATCCGATACTTAAAGTAGTGTAAAGTTCAGAATCACAGCATTCATATCGTCTTACAGCTGTCCAATGGATAGATGACTTGCCACTGGCTGTTGGAGCTCCAACGGAACAACGGCGTACAACAGGCGGCTCAAATCTATGTTGATTGAAGGCTACTTCTTGTTTATGAAGAGTACGAATGATGCAAATCTTTAAGAGAGATCAGAGACTGTATTTGCTGTACTAACTCCAGAAGCTCCAACAGAGATGACTGTCGTTGGCATTGCGTCAATTTCCAGCAGCAGAAATAAACGACGTAAAATGCGCAATATGGATTGCTATCATTGTAATCTGCTGATATCGATTCATTACAGATATGCATTTTCCAGAGTTTCTTCCCCGGGGCCGCAATGGATATTATAAAACCCACTACCTCGTCTTCATCGAACGAGTCAGCAGTCATAGCAAACTCCTCTAGTATCTAGAAGATGTCTTTAGATATGTCTGAGACTGCTCACTACTGGCTCGCCTCGTGCGCTTAATAAGAGATTATGCACTGGTCTTCAATCTGCCGGAACAAGTCTCCATGGAGGTAGGTAGTCGACGTGCATCCGACAAAGCACACAAACTTTCCATAGCCTGTAATGATAAACAGAATTGTAATCGTTAAAGAAGACACGGTGCCGATACAATGTGAAAAAGTCAACCTTACTGTATATGTGAATCAAGTATTGGACTTGGCATACATAGAAAATTAGAAGAGGGGTGTCTAGGGACGTCAGGCAGCGAATGTCTTCATTTTATACGACGAACTAATAAACTGCCCCGTATTTGAATTGTCAAGTCAACATGCCTTTCGTTCTATGCGACATCCAGCTGAACAAATCGGCGTCGACTGACCTGTGCCCACTCTATTGAGGACTGCGTGACATTAGCAAGTACGGCTTGTATTACCATAATGGATTACGATTTAACAATGTGGCTGCCTGTTGCTTGGCCGAAGAACTGTATGGGCTAGTGAGAAAGGTTTACCATCATGTAGTCTCGAGATTGGTAGCTCAGGGGGTGAGCCGGTATCGGTGGTGGTACACTTCATGACCCATCCTCACACACTCAATGAGTATCGGGTTTCTTCCGAGCTGTGAAGGAAGTGTACCTGGGCCTTAGTTCGTCTACTTTCCTCTATGCTTTCGTTTTCTGGCCCGAACTTAGCTCGCAGCTCATGTTCCTATTCGTATTCCAGTTGATGTGCCATTAATCTGCATGTTGAATCTTGGCAAGATGACACCCCGATACTACGGACCACTTTTCCTGATTTGCTGGCATCTATATTCTTGGCAATCTGCGTATCGGCATGAACGAATCCACACCGTTTCGCATTCGCTTAACACTAATTGCGTGATTATTTGTTTCCTAGGTTGTGGCATGGCTCGTTAAGATCACTGTCACGGGTGACCGTGTGCGAAGATACCGAATTGTTTTGCAGCTCGCGTCGTCTAGTGCACAACAAATGTTATGAAATACCGTCCTGGTTAATGGATCTTCCTTACCATCCCCCTTGTGTAAAGTTCTACACTTATCTGACGCATAACTATCTTCGTTATTCCTCTATGCCATAATTATGATATACGGTTCAATAACGCAGCCTTGAGAGTTAACATCCCGGGTAAGGCACATTAAGACTCATTTACGTCTTAGTTGAACTGCCGCGTATCTCCAAACCGATGTTAGCAATAGTGTCTGAATCCACTGTATAGCCTATTTTGTCAAAGTTCCAGAATCACCCTACATCACGTAGCTTGGGATAGTTTATTCATGATGTTGCACTCGTATGCCACGGTGCTTGCCAAAATTCTCCTCAAAATGATATAAATTATATATACTACTGAGTTTATGTCGAGAAAATTGGATGCTCACCACTCTAGACAACCCGAAGTTTACCAACTCCTCAATATCATCCCCCTTTCTCTTTTAGCAGAATATCGTAGCCTTGAAGGAGCCTCACTGTTTATGTGTCGTTGACTTGTCATGACAGAGCGGCATTGTAAGCAACAGTAGATGGCAATAGCACTACAGAGAAGAAGAGGATAATATTATACTTCCTAGCTTCAGAGATGAAAAGATCTGCCATCACGAGATAGGTGTAGAGGTTGACAACAGCTGCTTAGCCTTAGTCACCTTTGTTCAACAGGAGGAACGCAGGTTCCATTCAACAGTGTGAAACCGGTTGAAAGATGACCCAGTGCCACCGTAACCAATCTCGGTGTGGTGAAAAGTATATCTGTTGTGCCAAAAGATGGCGTGGGCAAATTGGCGTGGGCAAATTATGTCGTCATTTTGTCCATGTGTGTCTTCCCGTTAATGTCAGAAGAATTTTCGATTAGATTTCCCCCTTTAGTTAAATCTGCGCTGTCAGTTCTCCCTAGTGGCGTGTTTTCGGGGACTACGTAGGGGTAGTGTCAATGGTCACGAGGTGGAATATCGATGTCCTGTCAGCTTACATTTATATACACAAGCGGCGTTTTCGGTACTTGGGCGTAATTGTAGAGCATTCTCATTTAGTACAGAAGGTGCTGAGATATTATGCGGAATGTCGGACCCTAGATACAATCTGACCATGTACACGCGCACACTCTTCTAGAAAACTGAGCCTAGACGAGAAGGGCCATGCCATGGGCTTGGGCACGAGAATACCAAAAGGAGATATATTGAGGGGCGATCGCTTTCAGGCGTTTTGACGAATGTGTATGAGAACTTATTCTTCACACCATCACACCGCTTACTTGTTACCATCATAGTGGTATGCATGGACCTTAGTTCGCGATAATTCTCATATAGTTCCTCGTAGCAAATGGATCGGAAAAGTCGGTTAGCTAGGCACCAGAATAAATTTGCGGGTACATGGAGCCTCAGCTCCATAGAAACACGGCAACATGCATCAACACTGGAGAGACGAACTCGACGGATGGGGCACTGGGGAGAGTCGTATCATGGCGGAGAAAGGGGTAATGGGGAATTCTTGTGCAGTTGGACTAAAAATGGCTCCAAGGGCTCCTATCCTCGTAGCAATATGTTGCAGCCTAGAGAAAGAAAGACATGATATGGCCTGTGCATATTCAGCTCTTCCCGTCCCATACCCATCCCTTTGAGTGCGAGAAGGTGCGGGCGAAGTACTCATGTCCACTTTTCTTATTAATCGGGGAGAAATACTCAAAATCTAGCTGCTTGATTAGTCACAGCTGAAAAGATACTTCGCCCGCACCTTCTCGCACTCAAAGGGATACCGTAGAGGAGACTGAATCAAATGTGAATGCCTGAGACTCTTGACTGATCGGCGTGCGCGCAAGGGAAGGAAAAGATTAGGTCAGCAATGGCAATAGCAAGTCAAGCAAAAAATTCGAACCCCGAAGCGAGGGTTAGGTAGTAGCCAATGATTCAGGTTTTCTGAGAGAATGAAGGCCTTCACGGGGGCGATTTGGGGTATATCGAGATCCGTGGATGGCGATTCATCAGATTACTGAACCGAGGATTACGCGAGGGAAGTTTTGTGCCACTGAGGTCGTAACTTGTTCTCGGACAATGAGGCAAGGCGGAAGTTGCCCTGAGGCTGAGGCGAGGGTACGTGGGGAATTGATTCCATGTGCATGTACTGTATTGTTTATTGTCCGCCCCCTTCATGACTCTTGTACGAGATTCGCCATAATGGAGCATCTTGGCACTCTGTCTGTACAGTACGAGTTACGAGACATGCCCCGAATCTCCAACTTACACCACAATCGAGAAACCCCCAAAGAAAGAACAAAAAAAAAGATTCAATACTTTGAGGACAATGGACTAGGGACCCACGATGCTCCATCATAACGACTCGCCGCCCACTTTTCCGCCGGCCGTCGATTGGCCGTGGCGCGCAAAAGGCATCGGATGGGTCCATCAGCGTCCATCACCAAGACGTCATCGACGAGGGATCAGCACCAGGCAGAAGCATTTCGAAGACCCATGGGGAAAAGAAATTTTTCTGTGATGGAGCTGATTCTTGCTCAAGAGGCCCGACAAGGTGCATCTGGGGCAGAGTAAATGCCTCGTTCTCAACGCAAGGGCGGGCGCGAACAATATTCAGTTGGGGAGAGTGTAAGAGGATTTGCGACTTGTCTCAACTTCTTCGAAGCGCAGGCAGCCGGCCGGACAACAAGACCCGAGACGCTGCTGCTCCGTCTCGGACATGTGCCGTACTAAACAAGAACTAGAGATTTAATCTACACGATCGAGGGATTGCAGGCATTTCCTGCTCGTTTCCTGCCACCGGTGGCGCGCAACCCCCGGGCCGATCGATTCTTGCCCCTGCTAGCTCCTTGTCAAGTGCCGTCTTCCGACCCAGCCGCCACCACTCACAGCGAGGCTCTGACGCCGCTGCCGAATGGACTTGAAAGGCCCTGCTTGGCAGTGTTGGTGAGTGTTGGCAGCTAGTATGACGGACGGGACCTGGGACTAACACCGTACGGCCGTGCGCTGGAGAGAAACAGGGAAGTTCTGAAACTGAAACGGTAGGAAAGAATTGCAAAGAATGAGAAAAACAGGGCAGCTTGGCATGGTCGAGGCCGTTATGCCATGGTGATGGCGATATTACGGGAAAGCATCAAAACAACAAACTCACGATAATGCTTGCGGGCTGAGCATCACGGTCTAGAACTTCCTCACCAGGAGAAACAGATGCGATAAGAAGAAGAAATGAACTTTTTTTTTAGTCTGGATTCTGCTACATGTCTCTGCTTTGAGCATGGCCGAGAACGTGCAGAGACTCCAAAAGTCTGGACCGTCCGTTCTCGCTGGCTGAGCGAATGTCTCACAGCGCCCTTGTTGCTTGGGATACCGCCCCATGCAGCCGCAAGCGTGCTGAGAGCATTCCCCAGCTCTCGCTCCCCCAGATCACAGGACGAGGGGAAAATAGCGTTTGGTATTTCTCGCGTGCGGCAATGCCCATTACAGGGATGTTTTGCGGTGCATGCTCGAGGCAGAATTCCGAGAACGGCTGCGAGGGCTTCGACAGACTTTGGCACTAGCCCTCGGGGCATGGCCAGCATCCGCGTCCGTAACTCTTGCAAATCCGCATTTACAATGTTACAATTTCGAGCTTCTTTCGGTTTGGCCGAAGACGTTGGCCATCCGGATCTAGTGTACAAGTTCCATGTTCTTTGGTACCGGCAGATGGGGCAGCATGGACGTCATATTTGCTGGGGCCCGGTGTGGGTGGATATTCTTATTTTCGTAGCTTCATGGTGAGACCTCAAATCCCCATTATTTCCTCCGCCGCCTACCACCAACCCTATTTTTCCTGCTGGCGAATGTTCTGGGTAGTCTAATCATGACAACTGAACGCAGATAAAGTTAAATAGGCTTGCCCTCCATCTTCCAATCCTTTGTTTCCCTCCTCTTCCCCATCCCTCCGCCTCTTTTTCTTCTCCTCACAGTCTTCCCCAGACTATCTCCCCCATATCTCATGTCAGCTACTCCAATTTTTTAAGTAAGCTGAAGGAGACTTGCTCTGGTTATACGGCAAACATGTCGGGTCAACACACACACTTCTCGGAGGATCCTCCTCAGATCCTCAACCAGAATGACCTGGACCTCGCCAACGAGAGGCTGAGAACCAACGGGTCACATACCCAAGGCTCTAGCACTGACAACATTGAAAAGCCAGAAGAAAATCTGCCTTCTGATAACAATAACAAGCTGGAGAAGCTTGGAACTTATGACAAGTACGAAATCACAGAGGATGACTGCTACGAGGAGCTCGGCTACTGCTTTCCCAAGTGGAAGAAGTGGTACATCCTGACTGTCATCTTCTGGGTTCAAGTATCAATGAACTTCAATACCTCTCTTTACTCAAACGCCATTCCCGGCATCGCAGAGGAATTCCACGTTAGCGAGCAAGCTGCTCGATGTGGTGCCATGATCTTCTTGGTTCTCTATGCTTTTGGCTGTGAGCTTTGGGCGCCTTGGTCAGAAGAGTTTGGCCGCTGGCCGGTCCTACAGCTCTCTCTGTTCTTGGTCAACGTCTGGCAGCTTCCTGTTGCGCTAGCTCCCAACTTTGCCTCCATCATGGTCGGCCGAGCCCTCGGTGGTCTCTCCTCAGCTGGTGGCTCCGTCACCCTGGGTATGATTGCCGATATGTGGGAAGCCGATAAGCAGCAGTATGCTGTCGCATACGTCGTCTTTTCCTCTGTTGGTGGATCTGTTTTGGGTCCCATTGTCGGTGGCTTTACCGAGAAGTATCTTGCCTGGAGGTGAGTAGTACATTATACAATGCCTCTATTTCTCAACATCTACTTACACTTTATTATAGATGGTCTATCTGGGTCCAGCTCATTTTGGGTGGATTCGTCCAGCTTGTTCACTGCTTCACCGTTCCCGAGACTCGAACCACCATCCTGATGAACCGCATCGCCAAGAAGCGCCGTCAGCAAACGGGCCAGAACATTTGGGGACCGGACGAACTTGTCCCATTCAGAGATCGCTTCTCGGCCAAGGAAGTCCTCACCACCTGGATCCGCCCCTTCAAGATGTTCCTTACCGAGCCGATTGTCCTGGTTCTTTCTCTGCTCTCTGGCTTTTCCGACGCCCTCATCTTCATGTTCATTCAGTCTTTCGCCCTGGTGTATAAGCAGTGGGGATTCGGTACTGTTGAGATCGGTTTGAGCTTCATTCCTATCGGTATCGGTTATGTCATTGCATGGCTCCTCTTCATCCCCGCTATCAAGCGCAACATCAAGGAGCGCAAGGCTAAGCCCAATGACGAACGTGCTCAGTACGAATCTCGTCTCTGGTTCCTTCTATACACAGCTCCTTGCTTGCCAATCGGCCTTATCGGTTTCGCTTGGACCATTCAAGGCCCTCCTATCCACTGGATTGGTTCCATGATCTTCGTCGCTATTGTCGGTATCGCAAACTACGCCATCTACATGGCTACGATCGATTACATGATCTGTGCTTATGGCCCTTACTCCGCTTCCGCCACTGGTGGTAACGGTTGGTCTCGAGACTTCCTGGCTGGTGTTCTCACCATTCCTGCTCTCCCATTCTTCCAAAACATCGGAAAGTCAAGCGGAAAGAACTTGGAATACGCCAGTACTATCCTCTTCTGTATCTCCTTCGTCCTCGTCGTTGCGGTCTACGTTATTTACTGGAAGGGCCCAGCTCTGCGGAAGCGATCGCCCTTTGCCCAGCGGCTTGCTGACGCTCGTCAAGAGCAAACGAATGAAGGCCGCCGCGGCAGCATCTCATATGATCCCAACCGCCGATGTAAGTTATTTCCAATCTCTTTGCCTGTTTCAAGCATTGATGCTAATCATTCTATCACAGCTTCCGTTACATCAGCTTCTGGTGGCCGACCTGAGCCGCACAGGCGATACAGCCAGCAGAACCGCTTCTTCGGTGAGAGCAGAGTTACTCCTCGTGGTACTCCCAGAGGTACTCCCGCTGCTAGCCGTCGCCCCTCTGTCGTCAACGCTACGAGGAAATAAAGCGGGCTGTGTGAAGTTGTGTGTATATATATAGAAGATGAGTCGTGGAGGACGGGATCTCAAAAATAAGGGCTGATTCCTAGATTTCTTCATCTGGCTTTCTTTTTACTATTGGGCGGATATGCATATTCATTGCGAAATAGCTTTCGGGACGCGGGAATACTTGTTTATTTCTTACGCCTCTTTGTTCTTATACCCGGGTCTTTGGATAAGGTTAATTTACGAGCCGTTTATCTTTTGCTCTACCAAAATAAAAATAATATCCCAAGTTTATAAAGCTTTACTCGGTGTGAATGAAATGCTGGATGAGAAACCCTGTCCAGGCTCTGTTTAGATACGGAGGGATCACCCTTTCCACTGGGTTCTTCAAATATCTGCTACTCCTATCATGGGTGTCGGGTACCTCACCATGTGTCACATACCATAGCATTTGGCAATTCAGATTCTAGATAGTCAACTCGGACTCAAAAACGATTGAGTGGGTCATTGCATATGATCGGAAAGATCCGCCTTTTAGCTGCCTGAAGCTATCGCCTAATTGGAACGAATTGCAGTGCTAGAAGTTGCGCCGCGCGAAGGACCAAGCAAGATGCGAGATCCGATCGTCATTCGCATTACACGCTTATTTAGTCTTTGTGAGTGACAATTGAGGCCCTCGTCCCAATATGAGATAGAGATAACGAAACCTTTACAGGGAAGGTTTTTCATTCACCGCAGCTTCATCAGTAGCAAGTTCATAAATCCCATGCCGTATTCGTCTAGTAGGATCTGTTGCGTTCAAGACGTTTACAAATCATGCACTCGACGCAAATATGCTCAGATCGGAGACGATACGAAAAGCTGATCTTAGCTCCTTTAACGGATTCACGAATGCTCGCGCCATGAATCGCGTCTTCTCCGTTTTGGCGCTCGGTGGCGAGGTCAATGGTGTACGGCTGTTATCCCAAAAGACGATTGAGCTTATCTTTCGGGAACAGTCAAACGGCCCAGATCTGGCAGCGGGTATGGACATGAGATGGGGTATTGGATACGCTCTTGGAGGGTCAGGCTTGGTGATTTTATGCCAAGCGGGCGAGTTGGAGTATGGGGAGGCTGGGGAGGGTCATTATTTGTCTTTGACGCGGACAGAAAGTTGACTTTTACGTATGCCATGAACCAGATGTCTCATCAGATTATGGCAGACGGAAGAGAAGGAGACTATTTGAGAGCCGTGTATAAGGCCATTGGGGGTAGAGGTGTAGTAGTAGCTTGTTGCAGGACGGCGAACCATTATTTATAATACAATGAATCAGTGCCTATTCAGTACCCCTGGTGATGCAAGAGTGAGTGTATATAAAACCGCAGCCTGATTAATTAAATATAGATTCATTTATTCCAAGTGGCGCTTATTAATGATATCCAACACTTCAGTGTCCCATTCTAAAGAGAGGCCTCTCCCCTCTCCTTGCCCTCCAGTAATCCGTCGACCTAAATAAGTCGACACAGCCTTCCAGAGTCCAACCCCATTCATTCAAAAACTCTGCTGTTACTTCCCACGAGGCTAGATCCCATGGGTCTCCCCACAGGATGAGGCCAGACTCTTTCTGGCAGGTGTCGAGCCCAACCATCCAGTGGCATAGGCTATCTGCGTCGTACTGGCGCTTCTCCATCGTCGTACTTACACCAGACTCAAGTCGTAAAAGGTTGTCTCTTATCTGGGGATACGGCAATATGTCAATCCATGGGTGATGTGGAATAGATCTCTGCAGAGCTGTTGGCGGGAGGCTTTTTGCTAGTCGGAAGTGCGGTACTCGTATATTTTGAGCTGAATATGTATATGAAGAAAACGGAGACAATGCAGCATCATCATCCATTACATTGTCTGAAGACAACCCAATAATGGAGCCAAGGGTTCCCAAGGCTCTCACCCCGTTGAACTGCATTATAGGTGATCATTGGATGGTGAACGCCCTGCGTGGCGTCTATTTCTTGCGCTTGTGCTTCGGCCTAGATAGAGGTGAGGTTTCGTCGGCCGGCCGTTTTCTCGCCGACGAGGTACAAGTCGAATGTTGTTCGAGTTCAGCATCCCCTTCCGCATCCTGGCCAGTAGTTCCGTGTGAGGGCACCGAAGCGCTGCTTTGCTGGATAGGTAGCTCGCTCTTGTCAGCAGAGCCACCAGGTTGGGCATCGTCTTTCTGAGCTTCTTGGATAGCCAGGGTCATGAAAAGGCTTTTGTCAAGGGTCATGCCGCACACCAACTCTTCCTAAAGAGGTGCGATCAGAGCACCATAACGATCGCGCAGCCCAAGAATTCCTAGGGTTGTGTTGTGCTTTCCCAGAGCAGCTTCAATGGCATCCCATGCGCCTTGCTTCTCCAAGAACTCCTGAACCCAACGCGACGACAGGTCGGGGTTGAGCTCTTTGCCGCCATCATAGCCCACGAAAGAGTATGGGTGTTTTTTTGACTTTAGGAAAGAGTCGCGCAAAGTTTCTCGCAAGAGGGACTGTCCTAGCTTCGCATCGGCCGGAAGTTCGCCGGTCCGAATATAAGTCAGAACCCATTCGAAACGTATTACAACCCAACAACTTATGGTCGCAACTAGCAGACCTACAGGGTAGGCACCACGGACAAACAACGGTCCGCACGAACCAATCAAGATTGTGTTCACTTTACGAAAAGTGAACACCAGTAAACAATTACCCGATTAGGAAAATATTTACTTCTACGAAAGTAAACATAAGTAAATATTACATTATATATATAACTTCTCTACGTTTATTTAAAATAGTTTAGATAGCTAATTATAAATATAGAATAATACTTAATTATACCTATAAAGTATTATCTACTAATTATATAAATAAACCCCTTTATCTTTATTAATTACCTACTAGTCCAGCCTAGCCTATCCGCTAACATAAACCTAGTATAAGGTTTATCCTTTAGGAATTCCTCTTATACTAATACTATAGGAGCTTAGTTTATTATATATTTATAACTTTTATTTAAAGGTTACCTTAGACTATAGGTAATATTATTATAAGAATACTAAATAGTTAAATTCTATATATTAGATATTAAAATAAATTAAAAAAGTATTGCCCTAAGTTATAAAAATAGTAATATAAAACTTAAAGAAGTACTTAAAGTTAAAATAGCTAGTAAAGATCCTTAACCTTAACTATAACTTTTTTAGGAGTAATAGTAGGCTAAGATTTTAGCTTTTAAGGAAGAAATTACTAAACTTAAAACTAAGAAAAAGGAAAAAGGAAAAATCCTTTAACCTAAGTGCCTTAATCTTTATAATAGAGAACCTAAAAATATAGAAAAGTATTTTACTAAACTTAATATTTACTTTAAATACTTTTTAAATACTTTAAAAAATAATAAAAATAAAATAATTTTTACTATTACCTACCTTACTAAAGCAGCCGAAAAATAGTTATAACCTATTATATAAGACTTTAAGAAAAATACTTTAAGTAAATAAAAGACTTAAACCTAAGAAGTTTTTACATCTTACTAATACTTCTGCAATTAACTTAAGAAATCGTTTAGAACCTTAAATAAAGAATAGGAAGTAGAACGGGAACTCTAATTTATTAAATAAAAAAAATAATACTTTAAGTATATAACTACGTTTATATAACTCCTTACTAAGGTTAATTAAATTAAAGATAGTAAGAAGAAAGTGTACTATATAAGCTTTAAACCCTTAGTTAAGGATAAGTTATATAAAGTTAATAAAAAGATAGTAAGCTTTATTAACTATACTTAAATAGTAATTAATATTAATAATTACCTCTGGGAAAAAAAGTAAAAAAAAAAAAAGGAAAAATATAAGAATTTTTAATAACCTAAATAAAGCTTTTAATAATATATTAACTAAGGAAGGAAGCGTAATATAACTTTATATAATAATAAAAAACCAGGACCTATAGATTTAGATATTATTAATACCTATAAGTTTATAAGTAAATATAATTACTATAGTAAAATAGGCTATAAAGAAAAGGACTACTAAAAGAAGTATAAAAAACCTAATAATTCTAAGAAGTCTAATAATAATAAAAAGGTTAATAAAGTCTAAGTTAATACTATTAAAACAGTACCCTATAACTTACTTAGTTAAACTAAGTATTATAATAAATAATACCTTATATATAAAAAAGGAAAAAAAATATTAAACTAGTATTCTAAAATATCTAAAAAAAAGCAGCTAAAATATATTATAGTTAATACTATAATATTTAAAGAAGTTAATTAATAAGTAATTAACTAGGCTATTAATAATATACCTATAGCTATTACTACCCTAGGAAACGTTAATATAACTTAGGATAAATATAAGGAAGTATAAGATAAAGCCCTTAACGTTTTACCTATAGAAAAAGAATAAGTAGATGCTTTTATTTATAAATAAAGGGAAGAACCTAGATAGGAGATAGGTTATACTGACCTTAATATTACAAAACTATACGAAAACTGTAGATTATAAGAACCCTAGGGACTAAATTACCCCTATGGATAAAAACCCTTTAACTATAATTCAGAAAGAACTTAAGAATAAGACCTAAGTAAATTCTAACAGATGCTTAAATAATATAAAATTACCTAGTGATAAGCGCTAAGTAATAACAGGTTAGCGGAGTACACTAGCGTAAATCCCTACTACCCTATTATAACTAGAGATTAGTTCCTTAAATAAGAAGAAATATAGCTTATATATAATACCCTATTTACAAAAGACTATAGGTATTTAATAGTAAAATAATACTATAAAATACTTTATAAAGAATACTAGGAATAAAAAATTTATAATTAATACTTTTAAATTTAATATAAAAACCTATATAATAAAATTTATATAAAAATTAATCTAAATTAATACCTTAACTAAGGATATAGATAATACCTTAACCATAAGGTTAAAGAATAATATATATAAAGGGAAGCCTATTTTAAAAATAACCCTCTGTAATATAAGGATAAATATTATAAAAGGTATTATAGAGAAAAAGAAAAATATATTTAACTCTAATACTAGTTATACTATAATAGATTTAACTTTAAGACCTACGATAAAGGTAATGCCTATAAAAAAGACATTAAACGCTTTTATAAATATTATATTAATAAGATTAATACTAATAAATATTAATAATACTAAAAACTTTAATAGTAATAAGTATAATAATAAATAATTAAAAACTTTAATATTATTACTAAAGATAACTATAATCCTAATTAAAAAAAGAATATATAAATTAATATAGTTAAAATAATTAAAATAAAAAAACTTAGAATTAATATATAATTTAATAATAGTACTATTACTACGTACATTAACAGCAGAGCAGACCATAATTTAATCTTACTATAATTAATTAAGGAACTATAAATCCCTATTTAATAAAAAAAATAAGCGCTATAAATTATAAGTATTACAGGAGTAGAAATAGAAGAAGGACTTATTAAATATAAGACTAATTATCTCCCCGTAATTATTAATAAAAATACCTATAATATTTAATTTAGTATTCTAAATATATTAAAAAATAATATTCTTTTAGGCTATCCCTAGTTACTTAATAATAACCTTATTATCCGATGGAAGATTAAGAAGGTTTATTAGGATATTAAGGATATACCTGAATATTAACTATGCTAGAAAAAACAAAAGGGTAAAGCTGCGCTACTAAAAGAACTAGAATCCTCTGCGCTAATTATAAAGAAAATAAAAACAGTTAGGTTTAAAGAAAATAAATTACTAATACTACTATAATATAATAAATAACGTAAGAAAGTAAAATATATCTATATTAATAGAATTATAATATAATTTAAAGATAAGCTAGTAGTACTTAATAATATACTAAGTAAAGTATAAGAAAAAAAGGAATTAGGAGAACTTAATAATACTTTTACTAAAATACTTCGCTAGTATAAGAAGTTTTAAAAACTATATAAGGTAATATTAAACACTAGGTTACTACTATACTTATAGTAGGATTACTATATTAAGTTAGTAAATGGAAAATAACCTAAAACCTATAAGATTTACAACTTTAATAAGAAAGAACTTAAGACTTTAAGGGAATAGTTAGATAAATAATTAGAAAAAGGATATATTTAAGTTTCTAATTTATTAGTAGAATATCCTATAATATTTATACTAAAGAAAAACAGAAAGTTATAACTAGTTATTAACTATTAATAACTTAATAAAATTATTATTAAAGATTAAATACTACTATTACTAATCTCTAAAATTAAAAATAGACTAGCTACTATAAAATAATTTACAGCTCTTAACCTAAAAGAAGCCTATAACCTTATCTAAATTAAAGAAGAAGATAAATAAAAAACAGTATTTAAAATATACTATAGACTATTTAAATATTTAGTTATACCCTTTAGACTTACTAACGTACCAGCTACATTTTAAAGAATAATTAACAAAGTCCTTAAGGAATATATTAATAAATTTATTATTATCTACCTTAATAATATATTAATCTACTTTAATACCTTAGAAAAGCATAAATAATATATATATTAAGTCTTAGAAACACTATAAGCAGTAAACTTACTAATAGAACTAGAAAAATACTAGTTCTATATTTAGAAAGTTAACTTTTTAAAATATATTATCTTACTAGGATAAATTAAAATAAACCCTACTAAAATAGCAGCTATTAAGGAATAAAAGGTCCCTAAAACCGTAAAGGAAGTATAAAGCTTCCTTAGTTTAATAAATTACTACCGAAGGTTTATTAAAAACTATAGTAAAATTATAATACTACTCACGGATCTTATTAAAAAAGATTCTAATAATAAAGTTAAGAAAACCTAACTTATTAAATACATAGGAAAGGCTCTTAAAGCCTTTAAAGCCCTTAAAGAAGCTATTACTAACGCACTAATACTATAAATATATAACCCTAAGAGGCCTGTTATTATTAAAACGGATACCTTAAATTATACAATTAGAGGAGTTCTTAGCTAATAAAATAATAAAGGAATACTATACTCAGTAGCCTTCTTCTCTAAGAAACTCTATGGTTTAAAATTATAATACTTTATATATAATTAAAAACTTATAGCTATCTTTAAAGTATTTAAAGAATAAAGATTATACCTATTAGGTAATAAATATAAGATTACTATATATTCTAATTATAAAAATCTTATAAGTCTTACTATAAAAGAAATAAATATCTTTATACAGTAAGAAAAGTATCTTTAACTTATAGCTAAATATAACTTTAAAATTATACTCTATAAAGGATTAGAAAATAATTAAGCAGATGCTCTTAACTATAAAGAAAACCACTTTAAACTAATACTAAAACTTACCTCGCTAATATTTTAAAAAACAGCAGAAGAGTACTATAAATTAATAACTATTAATACCCTTTTTACAATTAAAGATAAAAACCCTATCCTTAATAAAATTAAGGATAAAGTTAGTAATTAAATACTAAACTAATTCCCCGAAAATATAACCCTTATAAAAGGAGTCCTATATTAAAATAAGAAAATCTAAGTATTAAAATTACTACAGAAAGAAGTAATAAAAACAGTTTATAAACATCTACTATATAAATATAAAGGAGTTACTAAGACACTATAATAAATATAATAGTATTATATCTTTATAAGTATAAAAAAAGTTATTAAAGGAATTATTTAATTATATATCTTATATATAAAAACAAAGTCTAGTTAATAAAAACCTTATAGTAAACTATAACTATTACTAGTACTAGAGCACCCTTAAAGCTTTATTTTATTTAATTATATTATTAAGCTACTATTATTAAAAAAGCTAATAATAAATATAATATATAATAGCATCTTTATTATTATTAATAGATTAATAAAACAAGGTATCTTTATTTTATATAAAAAAGGAAGTATAATAGAAGAATTAGGCTATATAATATAAAAATATATAGCCTTAAAACATAGATTACCTATAGAAATTATTTCTAACAGAGGATTAACGTTTATATTTAAGTATTAGTAAAGCGCTATAGTAAAAATAAATATAAACTACAAAGCTAGCACCGCTTACTACCCTTAAATAAATAAATAAATGGAATACACTAACTAAATTATTAAAGTATATTTATAAAGCTATATTAACTTTAATTAAAACAACTAGGTTAAATACTTACCTAATGCAGAATTCTCCTATAATAATTTAGTTTTAGAATTAATAAAGCTTTTACTATTTTACGCTAATAAAGGGTATTACCTATAAGCGTACTAAATACTATAAAAAGGAGAAAATATATAAAAAGCTATACTTAAGGTAAATAAGCTTAAAGAATTACACTAAGAACTATATATGTAACTTAAACTTATATAAAAACGTATAAGGAAATATATAGATAAAAAAAGGCTTAGAGGACTAACCCTTTAGGAAGGAGATATAATTTATTTACTTTAATATACTTAAGGAGAAAAATAAGCTAATATTAAAATAAACAGGCTAAGTAATAAGCTAGATTATAAAAAAGTTAGGCTTTATAAGATTTTAAAGAAAATCAGCGAAGTTAATTATAAACTAGACCTTCTAAAGTAACTAAGTAAATAAAAAAAACTAGTATACCTAATTTTTTATATTTTATTATTAAAAAAAGCATTAATAAATAAAAATATAGGAGAACTTATTAGGGATAAAATTATTATTAAAGGCGAAGAACTTAAATATAAAATTAATAAAATAATATTACTAAAAATAAATAAAGTAATTAGTAAACTCTAATACCTAGTAGAATAAAAAGAATACGATAAAGACGTAGACAGCTAAGAACTAAAAAGTAATTTTAAATACGCTAGTACTACCTTAAAAACCTTTTAAAATAAACTCTGTAAATAACTATAAATAAAATAAAAATAAATATAGGAAAAACTAGAATAACTTATAAAACCTAGGAAGATAATAAAGGAGCACCCTTTAATAAGGTAAGAGGATCTAAACCTAAGAATACTAAATTAGCATTTAAAGAAGGCTACTTAACCCTACTTATAGATTACACCTTGCAAAGAAGCTATACCTCTTTATACTATATATAAGCCAGCTTAGCCTACCTTTCCTCCTCTTCTTAATAATCCGCCTCTTCTATCTCCTTAGTATTTAACCTATAATTTACTATTTCCATACCCCGATTATAAAGTATATAATAAAGCTTCCGAAAATACATTAGACAGGCTAACGCCTTATCTACTAACTTTTATTACTCCGCCTACTAATAACAGCGTTTTATAAGAACCTCCTCTGTAAGTTCCTCCTACTGTTTAAAATAACGAAGCTCCTTAGTAATATAATTTATTATAAAAGTTAGTAAAATAAAACAAAGGAAATACAGTAACCTACAGTTTAATATTAGAGCGTAAAAACTATTATAAAAATAACCTAAGCCGTAGTAATAAGTATAGTTAATAATACCCTTAATTACTATATAATAAATCCTTTTATCTAAGTACTATATATAAGGTACTACTTTAAACCTAAAAAAATAAATAAAATTTAGTTAGGAATTTCGGTAATTATAGAATGTAACTTTAACGGTGCCTTTAGCTTTTTAATATAATTAGGTATAATAATAATTAAGGAGGAAAAATACTTACTTAATAAACAAAGGGGCTATAGTACTTATATAAAATATAAACTAGGCCTTAAGGATAAGACTAACGGGAGGGGAGTATTATATTATAACCTAATAACTTATAGTTGTAACTAGTAGACCTATAGGGTAAGTACTATAGATAAATAACGGTCTACATAAACTAATTAAAATTATATTTACTTTATAAAAAGTAAACACCAGTAAATAATTACCTAATTAAGAAAATATTCACTTCTATAAAAGTAAACATAAGTAAACATTATATTATATATACAACTTCTCTACGCTTATTTAGAATAGTTTAGATAGCTAATTATAAATACAGAATAACGCTTAATTATACTTATAAAGTATTATCTATTAGTTATATAAACAAACCCCTTTATCCTTGTTAATTACCCGCTAGTCCAGCCTAGCCTATCCGCTAACATAAACCTAGTACAAGGTTTGTCCCTTGGGAATTCCTCTTATACTAACACTATAGGAGCTCAGCTTGTCACAAAACGGGATTTCGCAGTCTCCCGCTGATTGAAGCCCCAGATGTTTTCATAATCTTCCAGGAGCAAATTTTCCCAAAATTTTTTATCGTTTTCCTCAGGTGTTTCTGGTCCATCACTGTTACTGAATACGGATCGATGGATATCCTGCATACGACGAGCCAAGACTGCAAGAGTAGACGTTTTGTACTGACCCATTATTAATGGTGCGCCAGCCCGAACATTGATGCGCATCAAAGTCTTGCGTGTCGCGGAGGCAGAGCGGGCAGCCGGTGCTGAAAGCCCCGGTCGAGAGGCCATCAGTCCCCCGAGTCGATCTGCGTCAGACTGGAATAGAGATTCGTCCCATTCTTCTTCCCTTCCACACTCCGCGTCTTCCATCGCCTCATCGTTTGAAAAAACAAAGCTGGATGGCTGTGGGGCCACGGGCTCCAAGAATTTGGAATCTTCTCTTGCTGGGCCGCCATCCATGGTTGTCATATTTCCATGCAGGAAGAGTGTCGCTCACAAGGTATTGAGAACTTCTATGCCAGATCCCTAGAATGGGGCGGCAAGTCGGCAAAGCACGGTGGGGAGGCACACCGTCTGTCAAAAGCCGTGCTCGCGACGCGTTCCAAATTCGAAGCATCTCTGACCAATCACCATGCCCTTGCAAATCGCTTTTCCATATATGGTACCGCACGACTTCATTAATGCGACTGCTGACATATACGCTGTCGCGGGACGTCAACTTGACGAGATCGGGTGGGGTTTCTATTGGAGAGTCAGTTCACTGGACATTGAGCAAATGAGATTCCCGGACAAGACTTGCCTGAGATTCTTTCCCAGACGCTTCTTTCAAGCAGATAGGGGAGAAAGTCCAAAATTCCAATACGGAATTCTCGGTCAATGTTTTGGTCAAAACCCCGTTCGGCAAGGAAGTTGACAAGATGGTAAGACGTCATAGGCTGATCTTCCATTTTTGGAATATGGTAGTATAAATCATGGCTACCCTGCGGAGACTCGACCAGTTTTTCTCGTTCAAGAAAGCTCTTCAGTTCGTAGATTCGGCCGAAGCGACGCTGCCAACAGCGAGTCCTCTTTGTCATCATCCCCGAATCGCGCTGGGCGGACAACGTCTGATGAAGTCTCTTGATGGTTCGTTCATCTCTTTGAATCCCTTGCTCGCTCAACCGAGAGATCAAAAAGGCCCAATCAATGACATGTCCTGCGGGATAAACTTGATCCGCATTATCATTGACAGTCTTAATGAATGTAAGACACTCGGCGAGTGTCAAATTAGCAGTCAGCGATATTCCGAAACGCCTATGATTCTGCTTGATAGGGAGTGCTTGATTCAGACCATAGAAAGGCGAGCACGGCATCTCTTTGGGCCTGAGATCAGATACGAAGTTCGCTCCCCATGCTTCGGCAGTTTGGACAGATTGGGGATTCAGCGTTTCAAGATAGATCATGTCGATTGCCTCCATCAATGTCAAAAGAAAGGGTAGGTGCAATGATGCCTCTTGCGTGTCGTCTCTGGGGAAAGGGAGCGTAGATAATACGCAGTGGAAAACTTCCTCAGTGTCCTCGTGCGAAAGTTTCTTGTAGATCCAACTACGGCGTTCCTTGACCTGAGAATGTTGAAGTCGCTTATGCCGATCGATTTCGTTAAGGTGTCCCCTGGCTCTCAGTTGAATCCCCCAACGAGTGGAGTCGAAACCTGATAACGAGCAGGCTTGGCCAACATAGGCCATTTCGTCATGAGCAGACTCGGCCTTGCAAGGGGCGTGAAGAGCGTAGACACCAATCAGGTTAGGTATCTGGCCAATATCGTCCGCTAGCGACTTGCTCTCAAGTCTACCGACCAGGTGTTTCCAGTCCCTTTGGCCCAAAGCGGCTCGGTTTCGAAAGGACCGCACATGTGAATGGAGCAGAACCATCAAAATGGCGTCTCGTGCAGCACCCGTGTTATTGCTTTGCAACCATCGGAAAAAGGCAGGATCAAATGGCGACGATTTGAGCGTTTCCCACGTATATCTGGCCGTTGCGTTGAATATATAAAAATAAAAATAATAAAGTTTTTTAAAATTATTTATATTATAATTATATTTACTATTATATTTAATTTTATTTTATTAAAACTAAGTAAAAGTATTTTATTTATGCTAAAGGTTTTTTAAAAATATTTTTCTTTTTAAATTAAAAAAAAAATTATAATTTTTTTTTATCTTTAGGCCTAAAGGAGTTATTTATTTTTAATATTAAAAAACTATTATAAATTGTGACAAGCTGAGCTCCTATAGGGTTAGTATAGAAGGGATTCCCAAGGGACAAACCTTATACTAGGTTTATGTTGGCGGATGGGCCAGGCTGGACTAGCAGGCAATCAACAAGGATAAAAGGGTTTGTTCACACAACTAGTAGATAATACTTCGTAGGTATAATCAAGCGTTGTTCTGTATTCACAACTGGCTATCTAAACTATTCTAAACGAGCGTTGTGAAATGAATATATAGTATGAGGCTCACTCGAGCTCACTTCTCTTGGAGTGAGCTAGTTTCCTAAATAGGAAGCGGCTTACTCTGGCTCACTCGCTGTTGCGTGAGCCGTACTATGATTGGTCCTTCGGCCCGTCATAGTTCCGTGGTGCCTACCCTGTAGGCCTATTGTTGCGACCATAATGTGTTGGCTCGTAACAGGAAGCTTAATATACTTGCTTATATAAGGACTATAGGAATAAAAAAATAAACCCATTAGTTACCTAATGATTTATTATCATCTATATCGTCACAAGTACAAGTACTAGCCCGAGTTCTAGACTACTATAGTTTATAAATTATTAGGGTACTACCTAGGTAGCCTTAATATTCGTATGTACTAGAATAGGATGGAGTAGAGGCTGGATTAAAATTCAGGCTGGTACATTGATGTGCTATATACATACATAGCTCTAAGTTTAGACTGGTATAACCACCTATAACAGGCTTCCCATCCATAGTCTGCGGTCGAAGGTGAAACGTCGGTATTGGAACGTCATCATGATGCTGAAAGCCACATTAGAGAACAGAACTCGGGATCATCTTAGAAGGACAAATTTGGTCACAAACCTCATAGTCCGTGCACGCAAAATCAGCGATTATGACGGTACTCCTGCAAGGGCTCTTGTAGAGTTTCAACGCTCGTCAAATGGCAAGCAACTAGGAGACCCGCCAAGGGAAGGAAGAGAATTGTGGATGTAGCAACTGACGCAGCCGGAGAAGACTTGGCAAAGAGAGGAAAGGGAGACGTCTTGCGAATTCTTCTTGGGTCAGATTGTTTTGATACCGTGAAGCAGAAGCTGACGAAGATGGGAGAACAGCTGACTGCTATAGAAGATATGGCGAGGAGTACGGATTTTACCTGGGTCATGTACAAGGGGGTACCCTTTACATGAGTCTGGACCCATGGATTCAACTCCGTATCTCAAAATATGTGCCATAACTCAAGGGCGCTGAGATGTAATATTTTTCTTCCCACCTTCCAAATAATGCCATATGTCTGATACGTGCGTTTCTTTAGCTCTGCTGCTGGGATATCAAGTCAGGATACTCTGCATGGTAGTTGAACACGCGGTTACTCTTTCACGTATACTTCACGAATACACCAAGATGATACCGACAGATTACTATTTCTGTTAGTCAACTGACCATCCTTATTTGGAAATTCGGGTGTCATCAATGAATTCATCTTATGGTATATTGGTTCAACAAGCGGACTTTGCGGTAAATCCGACCAACAAGACTCAATTTTCCCTATATCCGAAGCATGAAACATCGCGAATTTACCATCGTTTGCTTCCTATATTGTACGATGGCGGGGCCGTGATATGCATATATTCTCATGCTCGGCTAGTAACTGATATGATTGGTTGCTCTCTATACCAGACGCTAGATCTCCTCAACAGCCTGACGATATATGCTCTCCCCGATGCTCCATAATGTGATAGAATGTGATAGAAACAGTGGCCCTGGCCCATGCAGCAAGCCAATGCCGGCTCGATCTTGCCGAGGCGGTGTCAAGGCTAAGGAGACATTTCTCACGCTAACATGCTTTTGTCTCGTATTCCCAATTCGGCACACGACAGTTGCTGCTAAAGTATGTAGCGGTTACAAGAACCGTACTGTGTTTATACTTGGCTTACTGTGGTATTGCATATTAGGGATACGATTCGAAGTATACCAGATTAGGCAATGTGGAATGCTCTCGTATGTCCAAAAGACATACGATGTTTGGGAGGAGACTATAGCTAAAGAATAGATATAAGCGAAGGCGTGCGCGTGCCCATGATGAATGCCAGAAGCCTCTCGTAAAGTATCAAGCAACAAACAGACAGAATATCTCGAAGCATTCAATACAAATTCTCTATCACAACACATTCAAACTTTAACAGTCGCTACCATGGGAAAGGCAAACAATCTACCCGGCGCTGCGCCTCCGCCCAAGAGCTTGCTTGCCTACCATCGCCAGCTAGCTCCTTCAGCTGCTGTCAAAGTTAGTCCTCTCTGCCTAGGAGGCATGGGATTTGGAACAGCTTGGGAAGGCAGCATGGGCAGTTGTGACAAGAAGACGTCCTTTGAATTGATGGACTATTTCTACAGCCAGGGAGGCACCTTTATCGATACGTGCGTTGCTGCCCAATTAACCCAAATATCAGCAGATACAGTACTAATCTTGAGTCGTGTCAGTGCGGGCAATTACCAGAACGGAGAATCCGAAGAGATCATTGGCGAGTGGATGGCAACCCGAGGCAATCGAGAAGAGATGATCGTGGCCACAAAGTACACATCCGCTTGGCGCTTGGCTGAAGAAGATACAAAGATTCAGTCAAACTACGGTGGAAATAACAAAAAGTCTTTGGCGGTATCCATCGAGACTAGTCTCAAGAGACTGCAGACATCGTATATTGATCTGGTCAGTGTCCATCTTTTATAGCAGGCGTATCCTTCGTTCATGGATAGAATAGCTAATGTCAACGTTCAACAGTACTATGTCCATACATGGGATTTTACCACAAGCATTACAGAGCTGATGCACTCCCTGCACAATCTCGTTGTTGCCGGCAAAGTTCTCTATCTTGGCATCTCCAACACTCCTGCATGGGTCGTCGCCAAAGCCAACGAGTACGCCCGCCAGAAGGGATTAACTCAATTCTCTGTCTACCAGGGCCATTGGAGTGCGGCTGAGCGAGACATCGAGCGTGATGTTGTCCCCATGTGTCTTGATGAAGGCATTGCCCTCGCTCCCTACGGCGTCTTGGGCATGGGTTACTTCCGCACTTCAGCCCAGCGTGCGGCTGAGAAGGAAGAGGAGAGAGATGGACGCAAGGTCCCTTTCGTCGACAAGCCTCAGAAGACTGCCATGGCTGATGCGCTAGAGAAGATTGCTGTGGCTCGTGGTACAACTATCACCAGCATCGCTTTGGCCTGGGCTCGATTAAAGGCACCGTACGTCTTCCCCATTGTGGGAGGTCGTAAGGTTGAACACCTCAAGTCCAACATTGAGGCGCTGGCAATTGATCTTACAGATGAAGAGAAGGAAGCCATTGAAAGTGCTGTGCCCTTCCACCCCGGATACCCTCAGGAAATATTGGGTGGTCCCAAGGGTGCTGTGTATCCGTCAGACTTATGGACCACGAAGAGAATGGGTAACTTTGACTGGGTATCGCCGCCACAGGTATGTCGATAAAAACTGAGGAAGACATCAGACGAGAAATACTAACAGCACTTATAGGCACCAAAGCCTCATCCTCTTTAAGGGTCTGGCGAGCATGTACTGAGAGGACTTCGCTTTAGCCAATCAACAGTAGACCTCTGCACTTACAGGCGTACTGCACACAGCAAAACACAATTAGATATAGGCTAAACTTACAATTGAATTCACCAACAGATTATTAGTCACCGAGTTTCTTCATCTTGCCGAGTTCATCCCACTACTCTAAAGTTGTCTTATAACTTGATGAATTGCAGCATCACAACGCCATCTTTGCCATACGAGCCTGTAAATGTATGCAACTAAACGAATAGTACTAAAGCGCTAATACACTGTGTTAGTTACTTCTGCTGACCACTTTTTGCCGTATTAGGGTATTTGGGGTCAGCGAGGAGCGAGCGAGCGAAAGCCGCGGGAAGCATATTTAGAGAGATCTTTAAGACAATCTCTCAAAGTTCCTTTTCCGCAAATCATCTACTCTCAGAAGCAATTCCATATAATTACTCATAGCAATGCCTCCTGACGGAAATTTCGGCGTTTTCGCAATCTCCAAGACGGGCGAGAGCCAAATACTTGCAGCTCCACGAGTGGATGATCTTGGTCGAGAACCACGGCAACGGAAACGACACGCAAAGTCTCGCGCTGGATGCTTGTCATGCAAATCTTCTAGAGTCAAGGTACGACTAAGAATATGCCAATCTCAACTAATACTTCTACAATGACGGATTGGGAAGAAGATGGACATGCCTCTGATGAGTCTGCAGTGTGATGAGATTCGACCTGCCTGCGCGAGATGCGCTGCTAGGAATATACCTTGCCAATATGAGTTCAGCATCATGTCTATGTTGCCAAAATTCTCAAGACAACAACTCCATCATCAGAGATTCGGGGCGGGCTCCGTTCCCAAGTCACTCGGGCTCGGTCTCGATCTGCCCAGTCTACGGCTTATGCATCACTTTGATCACTACACATCGCCAACCTTAGCCTTCGGTAGTTTAGTATGGAGAGATGGAGTGCTTCCTGTGGCATTGAATGTTTGTTATTAAGCTGCGAAAGCCCTTTTTACGATCCAATAGTACTGACGCTGTCTAGAATGAAGTTGTCATGCACGCCGTCCTGATGATCTCGGCAGCTCACCAGCGAAGTCTTTCGCCCCACAACGCTGAACATAACAAGTCAATGTCATACCATCTGGATCTTACCCTCTCTGGGTTCAGAGAACTTTTATCGCAAGGCACGGATGGTTTCAATCATGACATTATTATCGCTTGTGCTATGCTTCTCGTGCACTATGCTTGGTCCATGCCGTTCTTTGCATATGAAGATGACAAGATCGACATGACCAGTGAGCCCGATAGACTGCTCAAGTTTGCAGCTGGTCTCAAAACGGTCATGAAGACCATGAAGGAAGACAAGAGGTACACAAACGGCATCTTCAAGGCCCCCATGTCCTATAACAGCATCGACCAGTTTCGACAATTTGAAGAATCGCTGGCAGAGACCTTTGTCTTTGACTATATCTTTTTCAGTGCGCGAACTATGCCTTTGACCAACTATGATGGATGCTGTATAGAAGGTCAAGACTTCAACGCCTGCGATCGACTGACGCCGCTTCTCAGAACCATGGATGCCGTATCCAAGGGCCGAGTCATTCACCATTTGATACCGCAGATACAGGTGTATACTCTCTTCTGGCCTGCCAAAGCATCCAAAGATTTTGAAGAAGACGTGGCGGATAACAAGACTGAGGCTCTTGTCATCATGCTCTGCTTTTATGCCACTGCTTGGCGGCTTCTGTCAGAGGATGTTTGGTGGGCTAAATCTCGCACAAAGGTCATGTGTGAGTCTATCTATCAATATTTGGATAATAATAAAGATCCAATATGGGAGGGAGATATTGAGAATGTTCGCCGCTATTTTGGATTCGCACAGAATAGCGCTGGCAAGTGGGTAATCGGAAGTCCGGGATCTCGTTTTGCTGAGATATGAATGAATGGGGAACTTGGTTGTCAAATAGCTTTAAACGGAAGAGAAATATCTAGATCCTTCAATTGGATAATATTAATTGAACATGCGTACTTTAACAGATCTTGCCCGAGCAGAATTCCGCGAGGAACTAACGAGTCAGTAGAGGCAAAAACAAAAAATAATGCGACCACGCCAGGAGTCGAACCTGGAATCTCTAGAGAAGGTGATTGCAACCGAAATCTAGCGCCTTAGCCATTAGGCCACGCGGCCAACTGAACATGTATTGGTTGGATGAAATTGAAGTCTATAGAGTAAGTCGACAATGCAAGCATCATCCAGCCGCCATGCGATACAGAAGCAGCTGAGATGCTATCACGAAGGCAATCAACTTGTCGCTCTGACAATTTATCTGTACTTTGTCAGAGGTGGTATTGTTGTACTTCGGTTCAGTTCTCGGGTTGGTACAAAAAAGAGGCCGGAGATAAAACCGTCGTCGATTGCCCGATCCGGTATTGACGGTTACAGGAAGTTGTAGATCCTGCGGCTGTAGCTTTGTTAAAAATCTTCCTTAGTTTCATGGGATGAGGAGACTCGATAATGGAATGCTTTGTGGTGATTAAAAAAGATCTCATCATGTTTCTATTCTACATTCAGCTTCAGACGCACATGTTACATACAATACATACACCATCAACACCGGCAGATACTAAAATTACAAGTATAAATATATCCAAACATCACCAAAAGAAGAAGTATACATCGAAAAAAATTATTCCCTTGTCTATTTCAGTTGTCATCCTTGACTCATAGATTCATGTCCAGTAGACGTTTCTCAATGGTCCTCTACATTCTCATCTCTCCCCGGATACATGATATCTTGAACAACAACTGCTCGGGCGTGGTTGTACAAGACAAAGATGAATATGACGAGCATGCAGACACTCATTCCTGTTGTGACCCACTGAAAGCTTGCGCTTATCAGCTCCTTGGCGATAGAGATTGTCGCCAGCGTAAAGCCTGTGTTGGGAAACACCATAGCCCACCAGCCAAGGTGAAAGTATTTGGGGGGTGACGAAACCACAGCAACGACGGCAATGCCAAACCACCAAAAGCTAAGGGCCCAGAGAGAGATCGCTACTAGAACGGCCACTACCTTGATGACACTCTTGTCAATGGCCAGCTCTTCAACGCTGTCTGGGACACCATTCGCCATGCCGATTAAGGCCAAGGCAGTGAAAGATGGTGGACCAACACACATGAAAAGGCCAGGTCGGTGCTCTCGGTTAGGAAGACCAGATTGGATCAACCTTCCAATCATATGGGCGTACATTAATACGGCCACTGACATTCCAAGGCCTTGGCACGTAAGTCCAGCAACTAGAATCGGCATGGCTGCGATTTCAGGCTGCGTTGCCGCAATGACGGATGCAATCGTTCCCGAGAGCATGATGGGAAAGATTGGCAAGATCAAGGTCGGCATAAAGTTCTGCAAGCTGAGGTGATGAGCCGCAAAGACGTAACTGTATTGGCCGATGGCCAGCACTGATGTCAAAGCGACATACACCCAAAAAGCAGCTTGTATGACCCATTCTAGTACGACGTGATCATCTGGTATGGCGTATCGTTGTGTACTTGTAATGATTGTGGCGATGGAGAGAAAAAAGGTTGGGAAGAAAAAACCTTCCCTTGGGTGGGTAAGTGACCGAACCAGCTCACCGGTGTGTAGTAAGAAGCGAGCAGTCATAGTCATTGTGATGAGTGAAAATATTATGATGTTGATGATGTAAACGACTAAGCCCACAGTCTTCAGACCAGTGAACTGATTGGGTTGTGCGAATATGAGCAAGGAGAGACCACCAGTGCTCATGGGGAAAGTATACCAAGCCCAGGTGAAGTGTTGAAGTCTCTGTCGAATAGGTAGTTTCGGCCGGTTCGGGTCATAGATGTCAATGGTTTGAGATAAGTGTTTTTTCTCGCTGACTGTATGTTCCTCGTCATCGGGGACGGGAGTGTTCGTTCGTGTGACATCGCCAGAGAAGGATCGTGTGTGGTTACTGAAGCTGGATTCAAGTCGCCCACCCTCAACATCGTCGTTGTCAGAAGGAACGAATTGTCTTGAGAGTTCCCGTCCGTTTGGTTCATATATCTCAGGAGTGGGCAAGCTATCCCAGGCTTGAGAGGGCGATAGATGAGCCATGCTGGGTAGCGTAGTGCAAGTATGAGGTTAGACAAAGACCGAAAGGGTAGGACTCGCTAAAAAAGATGTCTAGAATAATAGAAACTTCTGTCTGCCAGGCCTCGAATATGTTGGACACCTTCATATCTAAGTACTCGAATCACTCCAGCCCGGCTCCGTTTGCTTTGGCCCAGGGACGAAACCCAAGCCCCCGGTGACTCCCTGATAGTGCCCCATAGACCATATGGCTGCGCACAAAAAGCTGACGCAACAAGCGTGAGGCCAAGAGGTCGCAATCAAGTTTATCCTCTACCAAGAATGTCTCATTTCGATAAGTTTGCTGGCGGCAACAAGCTACATCGGCTATTCCGCTGGAGCTCTGCCATGTATCAAGTATCGCGACCCATGTAAGTCGGGGCTTCGCAGACCCGGGCCTGGTGCCGGCACTTGCGCCGCCCTTAAAAGCCGATCCCACTAATCGGCAGCAGAGTAGGAGATGGTATGTTGGGTATCAATTCCATTAGCGAGACGGCCTGCTAGGAGACTTTCAGGGGTTGTGTGATCTGCAAGGCAGAACTGGTATCCGTACTCTGCATCAACAACGAGTTGGACATCCGCAAACCCCTTTGCCACCCTGTCATGGACCGGACAGGGATTTCTAACGTTGATAACGGACCAACGAAATGGTAAAACTGCACGTATCCGTACCCTATCATGGTTCTTCAGCGTGCTGGAGCCGGGGTCTACTCCAGTAAATTCCATCTGCGGTGAGGCTAATTGCTTTGACAGGTATGGTTTGATTCAATGTGGTCCCATTATTGGGCATCTGCGCCAAGACATGACATTTTACCCAATATCCATGAACAACGCAAGTCAAAGCGCAAAATCTATAGCCACCCTAGGTCTTGTAACGCAAACTCGTCGATCCATGGAGCAATCTAGTCATACGTGAAATATCCACATTATAAACTTGGCAGTTAGAAATTGCGACGCGTTTTAGAACAATTATGCTTGAGAGAAACTCTCGAACCGTAGCACTGGGGTAGTGGGGGCAAATGGTGAGCCCTGGCATTATAAGCGGAAGCCTGCAGATTCTCGGTCGGCCGAGGACACATGCATCGGCAATGCCAAACAATGAACTGTTTGCAGCTCGTAAGAATGGCCACTTAGAGAGAAAGATTCTGCCTGCTCTACTTGTGTGTATGTAATTGGCAGCCGTCTCTTGGCAAGCCGGGATCCCGGGAACTCGAACTGAACTGCGGAGCTGTAATGAAACTCGAGTCCGAGTCCACGGATAATCCGGGAATATACAAACAAAGCAAGTATGTACTTTTTCATGATTGAATTTACTATCGTCGTGCAGCTTATAGATCCAATGTCTTGGTTGCGCTCAGGACATGAGGCTGTAAGGGTGCAGCTGAGACAGATTGCTCGTAAAAACGAGAAGATCCGAGGTAGTTTTGTAAGTGCAGTCAAGGGTCTTGAGTCAAGCATATTGTTGGAAGCAGCTTTTACTCCCAGTTAGCGCGCGATAGAATGAGACAATCGACCAAACACTGCCTCTTTGCATTGCCCACTCAATTCGACTAGGTATTATGAATGTGAGACCAGCAACTGATGCGCTTCTGTCCAGTCATTTTGTGTCTACGGCATGTTTAGCTCGGCAGTTGACAACCCTGCTGTATATCCCGAGGAATCAACCTTGCATTTACTGCCGGATAAAGTTAAGAAATAGCATAGTTGAAACGCAGAGCGCCTCGCAGTCCAGCGATTCTGCCATTGTTTCATCCAAAAATAGACGACGGACGTCTAGAGATCTGACGCGGCTTGGGCTTGGCAACTCTAATTTCGATGTACGGATCTGCATAGGCTATCTCGACTTAGTGCTGTCGTATAAAAGTCTTATCGCCAAGCGACTCTGCTCAGCCTCTGCAGAATTACGCATCACCATACCAACGGAAAGGGGGTGGTTGATATGTGACGAGCATTTGTATCATTGCCCTTGTCCATGTGTGCAGTGGAGCAAATCTTGATAACGAACGTGGGAAATTAGGTAAAACATTCAAGAGTTTGACTTTAGTTTCGATTCCTTTTTTTTTTTTTTTTGATCTCATCCTCTCTGCCAACACCTCTTGCATACACTTGCTATATATAGAAGGCACCTTTAATGGTATAGAAAGAGTTCTATTTTCGATGAGTGGCGTAAGAAGTGTTTCTATCCTACAACAGGATCTCGACATATCTATCTGATACGTCTTCGACATCAATATTGTATCGTCTACATTAATCGCAACGCTGATCATAGCCATCATATCATCATATACGCCAACTTCCTAAGTGCTCATCTCATACTTGCTTCTCGCCCTCAGCTTCTCCCCATACGCCCTAAAGAACCAAGGAATCGGTGCCATCCCCAATGTCACAAAGCCCAGAATGCTCGTAGCCCATCCCGCCCCAAAGTTCTCGTACATTTGTAACGCAAAGAGAGGAAACACAGCAGACAGCAAGTAACGGGTGAACATCATGGATCCTGATGCGGACGCTCCATATAGTGGACCATACGCATCCAGCATGAAGAGATTGGCGCCCGCATAGACGAGAAGAGATGACAGCATAACAAGACCTTGGAAAATGATTGGCACAATCCAGTGCACGTGGTAATGCACCGTCCAGCCAACAATGAAGAGACAGATTGGCAGCATAATGCTTCCAATCAGTGCCGACATGAGACGATTCTCCGAAGGCAGTGGCTCATCGTCATCATGATGAAGCTGCCACTCTGTCAAACGCTTTTGGTAAGAGAAGAGATCGATCAGAATCAGGGGCGCTGCTGCAAGAGCTGTGCCGCACATCAACCCCAAATACGACAACGGCTCACTCTCCGCCGACCACCCATAGTAGTGCCTGAATATCCACGGCACAGACACGACAAACGTGTACAAAAGACCAAACAAGAAGCCGTTATACACGCTTACTAGTGTGACAATTGGCTCCGTAAATAACATGTGCAGAGGCCGCTGGATCAGAGTCGTGAAGAAGTATCTAAACGCTCGCCCCGGTGACGTTCTCTGAGATGCCGAGTCACGCAATCCTAGACGCGTAGCCCGTCGTTTGAGAATCACCTTCTTGTACGTCTCGCGAGTGAAGCACACAGGGATGTAAAACGCAACCGTAATGAAGATGGAGATCCACTGCGTCCATTGCCACGGCTTGACAAGCAGGACAAACCCTCCAATCAAGGGCCCAAAAGCAGCACCAAACGACGGCACAGCATAGTAACCCCCCAGACTGACACCCCGATACCGCGGCGGCGTAAAGTCGAGCAGCGTGGCCGGCGCATTGTTGATCAGGGGTGAGGCAAACACGCCAGCAAAGAAGCGGCAGGCCGTTAACCCAGCTATTGAGCGACTGAAACCGGCTCCGAGCATGAACAGCACAAAGACTGGGGTCGAGAGCATGAAGACAGATTTACGGCCGTATGTCTCTGAAAGTGGTGCGCCGACCATGGGCCCAAAGGCAAGCCCCAGATTGTACAGCGAAAGGGGCAGGACAGCGACAATGCGGCTGCAGTGGAGGGACGAAGCGACTGCGTCTTGTGCGGGCGCATACATTGATCCAGCCACGGTTCCAATCATGGCCAGCATGGTGATGGCAATGGTGCTGAAGATGCGTAAAGCGGCTGAGAAGTTGCGAGGGTTGTCTGGGTCATCGGGGCCGGACCAGTCGTAGGCAGCGTTGATGGTAGGGGGTAGGACGATGTTAGGCTCTTCATACAGATCCTGCTCCTGACGCTGGCCCTTTTTCTCATTTTGTCGATAGTCATCCGCTGAATTTGGTGTATCGTCAATGGGTACTTGCGACATCGTTTCGTCTCGTGGATCATGGGACGGCGGTGAGCGATAAATCGTGTCCTCCATATTGTAGGTCGATTGCCTTAAGCCACCTCTTATCAATCTGGGGCAACCGCTGTAGAATCTCTCATCGGTTTCGTAACGACACTCTGGAACTCATATCCGACCCAGTATATGATTTTCCCCCCTCACTTTGTCCCGCAATATGTTCTTTCTTTGAGCGCATACCATACCAAACCATACAACCGCCCAACGCACATGCACTCGATGACGAAGAGTAATACAGCGATGAGTGGGAAAAAAGAAAAGGTTCTTATAAATAAAGAGAGAAAACGGGAGGGATCTGCGTCCTTTTGCATTAGCAACCAGAATACAGAAACAGGGCTCTTACCACGCCGATAAATCATCGGGATCAAGTACCGAATTCCCGGCGCAAAATCGTCAACTCTCCGCATCCGGCTTCGGCGCCCCAGAAAATTAACCCCGGACTCTGACAACTCTGCCTAAACCAGTCAAATTAGCCGTGATTTTCTTTTCTTTTCGACTTGTCGCAAAGCCAAATCGCTGTTTACGTAAATGAATGCCAACTTGCAAAGATGGAACATGTAAAGTCATAGATGAGGTTTATGGTATGGAGAGAGAAGAGGAATTTTTGAAATGATTCATTATATATATATTAGGTATCATATATTGCTACACTTATTTTTGGTATCATATCCCAGACCCTGCTAGAAAGCATCACACATATCTGTACGTCAAAAGAAAAAGAGAAATTTAAGGCTCTTCGTCGGCCTCCTTGCCCAGACCAGGTTGGTTCTGGCCAATGAACTCGGACTTCTTGAGCATGTTCCACTTGTCCTCGTCGGAGTCGAGGTGTCGGAAGCAGAACCAGAAGGCAGCACCACCAACGAAGGCAATGCAGGCGACAGCGGTGTAGTTCCAGACCAGCAGAGGGTCATCGGACAGAGGAGTGAAGGCCTCGCCAATAGCGGCAGAGATGGCGCTCATGAACAGGTTGACAGACATGACGAGAGACTTCATGTTCTCGGGGGCTTTGGAGTAGGCATACTCGTAGGAGGTGACGTTGGCGAAGATTTCGGCGAAACCAATCAGGATGTAGGGCAAGCACTGGGCCCAGACATTGATAGGAGCAGGAGGGCAGAGCTCCTCTTCGCCGTCGACGATGATGGTGCCGTTGGCGTGATCACCGCAAGGGCTCATCTTGTAGATGTAGTGCTGCATGACGGCAGAGGCAACCATGGAAAGAGAGGCAATGAAGAAACCAGTGGTCATACGCTTGATGGGGGTGAAAGCAACGCCGATCTTGCGGAGACCAGGGTACAGGAGGTGGTCGATGAGGGGAATCATGATGACAATGGAGATGGGGTTCAGGTTCTGGATAATGTCGTTGGGGACACCGTGCAGCTCCATGGTACCAGCTTGGATGGTCAGGTTACCAGTCATCTGGTTGTAGGCCAGGAAGAAGACGGGCAGGAAGAGGAAGACCTTGCAGGCCATGAGACCACGGCGGACCTCATCAACCCAGGCATCGTCGTAGGTCATCCACTTGGGTCGGTCAGAGATGGCGATGCGAGAGGGGCGAACAACATCCCAGTCGATCTTGAAAAAGCCCTTTGACCTCTTGCGGGCATAGAAGAACATCTGCATGAACTTCTGGAGCAGGGAGCCGGTAGGAGGCTGCAGGCGGTAGTTCTTCTTCTGGCTCCACAGGACGACGGGGGCGAGGAGGAACATGCCGGTAGGGATGAGGAAAGCAACCCAGAAACCGACGTACTTCTCGACGTAGACCATGGCAATCTGACCGGCAAGAGATCCGATGTTGATGGCAAAGTAGAAGTAGAGGAAGATACGGGTGTTGGTGACAGCAGGGTCGATGATGACCTTCTCGCCAGAGGCAAGGGTCTCGACGCGCATGCGTCTATCTTCGTTCTGATCGGCAAGGAGGGGAGAGACGTTGGCCTTGAAGAAACCAGTACCAACGCAGAGGCAGATGAGACCAATGATGAAGGCGGCGAAAGCGCTGTCCTTCTTCACGATAACACCAGGGGCGGCAGAGGCGACGAGAATAACGTGGGCAATGGTAGAGATACCAATGGCAAGGTGAAGAGTCCAGAAACGACCCATGCGAGCATCAGCAATCCAGGCACTGTTTGTGACGTGTAAGTAACCCAACATTTGCACAGCAGAGCAGAGAAGAGTCAAAAGCTTACCCGACGAGAGGCATGATGTAGGCGAAGAACTGGTTGAACAAGCTGATACCCTGAGCAGCCTTGGGACCCATTCCCAGGGCACCGGGGCGGCCATCAGGGGCGGAACCAGTGGTTGATCCCGGAGGAAGAGGGCGGTTCACAAAGTTTGTGTACAGGACGGAAGATCCGTAGTAGGAGAAACGCTCGCAAAGCTCAACGAAGGCAATGGTGTACATGCTCCACTTGATCTTTCCAGAGACACGGCGCAGAGTGCGCAGCTCTTCCTCGGTAGGGAAGTCATCGTAGTCCTCGTCGCCTCGGACGTCGATAGCGTGAGGGGTCTTGTCGTCAAAGCCAGCCGCGCGGTGGTCGGCCTCGGCAATGACATCAACGTCGAGGTTGGCGGCGTTGCTCATGGTGAAGGTAGGTTGAAGGGAACCTGGCGAGCTTCTAAGTGGCTCGAATTGACGACCCAGCAAATGAAGTGGGCAAGAGACGGATGGGCTTCACAGCACAAGGAGAAGGAAAGGGAAGCCATTGAGTGTGAGGCCAAAGGGTTCACTTATATAGAAAACCCGAGTCAATGGGGTTGAGACGATTAGCCGGCTGCGGAACAGGTACCCCAAACCATGCCATGTGCTGACCTGGCCTTTTTCGACCCCGTATCGTATCTTGCTCTCCTGGTGTGGAGGCGAAAACGAGGCTTGCGAGGTTAACCTTGTTGCTAGTGTTAGTTGCTCCCGCACCACAGGCAACACGCCAAACACACCACATCAACGCCGGTCGATATGCTCTCGGGCCAAGACTAGCAGCCGCCGGAGGGCGATACCACTTCAGGCGTGGCCGGTGGCAACTAAACAAAAGATCCCGGACCAATGCCGGGGCCACCAGGCAAGAAAGGTCCAAGTGGAGGTGGCGAGACGCCAGATTGATAGTGAAGAGGTGTGGGATTTACACGAGCTAATGCGGAGCGCATGGCATGGCGAATTGCCCGGATTGATACTTGTCGATTGGGGCCACTGACCGCCAGCATCGCCATGATTCCCTCTCGTCTCGCCAAGGATGCTTGCACCCTTACTGTCTGACTGTGTCCCCCACAATGTAACGACGCCTGCAACCCAACGCTGTCCCCTCGGTTAGTTTAGACTCACATGCCGTTGTTGGTTCCACGGCTGATCCTGATCGAGGCTGTGTGGCCTCGTCCTGTCCGAGGCCCCAGCCTAGATCTCTGCTACACGCAGGAACAGGCGAGGCAAAGGCGATGCATCAATGCCGGCAAGGCTCTCTCGCTCATGCTCCCAAAACGACCCGGCGAGTTGGCGCCAGACTAGCTGCCTAGCACCAGTTCCAGGTTCGTCGACGCAGAGAAAAGCAATGGATCTCCTTGGGGGAAGCACACGACAAGCCATGTGATGGCGGCGGGGCAGCGACAGATAGCCTGCTTGGCATCTAAGCGATGACACAGATATTGAGCCTGGCGAATAATCGCCATCTTATTTCTTGGCTGATGTCGCCGAGATCGATTACCTGCGAGTCTTCTGAAAAACAAGCATCCGCAAGCGTTGTGACCCCCAGCATGGATTCGGGACGCATGCGATCGCCATGTTTGCTGAGCCAACCCGTACTCGTATGGTTGCATGCTGCAGACTTTTTTTTTTCCGTGTAACCAAAACCTTAAACTTGTTATGCTTTTTTTCTTCTTTCTTTTCGGCCGGGTCCGGCAATGGCAAAAACACCACGGGAAATTCGCCGTAAGCATGGCCAGGATGGGCCCCTAGGCTGCTCCGGGCATGGTGAGCGAACGGCTTTCGACTCAATCATGCACAGGCGCCACTCTGCAAAAGTCCCTTGTCCCCATCCTCAGGATGCCGCGGCCAATGGCATCGCCGGTATTCTCTTTAAGCTTGCTGGCTGACAGGGTCGACATGCGACGCTCCACAGATACCGGAGGGTCCCCCGTCGCTTTCTAATTTCAAGCGTAAAGCTCAAATACCAAGGTTACTTTTAAGAACGGTGCGTTGCTCCATAAGAACATTCCAACGACTAATGGCAATGGCACACCGAGCCTCGACGGAATTACTCGTAATGTGTATTAGTCCATGTATCAGCATTCCAGCCCCCCATTGGTCTGGACTCCGGGAGGGCTCCGAAGCACGCAATCAGCGGCAGAGTCGAAAAAGGCGGCTAAGAGTCATTCGGCCGGGAAAGGAGAAGCAAAAAAAGAAACTTTGAATCAACCAACAATGCTGATGCTTTGCTAGTACTGGCTACGCTCTTTGTTCCTGGAACGCCTCAGCAGGAATTTGCCGTTGGTCTAAGCCCAAGAGCGGGTGGCGTGACGGAGTGCAGCCCAAAAGGGGAACCAATGCTGGCAATCTCATCCATTGGCTTTTTTGAGGGGGGCCAGGGCAACAGTGTGTGGTCAAAATAGCCGCTCCCAGCTGCGTGGCGGCCAGTCTAAGGATGCACGATGGGAAGCCATGTCCATGTGGCTTTCGCAAAAGTCCGCTGCCAAGGGCATTTGGCGATACATGTGGTTTAGTCTAAGAGCGCTACTGTGCTCATCGCGATCGACTCTTTGCAGCATCACCATCACCACTCGTGGCAGTGAGGAGAAGGGCAGACCGTCCCTTAGGCCTCTCCAATCCGATGGATGCAACCCTTTACCGACATCCCCGAGGCCCACCACCTAGTCATGACAAGTTTCTCGTTGCACATGTTTATCTCAAGAATCATACGGGGTTTTGTGGGGCGTTTGCCACTGAATTCAAAACTTCTCGTAATGGCACGCTTTGTGTCAATCTTGTGATGGGGATGAAAAGCAATCTGTTAGTCAAGATATTGGGGAATATCTGGGGAGAGACCGAGCTTCACCCAGTGTCCTGGATTTTGACGTCGAGTTGAGCCAAGAAATCTAGATTACCCCATACGGGGTAAAGTTCGTGTTTTCTTCAGCCAGTACCTGTCAGCATCAGTCATTGTGATGATGCTACGGATACAAGAACCCGTGTTCTCGTCGCAAACTCCTTCTGGCCTACAGGATGGTAAAAAAAGGCTATTTGGCTAGCGTACGGCGGCCAGAGACGGCTAACCATGGCATGTCGTTGAATTTGGGGTCTGAAAGGATTCCGCAGGTTGAGATCGAGACAAGGGGTCCGTTTTGGACACATTCAGCCGCACCCTCTACCTGAAAAGAGTCCATGTCATTTGGCTGTTACATGACATTGTCAGCTGTTACAGCCTGGTGGGCGCATCATCGTCCTGCCTTATCAAGGCCAGCCAGTTGCTCATTGGTGCTAGCCGGATGCTTTATCACTTGGCAAAGCCCGCCTTGACTCTCATACGAAGGAACTCATTAGCCATCTTAATTCAGTACGAGTACGGATGACCCGTTCCAAGCACTTGCATGTAACAGTTAATATCAGCCCGTTGACCACCACCTTTCCGAACGTGGCCATTACAGAAAGCCGCGCCAAGGGCCTCAAGCGTCTAAGTGGGGGGAGGCTGACCAGACCTCAGCTGCTTCTGGCCAAGTCGCTCGGCCATTTGTTGTCCTCTAAGAACGCCACGAATGGAAAGCTTCGATAACATTTCTAGGCATGTCCGGGGTGCACGAAGAAGCGGGGATAGCGCATTTTGCTTGGTTGGAATATCCGTACAATGTTGGATGGCGGAAAGGCAACGCCGTCTTTCTCTCTGAGGCGTCCCCGAGGACGAAGCCAACGAAAGGTGGCGGTTCGCCGAACATTCGAACTTTGCCCCATTGTCACCCTTTCCGATCTGACCAGTGAGAGGGCCGAGGCGCGAGCACACCTTTAACTCAGCTGAAAGTCTAACGGTAGTTGCGAGGGAAAATTCTGCTCGTGGCTGGAGCCACCTTGTTAATTGTTGTCTCAGTCAACTAACGCCCGCGACAAGTCTTTGAAACCACTTCATCAGCTTGATAAAACCTCAAAACAACTACGCTTTCCCTTCTTCGATACCCATCTCCGTTAGCAATACGGTTGGCTCCACAGCTCACTTCTTGGCATTTGGAGGTGAGTCTTGGTAAAATGTGATGAATGCACGGCACCACTTCTTCACGACATTAGCGTCTTGGAATACCACATGAGCATAACGCGAGAAGGAGCATGAAATTTGGCTCGGAGATGTCATTTGATATGCGCAATGCGAGCTTGAAACAGCCAACAGTTGCCGAAGGATTGACATTGCAGGCGATGCGTCTGGCAAATTTCCAGAATCCAACACCAAGTGACGTTGACTTTATCGAGCAATGCAGCTACCACTGCCGAGTTGCCTTTTCTGAATCACCCACCAAATGAGGCAGCATGGGTGACATTCTGCACTCCTTTTCAGCTGCATCTTCGGCGGACTTTAGTACGAAAAGCCGACACCGTTTCTCTGGCTGGTGTTTAATCCCGAGAGAAACCACAACTCCGGTCATTGTCGGACTTGATCCGGCAGCCTTTGCAGAAGCCCAATACCAGTACGGAGTAGTACTTCGGACTTCATAAAATATTCCATGTTGACCACATAATCCAGCTCCTAGAGACAGTCCTTCCCCGCCGTCTGTGGAGCGACAGACAAGAACCGCGCCTTTACTCCAGTCATCATTGACAGGAAGTATGACGGCTGCCCAATTTCCGGCGGTGTTGCCACCTCCACATCGAATCGTTCGAATAGGGCTGATACGACTTTATATACGACCATTTCGGCCAAGTTCTTCCCCGGACAAGTCCTCGGTCCGCCGCCCCAGTTGAGACTGTATCGGTCCATGAGGCGAATGTCAAAGATCTCGCCACCGAGCCAGCGGTCCGGATTGTAGGCATCTGGATCTGGTCCTATCACGACGTTTGCATTTCGATGCAACGCCACGGGGTTGCACCCGACTGTCGTGCCTCCCGGGATGAAGTAGCCGTGAATATGTGAGCCCATATCAGGAACACGGCGAGGAAGCGACATGCTCAGGACCGGGTGGAGGCGCATAGCCTCTCTTATTGCTGCACGCGTATATTGCAGCTGGTTTGTACCTACATATGACAAAGAATCCACGGCATCCCGTATCTCTTGCTTTACTCTCTTCTGCACGCCGTCATTTGTGCCAATCATGGTGAAAATTGATGTCAAAGTCGATGCCATTGTCTCATGTCCCGCTCCAAAATTGGTCACGGCCATTTTCCTGAGATAGCTCTCGGTGAAATCTGGCTTGTCTTTATGAAGTTGGATGAGATCCGCCAGCAGATCTGCTCGGTTATCTTTAGGGGCATTTGGTTTCAATGTAGACTTGATTCTTCGAGAGATTCGCTTCCCCACATCCTAGTCTCCAAGTAAGTAAGAGTCTATTGAGGGGAGGCTCAGTGGTGTAACAACTCACAGGAAAGAAGGACCTGAAGTTGGGCGTAGCAACGTACTTCAGGTCCCAGACATCCCTGAATATCCACTCAAAGAGATTCGACCGCATTGTCAATTTGGTCAGAGTTGGGAAAAGACCCATGACGCTCTTCCTTCTCCAGCCAAGGTAACTATGGGCGCTGGATCCCCAGTCTGTTCCCGCTTTGAGCAACCCTGGGGACCACGAGATGACTGAAGCTCCAAGACACTCCACGGCGATGATGTGCATCCACTCCTTCAAGTCTATCTCAGCACCATCGAGGGTTTCCAGTCGGGCAATCGCCTGCTTGATAACATCGTCGACTGCTGCTTCGAACTTGGCCACATTAGCCGTTTGGTAAACTCGTCCAATCAGTCGTCTTTGAAGACGGTAGCGCTTCATGTCTCGCTCTGAAAGTAGATCCAAGCTATCGACAAAATGAGGTCGCAAGAAGCAATCGATCTTGGGCGTATTCAAGCTGGTTGCCACTATAGCTGCCCATTAGCACACGATTACCATCACATTCCGGCCCAACATACAATAAAAGTCCGTCTTTTCGAATCCCTTTGTGCTGCCTTTGAGAATCATCAGCCTCTAGATGTCAAAGTATAAGTAGCATCCAAACATCCTTTACGTACTGTAAATCTTGTCAAAGGCTTCTGGGCTGTTGAACCACAGTTCATTCGGGCCAACCCGCACAACTTCGCCATACTTCTGGTGCAGAGTCCGGCCCAGTTCAAACATCCGTCCATTTCGAGCGTGATATGCATGCCATATGTTGGAAACGGCAGCAAGCCTCGGACCAGGGGCTCGTGAAAGCGGGTGAAGAAAAAGCCTATAAAACACAATGGTTGAGATGCTCAAGAGCAGTAAACCAATGCCGTAACACAGAGCCCAGATGGAAGCCCATATCAACCCGGACCCCATTTCCCATCCATAGCACATTCAACTGATTAAAGAGCGAGACAATAGTCAGTCGAGATGTCCCATGGCTCGCCTGTCTGTTTTGTTTCTTTTGCAGGACTTATTTTTAGAGGCAAAGCTGTGGAAAGCTTCATCTTTAGGCCCAATTTTCTGCTGAGTAATCATTGTGGGCTAATTCGCCAGTTGAAATTTTGGTGATCGCTGCAGGGTAGGTGTTAGCGCCATTCATCACAACAATTCACTGGAATGGAGAATCGAAAAAAAGAAAGGGTATATTAATTTGAGGTGTAGTTGCTTTCAACGTTTACTTTGTGCTGGCTTGAAGCCGGCTGTGCCGTCCTTGAACCTTGTTGTTCGGGCCTTTTTGCATATATATTTTGAGTTTGGTCTTGAACCTTCATCAGTCATACTTTGTGGCCTGAATCTTCGAGGCTTGACATTGAATGTGGGTATTGTTCAAGGGTTATTGGAGCTTCTCAGGTAAAATATGACGAATAGCATTGAGTCCAGACTTACATAAATATTACAATTAACAAACAATTCCAGGAGCAGAGAATAATTCCTATCGCAAATCGACTTTAGAGCAATCGTCGCCCATTACAACTAAATACATGTAGCTACTTCACCACGATCACCGGAGTTGCAAAGAGTTGATGATCAATCTGTATGATAATATTAAAAAGTATCTATGTAAATCGTTGCAATGCTAAGTATGTGCATTTTTGGCATGCTTTTAATCTAAGAGAAATGAGTATCTCGACGAACAGCACTCCTTGAAAGTTTCTCTGGCGTCTTCCGTCATTTTATTCCGTCATTCCATCACTGAGAAGTTTCTTCCTTCTTCTTCTGTTTGCGTTCTTCCTTTGCCTTCTTCTCAGCCCTCCAAGGAATGCCCTTTACCATGATCAGCATCAATGGCAAGGCGCAGGCACCGTAAATGAGACCAAGCATAGTAAAGGTCCAGCCTACACCAATGGCGTTTATCAAGGGAACGATAGCCGCACTGGCTCCAGCCCCAACCAGGCACCGAGTAAAGTTGTTTGCAGCGGTCGCAGTGCCGGCCTTTCCAGGATGAATGTCGACAAGCAAGGTGTTGGACGTGTTGTTGAAGCCAATCATGCCCATGCCCATCAGACAGCTCAGGATGCAAGGAACAGAAACATGAACGACATAATTCATAGCCCACCCCCAACCGATCAGAGAGAGACCACTAACACCAAGCAACGGTAGTCCAATCTCCAGACGCACACGCTCAATGGGAAAGCCAGAAAGATCCTGCTGGCGGCTGCGGTCGAGAGGGATACCCAGCTTTTGGCAGTGTCGCTTATAGTTCCAGTTGATTCCAGGACCAACTATCAGAGCAGCGAGAATCGAGCCAAAGGCCAACGGCAAGTACATCAATCCCACTGTGATCTCGTCATATCCGTAGGAGTTTTTAAACAGAGTGGGCATTGCGGAGGCAATACAGTAAAACCCGGCAAAGATGAGACTGCTGGTACTAAGGAGTAATCCAGTCTCCTTCTCCAGCAACATGAGCAGAGAACCCAAAACATTGGGAGGCTTGAATTTGAACGAGTTTTCTGCAGGAGGAGCTTTACGACCCTTGTTTCGATGTGATGTCAGGATCTGCCACCCTGATCTGTACAGAGGTGGTGGGTAGATTGAACCGTCGCCGACAATGTGACGGCATGTCTCTGGCAAAAACATGAAAATGAGGACAACCGTCACTCCAGCCATTATGGTCAAGAACCAGAATATGGATCTCCAGCCAAGCGTCTGAGCCAAGGCACCTCCGATAATGGGACCAAGGGCTGGGGCGAGAACTACAGGCACAACAGTGAAGCCGACATATTGGCCTCGCTCAGCAGATGTAATGACATCGGCCACAACAGCCATACATAGCGCTACAGTGGTGCTTGAACCTGCTGACTGAAGACATCTGAGACCGAGAATGGCACCATAGCTCGGAGCTAGAGCAAGACCAATGTTGGCGCCAATGTAGATCACGAAGCAGACGATGTATGCCGGTCGCCTTCCACCACTGTCTGCCAGAGACCCGAGAAACATGGGGGTGATGCCCTGAAAGATCATATAAGTCGTAATGGTAAGGTTTATCTGGGTGCTTGAAACATCAAGCTCATCCGATAGCTGTGTCAATGCTGGCAAGTAGATCTGAGCTGATATAGGAGAGAAAAAGGCCGTCGAGGCGGCCCCAAGAGCCAACATTCGTTTCTGCCATGTCGTGAAGACGGAGTATGGAGGGGGAACCGTTTCCTCCACTGGCACGGGTTGTTTTTCTGGGTCGGCGATCTCAACTGAGAGTCGGTTCTTATCCGACTCTGAGGTGCTTGTCGTATCTTCTGGTGATCCCATGGCGCTTATACTGATGGTGTTGATCTCATCTCCTGCGAAGCTCTAAGAGTTGACAGTTGAAAGCTGGCAACTTATACTTGGTAAAGAAATCCAATGTCGGGGATAAGAATAGAGGAAGAAAAAAACGTGAATGCTTCTCCATTCTATCGGTCAGTATTCGGCAACTACGAGCCGTGAAGATGTCGCCGCGCTCGGTGCCGAGATCGGCAAAATCCAGCTGTTGGCCTGAATAGGCAGTATATCAAATGAAACGCTTTTCTACAGGTCATTTTGTGGTCCAAAGCACGACAGGAGGTTCCGCGTATCGGACGGCGCCTTTGCCATTGCCGAGAATAGATAATCGTGATGCCGATCGAGGAGGATGCAAGCCGTGTTTTAAACGACTATATGCACTTTCGTGATTTTGAAGCTATACCGTGATTCTAACAGCGGGCACTGCGCTGACCGGCTTCACAGTTCCGTTATTTGTTTCATATCATGTAAATGGAGCATTCTTATAAATCATATCAGGGCTTTGTATTGTATTATCAAGTCATCTTTCGTCTGAATTAATGTTGCCAAGTCGGCCTTTTTTTCCGTGTTGATGGAGATGTTCGACTCCACTAGCCGCGATCTCGATCCACCAAAGGAAGAGCTACAGAAAAAAGATACAAGGCGTCGGTACCTTCTAGCGCAGCGGCATGGAAAAACCACTGGTTCCGTGGATTTACAGCGATGTGTCCACTAAGCAGGCGCCTATTATGAACCTTGGTGGATGAATAGCTCCTCCAAGGGGGCATCACGGTATAAGCCTTGCATCTATAAATCTTCGGTTTCGTCAAGATGGTAAGTGAGAGATCAGGCTCATAATGACATATACGACTCTATTGTCTCTTACTTTTACTTACAAATTATCCAGAATGTTGCATACAACACAGTTCTGCGGCAGAGCAAGGCCATCCGCAGTGACCTCTCCAACCTCGAATCCAAGAGCCTCCCAACGCCCGCCGAGATGGGAAGCGTGTCCGTGTCCTTGACGTCCTTTTCAAAGTCCCTCGACGAATACCACAACCTTGCGCGCCAGGAGATTGTGCCCAAGAAGCAGGAGGAGGCATATGAGCGTGTCAAGAGGTTTCGCGATGAGCTGTCAGAGTTCCGTGGCAGCCTCGACGTGGTGAAGCGAACTAGGGAGGAGGCACAACACAACCATAACCGGTCGGAGCTGCTGGGAAGAAGACCATACAATGCTACGCCGGAGAATCCTTACGCCAATGCCGCCGGCACGACGACACATTCATCATTCCAGCCCCGACATACGAGCTCGAATAGTACTTCGCTGACGACCGGCGCTGGCGACGAGGTGCGCGAGGCCCACGCTTTCCGAGAACAAAACTTCTTTAGCAATACGAACCATGCCTTGGACGACTTTATCGCGCGCGGACAAGCCGTCCTGGGAGATTTGGGCCAGCAGCGCGAAACGCTGAAAAATACGCAGAAGCGCCTGTATGGCGTTGCCAACACACTGGGTGTGAGCGGCGACACGATCCGCATGGTCGAGCGCCGTGCCCGCGAGGACAAGTGGATATTTGTCGCGGGAGTCATTATCTTCTTCTTGTTTTGCTGGCTTGTTCTTCACTTTTTACGATGATGGGAGTTTGCATGCGGAGAGGCGCCCTGGCGTTAGGTATGGATATCAAGGAAGCAAAAAGGCCGTTCATAATTTCTTTGGAAGCTATCAAAAAGATGGTGCAATGTCATTCCCAAGCACACCCACTATCCGTCTTCCTCACCCTCGGTATTGCTCAGCGCTATCGTGAAGAGGACATCCTTTGTCGTTTGCACCTCGACGACCTTGGTTTCTGGGAGAACATGGTTGCTGGTGCTAACTCTGCCGCCCATTCGCGTTTCCCAGTCGGTGACGTCCCACTCCAGACCCTTGGTTGTGATGCGGCTCGGCTCCTGGAGCGGGATGATTCCAACGTGCTTGCCAAACACCTCCTCCTCACCATCCTCTTTGACCTGGATGCGATGAGTGCCCGCCTTTAGGAGAAAGGTCAAGCTGGACCCGGAGAGAAGGTAGATGCGGCCATCTGCATAGGCGGCATCGGGCTGGAAGAGGTAGAGGTGGTGGAGCTGACTGAGGCCCTGGTCGATACGGCCGCCAATACCACCTAGGGCGATGATGTCGGTTCCGGCGGGCTGCGTTTTGCGGATCCAGGTGATGGCCTTGCCAAAATCGGTGGTTTCTTGGTCGGTATCATGGATGATCTGAGCAGGGGTGTGCTGGGAGGTGTAGAAGTTGTGGACTGACGGCCTCAATGAATCGAGATCGCCAATGATGACTTGAAGGTTCGACTACAGATACATTGTTAGGCACAGTTCGTAATCACATCGCGATAGTTTCTCCAAGAATGAAAAGTTTAAGAAAGCAATGATGAAACAAGGCGTGATGATAGTTGAAGGATAACTCACAAATTTGCCCTGAAATGAAGAAAGCTCATGAAGACGATTGGCGCCTCCGTCAGCAGCTACGCGGAGAGATGCTGTGTGTCGAGGGTAAGTAAGCATTTTTTCTCTCGCATGGAGGGGCAGCATTTCGACATACAGTGTCTCCAAAGCTTGCGCAGGTTGCTGCTGTTCTTGAGCGGCTGGTTGAGCACCAGGAGGGCGAAAGGCTGAGGACTTGGCTGGTCCTGCAGAAACCTGTTAGGCTGCCACTCGAAGACCGAAGCCATCACGACGAAGAAGTTGCAGGTTGTTTTTTGTTTGTTTGCTTGGTGGCGGGGGGAAGTTGAGGGTCAGAGAGAAAAGGAACGTGAAGGGCGTCGAGAGCTGAGAATCAAACTCATGCGCATATGACGAAGAGGGGCGCTATTTATCAAGAGTTTTAAAAAAAAACCACCAGCCACTAATCTCGCTCCCCTCCAGATTCTGTTGGCAAAAAAGAAAAGGGAGTGCTTGAGCTCGCCCGTACGACCTGGGATTTCAGCTCGTAAAGGAGCTCCAGCTGTGATGTGAGCAATGGCCTCAGTCAAAGCTCACCACCTGCGACAGGCCCTGGCCGCTGCTCAGCACGGAATCCTGCAGGTACCAAGAAGGCTTGTTTCAAGCAAGCGAGTGCTTAGTCAGGAGCTGATGCAACTGGAATGTTGAGACAAATAGAAAAAAGAAAATCAAGAGCTGTTTGGATGGTGCGTTTAAGGAACAGCTGGCATCATCATTATTTTTCTTTTAATGTTCGTTTTTCTTGTTTTAACTTTGAATGCTACAGTTGGTACTAATCTTAATTCGTTGCATTATCGAGGCCCTGCATAAGATACCTGGGCTTGCAGATCCTCGGATATCACATGAGCGCAAACAAAGTACCTGCAGCCTCCAGGTATCAGCCCAGGTCGGGCAATTGATCGCCTTGCTGTTTGCGGCCTGCAATGCGCTCAGCTCAGACCATCTAATGCTACTGTATTGTGGTCATTGCGGCAATACATTCAGTGCATTGATTCAATTAGCATGGAGCTGGCTGGCAATGGCCCACTACGGCAACATCCCTGGATAATCCTCGGCCAAACATTTTTTTCGCACAGGCGCAAGCGCATGCACTTTCTTGGCCCGGAGTTGGAGATGGGCTCGGTTCGCTGACCAATCTGGCGATTTTGTCATGGAGCCGATCCAGCTCTTTTTTTTCCGCGATTACATATCCAGCCTGCGCAGGCATTGCTGCTGCTTTCCTTTGTAATCTTCCTCCTCTTCCCCTCATTGATATTTCAGCTTGTCCATCCGCATAATCACTTCGCCATAATGTATCGTGCAGCTCTGAGAACGGCCTCACGGCCTGCTGTTGGCGGTTTGCGCACTTCTCTGGTCCGGACGGCCCCCCGGCGATTTGCCTCAACGGCTCCCGCAGACAAGTCTCGGTCATGGAAGAGCTCTGCGGCTCGGTGGGGTTTGGCTGTTGCTGGTGTTTACTACTATAACACAAGCTCCGTTTTTGCAGACGAGGCTGAGGGTATGTCATGATATTCATCCCGCATGTAAGTGTCGGGGTGGTTTTGCTAATACTTGGAGCAGCTCACGCCCTCCCCATCCCTGCACCTTATACCGAGAACGAACTGCCTACTGTCGACGCCCTGATCGAGCAGAAGCGAAAGGAAGTCAGCCCTAAGCCTGTTGAGGCGGCTACCAAGAAGACAGAGACTCCCAAGACGGAGGCTGTCAAGACCGACGACAAGTCAGAAGCACCTGCTCAGAGTGCGGCCGGCTTTGGCGGACCCGAGGCTCTGGAAGAGGAGGCCAGCCAGGAGGGAGCTTTCAACCCGGAGACTGGAGAGATTAACTGGGACTGCCCTTGCCTGGGTGGCATGGCGCATGGCCCCTGTGGAGAGGAATTTAAGACTGCCTTTAGCTGCTTCGTGTACTCTACCGAGGAGCCCAAGGGCATGGACTGCATTGAAAAGTTCCAGTATGAGCAGCCTGGGTGATATATACCAAAACGAGAGACTTTGACTGACAATATTATAGGGGCATGCAAGAATGTTTCCGAAAGTACCCAGAGATCTACGGCTCTGAACTTGAAGAGGCCGACGCTGCTGAGGCCGAGGGCGGCGAGGAGGCGGCTGCTGCTGCTCCTGCTGCAGCGGTGGCAGCCCCCGAAGTCGCCGACGCTGCTGAGGCCATCGCAGAAGATCGACAACAACTTCGAGAGAACGGCCGTGTTGGGGGCCGTAACTCGGATGCCGCGGAGACGGACAACCTCCCTGGAGTCAAGCTGGTCAAGAGCTCACCTTCAAGTTTGACTGAGGAGGTCAAGGAACAGAAGAAGGAGAACTAAGGACGGACGATGAAATGAATAGAATAAAATAAAAGGCGGGGGAGAAGATGGACCGGAGAAAAAAGAAGGCAATCGATCCTATGGGATTGTCTTCAGTGTATTCTAAGCAGGCACCTTTGGTAAAGGGAGCCTGATGTATCCAACGCTGTATGAATGGGTGCGGAAAAAGGGTAATAGGACGGTAGACATTGTATAAACTAGGGGGTAATTTACGACATTCAACTTTGCATTCTGGACGGAAGCAGTCGAGCGCGATGTAACTCAGAACTGCGCAGTGAATCTTGGCACGAGGCCAAAGAATCAAGAGATAACGCCAAAATCATGCTAAATATCATGCACGTAAGGCTACTCCCTATGCTGAAGTCACTCTAAAGCACTTATACGAATACACTCATGCGAAAAGCCGCAATGACCAAAGTCCCAACGCCTTCTATCCCTCAAGCCAGATGCCAATTTCCGCTTCGCTCTCAATTTTGCCATGCCCCCTCATGCCGTTCCCCTCAAGCCACCGTACTCGTGCCGTTTTGCTGCAGTCCAGGATCGTAAAACTTGAGCATCAGATACTGCGGCTCGCCCAATCTCGATCCCTCGGCGACTTGTCTGAATCCTAGCGACTTGTACAGCTGCTGGCCTAGGGGAGACGATATGATCCATATGCCCGTCTTGTCTTGATCTGCTCGCTCCATTCCCCACCTCGTCATCATCTTGCCGATGCCAATGCCTCGATAATCGCCGTCCACTGAGATGGAGTTGAGAGCTGGAAAAGCACATGTACGGTTAGCATGTTGTTTCTCATATCGTAAACACCAAGCAAAAACTCACTCCACATCTTATGCCGGTTCTCTCCCTGAAACGCATCCTTGGACTTTTCAATCAACTCCATAACCTCGTCATTAGCATCCAACAACGCGCCCTTATCCAAGAACGGCGGCAATCTAGCCAACCTCAGCTCCATATCCTTTGCCTTTTCCTCCTCGCTCTTCCCCTCCTCCTCATTATCCCCAGACTCGTACTCGTCCCCTGCCGGCGCCGACCACTCTGCGCAACCCACGATGATCTCGCCCTCCTCAGGTGCCTCGGTGAGTACGACGAGGTAGTGCAGGTTCGGGTCCGCCAGCCCTTTGCGCATGCGCGAAATGTTCCACTCGAGCTGGTCCTGGGTGCCGGGCTTGGTGCGCAGGCGTTTGGGGAACATGGCCTTGTGCATGGGGCTGTCGAGGAAGGCGGCGACTTCGAGGGCGGCCATGGCGGGGACGTCTTCGTCGCGCGCGGGGCGGAGGCGGAGGGAGTGCATGATGGAGTTGAGGCGGGATTTTGATTTGTATTTTAACGGGAGCATAGGCGGGGGATATGATGAGAGAGAAAAGAAGGAAAATATGTGTGAGTGTGTGAGTGTGTTTGGTAGGTTGTGTTGAAGGGAAGTAGGCGGGCTTTTTGGTCTAGCTTTATATCAAGGGGGCTGTTCGGATGTTCGGCTTGGCTACGGATTGTCTGGTCGAATCTTTGCAGATTTCTTTCTCTTATTTTTCTCCTTGTTATTAAAATTATTTGCTGAATTTCTTTTTTCTTGTCTGAGGGTTGTTTCTATGGGGTATCGTGAGTTGACACTTGGTGTAGAGATGGGCGAAGGGAAACGCTGATGGGCTTCGTGAGATGATGACGATGACGTCACATATTCTGGCGGGCTTGGTGAGCATGTGAACGAGCTGTGCGGCGTGGGGGATGCACTGTCCCACGAAATGGGCGAATTTCACTGTACATGGCTTGATGAGGTGAGAAATAACTCAAGTAGGGATGAAATTGGTTTGATTAAAATATTGATTTTATGTTCGTTATTTGAGTTATGTAGCGGCCAGTAGCAACATGTGATGATTGGCCATAAACCAGAGATGAGATACGCGTTCAACAGCTAAGCTCTCCCTTGATCCCAAACGCCCAAACCGAAAACAGAACAAAACAAAAAAAAAAAAAAAGAAGCAGTCATCACAGAAATTCAATCTTTGACCGATTTTGCATCAGCTCTTCATGAAGAATCCTCCTCCTTGCTTCTGTACAAGTACCGTCCAAGCACCGCCTCCACAGCGCCAACAGCAGCCAAAACTCCAAAGCCAACGCCCACATGCTTCCAGTCCAGCCGGCTCCTCTCGTAGAGGCCCCAAGCGCGATACCCCAGGAAGCCGCTCACGCCCACGACGCCAAAGACGTTCGCAATGGCAATGGCCGTGACGCTGCCGTCGGAGAGCTGGGAGAACTGGCGGGTGATCCAGGAGTCGGCCTTTCTGGCCTTGCTGGCGGCCTTCTTCTTGGACGCCGCCTGGGCGGCGCGGGCGGCCGCGTGCTCGCGCTTGATGCGCTCGGCTTGCGTCTCGGTTTGGATGTCCTGCTCGAGGAAGTCTGATCGGACGGTGTGGACGCTGGGCATGTCGACGTCGATGAGAGATGCTGTGGAGGCGGTTTCACTGGGGATGATTTCGGGTTGCTGAGGGGCGGCGGCCTATGACATCAGCGATTAGATAGATGCTAATATTGGGGGGGTTCGCGTTTCTTTTCATTGTTTTTCTGTTTCTTTTCCGAGAGCTGTATCTGCTTGGCACGAAGCAGTTTGCTAGGCTCGTGTGAAGCTTACCTCTTCAGGGGTCTGTCTGGCACCCTTTGCAGCAGCGTCGGCGTAAGACACTATTCGCAGCTCATTGTTAGTGCCGTGATCATCTTACAGTGTCTGCTGGACTAGCCAGCTTCAGTAAGAAGCGTCATCACTTACTGGTCAATGTTTGTCAATTGAAAAAAGGCTAGAAATAGCAATTGCGTTGAATCTCTGGCGGGGAGGTTGGTGAAGTTTTGTTTATTTAGCTTTGTCGATCAGAGAGAATCTAGAAAAAGGGGATTCAATGCCTTAAGTACTAAGCCGAAAAGCCAATTGAGCTCCTTCATGTGACGCAAACACAAAGTCACGCCTAAAGCCAGACTAAATCATGTCTCAAGCCGTGATGATGACGTATGCGGCTCGACCTCGGCATCGCAGATCGTCTCGTGCCTTGGCATGACAAAATGGCTTCCATTACGCCATTACATCAAACCGGGCAGGGGTTTTATGCATGTTTTAGAAATAAAACGGCTGCAAACACCGTGTTTGTCGTTTTAGCGAAAATGAAAAGATCCATTGGAGGGAAACCAGAGCGTTTTCGAATCGCGAGACACACCAATGGTTCAGGCCAAGATTCTGCTCTTCCTGACAGCCCACTTTGTTTCCTGCATCTCTGCTGGCGCATTACTCGCTAGCTCAGCCTCTCCATACACACAGCATTGCGAGCTAATTTTTCACAATTCATGCTTCGCGGAACCAATCGAGAGAGAGCCTTCCGACTAGACGAATGGTCAAGAAGACAGAGAATTGGATAATATCGCGCCGTCATCGCACTGTGTTCAATGCTCCCCTGTCCAAATATGTCCAAATACAATGAAGTCCCAGTTCAAAAGAGGCAATTTGCTACCTAGTTTCGCAGGTTTAAAATTTGATTGGCTTAATACAAAAGAGCTATTCATCTCAAATGACCGATAAACTTCCCTCAACTCATCGTCGTGACAAAAAAATTGGCTTGTGAGCCCGAAAGGTATATGGTGAAGAACAAGAAAGAAGATGATGAAGATGAAGATGAAAAAAATGGTACAAACAAGAAGGTGGTTTCATGACAGCGAGTCAACATGAATGCAATAACACACAACGCCATTCGGCCGTCCGTATTATGTATAACGACAACAACAATCTTCGCTGAAATGCAAAAGTGATTCCAACGCCGCGAATCTGGGTATCATGGTATCTCTCAACACGCCTCTTCCACATGAGTCCTCGACACCATCACGCCGCTAAAAAGTTTAAAAATATTCCAACATCAAAACTGCTCCGTCTCTGGTCTTTCGTACAAAAAGAAAAAATCAGTTTCATGGTACTGGTATCATGTATGCCAGGGCCAGGTGGGGTATCTTTCAAGTCGCTCTTTCATTATCCGAGGCCACGAAGTCGTTTGACCCAGTGCTGCCTCAGATGCAACGGCATCTTGCAAAACACCATGGCCTTGTGTTCGTCGTTTAAAACTTTCTCGGAAATTTTTATCTGCACGTCTGCGTCTTCGGTTGCGAATTCTTTGAATAGTAGGTCAACAGCTTCCTCCCTCCACATACGCGCCCTGCTCGCTTTTGACAGAGAGACAAGCTCCTCCAAGATGGACTGAAGTCCGGCAACCTGAGTTTCTGGACGCGATCGAGGCTCGACTGTGGATCTGGTGCCCGGGACCGGGAGAGCGGATGATCCAAGCAATGGAGTAGCTGCGCTTGTATTGGAAGTAACGTCGTCTCTGGACGACAGTCGGCGGCGCTTTTCTGGCGAGGTTGGCAGTGCTGATGGTGGGATAGCTGGCCCGGAGGTTGACTGAGCCAGGTCGCCGGCAGACTGTAGGGGACCCATGGGCGAAGGACGCTTCCGGCTTTGGGGAACCGACTCTTCAGGGGGCGTCAGAGCTGCGCCTTGTGCGGCGGTGAGATTGCGAGGTATCGAAGGTGCTGTAGTCGGTCGTTGCTGAGTTCCAGAAGCGGATAAAGAAGCTGCCGACGCTTGGTTCTGCGGACTCTTGTGCGGCGGCGGCTGTTGGCTCGGCGAGTCGGTGGTTTCTGTTATGAGCGGTGTCGGGTCGGTTTGCAGATTCAACACGCCAGTCCCTGGCATCTCCGAGTCGTCGCAAGGCTGGCCGTCAGTCTTTCGTCGAGGCTTCATGATTCTCTTGGGAGCTCCCCCCGACCCAACCACGTCCGGATACAGCACCTCCATGTATTCCTCGTGGTCAAAGGGCCTCCCCCTGAGGGCTCGCGACAAAGGCTCTCGCTACGTCTCTATCAGTAACCCGAGTTTTTGGCGTGTGGGCGAGCCGTGGGCCCCCAACTCACCTCGATATGCGCTCTCCATGCCTCCTCGGTCGCCGTCACCGTCCTCGACACGGGGTTGTAAATAAAGTCCGGGTCCTCTCGAAGGCCTCGCCACAGTCGAAAGCGTTTCCGAGCATTGTCGCTCTTGTTGATCAGATGGCTTTTAGCCGGGTAAGCGCCGTGGTGTTCCTGCAGGGCCTGGGCGGCGCGCTCCCAGGCCTCGGCCTTGAAGCTGCTGTTTTCTCGCATGCCCAGCTGGACGCTCTCGCACAGGCTGCGGAAGAAGGTGGCCTCGTAGGCGGGCGTCCAGCTGAACCTGGGCGCCCGGCGGTCGCGGTCGACTCGGCCGGGCCCTTGTCCGTCGTGGCCGGCGAGGTCGATGTCGTCTTCAGACATGGCGGGAGCGGATGAGGCTGAGACTCCCGAGGCTCGGAATCGGATTCAGGTGCCCAGTCAGGCTGGACACGACCCCCAGCGGCAGCCCGTGAAAGCAGCAGCGGCGGCAACGGCAGCAGCAGCGACTCTCAGGCAGCCTTTGGGGAGCTTCTCAGGATCCTTTTTTTTCTGCCCTCGAAGCAGCGAGAGAGTCTGGGTCAGCGCCAGGCGAGAATCGTGACCTGCCGCATACGGGTCGGTGGGGGGAGTCGGGTCGGGTCCCTTGGCGTGGGCGGCACGTCGTGGGCTGGAAATGGGAAAACGGGACATGCGAAAAAAAGGGTCACGTGGAGGTCCCTTTTTCGCCCGGTTCTCCCTCAGTCTCCATCGCGCGCCACGTAAACACTGGACTGGGCACAGAAAGTTGCACAGGAGATGGAGGCTCTGAAACCGCAGATTGACGGATGCCCGTCATCGTGTGATGCGCTGCGCTGGACTGGATTGGACTGGACTTGGACTGGATTGGACTGGACTTGGTTGGACTGGACTGGATGGACCCTTGAGCCCTTGGGCTTTGGGGGGCGCTGGCTGCTGCTCCCGTGCATGTACATGTACCCAGTACCTGGCACCTATAAGGGCCTGCGCCGTCTGCATGTGCGCTCTTGCGGGCTCTGGCAGGCGCTGATACGCTGACATCATGACCCGCGACGGCGTGATTTGCCGCCGCGGACACCGCCAGTCTGCCGGGCTGCCACTGGCCGCAGGTACCGGGTACCAATCAATCAATCGCTGGCCGCGCCGATGATCTGCCTTTTGACTGACATTGATGTTTTCGATTTGTTAATTTGTTGATGACGGGACTTCAGGCCTGGATGGATCAAGACGAGACGCAGTCGTTGCTTATGTACTGCCGTGCTTGCAGCTACACGTCATAACGTGGACATGGGTGCGCCTGATCTTGTATCTTATATCTAAATATTACTATTTCTACCTCTTGCAAGCATTATCTCCGTCCATCTGTATTTCGTGTCATCAAGCAGGTTTATGTAACGTTTCGTCTCTATCCACATCGTGAGCATCGATATTAACATCTCCATCCATTCGAACCCATATTGTCATGCCAGAAACAACAGTAGGGAGTCTGGTTCACATTTGTAATGCCATTACAACATGGCAACGGCGCCGGCAATGAGCATGGCAGCAGTCACCATTGGTCCAGCAGCAGCAGCGGCAGCGGTGCTAAACGAAGTTGTGGTGCTGGCAGTCGTTACAGGACGTCCAGATGCGACCGGAGTCGAGCTTGTAGCAGTGGTTTGAGGAGCCGAAGTTGAGCGAGCAGCAGAAGATGTCGTTTGCGGAGCGGAAGTCTCAGATGCTTCGGAAGAAGAAGAAGAAGAAGACGAAGAAGAAGAAGCTGCTTGTGATGTCGTCTCAGTCGTGGCCGCGGAGGTGGCTGATGTAGACTCAGCCGGTGCAGCAGCAGTGGCAGAAGCAGACGCAGTGGCGGCAGAGCAAAACTGAATTGCAGCAGGGAGGACTTTGTCTGTATCATGTGTGTTAGTTTGCCTGTGTCGAAGTCTCTCCTCCTTCATCGATTCTAATGGTAGACTTACCGACAGAGACATCGGCACCGCAGTCCTTGAGCACGCAGGAAAGTTCTGCGTTGTAGATGGCCTCGTAGTTGCTCTGCACGCAGAAGCAGACTGCATCACCCAGAGTGCAGTCAGTAGCAGAAGTGGTTCCCTGCTCAAGACAGTTCAGAGAGCATTCCGGAAAGTAATCCGACAGCTTCTGCGCAACCACAGCGCCAGCCATTGAGGCGGCAAGGAGGAATGAGGTAGTCTTCATTATAACGATGGGTTAATAATTCGAAAAGGAGTAGCTTTTTGACGAGGAATTAAGAGGACTTGATCTGGTAAAAAGAAGAAGAAGCAAAGGAATAAAAAAACCTGAAATACTTCGACACACCGAGGGCCGGCTACATATATGCAACTCGGAGAGCTGTCTAAATCGAGAACCGTCCAAATCCCGCGTGCAGAAGCTCAGCCCAAATAGACGGAACCTTTGCCATCCATATCCGAGCTCTTGCTAGACCTTCGGCCTGGACCTTTCCTGATTAACCTTATTCAATAAAAGTGCCAACAAGCCGCAAGTCTCGTGCTTCTAGTGCAAGGATTCCCAAGCCGAAATCGCTCTAACATCCTGCTCTAGTTTCACATGTAGTTTGGCAGCTTCCTCGCCAAGCCGTGCCGTGCCAGCACCGGCTCCCAAGCTAACAACTATTTGGCGCTATACGAGAGCTGAATCTCGGCGGCTTTGCTGTAAGTGGTGTAATGGTGTGAAGCCGGTGGAGATGATCAGATAAAATTTTTTATCAGATCATCAGATAAGATCAAATCATTGGATGCCATCCCCGAACCTGCATGCCGAGGATTGCGAAAAGAGGGGGGGCCGCGCTTTTAATCCTTGCTGTGCCTACAAGTACCCTTGCTCCCGTCTTTTTTGAGAGAGTTTAATCGCTGTTTTCTTCGCACACCGATCGCTCTCCGAGAGGGATTTTCGAATGTTTTCTTGCGATGTGACCCTGTTGGTTTCGATCGCGTTATGCCAACGTTCCCGCGGACCCGATTTCTCTTGGTTTTCATTTAGTCTGAGTCATGTAGTTGTTGGTACTGCCAAGACCAGCTGTCACATGGGATAACTGGGTTGTATAGATATAAAAGGTTGCAAAAGCCGGGCTCTCGCCCGAAAAGTGTCTAGCTTAGCAACTTGCTTTTCTCAGCTCTGGCTTTTCTTTGCCATTCAAATATCCTGAGCGGGACATATCCCTCATCATGGGCTTGTTCTCCAAGACTACCCCTGAGGGGGACGTAACTACTATTCCTCCAGAGATTGCCGATGAAAAGGGCAGTGGACAGAACAATCCCGTGGAAAAGTCCGACTTCAACGATGACTTGGAGAAAGATGCGCAAGGGGGTGTTCAGAAGATCGAGGCTGCGGCCCAAGTATGGACCAAGTGGCACATGGTTGCTGCCTATGTGATGTACGAGGATGATTTTCACATGATGGGACTATCACAGCTTGCTAACGGTGACATTATTGCAACAGCATCTGGCTTGTTTACTTTGTTACATCGATCGAGGAGGTCGTCACCGGCGCTCTCAACCCCTTCGTCACCAGTTCTTTCCAGCAACACTCGTTGACTGCTGCTACCGGTATCATGGCTAGTTTGTTCGGTGGACTGACGAAGCTTCCTCTGGCCAAGATTCTCGACACTTGGGGAAGGCCTCAGGGCTTGCTTCTCACTCTGTTCATTTGGGTTATTGGATTTATCATGATGGCTGCTTGTAATAACGTCGAGACTTATGCTGCTGCTCAAGTTTTTTCATCCATTGGGTAAGTCCTATGATTACCCTCTAGATCTTCATATTTGACTAACGATATTCGCGTCTCTTAGAGCCCAGGGCGTCAGCTACTGTATCACCATCTTCATTGCCGACACAACCTCCCTCCTTAACCGATCCCTGATGCTTGCCTTTGCAACATCTCCTTATATCGCAACGACTTTCGCTGGTGGCCCAATCTCAGATAGCGTCATTGCCCATATTGGCTGGCGATGGGGCTTTGGAATATGGGCTATTGTGACCCCAGTCGTCGTCGGACCCCTTGGATTCCTCTTCATATGGAACCACGTCAAGGCTCGTAAGCAAGGGCTGCTGGAGTCGAAATCTGGCCGACTTACTCTTGCTTCGATAAAGAAATACTGCATCGATGTTGATCTCATCGGCATCCTCATTCTTGCTACCGGAATGGCCTTGTTTCTGCTTTCCTTTTCCATCTACTCATACCAGGCTGAGCAATGGCGAGCACCAATCATTATTGCTTTCATCATCGTTGGCGGTCTTCTCATCATCGCTTTTGTCTTCTACGAGGCGTACCTGGCTCCTGTCAAATTTGTGCCGGTGAACCTTCTAATGGACCGGACAGTATTCTTCGCTGGGCTCATGTTCCTTTTTGTGTTTGCTAATTCGGCCATCTGGGGCAGCTATTTCAGCTCCATGCTGCTGGTTGTCTGGAATACTGGTATTACCAAAGCCACTTACATTGGCAACATTTACCGTGTCGGCTCTTGTTTCGCGGCTCTCCTCCTTGGTTACTTCATCCGCTTGTCTGGCAGGTTCAAGTGGTCCGCGACTTTGTATGCGCTCCCTCTCATGCTTCTTGGCGTTGGTCTTATGATCAAATTCCGACAGCCTGACCAGAGCATTGGCTATGTCATCATGACACAGATCTTCGTTGCCTTCGCTGGTGGCCCCATGGTCGTTGCTGGAGAAATGGCCATGATGGCTCCTTCAGACCACCAACATGTCGCTGTTATCATGGCTATTCTCGACCTATTTTCCAGTATTGGCAGCGCCATTGGGTCAACCATTGCTGCTGCCATTTGGACGGGCACGTTCAAGAAGAATCTGATCAAGAATCTTCCAGCCGATGCTCCGGTCGACGCCATTTTCAGCAGCATCTACACCCAACTTGGATACCCTGAAGGCACAGAGATCCGACATGGGATTTCTCTTGCATATGGAGAGTCGCAACGTCTCATGCTCATCACTAGCGTATGCTTCATAGTGGTTGGCTGGGGTTGTACTTGGATGTGGCGAGATATTAAGCTTCGTGATGTTAAACAGACTCGTGGCAACGTCATCTAATCACCGAGCTTAGATATTGCAGGTACTAAGCTATCGCATATATGTAGTATATAACAACAGCCGCAAGGTCGACATATTAGTCGCTCAACGACAGAAGGCATTGGCCAGTATTAAGAAATATGAGATCTTGATAATCTCAATAATAAAGTAAAGACACACTACGCTACTAGAGTCAGCGCAAATGCTCAGCTTCGTAAATGTGTGCAGTGAGAAACCTCATCTAAAGCTCCTGAAGGACTTGGTGCCCAACATTGGTGCCCAATACTAGAGCCGTTCATCATCTTCCATTTCAGTTGCCATTCTTTCCTACCATCAGTCCAGAACCAGCGATCCAATCTCCCCGAGGAGTCTAAAATTTGTTGAAACATGACGGGCATCCCAATTAAAACGTTCTACGAGTCAGACCAAGCAACTTGGAGCTACCAATCAACTCATGTGGATGGCGCTTCAAGATTCATTACTGTGAGCGGCCTTTTAGCGCTTACCAATGCCGAATTCTCTCTTTTGGAGTATCGAGACTTGGACTGGAATAACGTCGACGGTCAAATTCCCAAATATGTCGCCATATCGCACACTTGGAACTCTTCACCAGAGGTCATAAAACTTAGCACGATTGCGAATCGGCCTCTACACATTGACATGGGTGAGGGTTCCCCATCTACAATCAGTTGGCATGGTCTGCGCCAAGCAGCGCTTGCAGCTCGATATTTGGGATGTGAATTACTATGGCTTGATTTCATCTGTGTTCATCAAAACTCTCTAGACGACAAGAAACTCCAAATTCCCAACATGGGCAACATATACAAGAACGCGACGGCAGTCATAGTCATGCCTGGTGGCGTTTCTGCAGCTCAAGATTTCGAAATTGAGACTGAATGGGCTACTCGAGCATGGACAGTTCAGGAGGCAGCTCTATGTCCAAACACATATGTGCTAGGAATGGATTACGTGTGGTTACTCAAACGGAAGGCTGATGACTATCTTTGGATAGAAACATCTGCTTGGCCAGGCTACCAGGATTTTACCTACATTGAGGATAGCCTTGCGTTAGCAGATATACGGGGTATCCTGAATCATCTCCAGGGTGTAATACATATCGAAGTCACCAACAGAAAAACAGGCGAAGTTGTCCGAAAAGGGACGTGGGAGTTGAAATGTCTCGGCGATGGCGCAGTTGTTTGGGCTTTCGCAGCCCTTTTATTGGCCAAAACGCCCGCCATGAGGCAAGTTGGTGTTTGGCGGAGTTTGTGGTTGCGCAAATCGAAATACCCCCAGGATACAGTGTATAGCATGATGCATTTGCTGGGCGTTGAAATCGAGGTCGATTACAACCGCAGTAGAGAAGATCTCATTGCTGAGGTTGTGAGGAAGACATCAACGTCATTCCCGTCGTGGCTGGATATTATGGAACACGGCGCGCCCCGTGAACTTCGACAGAGGTTGTTTCCTACCATTCCGACCTTTGACGTTCAGCAAATCCCAATATTCACAGTCGAAAAGCAGCCCGTTCCTGTTGAAAAGTATATCTTGACTCAGACGTACATGAAGATATTCAATATCAAGGTTCTGATTCCCGCAGCTGCTTCTGCGGACAATGGCGGTCTGGTGTGTACAGAAATCTTTGAGATTCAAAACAGCCGAGATAATGAGACCTTAGTTATCAATGGCCATGGGGAAGCTTATCACTGGAATCTATCAAATGCCGACTCAACTCACGTTATGCTCATGGGGGCCGAGGATTTCATTATTCCAACCAATGCGTTTATTCAACACCTAGCGGCATATGAAATTAAGAAATCCAAGAGTGGTGCCTGGGAATGTTTTCCAGGACATGGTGGTGTGCCCAAAGAGTTTGTGGGCAAAACACGGAGGAGTCATTTGCGAATAGGGGGATCTCCAGGATCAAAAATAACTGAGTGCGATTGCGCCGATGGTGATTAATATCAAGACATTATATAGTTAAATTAAAGTGGTAATAAATAGTCCAACAGCTATGATGAGAGAGTGACGAGCTAACATCCAGCATACGTAGTATCCTGGTTTAATCTACAGAGATGTCAAAGACCAACCAAAGACTTCATTGCTAATTATACCTGCGATGTATTCAAACGCCATGATAAAGCGGGCGTAGTAGTGGCAATTATACATTGATTCAAATTTAGACATATTGTTAGGAATTGTTGAAGATCCTACCGTTAATGGTGAAGATATCATTTGGGTATACTTTCCCAGTGCAGTTCTTTTTGCCATTCTCGAATACTGGGTATTTAACACATTAAACAAGTGTTAATACAGACTATACTTCATCATATGAAGAAGATACGATGAGAAAGGGGAGTTCATTACAATTTTATCTCCTATTGGCAGAACAGTAGATGTTAGCCCTGGCTTGTAGGACGGTCAACTGCTAGTCAGGACTTCGCAAGCTATGAATCAGGTAACCAGCCTCAGCATCGAGATTCACTGTCACACAACGTAAACGAAGGTGTTTGCGTAACAGCCGTTTGGGGAGTGTTCCAAGTTTGCCAAAGATTCGATCCACCGCCCATTGCTGTTAAGATGCTGGCTCCAAGACACACAGGCCGTCCGACAGAGTGTTGGTTAAACTGATTGGTGATTTGGCATGCCGCATTGAAGAGTTGGCCAGCGAATGAGATTCCTGAAAACCAAAGAGCCGCATTGGCGAAAAGAGCACCAAAAAATCGCTTTTGGTTACTGGTATTCAATCTTGTCATGCCTTTAGTCACACACGAGCCACTCTTTGCAGTGATATTTCCGTAAACATGGCCATACTTCAAAGCCTGCGTGTAATTGGCCCTGAGGAAGCGTCCATGACTCAACATTTGGTATGTTTCATTATGGCATTCGATGCCAGCCATGGCGGCTTTATGCACATAATATGCCGAAACATGCTCTGATGTTGCACTGCCTACGAGGTTTGTCTCTTTTTCAAAAGCAGCCAGTGCATCAAACAGAGAAGCTCCTTCGGGGTATTGCGCAAATGCATCTTCCGGAGTCGTAATGTTGTACAACGTCGTAATATTTAGGAGATTGGCGAACGCCGTTGCGTTAAGCCCAATGGCAGTAGTGTTCACTGCTAGAGTGTCATTGACGAGTGAAGTTGCAGGCTCGGCTGTAGGCGTAGAGGTAGCGGTGCGTGGTGCAAGTAGCAGTGTCACTACAAGTGGCACTATTTTGGAAACGAAACCCATTACGCCCAATGGTATATATTCAGATATTGGGAGTATACCATTTACTCAGCGTACTGAGAGTCAGTTTACACCTTTGTAAGTGCTGATGCTCCTCTTCAGATACTTTTCCCATGATGCCTCGCAATGTGACTTTAAAGACCCCTGTTTAACAGTTGAGGAACTATTATCCAGCTAAGTTAGGCAGTACTATTAAGGTACCCATTAGCTCCACCCTTTGTGCTTACCGCTCCATACCATTAACCCAGCTGTTCTGGAATGGACGGCAAAGAAATGCCGACAAGTATAAAGCAGAAAGAAGACTGATAACAGAAAGCCTTCACCAGCTAAGGAAGCATGTTAGATTAAGTCAGATTTTAAAATATTACAAAGATCTTATGAGAGGACCGCATAAAGATTCTCTCGAATTACATCATCTCCCAAGGTCTTGAATGGAGAGAGGAACGTTGATCCATTTAATCAGCTACAGGTGCCCTGGGTCGGAAAGGGTTGGGATACGCGACGGATACCCCTGCTAATTGGGCAGCAAGTTGGGAAAAACTGAGTTCGATTGCACTGATCGTGATAAAAGCTGAGATTATATCACTGAGCTATCACATATCAGATGAATGAGAAAAAGGATGGCAAGCCTTGTTTAGAAAAATCTCCGAAAAAGCTTCCTTGTATCTAGGCCGAGAGTCATTCTATGGAGAGCCCTTTTTAGGAGGCGAATACATAAGTCGCATATATACCAATCGTATTTTTTTGTGTCGCTACTCTTACAATACGAATACCAACCTTTTGTTTAGCTGATATGTAATTGCCAAGGAGAACTTGCTAGAAAACCGACGAAAAATTACAAGGTTAGCCGTCTGGCTAAATGGCAGGTAAGATCGTGGAGGATGGTGATCCTGTAACCGAATTAATGAAACTTCTTAAAAATCGCTGGCTATGTCTACAGCTGCTTTCATATATCTGACAATCATATATATGTTCGAGTATAGAAAAATAGCGATAGCGCAAGGAATCAACACATACCAACAGATAGCCTCAGCAACTATTGCAGTTCATCCATGGAGCATGTAAAGACTTAGTTTCCATGTATCACTCCACATGTTTGGCAGTTGATAATACTGATGTCCTTAAGATCCAATTTGAGGTGCTGGCTAGGTATGCAGTTACCTATGCCCGTGCTATACGTTGGAATTACAATCAAGTATATCATTTGTAATATTATAGAATGATGATTGTGCTTCTTTTATCTAAGGATCATTAATGGGTCGTGAAACCTGATTCTAATTTTATGTCTTTTTAAACCAGTTGCAATTAGTAACTCCATAGAGTGTTTCACGACCAATTACATGTACATAAATCTACCTATAGTCTTGAGCCTCTAGTACTTGTACTAGTCTGGGGCGTTCTGGACCTACTCGACATTTATCCGCTTCTCATATTCGTTTTTCTGCTGCTTGCTTCAGCTGGATATTTCGCTTTTAAATCAGAAAAAAAAAAATCGGATTTGTAGTGATTTCAGAGGCTACTGCCACTTCTAGAACTGTAACATAAAATTTGGTTTTCCGTCTAGTATTATATACAAATTTCTTTTCCTATCCTCGCCTCAATCGGAACTTTCATAGCTGCCTGGTTTGATGATATTAACTGGCTTCCCCGCCAATTTTCCCATTGTATCATTGGTCATTGATCATGTGATGTTTTGTTCTGTATCGGACACGAGATCCTGCAGATATAAGCCGCAAGGCTGAATTCTGCAGCGGATTCTCATGTCGCTTTATTTTTGCTTGATGCCCAACTATTGAAGCAAGCTTAGCTAGGCTATTCGCCTCTGCAACGATCTTCTAACACTCATTGCATATGTTTGAAGAGTCAAACCGATGCATCCCTTGTGCGAAACAACATTATTAGCACACATGTACACGGTATGTGATTAATCGCCTAGAGCTCCTGTTAAGCGCTACAACTAAGTCCATATAAAGCAATCGACGAAAGATGAAGCGAGTTCTAAGCATTAACCACCACCAAGACCCCGCAATCGGCAGGGAAAAGAGACTGAAGACGCCTATCAGCGACCAGAATTTGCGAGGAAACTATCTTCAGCAGAAACCGAACGCCGAATACACAGTTGGATGGATCTGCGCTGCGACCACAGAGTATGTGGCTGCCCGAGCCATTCTTGATGAAAAGCACGCAGGACCAGAAAAAGTATCTCAGGCCAACCAAAGCGATTTCACGCTTGGTCGCATCGGAAAGCACAACGTTGTTATTGCTATCTTACCCACCGGAGAATATGGAACAGCATCGGCAGCGACTGTTGCAGCAGACATGTCGCATAATTTTCCCAACATCAGGATCCGTCTGATGGTTGGCATCGGAGGCGGGGCACCTAGCGAAAGAAATGACATCCGCTTAGGCGACATTGTGGTCAGCGCTCCTAGTAATGGCAAGAGTGGTGTTTTTCAGTATGATTATGGAAGAACAATTCAAGGTCAACCTTTTCAGCAAACGCGATTCCTCGACCAGTCGCCCATGATCCTCAGAACTGCCATGACTGGTTTGATGGCACAATACGAATGCGAAGGCCATCAACTTGAAGAGACTATCAAAATCGCCCTTGAAAGAAGTCCAAAGTTATTAGGGAAATACAGCCGGCCGCATGAAAGCAGTGACAGGCTCTATTGTAACACATTTGTTCATCCCTCAAACGACGGTTCTGATTGTGCCAAATCTTGTGGCGATGACTCATTAATTATGCGACCGAGAAGAACTCAAGAGAATAGCAGCTTGGTTATTCACTACGGAATGATTGCTTCTGCGAATCAGTTAATGAAGAACGCCATATTTCGAGATAAGATGTCCTCGGAATATCATGTGCTTTGCTTTGAGATGGAAGCGGGCGGTCTTATGAACACCTTTCCATGCTTGGTCATTCGAGGTATATGTGACTATTCAGACTCACATACGAATAAGATTTGGGAGGGTTATGCCGCAATGGCAGCCGCGGCATATGCAAAAGACCTTATCAACCGACTCCCTCCATTAGAATCTGCCGTTCCACAAAACACGAACAACTCGTCCTCAAATCAACTTCACCCACAAGGGGAAATGCCATATACAATCACTGTCGAGCAGATAAATGCATTGCTAAATTCCTTACGGTTTGATCAAATTGGGGCCCGTCAAATGACTATCAAGAATGCCCATGCCAAGACATGTGAATGGCTTTTGCAAAAGCCTGAATATATTGATTGGTTAGACCCGGCCAAGATTGAAGACCATCATGGATTTTTATGGATCAGAGGCAAACCTGGAGCTGGAAAATCGACACTAATGAAGTTTGCTCTCAATAGCGCTAAAAGGTCAATGAGAGACAAAACCGTCATTTACTTTTTCTTTAATGCGCGAGGGGAAGACTTAGAGATATCTACTATTGGAATGTATCGATCAATTTTATTACAGCTCCTCGAAAAGATACCAGCACTTCAACACAAACTGGAAGTACCTAGAATGGCAGTACGACCTGGAGAGGAATACATCTGGACCCCAGAAATTTTGACGAATATGCTGGATCAAGCTGTCCAGAACCTTGAAAGATGGCGTGTGGTGTGTTTCATCGACGCCTTGGACGAATGCGATGAAGACCAGATTCGGGATATGGTGGCATTCTTTCAACGCATAGGTGAATCCGCTACAGCAGGAAATTTTCGCGTTTGCTTTTCAAGCCGCCATTACCCTCATATCTCGATTGCAAAGGGATTGCATCTGACCCTTGAAGGCCAAGAAGGGCATGGCCAGGATATTATTAGCTACATCAATAGCGAACTGAAGATCGGGAACAGTGATCTTGCAGATCAAATTCGTGCGGAACTTCGAGAAAAAGCCTCAGGAGTCTTTATGTGGGTTGTTTTGGTTGTTAGGATCTTAAACAAGGCAAGCGATAAAGGCCACATGCATGATTTACGGAAAAGATTACAGGAGATCCCAGGAGATCTTCATGAACTATTCCGCGACATGTTAACACGCGATCACGAAGGCGTCGATGAATTGGTCTTATGTATTCAGTGGATACTTTTCGCGAGACACCCTTTGCAGCCAGAAGAACTGTACTTTGCCATTCTATCCAACATTCAATACGAATGGAAACCCGAAATTACCATCTCCGGCATTGAAAGATTCATATTGAACTCATCTAAAGGGCTCGCTGAAGTTACTAAATCCGACAAGCGAACTGTTCAGTTTATTCACGAGTCCGTTAAAGACTATCTCCTGAAAGAAAATGGATTAAGAGATATTTGGCCTGAATTCGACACCAATATTTGTGGAGAGAGTCACGAACGACTAAAACAATGTTGTCAGGAATACATGGACAACAGGAAGCATGTGTTCTTCAAAAAAATAGATTCTTTTAAGAGGGTGAATTTTACAAAGGCAAAACAGCATCGCGAATTTGTGAACTCATCATATCCATTCTTAGAATACGCCATGAAAGGTGTTCTATACCATGCGAACGAGGCGGAGGCAAGTGGTATTAACCAAGCTGATTTCCTTCAGGCGTTTGAGCTTCGCGATTGGATAACTTGACAACTTCTTCGAGAAATATGACATACGGCGGCACACGGCGGATGCGAGCATTGCATATATTCTGGCCGAAAACAATATGTCTCATTTAATACGGCGCTATCCAAACATAAGATCTTTTCTCAGAGTGGAAAACGAACGCTACGGTGTTCCAATATTTGCAGCGCTGGCTGCTAATAGTAAGGAATCTGTTAAAGTGTTCCTAAATGCCTACGTGGAGATTGATCCTGAACTTCGGGATATCATCGACGACTATTACCGCAATGGAATTAAGCGGAATAGCTTTGGCCGCAACTTCAACTTCTTCTCAAAATCCAGTTTCGACGATCTTATCAAGAAAGAGGAGTTCTTGTCCGCCGCCTTATACATGGAACTCGATACCTTTCATAAGGACACAGATAGAGAAAAGCTCCAATCTTATGCCTCCGGTGTTGTTAAAACGGGCAACATGCCTATGCTGAAATTCATTTTCAGCAAAGGCGTAAAAGCTGATAGACTTCTTACTGATGCTGTAATAAGCAATCATGAGTCTGTTGCCGAACTATTGATAAAAAGAGGCGAAAACGTTAATACTCTTGGTGAAGAAGCCGAACCTCTTCTCTGTATTGCAGCGAAGCTTGGTAATTGTTCCATGATAGAAGTATTGCTTGACGGCGGGGCGTATATTAACGCGAGAGATGAATTTGGTCGCACGCCGTTATCCATTGCTACAGAGGATGCCAACGAAAATACCATTAACTCGTTACTCCGACATGGCGCCGATATTAATTCTCAAGATAACTACGGAAGGACGCCGTTATCATATGCAGCTGAGCATCATGTTGCAGTTCCGGCCCTTCTATTAATTTCTAAAGGTGCAGAAATCAATACAAAAGACAACAACGGAATGACACCATTGTCATATGCAACTAAGCATTGTGTTAAATCATTAGCACACCTGTTGATTTGTCAAGGTGCAGAAATCAACATAAAAGACAGCAATGGAAAGACGCCATTGTCATATGCAGCTGAGCATTGTGATGAATCATTAACAAGCCTGTTGATTTCTCAAGGTGCAGAAATTGACGCAAAAGACAACAATGGAAGGACACCATTGTCACATGCGGCTGAGCATTGTGCTCTAAGTTTAGCCAAGCTATTAATCGCTGAAGGTGCGGAAATTGACGCAAAAGATAACAACGGAAGGACGCCATTATCATATGCAGCCTCAAGCTTTCCCGGAGATTTGATGATTATGCATTTACTTGACTGTGGTGCAGATATTCACATAAAAGACATTACCGGAAGGAAACCATTATCATACACACCATCTTTTCAAGTTAAGAGATGATTTGAGAGAGGATATGTTGTAATACTGTACTACTTCTGGAAGACTATTGGTAAAACTCAGCGGATGATATTGCTGAGTAAATGCTTATTATATGGGACGCTTTGGATTATGTGCGCATTGCAAGTGAGTATATATCTCGATTAATAGCAGCAAGATGTAAATATAAGAGAAGACATACAACGATTGGCGTTCGCCGTGACTACCTCTGACAGCTAATCTACCTCTTGCTGGCCTGACACTGGTATAGTTAGCGTCCAAGGGCTTCTGCAACTTATGGTGAAGTTCCATCGCGATGAATGAGAGCGCATTATTGATATCAAAAGTAATCACTATGTAGCTGGTCCTAAGCATAAGTCGAGTTATGATTCCTTTAAACTTTCCACCACAAATCAATCTCACACTCTTTACAAGCACTGTGAGTAGTACGAGTTCAGGACTTTACAAGTAAAGCCAGTAGCACATTGTGTGGGACCAGTCCAACCAATACCACCACACTGTCCGTACTGAGTCTGGGTTGGGCCGGGAGAGCTGCCAGTTTTAGTGGAGGAAGTGCCTGCTGTTGAGGACGGAGGCGGAGTCGAACCCCCCGAGGAGAGCTTGCTGTTGATAAAAGCGAGGGCTTGCTGGCCATACTCCTGGCCGTAACCTTGGTGAGTGTTTGCGTCGTTTCCGTTGCAGCAGTATGGGTCTGGAGCATCACAGTATGACTGGATCTTAGACGCGCTGGGGCAAACAAAGCCAGCGGGACGGGGGTCAAACTGGTGAAAAATGACGAAGTTAGAAAACAAAGGTCTGTAGAGGCTGGCCAATTTCTTAACACGGCGAATACTTACACCCTGAGCAGTGCAGGTTCCAACATTGTATGACAGTCCGTGGATATTTCGAGGATCTCCCATAAAGATGGCGGCCTTAATAGCAGCGACTGCTCCTGCAGATATCGGAACAGCAGTGTTAGGATATCCTTCGCCGGTGTCACCTCCTCCACAAAGCGCATCATCAAAAATTTGGCCGCCCTTTCATATAACTCATAAGCATCTGGTTTAATGTAAAAGAGATAGAGCGAGAGAAGAGAGACAAACCTGCGAGTATCCGACCAACACCAACTGAGTGTCTGGGCAAGAGTTGTGGAAGTTGTTCACTGCCGTGGCTACGGCGTTGATACCGGCTACAACAGAGGCATTGTACTGAATGCCGCCACAAGAGGCCTGACCACCGCAAGCTGGATAGACAATTGCCTCAGATGTAGTTCCAGGATGGGCTGCGATGACCAAGTTCACAACAGTAGCGGAGGAGCCATATCCTGGGCCTACTGTGGTCTCACGGGCACCGAAGACATGAATTCCCGGGCATTGTCGTTTCTGAACAACCTCACCCTCTACTGGGCTAGCAGTAGCAAGAAGAGCTTGGCCCAGCAAAAAGGAGAGGGCGTTCTTAACAGAAGGCATGTTTAGCTTTATAACAGAGATGTTGAACCTAGAAGCTTATGTTGTAAGATGCTCATTGTTTGAAGGATGAATGACGTTGGGGGCAGGTAGGAGGTTATATAGCATCGAGAATTTCAACAGGGACCTATATAGGCATTATTTACTGACGTCGTTCAAATTATCCAACATTTCATATTCATCATCGCCTTGTTCCATACAAAAGCCCCAATTTGTTCTAGTTACTGTTGTATTCCGTTCCCCCAGACATTCATCCTCACACTCCCACGTGTAGAATTAGGCTAAATCACATCTCATGGTAGCCATATATCCCGATTGGACTCTTGACTCCTAGAGTATTACATTTGCCATAAATATTCACTATTGGCAGGCTAATCTACACCTACTCAGCCGGACACACGTTAGATCTGCAAAGGTCAGTCGCGACCACCCGATAGCTTACTTGGATTCGAATGAGCCGGCATTAGGCCGCTGCTGGCAGTCTTGCTCACGGCATTGGGGATGATTCGGCACGAAGCGTAATGGTTAACCTGTTTTGGTAATGCCCTTGAACCGACATTTGAGAATTTTAGGCAATATTCTTGTCGTGTCATTGACGGTAGATGAAGATGGCTGTACCCCACAACAAGCCTCTCACATGCAGCATCATGCCACGTACGCCTAGACGCTTTTTCCAAGCAGTTTTGAATGTGAGAGCTGAAGATATCTTTTTTTTTTTGTGCAAGTCTCATCCCTAATCTGTTCTTGTATCCTCTTTTGTGGCAGCTCTGTTGGCTTCGAAATCTCAGACTCATTACCTCCCGATACTGCTCATACCGGAGGATACTTCTTCAACATATCGCCGAGCATCGAAGATTCGATTTTTATATATGAGACTGAAGATTCCATCATTGAGTGGCCAAATAGGCCTCTCTATATTTTAGTTTGTCTTGATTACCTTACTCGAAACTCGTTTCCATCCTGTCGCTTTTGGCGCACTTGGACTGCTGATAATCGATATTAACGAGACTTTTTCGAAGATGAACGATATTTATCGCTTTATTCCATTTCAAAACTAGTACTTAAGTGATGATTTGTTTGAAGAGAAGCATTAAAATCTGGACTCTAACATTTGATAGTGCACGATGCTGCTCACTTTCTTCTTCCTCTATCGCTACCCAATAGCTTCAACTCTTCGTTTGCATATGAAATTATTGCTAATGGCTATGCGAATTATCTATATGACTATATAAAGCGTGTATCTACCTTAGTATATGTTCAGGTGGTTTACTCAATCTGGTTTCTTAGATTGAGCTGACTTCCGAATCATGTAGTGTTCTATCCTAGGCTTATTCCCCCGACAAGTTACTTTCCATAATCAATCTAGCGAACCGCTATTATAATTTGGCAGCGTCTAGCCTGCAAGCTAGATGCTGTGGTCATAAGGGCTAGTTCATGGCATAAGCCCCAAACTCTACAAAGAGAAAGAGAGAGAAAAGGACAAAAAGAACAAAAGAACAAAAATAAACTAATTGTAAGAGCTTGATGGGATCTTATATATCCTGTAGATATAGTCGCATGTACTTGAAGTGGCAAGCGGTCTATAAAATGTTGCTCTATTCAGTTGACGGTCTGTCGTCAGAGACTATGCAGAGTCACTTTGGGCTTGTTGGCACCAGGGGTCAAAAGACTGGAAGAAATGATTAAATACGAATTGTAGTTGTTATAAAATGTCTAGAGTGGTACGTCAATGCCGTATTTTTCATAATCGAATTGCTCCAGACTCGATATGCGTTCGGCCCAATCATCACCAATTTCCCCCAGTTGCCAAGTGTCTCCAATCTCCACCAATCCCGTCCTTCCAGCGAGCACGGTATCCTCCCTGTCTTGATACTCGATCGCCAAATCTGGATGCGGTACCCAAATGACTCTCATTCCAGCCCGTCTCCCAGCTTCTACTCCAATGATGCTATCCTCAAAGACTAAGCATTCGCTGGGCAAAATGGGCTTTGCATCAGGACCAGCGGTCGTGTTTAGCGCCTGCAGGGCTATCAGATACATGTCTGGTGCTGGTTTCCCTCGACCCTTGGGAACTCGTGGGTCATCGCCTAAAATCCGTTTATCGGGCTGGAAAGTGTCAAGTAGTTGCTTTGTTTCTGGCCGTGTAATTTTCAACTCATAGCTGTTGCTCTTTGTAGTGGACGCTAAAGCCAACTCAATTGGGTCCCCCAAAGAAGCACTCCGTGCACGGCTCAGATTCGACAAAAGCTTCACCGCACCAGGCAGCGGCTCGCAGTTCGGAAACAGCTTGTGCATCTGCTCACTTGACTCACGGGCGAATTGCTCGCGAGGGATGGGCAACTTTGCCCAATTGTGAAAGACATCGCCATTTGTAGAGTCTGGGATACCCATGAGCTGAGCACGGATAGTCCGAGTAATGGCCGGCCTTGAGTATTTTTCCAGAAGTAGGTTGATAGACTGAGTGATTATGTCCTCCGAGTTGATGAGCAGCCCGTCCATGTCGAAAATACAAGCCCGGATTGGCGGAAAGCTGCTGACAACATGTCTATTGTTTAGCTTCTGTCTATAGGAATAATGTTACGTGGACTCTGAAGCAGATGACCAATAACGACTCTGCTTAAGACCACCTTCGGATGCCGTGTGGGAGATCACGCACTCTGTCTTACGCGGAGCCATGATTCCTGACTGGGCTGACGCGGGAATTGATCCAAATTGACAGGGCCAGGAGTTAGACGAAGAAGGAAACTCGAACGGGTTGTCAAGTTCGACTTGAGTGTAGACTATGTTTCCTGCGATAGGATCTGGAGATCATACTCTTAAAAGATTCCGGTGTCGGCCAACCAACTATGACACTCAATGTAAGCAACAGCAAAAGTCTATGTTACACTCTATAAAGCTAGGAGGAGCCGCTCTCACGTGGTCGTAGAGAGACTGATAGCTCAGGTTTCCAACATAACTCTAGCGCCCGACGCCGTCGCGCCACAGCCGATGTCACTAGGAATCGTCTCAGAACTAATTATAGGGGAAATAGATTGAATATTGCGTGTTTTGGAGGGTCGCCAACAGCAAGCGCCGGTCGGGACAGGCATAGCGTCTCCCAAGTTTGCTTCTGCCCCGCCACTAACTTCAGCTTATCCGCGGCCTTTTCCGTTTGTTCAACAGTATAGACTATTTATCACTCTCTTCACTCGCACACTTGCATGGATTGTGATCCCTACTTATGTCTTGTGTGGTTAGCCCTAAGCAGTATTACAGCTTATTATGCTGAGCCCTGTAATGGCCTCATGCATCGGCGCAAACACTTGTCCGTGAGCTGGTGACCATAGTACCGGGTTGCCGAGGGATACAGCCTCGTTCAGCTGTGCTCTTCATATATAAAGGCTGGGCGCTGTGTCAGCTTTTGTCTCGATCATGTACCCCGACTATTCTATTCGGCCCTTGTTCGACTGTCCGCCGCGTTGACCATCGCGCTGCATTGTGCGGTACCAAGGCCGCGTGTAATATGACAACCAGTCTACAAATAATGTTACTCAATAGGACATGGAACGCAGAAAGGTCGCCTGTAAGGATTAACGCTTCATCGAAGTGACAGCAAGACACGGTTTACTTATTGACCTCACAATAGCTTCGCCCGAAAACTATACCCGAGCAATCATCTCGCTCTCGAGGAGATATTCAAGCACCTCTGTCTTCCCAGGAAACAATTTCGTCGATCTTGGAGAATGGATGCTGCAAGACCGCAGCCTAATTCACCCAGCAAGTCCGAGAGAAGAAGCGCCTTTATTTGTTTCCAAGTCAGAAGAGCCCCATGACTTAGTTATCGTGTACAACAGTGGGGAAAGAAAGTGGGATATGCAGCAGTATGGTCAGCACGAGCATGAAGCCTTTTCCGCGGTCACATCTATTCCGCCGGGAGGCGCGGGGCAAATAGTCTTCATTCGGGGCTTCATCTCGCCGTCATGGGTGTCAGCAATTGGCAGCAAATATGGCATCGACCCGGAATTCTTCAGGCGACACATGGACTTTCTTTCTGCGAGCATTGATAGACATGCATATAGTACGCCATCACTTCCTAGTTCTTCGAAGAACTTGTTTCGACTTTGTGTAAACACTCTCCTTCATCGCGACGATTTCGGCGGACAGGATCTTCAGTTGCAGCGCTCGAAACAAGCTGCTGAACTTGCGACGTATAAAATACAACAACTTGGATCTACCCGAGTCTGTTGCGGAGACTCGTTGGTGCGCGAGTATTCCACAGTTTGCTCTTCATTCTCTGTGATTGAACAATGGATTTCACTCTGTATTACCAAGACGGAGAGTGGCTGGGCTGGTAAGACATGATGCTAGTTCCTGTTAGAGAAGGGAAAATGTACTGAAAACATGACTGCAGTTATTGCTTGGATGGACCAAGGTAGACCCTTAGAGAAATCTCCTCCGGGACCGTGGACGAGTCACATCGAGTCGAAAGCCACGCCACTTCCCGTTCTTCAACACCATCCCAAGATGGCATTTCGAACAACCACAAATCGTCTCGATCCGGATGCAAATGTTTCATCGCAAATACAACAAAGTACCGCCATTCTACCTTTACAATACGACTCACTGGTTGCGCTTGTCGATTTGGCCCGTCGAGCACCACAAGATCCGCTTTCTATGTGCATCCCATTATTCGCACACGCAGCCTTTTCCGAGGTTCAGTTCTTGAACCTTATCGAGTCTAGGATCCAAATCCAGATAAATACTATCGTTGAAGGGGTTTCAACTGATGCGCTGGGAACCCTTCAATACTTTTCTAATATTCTCACTCGTCATGCACAGCAGCTGAAAGATACTTCTCTCGTACTAAACAAATTAGCTGAAAGAAGCTACCAGATCTTCGGCAGAGCCAGGGCGGAAAGTCCATTGCCTCCAAGTCTAGGAGTTGGCACACGGCGGCAGCCATCCGATTCTGACACAGTCAGAAATTTCGGATCCAGTAGCTCTGACGGCACCTTTACAACAAGAGGTGTTCTAGATGACTATGAAGAGCTTCGTATTCGTTGCATTGAGTTGTCAAATCTCTGTACCAGCGGCATAACTCTGGCAATGAACAAAGCCACAATTGAAGAATCTAGGAAGGCCATTGAACAGTCAGAACGGGTCAAGAAGCTCACCATTCTTGCGACGCTCTTTATTCCTCTCAATTTTAGTTCTAGTCTGTTTGGTATGAATGTTGATCTGCTAGGGCAGAATGCGGTAAGATTTTGGTGGTTCTTTGTCTTGTGTGTCCCGATTACATTGTTCGCCTATGTATTTTATCTCTGGGACTACCAATATCTGAAACAGCACTGGACGAGACTCTGGAAAAGTCTTTTATATACTAGGAGAAAGAATAACGCTGGAGGAAGTGATAAAGACCCAAGCCATACGGTATAGTATTGTGGGCTGATGAAGTGGATTGGCACCTGATACCTCGAGTAGAGTGGCTATTCAACTCTCCAAGCATATCTGTAAAATAGATATTCGCAAGGGCCGTTGTAGCACTGTATAGGTATGTAGCATTATTTAAGTTGGGATGCTGTTTAGCTACTTACAATCCCAATTGATGAAGCGTCATAATAATCATCAAATTCTTTACATTCTTTCATCCCAATAACTAAACAAAGGCGGTGTCATGTGTCATCAACGAGCCCAAAAGGCAACAATTTCGTCAAAATCCTTAGTTGTCAAACTCTTCGCATCGCGATCTTCCTTCGTAATCTCCTTCCTCAAGCGACAGGCAACCCTAAGAGCAATAGAAGCCTTCTGTGCCTTGCCTGTTGCTTCGAACAACTTTCCCTTGAGAAAAGTCGTGCGAGCAATCTCATTCTTATGCGCTGTCGGATCTACAGACCAGATATCTAGCGCCCAGTTGATCATTGCACTAATACACGTTAGAAAGCAAACGATTGCTGTTAAAATTAAATATTGCGGCACTTACATAGCTTCTTCGTTCCGACCTAAGCGAATGTAGTGCTCAGCCAACTTGTGGAAGACATTTGCTGTGTAGAAATCTCGTTCCCCTACTGTCGCAAGCATATGGCGCCATGCTCTCTGGTGGTATTCGAAACTCTCCTCCCACCTATCTTGAGCGGCGCGAAGGTTGCCAAGTGCATAGAGGATCAGTCCAGTTCGAACAGATTCCCTGTCATCCTTTCCTAAAGCCTTCTCTCTACCGGCCAAACTATCCAGAAGAAGTGTGTCGCATTCTTCTAGTTTGCCCTGCGCGAGAAGAGCCCAGCTTAGGTTGGCCTCGCCCGACCTAGGAATGTAGTTGCCGAGCGCTTTACGCATGCGCAGCGCCTCTTTAAGAGCAGCCTCACCTTCTTCGTATCGTTTATCCTGGATGCGCGAAATGCCTAGCTCTGCGACAGCGAGGTATAACCTCTCATCTTGAGTTCCCAATTCCTTGCAAATTTTGGATACCAGTTCGAGGGAAAGCTCTTTCTGAATGCGACTCGCATTAAAATCGCTTGCATCCATGGCAACAGCCCCTAAGCAAAAATGAATATCTGCCAGTAGAGCATCTCGATCCGGATGTGTCGACGGGTCGCATATGCGGATAGCTGTAGAGAAGAAGCCGTCAAAATGTTTGGTCCGTCCCCGCTCCTTTTGATACCTAGTAACGTTAGGCTATTTATAAAACTTAGAAATTTGGAAATGTATTATATATACGTACCAAGCAGCTTCAACAAGGAGTTTTGCGAAAAGCATACTAGTTGCTTCAGAAAGATCTGACATTGTCGACCAAAGTTGGTGCATCTTGAGGACGTGAGGGTAAATTGATGCACAAACGGGCCATCTGGAGACGTGTAATCTGCCGCCGCTTGATTTGGGCTTGGGTAGCTCTGGCTCCTTTGATGGCTTAGGCATTGCTGATGGCCAATCGGCCCAAAGGATCCGAGCAACTTGGCCGAACATGAATTGTTTCTTTTCGATATCCATTGTTGTTAGAACTGCATCTTGTACTAGGCGGTGAACTGATATCTGCTGCTTTTGCTTATCCCTGGAGACTAGAGACGACTGTAACAAATCGGATCGAGCTTCCATGTAGTTACTCTTCTTGAATTGGGTGCCGTCGGAAAACAGCTCCATAGACGCTGCCATCAGCAAGTCTTCTCCTATAGCATCAGGATCAAGAAATGAGATTAGCTCTAACAATTGCCGAGCGTGAGATTTCAATTTCTCAAATGCCCAAACAGTAGATAGAGAATAGCGATAGGTGATCAAATCAGTGTCAAATTTTGTCTCATAAAGGCTGGCATGCTCTTCGTGATCTGCATAGAGCTCCAGAAATTCATCTAAGGTAAGGTCCTGGCGACGGATGATACCTGCCATCTGAGAGATGGCTAATGGCACTCCGCCAAGTGCATCGGCAATTTTTCGTGCGGTGTCGTCTTCTGCGTCATTAGAAGCCGTAGTAAGATGATTGAATAGAGATATGCTGTCTTGCTCTGATAGTGGACCGAGATCCATACCCTGAGGCCGCCTCGTAAACATGCTCTTTGCCAATGGATCCCGGCTAGTGATAAGAATTGATCCGCTCCCTTGCGGCCAGTAGTCAGCTAGGATCATGGGATCATCTGCGTTGTCGAAGATGAGCAGCCAGTTCGCTTCTGATTTCACTTGACCGGGCTGAGCAAACTCGTCCAGCCCCGACAAATTCTTTCGAGGGTTGGAGAGCCATCCTTTCACAATCTCTCGGCTTACCACTTGGCTTTTACACTCGGCCGAAGTTTCAAGCCCCAGTGCCAACGAGATTTGCTGGAAATGCTGATCAAGTTTTGCAATCTCATCTGCTATGACCCAGAACACGGCATCAAACGATTCTCTATGCCGTCGGGCAAACTCGCGCGCTATCTCAGTCTTTCCGATTCCTCCAAATCCGCAAAGAGCGAATTGTCGTAGAGCAATTCCTGATGCTGTCACAGCGCTTTTAGAAGGCAATAGTTCGGTCGCAAGTCGCTCCAAGATATCTTCGCGGCCACAAAAATCGGCATTTGAGGTATGTGTGTTGAGAAGAAAACACGGTAAATGAAGGGTTTTTCGTGTCTCGGGATTCGGCGTTGAGGGATGTACAAGTTCAAAGCCTGACAGAGACGTTCCTTCAGTTGCTCTATTAGACGGCCATTCCGTTGCGTTGTTCGAAGGCCATTCGGTGAGTTCCATTTGCTCAACTAATTCGTGTCAGTATAACGACTTGGTAAACCATGAAACTTAAAACTCACGTTTGAGGGGCATTTCGCTTATTGTGGGCGAATAAGAGCTCATTGTTGCGTACTGATATTCCTCTTGACTTTGTTAGCATTCTCGTCTCCGGGGTTTAAATATGGGTTACATACGGTCCTCGAGTCGAATTGCAACGAGCTGAACGGCATCACGCAAAGTCTCATACATGAATTTGTTGAGCTCAGATAAGCCTTCGCCTCCAACGCTCTTGGTAAAAAGGCATGTGTCGTTATGATTGAGATTGAGTCCAATCACTGTTTCCATTGGAGCGTGGGTCGAGCAAGCTTCGCGGTTGACCAGCTAGAATCTTAAATTAGCATGAATATGTCGTCAAAAGTCAAACCTTACCTGTTGGTATTTTGGGCGTAATGGCGTTGAGGTGTTTTTCGATTCACGCAGCTCGTATACAGACAGTATTGGGGTACGAAACGAGATTCCTTCGAATCGATCGGCCAGATCAAGCAAAATGGCACCTTCTTGCTCAATATTTGCGCTCGGAATCTTTAGGCTTTTCCCCGTCGTCGCCTCCAATACATCTCGAAAACGCGACAAGCTCGTGGTCTTGTCTCCATAGCGATGCGGAGTGCTTAGGAAGATGACACCAGCTATGGCATTGACAATCGATCCGTAACGAGGAAATTGCTTATTAGCGACACACAAAGCCTGCTTGACTACAATACCACCTAAACTGTGGCAGACTACCACAATTGGTTTTGTGTCGACCTAAAGCATGTGCATCAGAAAATTACCCATAGTAGTCAAAGTCCGCGTGTTTCACTTACAGAATTATAGGTTACCTGTGATCGCACATCAAGTAAATGTTGGAGAAGATCATAGCCTAACATCAAAATCGACTCCCATGATGGCTTGGTGACCGCAAATGGGGAAGCATATTCGTATGCGAGAATGCGAGCCCCAGCACCAGAATCGGGTAAGCTCGCAAGCCATTCGTGGTCGGCAAACGGCCAATTTTCTGGCGAGGTGGTTCCTATACCAGGAATAAGGACAATGCTAGAATTTGTACGTTAGAAGAGGCACTGCGCTGGATCTGGCTGTATTTGTCCTACTCGACACCATCCTGAAAATGATCACCTGGGTCTCGCAACACCTGAAGGCGGCCTGTCGTCGCGAAGCTCGTCGCCATGGCCATCTTCTCTCACCTAGCCGAGGGAGAGAAGCATTATTGAGAGTTTAATGCGACGATAAACGGTGATGTAACCGTCAGAGGAGAAGGCCTTTGCAGCCAGGCTCTGGATATCGAAGAGTAGAGACTTCGGTCGCCCGCACATCGACTGAGCCTCGTCTAGAGTCACGCACTGCGATATTAATTAATATCCGTGTGCTAATCCCGATGGGGCAAATGACGAGATAAAATATCTACAATCATCGTCTTACATTCCGTCGTAACCGTTCGTGCATATCCGTAGTATTTTCTAGTCCTGTGATTGGTCTTAATGGATTTACACTGAGCAAGCAACAACAACTTATGTTTCTGGAGGGCCCATGACGTGAACGTGATTTTCGTTTCATTTTTTTGTTATTATTCTAAATGTACATGCTCTTCTATGATCCGTGCTGTTGTTGTTTGTGAAACATAGACGCAAAAGCCGATGAAAAATGAAATACTGCGCTTGGTTCAACTTCGCTAAGCAAGGACAAGAAGCGATAGTGCATGGAGAGTAAGCAGCTGCCAAATTTCATGTGGGGAGTACCATAAAAGAGATACAAGTCGAAACTCCCGAGAAGAAGGTTGCCTTGGAGGAAAATGAATGTACTATAAGATGATCATAAGTCGGATAATTACGGAGTGGATGTAGGTGAATTTTCTCAGACATGGCTCAGCTCGGATGCTATAGCAGTTGAGTAAGTGATCCTTGCGGTACATGTATACAGATTAGTCAAATTGCATTGCCCAAATAGTCTAAACTATTTTCACTGTAGCAAACTCTTCATCCTCAAAGAGCTGACATTTTTCGCTCTCCCAGTAAGCATGATGTCCGATACCTATCCTCTCAAATGCACCGTCAACCGAAGTAGACGGCTTCAGCAGCAAAAACTAGGTTTCCGGTCCCATATTTGGCCTCGGGTTACCATAGTAATCGTTCTTGTTGACGGGTGCAGTCCACGTAAACAGCACAAGGCAAATAAGCTTCTCATCATGTTCCTCCATCGTCCATTTACAGCAGTCATCTCCGTGCTGGCATGCACCTTTCATCCAGCAATCCCTCTGCCGCTCTCTAGAGAAAATTGTCAAGCTTCTTGGTCGGTCCAGTTTCACCTTATAGGAGCGTAAATTTGCAGATCTCACATATGCTCTGGCCATTCCACCTGAGTCAAGCATTACAGCCAGCTTCACACGAGATACAAGACCTGTCAAGATGGCCTCGCCACTCACAACGCTGCTCGTTTCGTCGTTTGCAACTTCCCTCAGACATGTAACACTTTCCACCTTGACGCATTCTATGAGATGAGGGGTGTGCTTCCAAATGTCTACCGGCTCGTCGAATTTGTAAGTCACAGGCGCGTTAACAGATGCCCATGACCAACTTGGGATACCCGATTTCTCCGTTATGCTCTGCTCCGCAATGGGTGATTTTACCATCTATGCGAGGTCATAGCGAAATTCTCGTCTCCATAGGCTCGCTAGATACTCTTCAGGGTGCCCATCCCCTTGACTTAGCGGATCATCTGGAAGACCTTCACGAGCCAACATAGCCAACCCAGAGACAGCATTCAACTTATCTTTTCGGAGAATAAGGTCGCGTTTTGTGTACTCCACCACAATGTCTCTCCATCTTTTATATGGGTTTTGGGGATACCCTGGGCAGCTTCGGACATAGTCATATCTGTCGTACTTATGAAAAGTATGCCATGCTGGCTGCGGACGAGAGAGCACTACATCTGCTTTCAAACGCTTCAACTTGAGATGTGTTCCTAAGCGCCCAAACCCAGAAGATTGAGGCTTCCACAAGATGTGACCGCACTCACATATTGTTCGACACAGACACTGCCAAATCATCTCGTTGCCGTTGAAGCACAACCGACGGGTTGGTATTAGACTTTCCTGAAGAGACCATCCTCGCTTATCGAGGGAGCTTCTTGACAAGTCTTCCTTGTACTCAGCGTTTTCTTCAAGGCGTGGTCTCACAAAAACTTCAAGAGGTGGCTCCTTCGGGTTGAGTGGGATGCCAGCGGTAAAACAACTCTGCCAGGCAGGGTGCGCGAACTTCTGGGGTCCCAGAAGTCGTGACTTGCATTTTGCTGGTTCAAGAGCTGCAATTGAAAGCCGAGAATGTAGATATATGCGGTTCAGTTCCGCTGCGTCACCGCAGCAATCAACGGAATCGTCGTGGATGATACACAAAGAGTCCACCCATAAGCTGCGGATTTTGAGGCCGCGGCAGACTATTACGGCGTCTCTTATACCAAGAGGTACCTTGGACCATGGAATTGACTCATAGTGCGCTTCCAAATTCTCCGCAGTTGTCCGCAAAACATCTTCGGTATCGGGTCCCCCGCAGTAGCTTAGGCATGCGTATGGTGTCACTTCAGTGGGTTTATAGAGAAATGGATTTATAGCATCATCTTCAGAACCGACATCTATAAGCAGCTTGGGCATAAACTCTGTGTTCGGTACCTCACACGCCTCATCGTGCTCAAGGCAGTGAGAGAGCCATTGAGAGGCGCGGTTAAGAGCAGCCTTGGAAGATGAATCTGAGAGAATTTTCATGGCTTGAGCCCGAGGTCTTCGCAGGATATCGGTAGACCCGGGCTTTGGATCCTCTGGTTTCTCTGGTTCATAAAAGGGTGCATCTATACAAGGGTAGTTAGTATAGTAGGGAAGAAGTAAATGCATAAACAAATCTGTGATCTGAAGAAGACATCCTACGCAGCATACCCTTTGATCGGTGAAGCATCTGAAATGAGCCAATTGAGATCCTCTTTGAAAAGAGTTTAACAGTGTAAGTGCTCCATTTCTCGACACGCACCCATTTGCCGTCCTTGTCGGCATTGATCCAACCAGGCTTGAAATTGTACACAGCTTGGAGTAGTAGGTTGCATTCGACGCACTGTGTGGCCTCTTTGACGAGAACTTGCAACCTCACATTGACCGCGATCTTCCCATTGGCCCTGTACAACACTTCGGCTGCCGATCGATGACGACCAAACAGCGAATGAGGACATTGGTCATCGAAATGGTCGTCCGCGTCTCTGGAAGTGAACAAAAAATAAAAAATAAAAAAGAGCACCACTAGGTCGAAATTTCTCAAGTCTAACTCTTTCATTCTGATCAAATTGCACTTCTGCTTGAGTCAATCTGCTCCATACAACTCTACACCCCTCTATATAAAAGGTGCATGTTCTCACATGTCCCACAATACTGCTGATGGCAGCCTAGCGATAAACCCCTCCAAGGATTGCGATGGATGGTTGTCATCCCCGCTCACTTGTCTGACATCAAACTGGCATTGCAGTCACAGCTACCGGACTAATGCTAGCTGGAATTAATATGTCAAAATCTGCCTATCGAGTTAGAGATTGACCAATGAGTACACACTCCCATCTTCCGATCCCTGTCTCTTGGAAGTCCAGCTGCCGTACACCGCGACTTTGAATCCCACGGTTCAAACACGAGCCCGGGATATGCATACAGGTTCGGATCCTAGGACTCTTTACGCGGAACTAACGAGCCGCAATTTTCCGCAATTTCTGTTATTAGAAAAATGGCTTACAAAATAATTCGAACTAGAAAATGGACAGTTCACCTTCTCCACGCCGTCGGCACAGCGGCGATCAGCCGCCTCGGAGATACAGAGGTATCTCTGCTGGGACTTCCAACAGTAAACGGCTGAGCTCACCCAAACCGGATTTCCGTCCCTTTTACGAAAATAACTATAGAAATAAACTAAATTTTGATTCTCCCTACGAAGAATTACCCATACCAGAGGATCCAGCATCCTGGGAGTCTCATTACAGCACAGAATCTTACAACAGTCGAAACGCTTCATCAGGCACACCACCCCTACCCAGTGGTGGTAATGTTGCTAGGGAAAATGTCAGCAGTAGACCTAGCTTTGTTGAAGGGATTGAAAATGACGGGAAAAAAGCTGAAGAAGTTGAGGACGCCGGCCTGTCGTGCATAGTGACTCTTCCAAGCAACAACAAACAAAGCTTGCCTTACACAAATCTCACAGACTCGAACTCAGTGTGGAAAGTAGGAAAGAGCTACGATAAAAAGATTGGTACAACGCATCTCCAATCAATTTATTCAATAAAGTATTCCATAGGGGAGATGGGACAAGAAAAGATTACGCTCTTTTGCCCACAAGGCCCTATCAAAGACGATGACGATTCAGCAGTGGTGCAAGCCAAATGGCTGTAAGTAATCATATCGCCTCTTAAACTCTCCTCGGAGAATTGACTCTTTGGCTAGCCATGTTCAACGTTCTTCAAGGAGCGTCAAGGTCCTGGAGGTAGGATGCCATGGCTCATTGTTCCTGACTGCACTGACTAATGCTGATGTAGAAGCTCGTCATGGATTGCCCAATAATTAATGGAGATATTCGGAGAGTTGCCATTTTACTACTTGAAGCTGTCGAAAGATCCTTCCTCCGAGAAGCAGAAAATGGAGCATACATAGAGCCGGGTTCGGTTGTGCGTTTTACTGGCACTCGTCACATGCCTCACGACTCGAGCAATTTTGTGGTCACAGAACCTGTCATTTTTATTGCGTTCCCATTTGTGGAGTTGGCGTCATCGAGAAATACCCACGGGTCTCGTGAAAGAGATGAATACTATCCTCGAACTCTCCTTCAGAACCTTTACGGATTTGACGTCGTCACAAGCAGGGGCAAGCATCAAGTTATACACAAGATGTCGGCGGGCAGTCAGCCAAATGATACCTTATATGTCAATCAATTGTGGTGTCTTGTGATAGGGTCAGATATCCTGATAACCCTTTCAGACCGGCCAACGGACGATTTGCTGGGTGGATCAATTGAGAAACGTACCGACTATTTCAAGCAACCCTTAAGAATTGAGGTTATCGATACAAATGGCTCACAGCATAGCATGAGTATATCGTCAAAGACGCCATGGGTAGATCTCTTCCGACATGTGATATTTACCGTTCACGGTAATCTCATGAACATTATGGACTATGAGTTAGTGGACGAGGCAGACGAAGTAATAACGGCAGAAAGATGGGTTGAAATCGCAAAAGCAACGAAACTATCGCTACTTAAATTTTATCTCACCGAGCGAAAGACCCCAGCATCGCGCTCATCGAGTGTTTCTAGTCGAATCAGCAATCGTTCGGGCATTAGAAGACTTTTATTACTTGATTACGCACATCGCGACCGTCGCCACGGCTCAAAGGCCAGCACATCACGCCATTCTGAGGATAGATATGATGCGGATTCGTCTTCTGGCGAAAGAAGAGCGGTATCGAAAAGAACATCAACGCCAAGACCGCCTAGACATGGAAGGCCTCCCATCAACACTCGATCGTACAGTGAGCCCGCCGAGATCAAAGATCAAAGATCCAGAATAGAGGCAGAAATCTACCCAAAAGCCGAGAACAAAAGTCTTCCAACCATAATCACGCTTGACAGCAGCGACGAAAATTATTCCGAGCCCGAACGGGCAATTACATCGATGCGCGACTCTCAAGATGTGGGCAATAATGCTAGAGAGTCTCGCCAAAACGATGCCTCTCCGTACAATACATTCACACCAGAGAACCAGCAGTCGCCATCATCAGGCTATGTTGGCGAGGACATCCGCTATATGGGACCTCCGTCAAAGCATGACGATTCCTCGATGCACGAGCTACGAGCTATTGTAAGCGACATTGAAGAAAAGAAAGAAACTCTCACTCATCTCGAAGATCATTTTTCCTACCTTGGTGATGACGGCAAAGTCAAGGTATCCGAAGAAGAGGCCCCAGATGTACTGTTGCTGAAAGATACAGTCAGTTCCGCTGAGAATCCCAACATTCAAAAAGGAGATGATGAGTTACACGAACATAAAGAGACACCTTCAAGTCAATTGAATAGACCAGCAACGGCATATCAAAAAGTCCAGATAGAGGATGGATCTGAGTCTTCTGATGAGGACAAAACCGATAGACACACATACGACGATCCAACTCACGCTACTTTACAGGATACGACATCCGAGCTCAATCTAGATGATGATGACGACTTGATGCTAAAGAGCCAGAGAGGCCATTTTTATCCGTTCATCTCGCCTGATTTCGACAACCGGGAAAATACTTCAGAGAAAGGGTATTCTCTTAGAGATAGCGCCAGCTTTCCGCAGAGCGATTCATACAAGGGGCTCCGCTCACGATCCCGTTCTCTCTCAAGCTCCACAGATCATTCATTCTATTCGCGTGGAAGAACTCGTACGAGGAAAAGACGAGCTTGGAAGCGGGACAGTCCAAATTTGGTTCACGATTCTTCTTCGAGACCAGGAGTCCGCTTTCACCCCCAAATACAATACTCCGACTACCACGAAAATGCAGAGATGTCTCCTTACGGCAGTTCAAATGTTACCAAAGTGGAAGCGCTACCCGTACAAACAGCTGTGCCATTCTTTTTCTGGAAACAAAGCAGCGTCGCAAGCACATTCTCATCTCACGACAATGCAGAGCAGACCCTGATTAAGCTGCTTGATCAAATTGATGAGCGGATATCCGACGATCCTATTAGCAGGTACTATTCGAAAATTCCAGAATTGACTATGGATGATGTATTATCGAGACAGGAGTCGCTTCACGAGCCGGTCTTGGAAAATGACTTGGGCATCGGTCAGGGTGAATCTATCCAACCGAATAGTCTGAGTGCACAAGAAACGGTGGATTTGAGGACAGCCAACATATTAGGGCTCCGTTCCCCTGAAGATCAAACTGAAGTGCTGAATAAAGAGAGCGAAGACAACAATGCCGAACCTTTGGAAGCGCTCGGCACAAGGGTGGACAACGATCCAACAAACGCTGAAGTTCAGAGAAGCGACACTAAGCCCACATCTCACAATACATTCAATTCAACAAACAGCTCACCAGGTCGACAATCCAATGGAGAAACAAAATTTTACCAAACGCAGGCTCTTGGTCTCATAAGCCACGACAAAACGCTCGTTAAACAACTGGTTGGCATGAGCCAGCAGATTGTATGGTCATTCATACCAAACACGGGCGGGTCCAGGATACATACCTTGATGAAACGACTTTGGGGTTGTGTGGATATGATGTGCCTGGTGAGCGATTTTCATCTTCCGTCTCTATCACAATTCACCAATACTGATATAATTTGATCGACGGCAGCAACTTCTCTGGGAAGAGAGCCAGAGAGGACACGATTCTGAGTGCACATACATCATACGTAATTTCTCGAACCAAGTCAAGAAAACGGAGCACAAAAGACGAAAGCCAATCTCAGGAAAGATACATTATCTGGTTTGTGGAGATTGCAAGGCCGCAAAACCTTACCAATCAGCCAAGGATGCCTTGGATCATTTGCACGAAAAACACATTGACTGCCAGCATGGTGGTTCCGAGCGGCCGTACGACGACCCTTGCTATGTATGGCTGCATCGCATTTGGCACGATGGATACCCTATGCGGAGTTCGCGAGATGGACTCCTGGGGATCGTGGAGGATTTTATCGAGGAGCTTTCTTATATCAGCGACTACGTGAGAGAATTGCACAATATGACGGCAAGAGATTCTTCAGCGAGCGATACAGTATCAACGCCTCCTCTATCCGGGAATATTACTCACGCATTTCAACAAATTGTCAAAATGTTCATCTTTCGCTCAAAACAATTGTCGCTGGTAAATCGGCGGCGAGACTTGATCAGTGGAAGTTCATTGGAGAATTTTCCGTTGATTCAACGCATTGATCGGAAGATTGAAGAGCTTCTGTCCCTAGAAATGGATGCAAACGAACGCATCATAGATCTTTTAGAGAGCGCCAAGAAAGACATTTTCCTATCTGGCATCGGATCTCATTCGGAGATACTTGAGGCTGAGAGTGTCCGAGTCCAATTTCTCGCCTTAGCATTCATGTCAGGAATCCAACGGCCTCTTCTGCAGCCATCGTTTATGGGTCGCTCTTATGCAAAGGATACTCTTTTGCAGCTGTATAAAGAGTACACTTCTCGGCTTCATTTCCAAGCTAATAACCGGCCTCGGAAACGTGTTTTCTTAGATATCCATGGCCTCGAAGAAGAGCTTCAAGCGTTGGATAAATTGGTCGACAGCCAAGAAAGCTGTCTTTATAACGTTTTGACTGTTATCGATCCTCTCACTTCTCGATACACTACAGAGACGCGACTCCGAGAATTTCGGGCAGAAGTCCAATACGGCAATGTTCAATTACACCAACTGATAGAAAGACGGCGAGAAATTGACAATTTGGCGACAAGACTCTGGATTTTGAAGGATCAAGTGAAGCAAACGATTGAGATTATGGAAGAAGACCATGGAAAAGCGATCCGAGTTTTTACTGTCGTTACTCTATTTTTTCTGCCGTTGTCATTTGTGTCAAGCTTCTTCGGCATGAATACGGTAGACGTGAGGGATTCAAATTGGAACCAGCAGATCTTTTGGATTACCGGAATACCAATGACAGTAGTAGTTTTATCTCTGGCGTGGATTTACGGCTACAAAGGTGAAGAGATCCGTGATTGGATGATTCACAGAATGCAAGATCGAGGTCGGCAATATTGGCCATCAACGTATCACCATATGAGCAGTCGGACATCGCTTGATAAACGATGGAAGGAATGGAATCCAGCGACAGTGGTGAACCAAAATAGAACGGATAGACAAGACTTTAAGACTCTAATAAGGAGCAAAGTCCAGAATGTACCCGGCTGGCGGCGCAGCACTAACGAGAATTTTAAAGGGCTTAATGGGTCCGACGAGAGATTTATGATGAGAAGACGAAACACGGAAGATAGTTTGGCACCAATGAGGTGTTGATAGATTCATGGATAGTCAATGGAAGAGAACTGGGGGAGAGCAGAGAGTCTACAACTAGCACCTCCATCGAAAATGTGATAATTCTAGTACGTGATCAGTAATGAGGGATGAGAATATAATGAAATAGCTTGCAGATGCATCAACAATATAATAACTTGAGACTCTCCTCCTCACCATCATATACAATAAAATTGAACGATTGAGCAAAGATGTTGGATGCGTCTAAAGCACGGTGCAGCTGGTGTACCACCCGCACTTTGGCACGTGGTCAAAATCCGTAGCTATAACATATATGCCATTCTTGCTATTTGACAGGCTTTCAACATTTGGAATTTTATATATACATCCTGACTCTATCATTAGCATTCCGTGTTCTGCTTACTTTCGCACGACTGATTCTTGCGTCCAAACTCAATTTCGGCCCAGTTCTCATCAGACCAGCTTAAGCCCCGGTTGCAATGATCTCTACTGCTGCAGTTGGTGACGACGATATGGAGCCTGAGTGGCCTATGGACCTGTAAAGAAGAGACAACATTTCCACATCATATAGATATGCTAACCGCCTCAAAGTGACGACGCATTGCATTCCACCTACATGTCCATCTATTTACAGACGGACGATTTGGGGGCGGGGATGTGACTAAGCGCCCAGCCGCCAGACCAAGATCTGGAGGCTATTACTAAAAGTCAAATGGGCCAATCTTTGTCACGATCTCCCAGTTCCAATCCCTCCACGGAACAAGAGTGGATTTCGACAGCTCTGTTGGCGCTTAAGCCTGGCGCTTCCACTGCCAGTAAGAAGAGAGACGGAAACGGGCCTCATGGCCGGCGCCTAACCAGAGACGAACTGTTGCCTAAGAGCCTCTTGGGTCATTATCTATCCTCTATCCCCATTCTGCGAGCTGAAAAGAGAGGGAGCTCTCGACATATCCTCAATTCCACATCTTCATTAGCTAGCACTGAGATAACCGGCATCATGGCGGAAGCTATCGGGATAGCATCCGGACTGCTAGCACTGGGCCAGTTCGCTTTCCAGTCCAGTGTCGCTCTCTATGAGACAATCAACAGCTATCAATCTCACCAACAACGTGTGCGCGAGCTCGCGGAGGAAGCGGGCGCCCTGAGTGAGGTGCTGGACTCGCTGGTTGAGACAGTCAAGGCGACAACCGACATTGATCTTTCTTCGCTTGAGGTGCCTCTGCGACAGTGCGGCAAGGCCTGCCAAACCTTTGAGCAGCAAATAAAGAAGGTCTCGTCAAGATCTACCGGCACTCGGACAAGTCTCAGAGATTGGGCAAAGCTGCGATACATGGGAGAAGACATGGATGGCTTCAGGCGACTGCTCGCCGGCTACAAGATGACCATCACAATTGCCCTCACGGACGCAAACCTGTAAGTGCTCTGCATTTCTTGCGTCCATCCATGACATATCTAACTTTATTATCTTGAGCAGTCGCAGATCCGCCGCCACTGCTGAAAACATAGAGGGCTACAATGATCTCATATGTAGCGCTAGAGAGCAGTTTGAAGATCGTCTCGAGGGGATAAATGAAAAGCTTGACGAGCTACTTGGGAAGAGCGTGTCAGATTCTACTCTGGATACGTCTGAGCTGATGCAGATCAAGGAGGAGAAATTGAGCACGGAAAAGAGTCTAGCGATTGTCGCCCAGCTGTCCAGTCACATCGCAGAACTTCAAGTCAAGTATGCGAGAGATCCTGCCGCGAGCACAGCTGGTAGTTCCAATAAGGGCTCCATGTCCGAGAAGATTACCCACGAGGGTTTGCAAGAGTGCCAACACAGCCTTACACGCATGGCGGCGAAACTGAAGGAACACGAGAGGCTTCTCTTCAATCGGCTGACGGAAAAGATGAAGGCCTCAAGTTCGACCCCAGAGGAAGCGGCCGATATTGCCCGGTTAAGAGAAGAGTGGGAGTCAACCTTTGAGTCCATGAATATCCTATCCAAGGCAGGATCTTATTTTGAGAAAGAAACCAGCGTGATAGAGAACCATGCGACCGGCGACGCTCACCAGATCATGGTCGCCACCGACGAAAAGACTCTTCATGGAACAAATCGAGGGCTAGGATGGAGGTCAAGGCAGATCGGCGGGCGCATGAATGACGAAACAGTGCGACAGATATCGCGAGACATGGTGACGGTCACAATCAGGAATGTGTATGATGAACAACCGTCTGCACGCAAGGGCACTCCAACGGGACCAGCTGACAGGGAACCAGTTAGTCGACACACCGAGTTCCATGAACGATACGGAGAAGGATTCAAGTTGACATCTATGAAATGAACTTGTTCAAATATGTATTTTTAGCGTTTCTTTAGCTGCTTGTATTGTTTACAAAGTATTCTAACTAATATGCAACCTCAAGTCAATGTTAACTAAGCCGAACCCATGCGGGCCACACCAAGGCGTTCTCTTCAAGCAAGAAATAGAGGTGTATGTGATTACAATCTGATTGATGATCTTTTTAACACGACAGATGAAGCTTGTGTTACAGGGGTCATTGGAAGCTAAGCTGATGTTACACTAAGCTACGGAGTGTAGCAAAGCAAGTAAAAGACGAGTTTGCAGGGTAGAGATGAATTTTCATGTATAAAATTACGCTAATCAGTTTAACAGCAAGTTGTTATCAGCGTCGTGATTCGTAATGTAGTCTATAATTATTTCTATACCTCTCTTCGTAAGCATTCTCGCGGTTCAAACGGTCCAAGCGCTTATCAACGTCTATTCAATGCACATCAAGCCATTGGCTTCAAAGCATACATCCGCACTGGGAGAAGCCTCATAGCCCCGGTCTCGGGAAACCCTCTCTGCAGCTCCGTTGCAACAAGCTTCAAGTTGGCCTGTTCAAAGATACTCCGAAATTTGGTATCCTCCCTACCAGCATATTAGCCACTTAGTCCAACACGTTTGCTCTTCCCCTCGGAGACCTCACCTTGTGACACTGCTGTCCTCTTCGTCGAAATCATCATATCCCTTTGTGCTCTGGTTTTCTTTCAGAACGATAATTCCATCTGGGTTCAGGACCTCCTGACACCGGCCAAGAAATTCCACCAGCTGTATGTCAGTCAAGTGGCCTACACACCACTGCACCCAAATCAAGTCATACCGCACGTCTTCGGTCGGCCGCCAGTCTTGTAGACCAACATTGAAGACGGTTCGCACCCCAGGCTTTGTTTGAAGCGCCGCTGTGAACTTGGCCACAGGCTCAACGACATCAACCTGCTCGGCTATAGGGAGCAGGAGGCCTTCTGTTACCCTCCCGATGCTACAGGGCTCACATCATGTTAGCCATCAGTTCTAGCGTCCACTTATATACGATTGCATGTACAAGGCACTGACCCTGCTCCACCCTCCAGTGCATTTATCACCTTGTGCCGACCATTCTTGCTGCCGATGCCCAACTTAGCTAAGAAGGTGCGTGAGCCCTGGAGGTCCGTCCTCAAAATGCCATGGAATCCCTGTACTGCAGGGATGCCGCCTAACATGCCATTGACATCAGCACTGATGCCCTCCCAGTATTTTAGGCCATCCTCCTTGCTAATAAAGCTGTCGGCGGGCGTTGAATCGTCTGGATTTGACATCTGGTGGCTGCTGTTGGACGGCTGAATGGTTAGCTGCCCAACACTGTGTACTCTTAGGAAAATCTTACAAGCGCAATAGATACAGCAGAACTGAGGAATGCTTTAAAACTTACGTAGAGAGACCAAAATGGCCGTAAGTTCGTTATCAGAATTTTTTAATAAGGCTGGATGCCCCTTGTGACCAATCTTTGCTTGCTCGTCATCGGGCTGTAACTCGAAGTTTTTACTCTCACTAAGCCACAAATTACATACCTAGGTACATGTGTATACAGATGACTAATTCCATAGAATCACGTGCACAGCGTTTTATCTACGGGCAGCCAAATGGAAACGGAAAAAGAATTCTTGTTTCCTGCTCTACATTATTCTACAGATGTTTGGCTATTCAAATAATAGCAGAGGCTTAAAAGCTGATGATTCCATTTTATGGATGATTTGATTCTCATTACTCTGACAGCGCACTTAGCTACATATATGCATGCTTCAAGGCATTACAACCATTGAGAATTGGGACCAGAAACTCTATATCAGATCCATTGATTCACTTTACTAAACTGTAGTTCTGCTGTGTTCCAAGGGTGAAAAAAAAGACATTAAAATGAGTCCAGCCGGTCGGAATCAGCGAAAAGCACTATATTTTACAGGTTCTGGCCTTTTAACCCTATGCAGAACCGATTGTCTTCCCCATGTATGACGTTTTGAGGCAACAATACAGGTGCCTTGCCGTCCCCTTTCTCCACGTGGACCGCCTGGCTTGGGACATACGCATTCAGAGATCAGGAAAGTGGCTTTCCGCAAATTGCCATTATTTATGCGTCGAACTATGCTCGAGGTTGATCTTTTTCAGGGAAACGAAGGGTATTTTTGCCCTGATATGAATTGTGCTGTTTCCACCCTGCCTGGCAAACACATCAACTTCATCTGTCCCCAGATCCAACAAGAGATTGGTATAGGAAGTAAAACAAATTCTGGGGAGAGGAAGTGAATTTGGTCCCATTTGGGTGGGTTGGCGCATTGAACAGTCGCTATCTGAAGTGTTTTGGAGGCATCATTGCGTTATTCCACTACGTAGCTCGACACTTACTTCCAAATGGGAACATTACAATACCAACCGGTGTCCAAGAGTCAATTTGAGTGCACTTCACAAAATTGTTGAGGGTGGCCGGGTTTGCAATATGGGATGAGAGGCGAGTGGAGGCCATGAAAAACTTGACCCGATTCACGGGGCTTCAGACGGATTGAATTGTGAGTGAAGACATCACGCTAGAATTGTGGGAGCAGCCCTCTGGATTATGGAGTGAAATAAATGGTTTGCTTGAGTTACATACTTGCTGATATGTAAGTAGTTTAGAGGAGGCATTGAATGTCGGAGAGATATCAATCATTACTTCAATAAAAAATAATTCTTCTTCCAGTAACTTATAACAACAGCTCGAAAAGCATAGGCCAATCTTTTATAGCATGTTTCTCTTTACATCCAATTTTTGAATTGAACCAAACTCTGTTTTATTTGCTGTTTTATTTGCTGTCTTCTGATAACTATACATGGTCGATGGAGGCTTCAGCCTATAGAGCGTCTCTGTGTACAAAGAAAGAAGCTGTCAGCGGTGAGGAACTTTGACCTATATATCGTAAGTATTTCTTTTAGAGTACTTCAGTGACACGAATTATCCAGGTAAATTAGTTCAGATATACCCGAAAGGGGCGAGTGCCAACGTAAACAGCATAACGTAATGGATAATTCTCAACTATGATATAGCTAACGAGCAATACAAAATATTCATCATCCTCTTCAAGCACCACTTCTTGCTCTGTGCCATTGTGTTGCCCTAGGAGGCTGCTACGGATGCTCGTTGCTTCCTCTTGGGTCTGAGAGGAAGTTCTGCAAGCTGGCCTTCTCCAGGCTTCTCTCCATCATTCGAAAGCTCTGGAGATTTCTTTTGAATAGTCGCTAATGCCATTCCTTCTGAGATAATCTCAAGGGATAACCCAGCCTCTGTAGCCTCTTTTTGGACCTCATGCCCACCTTTCAATAATACCGGTAGGTCCAAGCGACACATCGGGCCAACTATTTCATATGCCTCAGCAGAAAGCTTCCATTCTTTGTCCTTTTTAACGTACGCGGGCATCTGGACAAATGTTTCTATGGTCGTAACGGTCTCGAAAATCTTGTCTCTATCAGCCTCGAACCATTCTCTGTGACCCCCACCACATTTCTCACAGGCTCCAATCAAGATATTATCATGAAACAACTGCGCTTGGATAATTTTTTCAGCCTGTCGCGCTCCACGAAATTTTGATTCAGTCTCGTGAATGATCTTTGTGTCGGTTCCATAGCAGTTTCTGGGTTGCCGCAATCTCTGTTCTGCGCCTATGGTCGAGAATCCGATCTTGTATAAGCCAGGAATATTCTTATGCTCAAGGATATAGACTGTGCCTTCTTTCATCATTCCCTCCTTTGGGTGGCTGTTGATCACTTGAAATACTGACGTGTTGTCTCGTTTTGATAATTTGCGTCTTGGAGCGCGAACATCTCCAAGACCACGGATTTTCCCTCCTGTTTTTGGACTGCCCTTGGGAATATTCATTTTCTTATCGGCCTTTGCAGTATCGGATAAGATGAGAATCTCTTTGGTGACGACTTTCTCATGTTTCTCCCAGATACCTTCCGAGTCACAGTCTGAAACCGGTTCGTCGTAAATCGGTCCACCAGAAAGAGAGGTCTTAGACAGCAGATCGCTAATTTCCGATACAGATGTTGAAAGAATGTATTCAGATGATGAGAATGGAGAGGGGGATGCAGATGGAGACATCGGCGGCGAACTGGAAGCGGCGGTTGTTTGTTGCTCTACCCATTCACGAAAAGACTCGAGAGCGGCTTCAACATGGCGGTTGCAGTGCGTGTAGGTGATAAAAAGCTCTAGCTTCTCGTATAAAATATCCGTTTCAGGACACCTCACCATACTCTTGAACTCGACAAAGAGCTTCTCGACTTCTGCGTGTTGGCTTTGAAGCCACCCGTTGTTTTGACACCGACGTGAGCGGTCCTTAAGCAAAGCGCTACACGGAAGCGGCTTAGAATTATTACCGCGGTGTGTAAACTCATCGAGACTTGCTTGTATATAGGCAAGCTCTTCAAAGACGGGATTTTGAATGGAGTTGGTAGTGGCCATATTGCAATGTCGAGTCTCTGTATGGTAAAGCACAGATATGTTTGACATCAATCAGGCCTCAAGAGCAGCATATATGAGTATATATATACATATTGAGCAGATATACCTGGTGTCGGCAAACGTGGACGCATGGGTTGGATTCAACCGGCAAATTGTACGCCGACTGCACCGCCATCTTGATGAGCCTTGTAGGTCGGTCACCGGTTTAGACATAGTATTCTTTGTACTCAGTATGCGGAATCAAGATGCAGCTAATCCAAATGGGAAACTAATTTGAAGGATCATAATTATGTTTGATCGTCTTGAGTTAAGACTGTTCGGCGTGGCCGCGTGATATACAGGTAGCAAACGATACGCCCTAGGCTCGTACAAGGATAGAAGTACAGATACATATACCTGCTGTTTTGAAGGCTAAGTGAACTGTTTATGAAGTAAGATGGTTATTTTTTTAGGTATTTTGTCTATATCAAGGCCATGGAGACAATTCTACAGATTACGTGCTGCCGGACCGTTGTTCTCCGCCAGTGCCAGGTATCAATTATATATGTATCAAGATAGCATCTTCAGTCATACACTCTCCGTCAAATTCAAGGCTCAAAGTACTTTAAATCGAATCCATGACAATTCAATGGGAGCCTTCTACGTTTTGCGAGCTCCAGCTCCAGGTGTGAAACTTGCACTCATATGATGCATATTGCGAGTCAAATTGCAACCTAAGAAAGCCCATGTTTCGCAGGTATCTGTACTTTTGCGGGGGCAATCTGCGTCTTTGAAGTAGACCGATCGGCTAAAATCCGTCCCCAGAAATAGATGGCCCGTGTCTATCGAATGACCTCTTCTGAAACTTCGAAAGATGTTGTTGGTTCTACGTCTTCAGCAACGACCCAAACAGGACAAGACTTGCACTAGGCGAGGCGCAATGCTACCAGGTTGATGAACTTGGCCAATAAAGGCTCGACCATATATTAGCGTTCCGCCCGCCCGGCACGGCCCATTCCCAAACCACGAGGAGTTTGGGGGCTGTAAATCATTGTTCAGAATCTGGAGGCTGGAGCCTGCCCCCTCGCTTGAATCCGTCGGGCGGTGCGGGCGATGCTAACGCCGGGTATCTTACTCGTGGATCCGCGGTCTTTCGAGAAGGTCTATCCGTCTCCAGTCGAACACGGTCCGCGACTGATGCAGCACATGGGACAAATTGCGCCCCTTTAATGAACTGAAGGCTCTTTATTTTGCAACAGGGTGGATCTAACTACACTAAATGTAGGATACGACATCGACATTTGAGGCACCAAGGCTGTTTGTCCCGGGATGCTGAGCCTACAGAGGTTCTTTCAAGGGAACTATTGGCTTCCAAAGTTCCCCACTTGTTCTCAGCGGGAAGATATGAGGTTCATCCACACCAAGAGCAATCGTATTATCCACCATTCACCTTTCAACAAGATAACCGACGAGGGGGGCTGAAAAGCGGGGGTAGGAGACATTCTACTTTCATGTGATCGTCCATTGCGGCATCTTTTACTTCAGAAGCGGCTCAAATGGATGTGGCATCTTTAATCAGATAAATCCTTCTCCCCTTAATTAGGAAACGTGGTTTTAGATACTAGCTTTCACATGTATAGTGTCAGATATGTAGGTGGTCAGTAGACATGCAGTAAACAAGCAGCAATTGATCTACGGATGGGAGGCTGGTAAGGTGTGAGGCTTGCGGTTTGCTTTCAGGTGGAAGTGTACCCAAAACGAGAAGGAATGCAATATAATCTTTTAGGATGCAAAACTACCCTACGAGGATGATCAACTACCCCTTACAATCCGGGCAGATCGTTAATCAGCGTGTTGTAACAATATGTGGCTTTTTAGGGTACTAGGTAGGTCTTAGACCAGTCACGAACCACGTACTTTTGACCAGTTTTCCTACTTCCTAGTCCCAGATTTGAAGGGTACTATTAGTACAAGAAATATTTATTTTTAACTGTAAAGATGTTATATTAGATTTACTATGTACTGTTCTCCATAGGAGTAGTATGGCTGGAGATGTGCCAAATGATCTTATCATATTCTTCCATTGTAAAAGAACAAGCATGTTCTTGCACCTCCGTCCAGAGACTTTGCACATCTCAAATATTATCACTCACCAACAAGCTCCGTAGTTCGACATAGTTTCCTGAGTTTTCGGGTTTCAAGGCACTAATGCGTTTCTCTAGTAAACCACTTCCAAAGCTATTGTTGTTGAGGAACTGCTGGCGACGTCATTCAGTTACAGATCTGGCAACTCTGCAAAAGCTTGAACAGCGGTGTACAGACCAGCAGCATGTTTAAGCTATATGTACAATGCTGTCTGGGGAGGTTTTGTCACATTATTAAAAATTGTGCAACGAGAATGTATCAGCAGACATAGGTTGTTCAGAGACTCAATTGGCAGAGGGTCAGCACCACAAGTTGGACATTAGATTGTTAGACATAGTACAAAGAAAGTTCGAAGAGCCAATTGAGCTTGGCCAAAACATGAAAGGCATCAAAGTCTATCTTTCCCAGAACAAAAACGGATGTTTTAGTGCCAGTTATGTCATTCTGAAAAAGCCATCAACTTGTTAATGCGATGGTTACATCAATGGTCATCAAACGCCGACATCTCCTAGTTGTCTGGAAATGGTTAACACAACAATCAACCAAAAAGTGAAAGACCTCGTATCAGTGGCGCAAATAACCTGACGGTTATACGCGTTAAAACTGCGGGTACTACTCAAATTTCCCGCCTAAAGAGACAATCTTTTTACATTCAGAGGGTTTAAAAGTCGAATGACCATTTTTCACATTGCCATTAGTCGTCGCAAATGCTCTGACTGGAGGCACCTACTAATCACGGACGCTGTTGCAAGCGTGGCCTCATCAAACATAGTGTGTCATACAATACGCAGAATGTCGTGCCCAAACGCCGTGAAGTTACAAAGGCCTGTCTTTCGGGCTAGTTTGATGTGAAAATGTGCTTTAAAATAGCTTCATCAGAATATGCAGCGAGCCTGAGAGAGTAGCTGTCGACTTTTGAAGGTCCCTCCTGGTTTAATAACCCACAAAGTCTCCATTTGGCGCTATTGGGTGTCCCGTGAGGGACCTTTTGCTCTCTCTCTGACGATCCGCCTTGCATTAGAATTAACCAAATCGGTTCATCGCTTTCACCAAGGTATTCTTTCGGTAGGATCTTCTTTTCTGTCAGACGCTATCTCCAAGTTTAGTGCCTCATTCCTTGCAGAAGGGTTTAGAAAGACTAGTGGACTTACGACTCTCTTGTAAAGTCATGATTGTAAGCTGAACGCGTATCCTTATCCAAAGAGATACGGTGTCAACCCCATAGACGCCTGCACCGTGCAGCATGAGCATTCATGGTTGTGCAAATGCCTACTAGAGGTTGGGCTGTGTAGGTCAAATTGAAGACGAGAACCAACCAGCAGCATTGCATTCATCTCACTTTATTATATCAAAAGGCAAGTGGAGAGCTTTCCATTACTTTAAAATAATGGTTACTGATTTTAGCTCGCAGATCCCTCCCCACGCGGACCCCGAGGCGGACCCCGAGGCGGTAGGCGAGAGCAGCGACAACGCGCTTCACATGCCTAAATGGTAATAATGAAATTTTTCTAGCACGAATCGAAATTTCAAGATGAGAATGGCTTTCTTGTCGGTGTGAGATATGTAAAAAGTAGCTCTTCTCTTGCTGCTATTTCTGTCACAAGCTGACTAAAAACAGTCATCACGCAACTCGACACTATTCAAGTCCAGTTATATAACTAATGAACAGACATTGACTCATATAACAGAATCAACTCATATATCAGGTAACAGAAATCCTGCTACCATCGAATTGTTCAAGCTTTTGTCATTGGCTCATTCCTCTATCCTTTAAACTACTAGTAGTTCTGGCAAATGCCTAGCTATTAAAGCGACAACTCTATCGCAACCAGAGTCTTGTCGTACCAATCCAATGGAAACAATTAAAAGCGATAAGCACTCAAATACACACCAAATGAATTAAAGTCTCTCAAACTAATACTAAGACGGGCCGGTCTGTAAGCCGGGGCTTCCGAAAGCTTGCGTACAAGAATGACGGCGAAACCACAACTAGTGCGGTCAGCCTCACCTCTTCCGAATTCCATATCAACATTCATCATGCCGTGGGCGATTATCAACAAATTCTATCCTCGCGCATGCGAAAATAGACTCGATATTAGCCATCCAGAGGTTAAGGCATTCAGAGCCAAGTTCTTTAGAGCAGCCTTGCTGAACTTTGTCATCTATATTCTGCTGTTCTTCTGTCTTTTCTGCTATCTATATGGAACTCTCTTTCAACAAGTTCCCCGAACCCATAACCTTCACATCCTATGGGTAGACTATGATGGCGGCATCATTGGTGATGCAGTACGCAATGCGTACAACTCTCTACGGTCACATGAGTTTCCGACGTTGATTGAGCGATCAGCATCCCAATATCCGACACCGAATGACCTAAGAGAAGCTGTTTGCAATACCCATTTTTGGGCCGCCCTGTACACGTCTCCTGGAGCATCCGCGGCTTTAGGTCTTGCCACTGCAGGGTCAAATACGTCACAATACAATACGTCAAACGTACTGACATATATTTGGAACGAAGCCAAATACCCTACCGTTATGGACAGCGCCATCTCGACTAATCTTCACACACTATCCGACGCTGCCCGAGTTTCTTACATAGCTCTCAACGGCACGTCGGTTTTCCCTACGATCCCACCCAATAACTCTGCTGCCATATCGATCTTCACCAATCCGTGGACATTAACATCTATCAACATCAAACCCACTGTGCAGGGAACTCGGACAGTCTATAACACTGTCGCCATTGTGTTGATTCTAATTGAAGATTTCTTTTATCTCGCCACCATCAACGGACTCTATGCTCAATTCAGGGTCTACTCGCGAATTGCGCCTGTGCGCATAATTCTTGTCCGCGATGCTATCTCTATCACATTCACCATGCTGGGTTCATTGGTAAACTCTGCGGCGATCTGGGCATTTAAAGCCAATTGGCACGTATCGGGTGGCCAATTCGCCTTGAATTGGCTGATTATATGGTTACTCGCTCATACAAATTTTCTTGTATTCGACGTTTTTACTATCTGGATACCACCGCAATACGTCTCCATGGCCCTTGTCTCTTGGATTGTTATGAACATCAGTTCAATCATACTACCATTCAGCGTTTCGTCTCCATTCTATCGTTGGGGATATGCTTTACCAGCGCACGCTGCCTATGAACTACTCACAGATAATTGGTCCAGTGGTTGTAATCCACACTTGTCTTATGCCCTGCCAGTCTTATTCGCCTACGAAGTCATCGGGCTTATCTTAACGGCCATTGGTGTATACAAAAGATGCCACAATGCCTCCATATTGGAGGAAACTACCAAGGAGGCAATGAGATTGCGAGTGGAGGCGGCGCTCGAACTAGAGCGAGAGCAGGACACCTTCGAGGCACAAGAAAGCAGCAAAAAAGACTCACAACATCCGGGTACTGGGGAACCTTCCCGTGCGACTACCAATACGGGTACCTTTCAGGGTGACAATGAAGCAAGTAGAAGACAACGGAGGCAGAGTAATGTCGAAGCCCTTGACGGCGAAATCCGTCGGATAGAGACGCGGGCATCGATGCTGTCGAACATTGGGCCAACTTTTCGCCTTATCGGCTCAGAGGATAGCTAATGTGTCTCACGGCTTTCCGCTTGGTTTGTTTTCATGTACATAGCTGTATTATACATCGCTTAAAAGGAGTCCTTTCACCTGTATGCCTCGTCAGCCTTGTTCCCTATCCTTCTAGAAGCGATCGGCCAACTCCAAAGGCGCGACATCAAGCACCAGAATTAGGTCATTAATAAGTTCGTTGCAGGAAAATCATGCGACGGATGCATTCTAGCCTTCCCATTAGAGGCTAGGGGGCCTCTTTCTGTTCTTCGGCCAACAGCAAAATGCACAATCGTCGACCAACAACATGCCGATACTACATAACCAGGGGTGTTTTGCAAGGCTCTCATTCGTGTATTTTGGCCACAGTTAAAACGAATACTGAAGATCTTTTGTATATAATGTTAAAATTAAATGGCTAGATGCATAAAGGGGCTTCTTCCAAAGAAAAGTGATGGCCGCCATACATGTGTTCTACAAGTTGAGACACGGGTAATTTTGCACTTGCGATCGAGCCCTTTCAAATTTTTACTTCGGTATCTCTAAATCTCAAGGTCTGAGCTTTCTAGTTCTCCAGGCGAGCATCAATCTCAAAGTTCACGTTCACCGATGCAATTCGATCGATAGCCGACTGCTAGCCATGCAAACTACACACACTTCCGCAACACCCACCCGCATCAATCTCGGGCCTCTGACAACAACCTTTAGTCCGCCAAGCGACTGTGCATCACTGCGATTCATTACTGAAAATGAAGTATTTATGGGTGCATCCTTAGGCTATGGATGCTACGACGTTCAGACGCAATGGGTGCCATGCTCGGAAACTTCATTAGATCTGGGGTTTGGCTGCAGTACTGTAATTGGTGATGTTATATCATGGATGCCATGTTCTTCTGCACGGACGACTTCTGATAGGAATCATGACTGCACGGTTCACCAAAACCTAACTGCTCGCCATGATTTCTCCTTGATTCAGTCATGCTATCCTTCAGGATTCGCTTCCTCCTTTGGCCGAACGGATGATAACATTAGCAAATGGACTTCTCAGCCTTTGGTCTACTCTCCTGGATTGGCTTGCCCTTCTGGATATTTGCCTCAGTGTACCGTAGAGCGCGGTGAAGGCCTCTCTCATCCAGTTACGACAAATACAATGGCGCCTACAGACAATGCGATATGGAGCATGCTAAATGACGGTGAAATTGCTATAGGCTGTTGTCCATCGTAAGTACAACCCAATTCGTTCCTCAAGTCGGCGCCGTCCATTCTTTGGTCCAGCAGCCAACCCGATCTTATCATGATTGCTATCATTTTCTTCTTAGATATATATGTACTTAGGCGCAGTTATTGACTCATACTGTTATCAGGAACTACGCCTGTGATTCCAATTCTCCCCACATTTGTACTTCACAACCTCACGCAGGCGATATTATTGCGATAACAGACGGCATATCCTGTGGTGGCGGAGCAGAAACAACAAAATCGATCCCCTCAACCGCCTTAACCGCCCAAGCGATGAAAATACTCTTGATACAGTCCAACACTCCAACATCAACTTCTCCCACTCGAGAGACTCAGCTTCCTAGTGAAAGATTTAGCAAAGGAGCGAAAATCGCAGTCGGAGTAGTCGTTCCTGTAGTGGTTTTCTTGATAGGCGTGGCGCTCGTCTACTTTTTGCGGCGAAAGAAACTACAGTCGACACCAGATCAGGAAGTTTCAGCTGGAGGAGATGGTTCGGATACGGCACTGAAGGCAGAGCTGCAGGGCAGCACTGGTATCGCTACTCATGGACCAAAAGGTGCCACATTTGAGAAACCTGAACTTGGTGCAACCGAAACAATAGCGGAATTATCTGCAGGAAGTCCGATACAAGAACTGCATAGCAACAGCTCTGTAGCAAATTTGCACGGTCCCATTGTATCAGGTCCTGAACTCCAATTGCCAATTGGAGATGTTGCTGCTGGGGAAACTAAGCAACAATTAGCCAAACATTCATCGAAGCAAGATCCTGAAATCACAGCCACAGGGTTGTGGGACTGGAGCAACTTCAATACCCTTGGGGAACCTGATGAATCGGTGAGAACCTCAATTACAGGGACGCGCAAATAGGAATTCGCCAAGATGCAATTGATGACACGAACTATGCCATGTTGCAACTACACACGCATCATAATACGATATCCGGCCTACATGCATGTCAGAGAATAATTGAGCAGTCTCTATGCAGAGTTGAACAGGGGAAACAGGTAGAAGGCATTTGTGCGCGTGAAGTATTTGTACTGTATGATAACGGCACACAAATCAATACACTAATACTCACCATCATCTTTTTACTTTCTCTTAAGCTGTATTAAGTTCTCTAAGCGTCTCATATCTCTAGCCGATATCGATCCTCCCATGTGTTGGCAAGCTAGCCATTCTAAACGACTCTTTGACGATTCGGAAGTTTCCCAACCTCAAAGAAGCTTTTTCGAATAAACAAGGGAAAAAATCACATGTGGTGCGGGGCAGTCAAGATTATGTCACCGGCGGTTATCCTCTAGACTTGACAGATAGCACCTTTCCGAATAACAGTAATTGTCGAAGTGACTGAGCAATTTTCTGGCGATTCGCTCAGCGTAAGTTTCATACGGCCTCAATACCAACTCCAGCTAGATTTTATTGAGATAAGTCGGGTTTGGCTGGAATTCGGAGTGGGAGTGGCTTCAATGCGTTCGACGACTGGAGGACTAGCCATCGGTTCTTCCATGAGAATGTGAACGCAGCGTGATTTTACCTATATGTTGCCGATGATCCTCAGATACTGAACCCTGTAGCCTTGACAACTTCGTTCCTATTTTTTCCAACAGTGAGTACCTCTCGAGATGATAGTTTTAACTTGTACATAATGATCATCCCTTTCGTGTGAACATCCTCTCTAAACAGCCGGTGAAAGAGAAAGGCAGTGGCGTCGTGCTACTAGTACCGACAAAGCTGTGCCATATTGATATCGATCGTGGCAAGAGTTTTCAAGGTCGAGTTGAAGTTGATGCGTGTCGGCCGCAGATTTGCTGCTAATGCGATGCAGGTTCGATATGAGTTTGGTCCGGCAATAATGGGATTCAAGGGCGTAGCTACTAAAGCAATGCTAAGAGATGCCCCATAGAGCTGTTATCTATTACCAATAGGTGCTAGCCATCAATTTTATCGATCATTTCTCATACCATAGGTACGGGCTTCCCCGCTAATACTGTTGCTCAATCTCAGCATCGAAAGTACACATATCAGCAACAACGATCAAATCCGCCTCAACATTCATGCTTCGTCTCATTTCCACCGTCAAAACATTGGAATCTAACTTCTACTAAAATCTACAAGACTCACATTCTTGGTATGCAAAATAACACGACGTCATCTTTTCCATCTTTACCTCGAGTTACTTCACGGTGTAAGTCACTTTCAAGAGACCCGACGGGGACAAATGGCGACATAATCGCCATTCTATCCACTTCCCAAAATTGCATGCCGTTTGCAAATGGATAGCCGTTGAATTGCTTAGTTAGGATAATACCGAATGGGGAAATCCGCGATAGCCTGTGTGCGTCGGGTGGCACGAGACGCGCTGCATATGAACGCCTTGACTCTCGCATTTGGGACTTCAAATAAGTCGTTGAGAATAATTCTCGCTCTACTACCTAACCTTGACAACAACCAGGATCAAGTGGTGTACTAGTTGCAAAAGCCAAGAAATAGGGTGCGAATGATCAAATATATTGCTAATGGTGAGCCTTATTGTGTTACCCCAGAGAATACAAAGTAATATCATGCGCACACAATTTTGAATGGGATGCCGCTTAGTTCTTCTTCAATAAGCAACTATTGATTAGAATTTCCCCATATTTTGCCAGTCTACAGATGTGACTCTATCTTCAAGCGGGGCGTGGTGATGCTCCCGATTGAAAGCCGAGAGACTCGGGCGTATTTCGAAGGCCCGGCTTGAGGGTCGGGTAGTTTCTGTTTCTTCTATAGTTCTCCCTTCTTTACACCAATTACGTTGCGGGGAACATTTGTGTCTTGCCGTAACCCTTGTCGTTCATCTCTAAGAGGGCATGAGGCGCATTCAGCACTCAAATTTGACAGAAGAGGTGTGTGTTCATCTAGTTGATAGGCTACCACACCAGAAATGCTTCTCTAGCTACTGACTAGGGTTAGCTTACATGTGGGATACAGTCCTTTCGCCGAATTGACGCCGGAACTGACAGCACTCCATCATACATATGATGGCATCGCCGATTAATTTAAATCAGGCTGGTAATACGTTACACTTCTATGGTGGCTAGATGCGACGATGAATAGTCTGGCCTTAATTGACGAAGCTATTCTATCAAGTGTAACTCCGCTTACATAGCCAGCTTCACGGCCTCGGTATCAACCCGACATGAACCCGACGTCAACAACAGCAATATGACAAGAGACCCAAATAAGCAGGCGGTTGAGTCATCTGTCTATTTTGGTTAACCGACCTTATCATTTCCACTTCGCCAAGAGCCATGGCGGACAAAACGCCATTCAGATCTGAGTCTTCGCAATGGTCTCTGTTGCTTCCTCCTTCCACTCTGGTCGCCAGCGCGTAAGCGGCGGCCGTTCTTTAATGATGTCTCCCACGCTCCACAGCATCCTCTTCTTGTCCGTCTCCTCTGCGGTCTCATTGTCAGGGCAGATGACATAAAATTTGTCTTGCTCCATCTTCTTGTATAAGTAATCGGCTACCTGTTCTGGTGCCCACGCGCCCGCCGGCTTCTCCTTGGTCTGACCTCCCCCAGTCTAGAGAAGAGTGTAACACGTGAGATTCATGCAACATCAAAATAATATGAAGGGTCAAATAAGATGAAGCATAAGGATAAGAAGAATAGGACACAAGATTCGACAACGGTGACTTACCATGCTAGTAAACGTCCAGCCCGGGACAAGAAGGTGGACACTGGTCTTGGTGTCTCGAAGGTCCCAGCTAAGATGCTCGGCAAGGGTCTTGACGGCAGATTTTGAGGCATTGTAGGCAGGATTTCCTGGGGGATTTGTGATGCCTTGCTTGCTGCCGGTGATGACAACGGAGGTGGGCCGGCTTTTCGCCGCCTCTTGAACTACCGGGAGGAAAGTGTTGATTCCATGGATCACCCCAAAAAGGTTCGTCTCGAGGATCTATGTAGTACGCATTACCGTCAGTGGTGGAAATGCCATCCCTCTGCTCCATCACCATCTTCTTCATCGAGCTCTAGTTTCCCCTCCTCCAGATGGTTTGGCACGTACATTTCTAAAGTAGTCAGCATCTCCCCAGGTCCCCCTAGCACCAATGCCAGCATTCAAAACGAGAAGCTCAATCGAGCCAAAAGTCTTTGCGGCCTGCTCCCTAAGCGAAGTCCATTCATCGGGCTTGCTGACATCAAGCACCGAAGTGGCTACATCTGACGATGATGAGCCGACTTCAGCCTTGGCCTTCTCCAGGGCCTCGGCGTTGCGATCTACAAGCAGCAGCTTCATACCCTTGCTGCGGCACAGCTTAGCAATGGCCAGGCCAACGCCGGAAGCGCCGCCGGTGATGAGGGCGGTTGCTCCCGGAGCAAAAACTGCGGCTGCGGCGGACATTTTTGGCGCGCTGATGGATCGGGTGGGATGAGAACAGAAGACAAAACAAAGAGACCACAGTTGTCGGACTAGGAAGTTCAAAAGCAAGATGAACTAGCCAGCAATGATAGGTCTGATGGTGCAAGGAACACAACAATGAAATCCCTCTAGTAGACTTATTATATCAGAACGGAATCGGGGTTAAACCCGGGAGACCGTCCGTGAGAGTATTATTCCCATACTATCCAGTTGTCTCCAATTTGGAGAGAAACTACATTATGATTTCATTCCCCGTAAGAATGGCCACGCTTATGGGGCATCAAAGACAAAAAAACGCGGGGTTCACAGCATCCGTGAGCATTCCGGATAAAAGTCCGATGGCTATTTCGGCGATAAGATGTCTTAAAAACCTAAATGCGGGCGCAATCGTACATCAAAAAGACATAGATACGATGGGAAGGAAAACTGTGTTATAACCTCATGATGTCCCTGACACTATTCAGACCTGATAGAGATCGAGGCCACAGCCGGAAGATCTGCACTCTCGGAGTGGTGGTAATCGCCTATACATGTAGACAAGCTTTCAAGACCAGGTTCATCGTGAGGGGCCAACGATTACGCTGCTTCTAGGACCAGGATCTGAGCTCCGATCCTTCATATGCGAAGAATTGACTTGAAAGGGGAATTACAAGGTTCGGTAGCACACATGTAATAAGCCGCCAATGCGCCGGGAACTTCTTATGAGCGAGACTGTCCCGAGAAGCTTCCCGAGAGGCTACGACTCCACGGGCGCTCAGACTCTGTCCGGAAGAGGCATCTCTTAAAGATTACCGTACTTGTCAAAAGCAGGCCCTAGAACATGAGCTAATCGAATACGCTCAGCCCCAGCATCCCCAGCACGTGTTGTCTCTCTACTAGTATGTGTGGTATGTACGAGTACGACGGTCCAGATGAGGCAGCAGGAAAGATCTGTGGATGCACAGAAGAGCGGCAATGTCGCACAGCATGGCTGGCTGAGAGCCTCGACATGCGGGTGAGGCTTATTCTGAAGCTTCTTCAATGGGACGCTGATTACGTCGGGTGCAACGCTCTGCTCTATTGGGGATTGATTCTTCTGAGCTTCCAGCTTAGCGCTCCAATGCAATCTGCAGGTCCCCGGCGGCTTACATACATACATACACGTACAGCCGCAGCTGATGAGAGGCTGGTGATTGCAGGTCCTTCTATGTACGTATGTATGCTGACATGACGCTGTCCATTCAGGGAGATGCCTGCAGGGAGATTTTAGCCGGCAGCGAGGCTCAATTCAAGTACCGAGGATGTCTGGAGAAGACATGGTCTTCACATGGACAGAACTTGTACTCCGTACGACAAGTATTAATGTACGCTTCGAAGCGTATTCTATCTTTGACCATACAAAATACAACATGATCGGCGGTGGAGTAGGGATTCCCCTAGCAAGCGATTCAAGCATCGCAATCCTTCCGTCAGGGCCAGAAACATCAAACGTCCAATCTTGCCTAGCCTTGACGGCCATATGTCGGGCACACAGCCAAAGTGCCGGCTATTGGCGCCACATATTATCTGCGGCTATATGGCAGCCGTTGCCGCTCATGGAAGTTGCCTGAATGGCTAGCAGATATACTAATGCATCACTGAAATTATACACGCAGTCTGAAATATACAATAATATGACTCGCGGGAAGCTGGCCCAGAAACTAGCCCTGTGTCTTCCATGGAAGCTCACATCTCACTCGTCCTATTCCCGGGAGAGGGATCAGGAGCAGACCTGATCCCAGCAGTCATATTCCCACTCGCTCACAATATTCGCCCGCTAACCTTGATCCGGGAGGCGCCAAAAACTCGTGGCTCCGGGGCGGCAATTCCCAAGTTGATAGTACCCGCGTGTGATGGAAAGATGGTGTGGAGGCCAGCGGCCCTACTTGCGTTCCATCAGTCATGCTGATAGCAACCCCAGGTTTTGAGTTCGCTCGAAATGGCAGCGTGACATTTTCACGATGGGCTTACAAGGGACTCATGAGGGTGGTGAGTGAACATGACTGCCATGATCGGCCATCATCTGGCTCGGGCATTTGTAGCTGCTAGTGACCAAGTGCTGGCGCGTTGTGATAGATTGCCTTCATCACAAGCTCAATGCGCCATCGAATCATGTTAATGCCGCCTCAAACGCCGGTCTGCCTTCGCCCCTAGTAGTCGTTCGCGCGTGGTGGCTTCTGCACCCCAGACGACCCCATGCGCGACAGGGGGCCATGACCAACAGCCAGGCACAAGGCCCTTTCGATATGGTCTCCTTCGAATAGTAAGGTGGAAGAGAAGCAGCGGAGAGCCCCCATCTGCAATGGTACGCGGCGCCATCCGGGCCAAGCTTCTCTTGGCGTCGTGGGATCTTATGCTATTCGTCTATCTCTCATGGCTACCGCCTCTCCTTAATAGGACGGACCTGCGGATCTTGACACCGAAGGAGCGACAAGGCCCCGGAGACAAGTGAGCAGGAAATTCTCCTCTATTTCTCCTTAGGCTAATCACTCCCGTCCTTATCCCATGTGTTGTCTTGGACTGAGACAACACATGGATCATGACGACGTAGATCGTTGCTCGCTATTGCAAGCTCGATACCGGGCGGCAGATTGACCCGATCATGCCCTCAATCTCTCATCCGGGAACCCCATCATCATCATGTATCCTGGTCGCATGAAAGATCCAGCGACCTTAATAATGAGTCTCTGTCCCAAAGACCATCGTCCCACGTGTTGCATCCAGCCTATCGGCCCGTCCGTCAGAAGACGCGCACAGATTCCTGTTCGAGGTAGCATTTCGACTCTACAACCCTTGATAACCCCAATCGAGTCTTGAAGCGCTTCTCCACCAATTGGTCCGTCTCCCGGAACATGGTCCCCCTTCTGGACTGGTGGGCCAAGGTCATTGGGGAGCTTCTTTGTCTCTTGGCCAGGCACGCCGTGGGTTCATATGGCCCTGGCTCGAGGGCATCTGTCTATTCGCTCCCCACTGCGGCCCAATCACGGCTCCGGCCTTCTCTCGCTGTTATCACGGATGACAATGGCGTGTCCTTGCTTTCATTGGTGGCATGCCTGTATATAGTCTCTTGGAGAGTTTTCACCTTCCGAAACGGCATTGGGTATGACTTGGGGTCACTAGGCAAGCCCGGGCCAGAATCAGGATTCTAAGTCGATTTCGATCTCGAAGCTGCTCTACATAAAGGAGCAGACTTCTTCTCGTCGATCCCCTTTTTTCTTTTTGTATCACCATCAATATCTTGACGATATAGTAGCTTCTTTTTGGCTCAGGAGCCCTGCATAGTCTCTCCTTTCCTACGAAAGCCCCTATCCTTGTACATATACCCATACTCAAGTTGTATATACAACACCAGTACATACTATATACCCTCCTTTTAACCCCTTTTTGAAACATATACAAAATGTGGTCTCCCAAGGTTGCTGCCGCTGTCCTCGCCTTTGTTGGTGCTACCAACGCCTGGCAGCCCCCGACATACAGCGGCTGGAACTTGGTCTGGACTGACACCTTCGCTGGCAACGGTGGCACTTCTCCTAACCAGAACAACTGGAACATCATTACCGGAAACCTGAACGTCAACGCCGAGCAGGAGACCTACTCCTCCAGCACCGCCAATGTTCAGCTCAGCGGTGGAAGCACCCTGCAGCTGGTCCCCTGGAGAGATAGCAGCAAGGGAACCAGCACCTTTGGTGGCTGGACCTCCGGTCGTCTTGAGTCTAAGTACACATTCACTCCTCAGGCCGGCAGGGTCACCCGTCTTGAAGCCGCCATCCGCTTCGGCAGCAACGCTCAGGCCAACAAGCAGGGTATCTGGCCTGCTTTCTGGATGCTGGGTGACTCCCTCCGTCAACCGGGCGGCAGCTGGCCCAACTGTGGTGAGATCGACATCATGGAGACTGTCGACGGCCAGGCTACCGGCCACGGTACCCTTCACTGCGACGTCTACCCCGGCGGTATCTGCAACGAGGGTAACGGTATTGGAGGCCCTGTCAACATCGCCAACGTCAACGACTGGCACGCGTGGCGTGTTGAGATCGACCGCACTCCCAGCAGCTGGCAGTCCGAGACCCTCACCTGGTCTCTCGACGGCACCAACTACTTCCAGATCACTGGTTCCCGCATTGGCAACCAGAACGTCTGGAACAACATTGCTCACAGCCCCCTCTTCTTCATTCTTAACGTTGCTGTCGGTGGCAACTGGGTACGTTCCTCCATAATATCTACTTTTAGTTTGATCAGATACAGCTAACACATGTAATAGCCTGGCAACCCCAACAGCGCCACCCTCGATGGCTACGGAAGCATGATGGAGGTTGGCTACGTCGCTCAATACTCTACCTAAGAACCTTGCTTTCTTGAGGTAGCTGTTTGTGACATGCGATACCACAGTACATAAGCCTGAGATCCTCTCGGGCTCAGTGGCAAATCAGGAGGATGAGCATTTTCACTTCCTCTTGTCACTATGCACATACATGCCCTTTTATGATGTATATATCCTTTTTCTTCATGTATATATTGCGCTTTGCTTTGCGAAGATGAGTGGATAAGTACGAATTGATGATGCTTATGTTTATATATTTATATGAGCTGCTCCTATTGCGTATAAGTGACATAACCGCATGTATAGACCTGGCCTGTCAGTAATTCAGAAGTCCAAAGTTGGGATGCTGCCTCCTGGGTTGTTGCGTGAATGTATATGTACAATATTCTAAAACTACCTGACCTGTATCTACCCCAAAAATATAGCCTGTCTATACCTTTCTATGCCGCGCCAGCACTGTCTTCTACCTGTTGAACAAATGCTTGTAGCTCGGCCACCTTCTTCTCAGCTTCCTTCTTCCTCTGTTCTTGTAGATCATACGTTGCCTGCAGCTCATCAACCATGAAAGGCTTCAGAGGCGCCTTCTTGGCCGCTCTGTAATCGTAGACAACGATATCCTCAAAGCATTTCGCCGCAGGTCGTCTTTGCTGCTCGGAGTACATGACGGCTTCCAAGTAGAAGCGGTCAGAGCTGTAATCCGGCTTCGTGACGAGCTTATGCAAAACTGTGACACGGTCTGGGAAAGTCATGGGCTTTGTCGAAATTAGCTCTAATTTATGAAGGAGAAGTGAAGGAGGCTTGAAGGAGGCTTACAAATTTGAAGTCGGTCCTGATACTCGCCAAGATGAGGCCGATGCTCTTTGGTGACATGAGATCAAACCATTCCTGTTGGTACTTGGGGTCTGAAAATTGTGCAAGGTTTCTTGTCCAATTGACACGGCCAGACTCAGCGAGCCGATTGTATATGACATTATTGACGTGTCCTTGGCAAAATTAGTAACTGAAAACAATTGCGGAATGTTGTAGCTAGTTACCCTGCGATGTAAATACGTCATTAGAACGAGGCTTTAAAGTGAGCGCATCTCAGAGTTGGGAGACTTACCATCATGTCCTTTATTAACCAACAAGAAAAGAAAAGGTTAACACTGTTTTCTTATTTGAACACGGCACTCAAGGGTATCGCATCCTTACCATGTCTCCCCATTGCACCATGTGTCTATCCAACCCTCGCCTCTCCGGGTCAACCAGGTATCCTTCTCGTCCAGCTGAGAGCTCCAGCCAATTCTTATCCAGATATGCCAGTCGTTCCCTTACTTCGTCTACCTTTTTCGGTGCAATTTTGAGCGACAGGGATTGTTTCAGTCTCTTCTGCAAGTCCGATAGCCACCTTGAATTAACTGCTCCATTTTCCGATGCTGGTGGCGGCGTTGCCGCACGTAATCTAGCTGTGGTTGTCAGACTGCGAACTGACGACGGTCGCATTGCATGAATGGCGACATTGCCTCTGATTTTTGAAACCGTGCTTTTCATGTTTGCTATGTTCTGTTATTACTCCGTGTAAATACACGAAGTGAGGCTCTCCGAAAGTGTTGTCTCAAGGTGAGAGAATACTCGCACGGCTTAGTTACCTGTAATTTAGGAATCGGCTATTCTCGGTATCTCTCTGTCTTGCCGCCATTCTCTGTTATTTTAGCCGTTTCCAGTGGGTCATGTCCCGGCATAATGAATTCACTCGATCCTAATGTTGATTCCCAATGATGAGTCCTCCGATGCTAGACGGATTGCGCCAAAGATATTCTAATCATCGTAATCGAAAGTTGACGTAACACGGGGTGTGTTTTGATCAAGACGACCAAGACGACCTCAATCTTACATGCATGCGCCTAAATAGATCGCACCGCTGCATGCATGATTGAAGCGGCATGGACAAGGATCGAAAGCTCAAAGTGTTGGTAGCAACACATAATAGCTCTACCAAATCGGATCTATTTACAACGACATCAATACTTTATCGATGCAGGTACCCGAAGTTTTCTTTAATTATACTATGTACGCCGTAATTGCTCTCAACTATTCACAAATCGTCTACAGCCGTCCTCAACTCAAAATGCTTGGTTGGTGCCCTGGTAATCAGGGTTCGCCTTCTTCCACTTCAACAGCTCTCCTGCCCATGTCATTATTGGTGCCTTTTCCTCAGTCGCCAACGCCTGTCGAACAACTGCATCAGATAGATCTTTCTCAATCTCAAGACGAGGCAAGTCTTCCTTGACAACCCTCCACTGCTCCTCTGTGAGCGCCTCTTTCGCCAGCTCGTACCACCGGAACTCGGTCCTTATTCCCAGCCGGAGTGCCTGTACGGCTCCTCCAAGATTCTCCGGAATATGGGGTGTGGTGTGTAGTGACATGGCGAGCCAGGCTTCCCTGGCGACCGATTCGCTTTCGCCGTGCTTAAGTAGTAGTTGCACTGCTTCATCGGCGGAAACAATCTCAAAGCGCTTGGGATTGCCGTCATACTTCTCCACTGTGCTTAGATCATGGTAGATACAAGCAACGAAGAGAACGTGAGGCTCAACTGAAACCCCCTTGAAGGCTTCAAAGGAACCGGGCAGCCCAGCTGACGACGAGTTGAGCAGCGCTTGGGCGTAGATGTACAGGCGGAGGCTGTGGTTGAAGAGAGATGGCGAAAGCGACTTGAGAGCAACTTCGAGGGCCTCTTGGGCAGCGGGATGGTTCGGCACCACAGCTCTGGCAGCGGCGCTCAAGGTGGCCCGCTCAGTAGACGAGGAATTGCCAGTTGTTAGGCACATGATTGAGGTTGTAATCTGTGATACAATAAGTATCCTTTACTGGTGAGATTTCGAGAGTCACTATGATACTTTGAGATGATAGTCAGAGGAGATAGGAGAAGAGACGGAAACTGATGGGTGACAGTCTTGGTTTATATAGCCCAATCGACTCGACGATTTGATTCTCTGGAGACCATCGAAACGTCAATTCGATGTCGCGATTGCTTACAGAAGTTACTGGCGACTTGAGCTGCGGCATTCCTCTGCGGCATACTTTGGCGCGCCCTACGGCTCATGGCCTGTCCAATAGTGGCCCGTAATTCCGAGCCCGATCGAACCCGATCCGCTGGTATACAACAGCAACGCTGAGCAAGCGAGACAATGCGACTTAAGCTGCGGCATTGCTCTGCGGCATACTTTGGCGCGCCCTATGGCTCATAGCCTATCCAATAGTGGCCCGTAATTCCGAGCCCGATCGAACCTGATCCGCTGGTATACAACCTAGAACTCTGGTTTAGGGAACATAATTAGTACCGTGGGGTACTTACTTGGGTTAGAACAGCAACGCTGAGCAAGCGAGACAATGCGACTTAAGCTGCGGCATTGCTCAGCGGCATACTTCAGCTGCATTAATGAGGAGTTGCTCACTGATCTACAATACATAGATGTGTAAGTCGAAAGAGGAACAACATCAGAAGACAAATTATTGTGGTTTTGAACAGTAATTTTTACCTAAGTTATGGATTCTAGCCTACTATGTGACAGTCTCGAGTGCGGTGTTCCATCTTGGAATTCACTCACTCGTCCTTTGCAATTTTCAGCACAATACGGCCCAAAACATCACCCCTCTCCAGCTCTTCATAAATCTTGGGCAAGTCTTCAAACGGACGAACCGTAACCTTGGGCTTCACAATACCTCTTCGTACGAGATCCACCGCCTCCAAGCATTCTTTGAGCGATCCAACCAAGTTACCAGTTATATGAAGACCCTTGATTACGATAGTGCTGATAGGCGTTTCGAGATATCCTCTCTCTGCAGGAATTCCAACACAGCTGAGCGTTCCGCCAACGGCGAGCATTTCAGCGGCCTGAGCAAACGCCTTTGGGTTCGCCGCCGTTACTATGACGGCATCCGCTCCCCCGTTGGTGATCTCGTGAATCTTCTCAATGAGATTGGGAGTAGTCGTAAAGTCGACGTAGCCGGTTACACCAAGTGACTTCAGGAACTCTCCTTTCTCGGCACCGCCGTCAACGGCGTATACAATGGCGCCCTGTGCCAATGCATATTGAACTGAACATTCGCTATTAGTATAAACGAAATAATATGGGGATATTCGTGTGATAATTACCTGCGAGATGACCCAGTCCACCACCAGCACCAACAACTACAACGGAATTTCCTGCGCTGACGTTGCAATTTTTGACTGCCTGAATAGTTTTTGTTAGTAACCAGTGCATTGGCAGCTGCATATTAGTATACTGCACAGCTTACCTTGTAAGTGGTCAGTCCAGCACAAAGAACAGGGCCGGTGGTAACAGGATCGATATCATTAGGCAGCAGGGTAAGATAGTCAGCATCAAGAGCGATGTACTCTTGAAAGCTTCCATCTTCATGATGCAAGTGGTTCGTGCTCTTAATGCAATGCTGCTCCTTTCCAGCCAAACAAAAATTGCACCGCCGGCAAATTCGACTTGCGAATCTGATACCGACATATGTGCCAACCTTGATGTCCTCATCTACTCCAGGACCCAAGGCAATGATGCGCCCGATACCCTCATGCCCTCCAATATGAGGTAGCTTGACATTCGTAATTGGTGTTCCCTGAGCTGACGCTGCGATGCCAGCTTGAGTGTGGAGATCTGCACGGAGTAAGGCTTAGAATTGTAATCAAGAGTTTGACTGTCTCGGAAATACAGCTTGGTGTAAGTGACTTCATTCTTACCGCTCTGGCAGACGCCCGAATAGAGAACTTTTGCTAAGACTTCATTGTGACCCGGCTGCGGCACCGGATAGTCATGTACAAAAACAACTCCGCCGCCGAGTTTTGGGACAGTAGCCGCTGTCTGGGTCTTGGGAATGTTGACCATTGTCGCAGGAAAATACGGTCGCGGATAGATGTAACGACAGTGAGTATAAGAGTGCTTGCGGATAGACGCAGTTGTCACGGATAGATGGCGGATAGATGTCTACTCGTAGCGTGGCTGAACAACTTTATATACCACGTTCTTGCGATGGATGAAATTTGATCTTTTATAGCTATTGCGACGAAAAACATCGATTCCATCTTTACCACCAAATGTTTTGATTCGCCCGGTTGAGATAGTGTAGTCACGCGCTGGTTGTCCGTACGGCCTCGACGCAATTTCTCCAACTTCCCCGCCAATTTGCCAAATTGTCCAGCATTTGTCCGGGTGGCCAAACCAGATCGGCAGCTTTAATCGAACTTGGCTACGGTGATGTATTTATTGGGCGCATATGATTTGACAATTTTGGTAACTTGGTTGCCTGCGTCAGCACTTTGTTTCATGTGATGTTGTTTGTTTGCCTTGCTTCAAATGCACATCCCAAGACAGATGTACTCCGTGTATAAGTCGAAGCAGCCGGGAATGACACACCTAATGCCTTGCGTTAGGTACGTGTAATTTGAATATTAACATCTTCCAGTATTATCTTCCATTGCTCAAACACTTTGACTCTGAAAAAGTGTTTCCCCGTGTAAGTGACACATGATGCATACGAATTTGAAATCAGCTTCTATCCGCACACTCCGGATTTGCCTATAATTCTAGGTTAGCCAACCCGATACCCGGCATGGCACCGCAGTCGGAGCTTTTCTTTAGCTCATCGTAAACGCATCCCCTCAACCTTCAACCCCCGCTTAACCCCCTCGTTCGTGGGGGCCAGTTGAGCGTCGAACGCATAGTACATGCACCTGCACTCGTATTCCATACATAAAGCCTGTACCCAGAGTTATGCGTGACTCGCTCGACGGACAAACTTGCACGAAAGCCCAACGCCATGGTTGTCATTCGTCCTCCGCTCCACCGTGACCGGTATCAGGCCTGGGCTCAGTAATTGTCCGGCCAGTCCTCAGTATTTCCTTAAATTACTCCGGACTCAGCTTTTTTGGGGCTCTGTTCCATCATCTGCGCTCAACCGCCCATGGCCAAGAGATCCTGCGATTTCTGTGTTCAACGCAAAACTCGGTGCGACAATGGTCGGCCATGCCGCAAGTGCCTTGACGCACAGCCTCCACTCGAATGCACCTATTTGAAGCCGGTGCTTAAACGCGGCCCAAAGACTTCCAAACTCACCCAGCGGTGCAATTGGAAATGGAGAATTGACCCTCAGATTCAACCTCCAGCTTCTCCCGGACATGTCGATTCGAACTCGACGGGATTCGCCGCCAATACTCCGGCCTACGACAAGGCAGAAAGGCTGTCTCTGTCTATACTCAGACCAGTGATTGAGGCCTACAGTTCCCGCATGTATCCCGTCTGGCCAGTCCTCCATGTGCCAGATCTCATCACCAGGCTTGAGAAGCAGGAAACGAGTGATTCGCCATATGATGATGTTTATCCCATGACACTGGCACTATGTTCAGCGACAATGGCGCAATTGAACTTGACTGCAATGAATGATATTCCACCTCATATTACTAGCGAATATATGGAAAAGGAGTGTAACCGACATCGCAATCTAACAAATTATCGAGAGCATCCTTCCGTTGAGGGTGCCCTCGCGTCTTTCTTTCTCCATGTCTACCATGCCAAGGCTGATAACAGAAATGCATCCATGGTCTATCTGCAAGAAGGCATCTCAATTGCTCGACTTCTCCGTCTGGACCGGATAGAGCTCGAGTCCTGCCGAATTCAGGATGACCTCGATGATGGTCAAACTCCAGTAACTGCTCACAAGCGTCTCGTTTATATCCTCTTGTGGGTTAGCGAAAGGTAACCTACGTTTGAAGCCATGTCTCCAATTCAAAGAAGCAAAGGAGCTAATACTCTGTTTTTCAAAATCAGGGGCTACTCTATCCAACATGATCTCCCCATCTCCATACTTGATACAGTCCGGATTCCGACGGACAACATGGATGATTTTGACAAGTACGGAAGGGGACTGATCGAACTTGCTACGTTATTCGCGGCTTTCGACGCCTTCTTTTATCGTACAGCCCGGTATATATACGAATCTTACCAAGGCAATTCTGATCAGCACCGTCTCATAGCAGTCCAGCGATCTTTGGAAAGCATCGCACCAAAAGCTTCTGAATATGATTTGGTGCAGCGGGCAGATTACAATATTACCAGGCATTGGATGCGAATTCTGATTTGGCAACAAGCCATGTCTCGAAGTCTGCTGTCGTCCTCTGCAGACGACGAATCAATGACCTTTCTCTTTCCTTCTCAAATAGCACAGGATTTTCTTTCCTCAATTACAGTCAATTCGAAGGAACATTTGGTTTCATTGGGAAGAGACCAGGTACGTAATATCGCATAAACGTGTCAACTCGGCTCAGATCTAACAAAGATATAGCTGATTAAATCCTTTGAAATCACAAATACACTAGCAGATGTGATATTATGCACCACCAGTGCCTACAGTACTCCTCTCGTGCAGGACTCCTACAACTCTCGCCGCAAATCGTATTTCGGTGCGCAACGAGAATGTTGGAAGTACGGACCAGCAGATTTTCTACACGCAATGTATCAGACAATTTCTCCGTTCCTAACCTACGACAAACGGCTGAACGATATGATACGACTCAAAGCAGCAGATGCGTTGTTGCGGTCACCAAGTAGGATAATTCCGAGGGGTGTTGGTGAGGGATCACCTGCAGCGGAAGAAGGGCAAGAGGATGAGAACAATGGGATTTTGGAGCAAATACTGGGGTTAGCGACTGAGGCAGATTCTTGGAACATGAACACTGACCTCGATGGCTTGGATTTGAGTCTAGATGTTGATGAGTTGGGTCAAGTCAAGATTCCGTTCAGCAGTGATACACTGTAGACATTTTGACGGTAGTTCTTCTTGCTGTCGGCTGGCTTGTTCTATGTAATGGGATGTGTGACAGAGTATTGCGTGACATAATGAAGCTCTTTGGAATAGTTGTCTTATTAGATATTGGAGTCTAAATCCTACCACTGAGTTGCTGTAGTAGGTCCCCTCTTTACCCATCCTATCATACCATTTATCTTGTCTCTCTCTCTATATAAATTACAGCTCTGAATCCACACCACGTCCAGCATGGAACAAATTATCACAAGCCATTAATCCTCAACAGCACACACACACATATATATATGAGCAACGTCTAACCGGAATAGGCGGCAACAGCGTTATTGAAGCCATCCGCTACTTGTGTCTCAACACTCGTAACCGCGGGAACAAGGTCAGCAGGCGAGGCTGCTGTTAGCGCGTTGACATATCCAATAAAAGATGAATTCAGACTGTGCAAATCACTAAGAATCACAGCTTGTCCACCTTGCAAATTGGCCCAGGCATGTGCCTGATTTCCTATGGCTGACAGTGCGCCAAGAAACGTGGGGACGAGGACCTGTAAGTCTGAGAGAATGGTGGTGCCGCCTGCTTCAGAAAATGAGCCGGCAGCGTTGATGTTGGTAGTTGCCTCATTCGTGATAGCAACGAGACTCTGCACATCGTCGTGAATATTGAATGCACCCTGTAAGCCACTTGCAGGATAGCCATCTATGTTGTTGCTGAGGGTGGTCCATTGGGGACCGATTCTTTGGTTGATGTCATTCTCAACTGTAGTCGCATCACGGCGGAGGATGATGGCAGCGGCGGTTGAAGCGAGGAAGAGGATTTTGGTAAAGAGCACCATTTTGATGACAGGATTGCTAGTTCAAATGATTACGGTGTAGGGGAGTATGACTGAGAAAATGAATGTAAAAGTGAGAAGATATTCTCTAGTGTTTACGTTTATTTGCACTGCAGTGAATATGGGATATATACATATGTTCGGGATAGGGTGTGCACCGCCAGCTGCGATCTTGACCAATATCAAACCGTGTGACATGTCATATTTCAATGGACAGCTCATGTGTGATTTAGGCATAAACCATCCTTGATAGACGGTAAGTGTCTTACTGAGGTAGAATGGTTGGTTAACTTCGCCCAACGATCTAATATGTGAATCCTCACTCTGCCTCTATTATACACCCCACATTGTTTAAGACAACATACATGTACATATAACCTGATGTAACGCCCACAGTTGGTAATATTGTCAACTAAGACATTCTACCAGCTGGCTTGCTAAGCTTCTCTAATTTAATAACGATTTTACTTCAGTTTACGCTGACCGCCTCTTCCAGACTGAGACATTTCGTGTCGGTCCACTTCGCCCGCTTATTGTCTTACGGCAAGCGGCATCAAAACCTACACATGGTAAGGATATGCGCTCAAAGGATAACAGACGTGTATTTCGATGCTTCTTCTCTAGCAAGTTTGCAGTTTTGTCACCTTCCTGAGTCACGCGTATGGACAACTGAGACATACACGTTTACGGCTGTGACATGGGTGTTTGTTACCAAGACACACGTCTTCATCACACAATGGCTGTACTCGTACCTACCCACGTCCCATCTAGGGAATTGGATATAAAACATATAAGCTTCAAGGTTCTCATTCCTCCTCAAGCACCCTCACCACCAACTGTGTTTACCTATTTCTACTGTCCCTTTGATCATACATTCTCTCTGGCCGGTTTTCACTAAAAAGAACGAAATGGTAGCCATCGCGAAAGCCCTTTGGCTGGCTTCAACTGCCACCGTTACCACTGCTACTCCTATCGTTCGGCGCGATGTCATTACCGTTCAGAATGACATTACACAGAAGTTGGGCCCGGGTTGGTTTACCCTTAACCAGGACTTGAATGGTTTCCCAAGCAGCGGCTTTGCTGGAGCAATTACCATCCGAGACGATATTGCAAATCTAGTTACTATTTTGGAGACTACAGTTTCTGATATCAAGTCTACTGGCTCATTCGGGACAGTGGCTGGCACAACCATCCTTGCCGACATTCAGTTACAAGTGCCCACAATGCTGGCTTCATTAGTAACTATAGGGGCCCAGGAACGCGATTGGGAGGCTATGCAGGGTGCATCTTGGATTCTAACTCAACTGGAGTCAATGAACATCGCTACATCAAATTTTATGGATGCTGTTATAGCAGCTGAGCCTCTTCTTCTGAAGCCTGGTGGTCTTGCGTTGAAGGCGGAGATGACAGGTGCTTTTGACACTTCAATAGCTTACTACGGCGCATCGCAATAGCTGCACGCCTACTCCTTTCGATGTAAGCTCGGGATTTTGTCATGGTAAATATGGAAACTGAAAAATACGAAATTAGAATGGTTAGGGTGTTTGGCATTGGATTGAGTGAGGACTATGGAAAGGATGCGGCACGAGGCAGCAAGTGAGTTGGAAAACATAAAATTGAAGCTTGAATTAGTGGTAGGATGCCGGATAAAGAACAAGTTAAGGGTATGAAACATTGGATCTTATGGGCATAACCAAGGAATAAAGTCAAATTCACGATACAGATACCAAAAATAGCCCCATATTCATCGTATGGCTGTCTCCTACAATGCATCATATTCCAGCCGACGCCATGAGTCAGATTGCACAGCCGATCAATCGCTCTTCACTGGTTTAATATCTGCCCGCTTATCCTCACGGGTAGGCCTTATGCAGTAGCTTTCACCCTATTGAGCATCCCTTCTATGTCCGTGTTGGCGGTCTCGTTCCCTACAATGCATGAGAAAGTTGAGATCCATACAGTCAGAGTAACGACATCTTGCTTTTGGTTGCAGTTCTCAGACGGCCTTGCCAGGTCCATAATAGGTATCTGCAAGACGTCTACTGTTTAGGGGGGTGGTCCACTACTGCTCTCATGGTCGTTAGACTATCTGTATAGGCACCTGTAGTCCGTGATTGCGCATCTAAAATTTCCATCTTATCTGAGTTTCCAGTAGCACGAAGCGTTCTTTGTATCCCTGCCTCGAATAGGTGGTAAATAGCACTGGATGTATTCCGTATGCTGTGCTTGTTTCATGCATTTAGTCCATATCAACGTGGTGTAGCTACAGATGCGGGTGCCTGTACTCTGCTCTGGAGTCCCGTTAGCGTCATTGGTGGCGTGGTTACCACTGCACCCTTTCAAAGCTCAGGTCCATATACTTTCACTTCCTGGGCGCCTCTACATATCTAACGTACCTATACTATATAGTGCACAGGAGTTTATCACATCTGCTGAATAAGACATTGTAAACCATCAAAATATAGGTAGTACCAATTTATAAAGAAGCAGCTACTAGACGGGTACTTTTGCTCGCCCGTATATTCCGCTTGGCGGGGGACAAATGACGTGCGGATTCTCCGTCCTTATCAGCGGCCTTCTATTGCCTCCGATAGCTGACTAAGGGCCCAATGTACTCGCCACCAAATGCTCGCTAGTCCAGTCCATATGAAAAGTACAGATCGCGGCTTGGAAGCGGCCGGCCGAAATTGTGGAATTCTCCAACTCCGCCGACGAGGCTTCCGTCTGGCCTTTTTCTTTCTTCACATCTTCAATGACCGGACTTGCGTCGGCCCTTTACTGCTGATTCCTCGCGCCGCTCTACTTGCTGTCCGGAGGCCGTTGGGGTGCCTCACATCATCTGCCTGTCATGGCAGCTCTCGTGGACAACCCGCAGATCAAGCATGCGGAGTTGCTTCGTCCGCTGCCCTTCCACTTCCACGCCTACGTCTGGCCTTTTGCCATTCTGTGGCCCATCTTTCTGAGGTACTATCTGACCCCGGATCTCTACGAAAAGCACATTGGCGCTTCTGAATGGACTTTTGTCTGGTGCGGGACCATCATCACCCTCCAGTCTCTTGTTTGGCTGAGCACCCACTGGAGCGTGGGCCTGGATGCGCGATTCACTGCGACCAAGGTCCAGGATAAGGATATCCAGGACGCTCAGTTGGTTAAAGTTATTCCTATTGCGAACGCCGGCTCCAGCGAAATCTGCAAGCTGTTGCGGGACAAGGTACGTCTTTTCCTTTCGGTGCTCATCCCACCATCGTGCCGCCATTGACTAACAACTTACTCGCTAGGTTGGGGGCAAGACCAATCTCTCATTCCTATTCCAGAAACGCCGTTTCCTCTATGATCCGGATACCAAGACCTTTAAGACCCTCACCTATCCCATCGATGGCGAGCCGAAGCCTACCATTGGCCAGTTCCAGGCTTCCAAGGGTATCGACAAGCAGTCCGAGTTGACCCGTATCGAGCAACATTATGGCACAAACACTTTCGATATTCCCGTCCCGACGTTCACAGAACTCTTCAAGGAGCATGCCGTCGCGCCCTTTTTCGTCTTCCAGATCTTCTGCGTTGGCTTGTGGATGCTTGATGAATACTGGTACTACTCGCTGTTCACTCTGTTCATGCTTGTCGCATTTGAGAGCACCGTCGTCTGGCAGCGCCAGCGTACCTTGAACGAGTTCCGCGGAATGAGCATTAAGCCCTACGATGTTTGGGTCTACCGTCTCGGCAAATGGACCGAGGTCCAGAGCGATGCGCTCTTGCCTGGTGACCTTGTGTCTGTTGGCCGAACCAAGGAAGACAGCGGCGTCGCATGCGATATGCTCTTAGTTGAAGGCACTGCCATTGTCAACGAGGCCATGCTTTCCGGAGAAAGTACCCCGCTGCTCAAGGACTCGATTCAGCTGCGCCCGGCCGATGCTCTACTGGAGACGGAGGGACTCGACAAGAACGCCTTCTTGTGGGGTGGTACCAAAGTTCTCCAAATCACCCATGGAAACCCTGACCAGGAGAAGCCCAAATTGGCTTCAGGCGTCCCTGCTGCCCCCGACAATGGAGCTCTGGCTATTGTTATCAAGACTGGCTTCGAGACTTCTCAAGGCAGCCTTGTCCGAACCATGATCTACTCCACTGAGCGTGTGTCTGCCAACAACTTTGAGGCTCTCTTGTTCATCCTGTTTCTTCTCGTCTTCGCGATCGCTGCCTCCTGGTACGTCTGGGACGAGGGTGTGCGAAGGGATCGCAAGCGCTCCAAGCTCCTACTTGACTGCGTTTTGATCATCACCAGTGTTGTGCCTCCCGAGCTGCCAATGGAGCTTAGTCTCGCAGTCAACACTAGTTTGGCAGCCCTTGCGAAACTGGCCATCTTCTGCACAGAGCCATTCCGAATTCCATTTGCTGGACGTGTCGATATCGCTTGTTTCGACAAGACTGGAACGCTCACCGGTGAAGACTTGGTTGTGGAAGGTATTGCTGGACTCGGCCTGAACCATTCCGACGTTGAGGACAAGCGAGAAGGCGATGGCGCCCACTCTACCATCATTGCGGTCAAGGAAGCTAGCTTGGAGACCCAATTGGTACTCGCTACTGCTCACGCCTTGGTTCGATTGGATGAAGGCGACATTGTGGGAGACCCAATGGAGAAGGCTACTCTTACTTCTCTTGGCTGGGGCCTTGGCCGTAATGACGTTCTCTCAAGCACTCCCAAGGCTGGCACTACCCAAGGCAACGTTCACATCAAGCGCCGTTTCCAATTCTCCTCTGCACTTAAGCGTCAGAGCTCCGTTGCGTTTGTCAATGGAATTCACACCGCCACCGGTCAAAAGATCAAGGGTACATTTGCTGGTGTCAAGGGTGCTCCCGAGACTATCCAGAAGATGCTCGTTGAGGTGCCCGCTGATTACGAGGAGACGTACAAATACTTCACACGCAAGGGATCCCGAGTTCTCGCACTGGCATACAAGCAACTGACTGTTGATTCCGAATTGGGCTCGGGCAAAATTAACGACCTCAAGCGAGAAAAGGTTGAGGCTGATCTCACATTCGCTGGCTTTTTGGTGCTTCACTGCCCCCTCAAGGAAGACGCCAAGGAGGCTGTTCAGATGCTCAACGAGAGTAGCCACCGTGTTGTCATGATTACCGGTGACAACCCTCTTACAGCTGTGCACGTTGCCCGTGAAGTCGAAATTGTTGACCGCGATGTTCTTATTCTGGACGCCCCCGAGGATAACCATGGTGGTGAGCAGCTAATTTGGAAGAGCGTTGACGACAAGGTTACCATTCATGTAGATCCTTCAAAGCCTATCGACCCGGAGATTCTCAAGAACAAGGATATTTGCGTGACCGGATATGCTCTTGCCAAGTACAAGGGCCAGCCTGGATGGAAGGACATTCTCCGCTATACCTGGGTCTATGCTCGTGTGTCACCAAAGCAAAAGGAAGATATTCTGCTCGGTCTGAAGGATATGGGTTACTATACCTTGATGGCTGGTGACGGCACCAACGATGTCGGCGCCTTGAAGCAGGCCCACATTGGCATTGCTCTCCTCAACGGTACCAAGGATGACTTGACTCGCATCGCAGAGCACGCTCGCAACACCAAGCTCAAGGAAATGTACCAGAAGCAATGCGAGCTCATGAAGCGCTTCAACCAACCTGCACCTCCTGTCCCCGTCATGATTGCCCACCTCTACGCACCTGGACCTACCAACCCCCACTACCAAAAGGCTATTGAGCGTGAAGCTACCAGAAAGAAGATTACGCCCGAGGAATACATTAAGCAGCATGGCCACCCTGTGGAAACCATTACCTCTCCCGGTGCTCAGAATCTCATCAACGATCGTCAGCAACAAGTCAACAAGAAGGCGGCCAGTTTGGCTGACCAACTGACCAGCAGTATGATGGAAGCCGAGATGGGTGACGATGAGCCCCCGACTTTGAAACTGGGAGACGCTTCCGTCGCTGCTCCGTTCACCTCTAAGCTTCGCGATGTCATGGCCATTCCTAACATTATTCGTCAAGGCCGATGCACCCTCGTCGCCACCATCCAGATGTACAAGATCCTTGCTTTGAACTGTCTGATCAGTGCCTACTCCCTGTCTGTTTTGTACCTTGAGGGTATCAAGTTTGGCGATACGCAGTACACCATCAGTGGTATGCTCATGTCTGTTTGCTTCTTGAGCATCTCCCGAGCTCGCGTTGTGGAAGGACTCAGCAAAGAGCGACCCCAACCCAACATTTTCAACGTCTACATCATCGGATCTATTCTGGGACAATTTGCTGTTCATATTGTGACTCTCATCTACATTGCTCGTCTGTGCGACAGACTCGAACCGTAAGTGTCTCAACCTACCCAACCGCTAGTTTATCTTTTACTAATGTTGCTATAGACGCTCTGGAGACATTGATCTGGAGGCTGAGTTTACGCCGTCGCTGCTCAACTCTGCAATTTACTTGCTGCAGCTGATTCAACAAATTTCTACATTCGCCATCAACTACCAGGGCCGCCCCTTCCGAGAGTCCATTACTGAGAACAGGGCCATGTTTTACGGTATCGTCGGTGTCTCCGGTCTCGCCTTTGTCTGCGCTCTCGAGCTGATGCCCGAAATCAACGAACAAATGAAGTTGGTGCCTTTTAGCGACGAGTTCAAGACCAAGATGTCCACCGTCATGGTTCTGGACTACGTGCTGTGCTGGCTTATTGAGGTCGTTTTGAAGAGGTTCTTCAGCGACTACCGCCCGCGCGACATCGCCGAGCGCCGCCCTGAGCAGCTCAAGCGCGAGATGGAGCGCAAGAAGGAGGTGGAGAGGAAGAAGGCTGAGCAGGACGACAAGGAGAGGCTCGAGAAGGTCGCTGAGTTTGAGAGGAGGGTCGAGGAGCGTAAGAGGAAGATTGAGGCGTGGGCTACTGGCCGTCAGCAGCCGGCGGCGGCGTCTGGATCATCATGATTTTCTCTTTTTTGTTGGGTTTCCGGTCAGCGGCGAAAAACATTTAGGAAGAGAAAGAAAAAGAAAGAGGTATACTGATAGAGTTGGAGGCTGTATAATGCTGTTAGATGCTTAGGAAGGGATGCCGAGTAATGTAGACACCGATAAAGCCTGAATCTAATAGAATTCTCCTCTTTTTAATGATACTTACACTTACTCACACCTATTTACTAAAGACACGCAATGATGAAAAGGGGGAAGCTTCGGAAATTAGGATTTTCTTGTATTTATTTTGTTTGCTAATGTTACAGAGACTCGATTGAAGTCTATGGCAGCCGCAGAACAGCGGGGAAATAGGGAGCCTCATAAAAGCCATGATTTTCTCGTGCGTACGTTTTTTTTTTTTCTCTTTCATCCAAACCTCCCCTATATTTTCCGTGTACCATCCTCACAAAGCCCCAGCCCAACCAAGCCGCCTGTAAAGCAGCGAGCCAGTCCCCGTGAACCCTCCTTTGATCTTCCCCCTCCGGACGTTTGTCTCATTAAAAAAAGATAACGCTCAAGTCATGCTGAAAGGCATTTCAAGTTCGCTTTAGTTGCCGGGGTTCTCCTGGACAAAGGCAACACCCTTGGCAATGTTCTTCTTGAGATCGCCCAGGCAGGCCTCGACGAGCTTCTGCTCGTTGGCGTCGATCTTGCCAATGGGGTGGATCTTCTCAACACCGTCGGGGCCGAGCTCGACGTTGGTGCTGAAGAACTCGATGCCCTGGTCCTTGTACAGGGGAGACTCGACGAAAGTGGGCTCAATGACGCCCTTCTCGCCGTCAGCGGCGCGGAGGAGAGCATCGGCCATGCGGGCACCGGCGAAAGCCATGGAGAGGGTGGCAGAGCCGGCACCGTCCTTGGCCTTGACGACCTCGTCACCACCGAACTGGACACGGTTGACGAGCTCGGCGTTGGAGGAGAGGTCGGGGTGGTTGCTCTGGCTGAAGAGAGGAACGATGGTGACACCAGAGTGACCGCCGATGACGGTGATCTTCTCGTCCTTGGGGTCGGTGCCCTTGATCTCGGAGACGAAGCGGCTAGCTCGGACAACGTCGAGGGTGGTGACACCGAAGAGCTTCTTGGGGTTGTAGACACCGCGGGCCTTGAAGACCTCGGCGCAGATGGGGACGGTGGAGTTGACGGGGTTGGAGATGATGAGGAGCTTGGCCTCGGGGGCGGACTCGGCAACAGCCTTGGCCAGGTCGCGGACGATGGAGGCGTTGGTGTTGAAGAGATCGTCACGGGTCATGCCGGGCTTACGGGGGACACCGGCGGGAATCAGGACGATGTCGGAGCCCTTGAGGGCGGCAGCAAGGCCGCTGGGGGTGGCCTCATAGCCCTTGACGGTGGACTTGGTGTTGACGTGGGAGATGTCAGCGGCGACACCTGCAAGCAAGCAAGAGAAAAGAGACGGTTAGCCATTGACACTTTTTGGGAGGCCCGGAACAGAATGCCTGAGGAAAATTGGCGCAAGGGGGAGCGACGTGGACTTACCAGGTCCGCCACGGATATCGTACAGAGCAAGCTCAGTGACGCGGGTGTTGAGCTTGAGGAGGAGAGAGAGAGGCTGGCCAATGCCACCGGCAGCACCGAGGACGGCAACCTTGGACAGCTAATACACCAAAGAGCAGCTGGTCAGCACACACATGATTAGGTATACAGACAGAGTTTTGGGCGTTGAGACAAGAAGAACAGGCGGGGGAGGGGGACAAAGGGCTCATACGTTGCGGGCAGAGGCAGAGAAGGCCCTGCGCTGGATTCTGGAAGCCAACATGATGATCTAAAGAGAGATGCGAGGAATTGATCCAAGGACAGAGGCGATTGGGGCGGTTGGTGGAGAGCAAGAAAAGAGTTCGGCGCTGAGGATGGTGAGGGTTCTTGTAGCTGGTGAGGACAAAATGCGCAACGGCTGTGGCTCAAGGCCGGCTATAATCCGGGATTTCCCGGCTGAACTTGCTGGATGGGGCCAAGTTCCCGCATTGGGTGAAGGGCGGCTCTCGGACAGGCACAAGCTCAGCGGACCGGCCGGAGGGAGGCAATGGGAGGGAATTTCGGGCTTCGTTTTGTTCCAGAGGAGCCGCTGGAGCGAATTGGCCGGGGTGCTGCAGATCTCGTCATTTTGGCCGGCTGACGGAAGACGTAAGCGAGTTGGAGAGGACGGGGATTGTCTGGTGTTGTGCTGTTGGTTTAAGTTGGTGTATATGTTGAATAGTGTGTCGATATGCTTACAAGACATTGACTTAATCCCGAGGAGCCACGTTTGTGGCTGCAATTATACATCTACCTAGCACTGAGCAGGCTATGAATTCAAATTAGCGACGGCCTACATACATATCATGACGCGGGTATCGGTGCATGGAGCGAATGCGCCGGGAACAGAGGCTGAAGCTGGGCTGGGATCGCTTCCCACTTCTAACCCCACCATTGTTATGCTAGCCAAGCTCAACATCACAGTGGCACTCTACACATCTAGGACGATGGTTTGACTGCCATTTTTCAATTATGCAATATCATGAAATGCAATCAACCGGCGTTCACCTTGAGGGGCCTGGTTCCCCAGATTTTAGTCCGTGTAAATTGATGCAATTTCTCTTTTCGGCATGACTCATCCGCCGCTGCAGATAAGTCCCTGCATCCACCGATAAAGACCAACAGCTTGGAGCTTCGCTTGACTTGAGCCCCTCCATATCGAGCTCAGTGACACAATTCAACACCTGCACCCATACCAACAGCCAGCTCCCATATACCCAACACAAGTAAAATTGCTGAAACCGTCGCCTCAATGTCCATATATCAGCTCGCCCAGCTGCTCCCGCTGCCAGATGAGGAACTACAGCAGGTTCTCGACTATGCCTCGACACTCTCAAAACCCGAAGCCGTCACACACTTTAGCAACCTCCTCGGCGATTCGCCTGCCGTAATCGATTTTATATCCACCTTCAACGGTCGTCGAAAAGATCCCGCGGCTCCCGCAGCAACTCCAGCCCCTCCAACCGCTTCAACGTCAAAAGCTCCGTCCAAAGCTTCCAAACCTGCCGCTTCTGAAACAATAGACGCCGTTCCGAAATCGACCAGAGGGCCGAAGAAGAAGAAAGCGCCAATACACGTTCCAGAGGCTCGGAAAGTCGAGGACTATGCTGGTCCAGCTGGAAAGGCATACAATAAAAAGGATTCCGATCTAGAGTACATATCTCAGCGATCCAGTGCGCCGAGTAGCAATCGCCCGTCAAGGACAGCCTCGCCAGCAAGGCCTTCCATCAAGGAACCAACTGTTAAAAAGGCGGCACAACTTACCAAGGTGGAAGCGCCAGTACCAAAGCAATCAAGCTCTACAGCGGCTGGCTATCTCATATCGGACGATCCAAAAAAGTCAAAGCCCAAGTCTACACCAGTTTCTCGTACGTCGACACCGAAGCCGGCCAACAGCGGAAATGTCACCAAGATTTCAATTTCAGGAGGTGTGCCAATGGCAGGCCAGTCTACGGCGTTGGCTGATCTGGATGCTGCCATCCGATCTCTAGAAATTACGACAAACCCGACGCTAGAGAAGGACGCCAAGTCAAGGAAATGCAATTGCGTGGCGGCCAGGCATCCTCTTCAAGCTGCGGCCCCCAACTGTCTTTCTTGCGGGAAAGTCATCTGCTTGAAGGAAGGCTTAGGGCCATGTACATTCTGCGGAACACCACTACTAAGTTCCGACGAAATCCAGGCCATGGTTAGAGAGCTCAAGGACGAGCGTGGCAGGGAAAAGATGGCCGCGAACGCAGCAGCTCATCGCAGGGCAGATGTGGCCAAGACGCCCGCACCATTCACGCCGCCGCGAGGGTTGGACAGCGATGCTCCATCACTATCTGAAGCGGCTGCCAAAGCGCGAGACCATCGAGACAAGCTGCTCAACTTTCAAGCACAAAACGCCAAGCGCACGACAGTGAGAGATGAAGCCGCAGATTTTGACGTATCGGGTGCCATGGGTGGAATGGGCAGCATGTGGGCGACGCCCGAAGAACGAGCAAAGGAACTGAAGAGACAGCAGAAAATCATGCGAGAGATGGAATGGAACGCACGGCCAGAATATGAGAAGCGGCAGCAAGTTATTAGCATCGATCTCGCTGGCCGTCGAGTTATAAAGACCGTTGCACCTGTCGAACGCCCAGTCACACCAGAGGAAGATGAAGCCCAGGATTCCGACTCTGGTATTCTACAGGAGACGTCTGGAAACAGGAACGCCGGCGGGGCATTCAGTACAAATCCACTCCTGGGGGCTGTGATGAGGCCTATCTATGATGCCAAAGGGAAAGGGGCTGAAGCAGAGGGCCGAAGCAGCCGCAGCAAGGGATGGAGGAGGGTTCAAGACGACTTGGACAATAACGAGGGAGTCATTCTAGACGGAGGAGCGTATGGCTTACAAGCGGTTGGCGGAGACGAACCGGAGCGCGGGTAGCGCGTGTATATTACGCACACTATTTGATGTCTCGTGAAGATGGGGAGGGGTAGCGGTTACAATACTTCCGGTAATAGATGCCCGTTGTAAATGAATCTCGTAGAAGTACACACGATGCAATGGACGCCATGAAATAGAATACCTAGAACCAGGCAGCATCTACTGATTCTCGCAGCATCTACTCTGTTTGTATCTTAAACAATACATCGTGGAGATATCCCAAGAAATATGGATCACGTGCTGCCAATGCGGCATGAAAACCCTTACCCAGCTGGTGCTAATAATAGCCCGAGGCTGTGGCTGAATTCAGACTTTTGGGCGGCTGACTAAGACACAAAGACGTGTCGCGTCATCCACGTGACTTCGTGTCATGACGAATTTCGCGAACCATCAAGGCTCAACTCAAACTGCGAAAAAGCCTCTGCAGGGTTGCACAGCCCACACCACAAAGACAAAGAAAAAAGTAAACTGGTAGAGTTGCGCTGGAGGCTGTCGAACACGGGTAACTCCCATGGTTGCCGATTGATTTGCCACGCCAGCAGCAAACTTAAAAAACCCCGGCCAGGGCGGAAACTTGCCTTCGCCTAGAGCCATTTTCGGCCTCTCAGCTGAATTCTGGATAGACAAATCTGCAATTGACTCCGGCCGGCGTAGAAAAAAAAAAATCTCCCAGCTGGATGGAGCCCATTACTCGCGGGGTTTTTCTTGGGGTGGCGGGGAGCGATTTTGAGATGGAGAGCACAAGCCAAGAAAAAGTCGTGCAGCAATGTCCCACCAAAGGTTCTCAAACTAACGACGAACCCTGTATAACGGAGTCACTGACGAGGGAGCGAATATGCATGTCCTTTGAGTGAGGCTTTTGTCCAAGTCTGTGCCAAAACTGCGCAACCCACAAAGTCGCGCCCCGAGGGTTGCATTTTGCGGGCAAACGAGACGAGAAAAAAATTGACAGTAGCGCCGTTTTCTTCGTTTGTCCATGCAAGGTCAGGTAGGATGATGTGAGAGAGCTGCAGGTGGCCCTGCTTTGGTATTAGCGAGCCCGGCCGCTGAAGAATTTTGTTCTTTTATTCTGCAGAGGAGAAGAAATCCATGGCCGAGAGACTATCGCGGTGGTGGTTACACAGAGAACCTTGAGAAACTAACCCAGCCACAGCCTGAGCCTTTCTACCTGTTATACACTCACCCACTCTCTCTCCCTCCACTCTCTTTCTCTGTCCCCCTCGTACGACACTTGATAGTTTGAGGCTTCGGGTTAGACAGTTCCCTTGACCTCTTTTCTCTCTCGATTCAATCAATCAATCAATGTCACTTTGAACCTACAAAGACGCCGGGTCCACCCAATCCACCGGCTTAGCGCTGGTGCTCTAGTGCGCGTGATGCCTCTGGCACTCTGGCAACTCTGTCGATGGCTTCGCGCCTAGCCTCAGTGAGGTAGGTCCACTGAGTGATGGCGAATGCCACTGGACGCTCAGCGAGTAGAGTGCAGAACTTATGGGGCGCTGGCCGTCTGCTCTAGCGACCGCAGCGCCTATCTCAACTGTGCTGTCACCGCGCTGGCCTTGAATTGAACGCTCAGCGCTGCGCTTTTGGCGGTCTTTGGGGGGACCTTTTGGGGATCCCGTCCTTGCCCGTCCCTCCCGCATCCGTCGCGACTGGACCGCGCGTAACCCACACACACAAACCAGGACCGACATCTTTTCTGCTGCCTCACTGACACTGACACCCACCTTTGCAACCACTATCGCTTGCTGCCGAGTATTTGCTTTTTTTTTGCTTCAATCACTTCACATACCTGTCTGTACTGTACACTCCAGACCCATTGCTGGCTGTCTGGCCATCTCTGCTCCAGCCTCCCTCTCGACACGCGCCAACGCGCCGTTGTTGGTCTTGAAATCCCCAGACGTCCCACGTAACGCACACACGCTCGCAGTGGGGTTTGTCGCGCTCTCGACAATCCGCGCGACATGTCGCACCCAGCGCCTCCTGCTCCGGCTGTGGGCGTCGAAGCACGCGCGCCAGAGATGCCAGCTGTGCCCGCCTCGCCGGTTGTTGCTGCTGCCGCCGTCGCCGCGGCGTCTTCCTCGTCCGCCACCGACATGGCCGTGGACATCATGGACGGCGATATTGATATTGCGTCTTCGCAGAGCGAGGTGGGAGAGACGCCCCGTGACCCGTCGCCGAAGCAATCGCAGCAATCCGACGCCCACGATGCCAGTGGCCCCGGCTCCGCCCTCAGCATTCCTTTGACCGTGACCAACTCGCAGGAATCCCACGTCACCAGCTCCTCGGTCCATGCCATGACACCCCCCGCCAGCGACATCAGCAGCGTGACGGACGGTGCCGCGGCATATCTGGCACACGATGCCTCTGCCGACAAGAACGACCATCTTCTGCAGCTGTCCACCATTGCCGCTGCCCAGGACAGAATATCGACCACTGGCGCATCTAGGAAACGCATGGCGGATGGCGAGGTCAAGGCTGGCATGAGCCCTGTCAAAGGACGTGGCCATGCTAGAACCCTCAGCACCGTTAGCATCACATCCACCGGCAGCACCATTGGAGAGGTACGTTGGCATGCTCTTTGATTCTGTAGACGATATAGCACATGAACTGACTTGTTTCCTCCTAGCTGTCTGCCGAGCTCAAAACTCGTCTCTCTTATGCCATGGTCAAGGTAAACTTTGGCTGGCAAGGTCACTCCATTGAAGAGGTGGAATCAATGGCCGCCTCCCAGGCTGTCTCTCCTGCTTCGGGCTCCTCCACCATCAGACGACACAGTTCCTCGGCGAGTCCGCGTCTGGATATCACAGCTGCATCCACTCAGGTCCATCTTGCCCAGCAAGCTGGTATTCGCCGCAAATCCGATTCTCCCAACTTGCTGTCTAACAAGCCCTCTCTTGCTCCTCCGGCTACCATTCAGCCTTCCATCTCTGCTGCACGCTCCAACCCACGCCGCAATTCTAGCCCGCGATATACTCCCACTATGCTCTCGCATTCCCATTCGGCGTCTCCTCACACTCCCGGCCAGCCAATGCTAGTTGAGACTCATCAATCTTTGTCCCAGCCCGCGCGCATGGCCGACCCAATCCTATTCCCGTCCCATCAGAACGTCAGGGAGCAGGACGCCATGGAGGCATTGCTGTTCATGAGCAGCCCCAACAACTCGGCCAACCTGAAGCATACATTCTCCCCCTCTGCGTCTCCTAATCCTCAGTCCAACGCTTTCAGAAACGTCGCTGCAAGGCACGCATTGCCTAGCGGGCCTAGGAAGGGTCTCCCGGGCCATAGGCCAACAGCCAATGCCCACCAGCGGCCTGGATTCAACAAGTCTCCTGGAATGATGCACCCTCCTGGATCGCCAATGGAAGTAGATTCTCCACAGCACCCATATTATAGCCCGAATGGAGCTACACCGAAAAGACGCCTCAAAGGGCCCAATAGCCATTTGAGAGGGGCTCTCTCGCTTCCTACCGGGCTCGGTGCCGGGCACAATAGTGCTAGGAGGGTCTTGCGAGACGAAGATATCGAGAGAATGCTCGACCGAGCCAGTGCTGAAGCGGCGGACTCTTCAGATGATGAAGAAATTCAAATCCCTCGCCTGCGAAATGATGTTGGCATGATGGGCGTCAGGGGATGAAACCTCAATCTGGGTTCTCTGCGTATTCTCCTTAACATTTCTCTCTAGTCCGCATTCTTCAAACATGTGATGACAGAGAAAAGAGATGCCAGGCTCTGAAGAAAGCGACTACCGGCCCCTGCATGATAGGGTCGTACTCGAATTGCCGACTCAGGCTGGCAGATCGATTGAGCTCTTCATCACAGCGTTGAAGCCGCTACAACAGCAGCAGCCGTGTGATGAGTCTGCCAGCCAATCATGGCATCGCTACTCAGATATCCACACGCCCTGTGTCGACGTTTTGCTCTGGCCTTTATTGCCTCCGCTACGACATTGGGCTGTGAACGGAGCTGGTAAAATGACTCCCTGGTCCATGTTGCGAGCAAGACAACCTGGGAGTGCCGCATTACTCAATGCTCTGCCTTTCCCGGTGAATACGGCAAGCTCATCAGCCCGAGTGCCCTTGGCTCTTCATAGTACTACATATCTGAGCTTTACACTCTGGCTGGAAGGTATTTGCTGTTCATGCGTACCTGGTGAGATAACTACTAGTTGGCTGGTTTTGGTTATTAGTTCTTGGATACCGGTGTTCATCTTTCAATGGCATGCATCACTCGCCATTGTTTCTAATGATGTTTGTGATGTTTGATGGTGGAATAAAATGGATTTGTGTGTAATAGCCGTCTCGAGTAGACGATGCTACTGATGTAGCTTGTCAACAAGGACACCAATGCTATGAGTTGATGATATGGAGAGATGTGTTGAGAAGAAGCTCAATTGAAGTGGAGTGTTTAAGCGGGTTTACTCAAGGGCCTTTCTAATAATAACGGCCGCATGAAGTGCTAGAGGTTGTCACAAAGCAAAGCTCAACCTCTTGATTGTCGCCAATATATGATGAACCTGTGAAGAAGAGATGAAAGTAGGGATCAGATCAGCCCCCACAGCAGCATATTCCCAGCTGTGTATAAGTGCGGACATTGAAACCAGCCGTGAAATACCAGTTTTTTCTCGTATAGCTGATAAGAGGCCGCATTAATTATTCTACAGCTGCTAGCTGCTAAGCATCTGCCACTGATATACATGTACTCAGCTATGGATGGTCACTTGAACTCGATATCGGAATCCCGGCCAAAGGATGCACCGAGGCTCATGCTGGTTTGAGCGAGCAGCACACGTGCTTGGATAATCCGTGTCGTCCCTTCTTTTCAACATCACCTCGACATTCCTTCGCCAATTTTCCCCTGTCATTCTACATATGATAGATGCATAGCGTTCAATCTTGATGCCTGAACTTGCGGAATCTCGTCACAGCGATGCCTAAAATACTCAGCTTAATGCCAGCAGCGGTGCCTGAATGCTCCTCAATAGCACCAAAAAACAAGCTGCCCGACCATACCATATCCGCAGCAGGAGAGCTAGAGTTTCTCGTTTATTCTCAATTCAACGCATCAATCGAATAAATTCTCATCTTGCTGATTACTTGCAGGCCTTGATCGCAAAGGCGAATCAAATCGTGCTTGCTTGGCTGCTCCCCTCCATAAACGGCACGAATGGGCCGAAATCTGGCGAATGACCATCTAAATTTGGCCATGGCTTCATGTATACCTGCACGCACAGCTGCAATAGCCAGGAACTACATGCAGCAAGAAACCGGGTGGCCGTTGGATTGAACCCTGCAAATTCCTTTCGCGTATTGGCGATGTTCGCAGCCACGATATCAAGTCTCCATGCCGTATTCTAAAATAGAGAAAACGGCTTACTTTTCCTCCCGGCCAACACGACCCTGGCAAATCCGGCAATGGCTTAGCCGGGCTGAGATTGTCAGCCTTGGAAGAGACTAGGCGGGCGCCAGTGATGGAGGTTATTGGCGATCGTGAAGCCATAGTTTCGCATCTTACGGCGCTTCTTCGACCTAGGGCCGCACTAAGACGCCAGCTTCTCGCAGACTACTGAAAGACGTTAAAATTATAAGTCCACTCACATTGCGAGCAGCCTCGTCTCCTTAACACAGCTCATGTTTTGCAGACCGGCCGGAGAAGAAGAAGCGGCAAATGCGCGTGAGCAGCCCTTGGAGATTAAGACCCCACGTTGTCATCTATCACTTTGTTAATATCGCCGCAGGCGGGCATTAAGGCCTATGAACGTCCTGGGATGACACGCATGTGCCCATCATGAAATGTTGACAAGTCATTCCCATTAGCGGCTCTTCATTTTGGCTCGAATGCAAATGCAGCCACTCATCAGAAGCTGGGGCCCGTGACTTTGACTTTCCGCACCTCCCATCCGAGACAGCGGTAATTATAAGCTCCGTTGGTGCCCAGTTCCAGACCTTTGGTTCATAGTCCTCGCATGCAGTCCGGATGCCGCGAGGCAGTGGCTTGACTCGAGTCCAAGACGTGTTGAAATTGCGCCAACGCCCGATAGTGGACGGGACTGCATGCTTAGACAGACACTGAGCCTTGTCCTAAGACATCTGACACTTGTATATGGCAATCTCTCCTGTCTCTCGCACCCAGAGACATGCTGTATGGCGTGTTATTAGCGTGGCTGAAGCTCTTAGCCTCCGATTATTGCCTTTTAGACACCCAACTATCGCACGCTTCTCGCCACCTATCACGACAACGGGGGTGAGCTCTACAGGTTTTCCCTTGTTTACTAGCCACACGAGTGGGCTGTAGCTCCAGCGATCGACTAATGAGGAGGATGAAGAAGATATCCACAGCAGGAGAAAGGCTGTCTGATATTACACTACAAGAGGCCGCGACCGCAACCAGCCTGGCCTCTCTGTTGTTACGTAGCTGAACAGGACACCGCATATCTTCATTGGCTGGGCGGGCTGTCGGTGACGTGAATCGAGGCCGCCAGCTTGTATAGCATATCTGGTCTTCCTCTTTCTTATATCTATCCATCATCTCCTTGTTCACGTTCAGCTTCTGCTTCCTTATTTCATCTCCAACGCCTTCCATCGCCGACTCGCAGTCCTTTATATACTCGCTCTTATCAGCATCAAACCGAACATTGTGCCACACCTACCAGATACTAGACACCACATTCCGCCATCATGGAACATAATCGACCAAACAGTCGGCAGAATCTCTCCGTACCACAAACTGCCACTTCGTCGCCGCCATCACAGCTCCGCCATCGACCGTCCTTTCGAGATCGTTTCTGGAAGAGGACCAGCGCAAACTACGACGGAGAGGATGATATCATCCACGAGGATCAGGTCAACCCCATCAAAAAGAGCCCCTATGTCCCCATGAATGCAGCCTCTGGCTTTTCTAGAACCGCGTCCACGCCTCGCGAGCAGTTCAAACGAAGAAGCCGAACAGATGAGCGACCGTCAAGCAAAGAATCCGCCGTCAACGTCCACGCCCGGTCGCCTCTCGGTGACCTGGCCGCGGGCCACCTGTATATCCATACTGAGTCCGAGCCCGATACCACCGACTTCGCCACCTTTATCGCCGCCGCGCAGACCGAGGAGCGTCTCCGCCATGCAGCGTCCCAGAGGCAGGAAGCACGAAGCCACTATCGGGACAGCGGTTACTATTCGTCGTCCAACGGCGGCCGTCACGACCACGACCCCTATTCGCCGTCTCTGCCCTCGTCGGCTTCGGCAGCCGGAGCGGCGAGATTGAAGACGCAGTCGTCCAGGACGTTTGGCCAGAGACTTGCAGAGTACATTAAGCCTCCGCGAGATGATGCTGTGCCGTCAGTTCGTCGGTGAAGATAAGACAAAGGATGATGTGTCGAGCGAGGATTTTTTTTGCGATGCACTTACTAGGATTATTATGGAGAGACACTGATTTAATATTGTGTGATTGATGAGCTTTGATACACCTGATGGTTGGGATGCACCACAGTCTGGGGATGCTTTATCCCTTGATCCATCTCAACCAGCACACCTATACACGCGGTAATATTCATCACATACAGCACAAAAGGGCGTTTCGGATGTATTTGATGGAAAGTAAACGACTTAGAATAGGCACAGTTTCCTAATTGACTCTTGCAAAATACCATCAACCACTCGCTCCATCAGTCAGCATCGCTAGCATCAATCTACTATTTCGCCATATATCCCCTGTCGATCTGGCGCGGCTCGAAAAATAGAAGCTTAAAGCCAAAAGTGCCGGACCCCCAGGGCGACCTCCTATTCCGGGACAACATCTCCGCTTGACACGTCTTGCGGCCTGCCTGTCTGAGAAGTCGTGGCTCAGAGACATTATCCGGGATGGCGCGGAGACGGGGCCAATTTGTCTTGCATGGACAACCCACACGGGCGGCTCCGAAAGTGACTGTGTCATGTCTGGGGCTTTTGTTTTGCTCGGAATGAAGGGCAAGACAATGGGCTGGCATAGAGACTTTTTTGTACAACTATTGAATACTTTCAAAATTGTGATCAGGCTGAGAGCAAACTCCTTCTTTTCTCCTTCTTCCTCTTCGTCTTCTCTCTTTGTTCATGCCAAACCCGCGTCTCATCTCGGCTGACGCATCACCGGCGCTATTTATGGAAACCCAGTGGCAAGATTAATACCAGTTCCATCCAATATCGGGACCTGCCGATCTCTTCCCCCTCTTCCATGTTCACCGTCCGTGCTTTTTCGCAACATCAATGAACTTTTTTATCTTATCACACATCACAAGGCGACCTTTTGCTAGCTCGGCGTAACCCATCTTGGCAGCTCGGAATTGGCCAATGGCGAGACAGGATAGAGTTATGCAATGTCTCAGTTCCTCACAAGAAAGCCGTATCGAAACGAGGGTGACATTAACATTGGCGCAGCTAGGGTGGCAGCCGAGGCTGGGACGCTTGATTGATTGTCCCGTGTATGCATATCGGAGCACAGGTTGACAGGGTATTGCTCCCAGCTCTATTGGTCTGTTTACGTATCTGGCAATACTTTCTCAGCATTCAACTATACTCTACCTAGGTAAGATGCTGGCCAAGAGATTTGCTAGGCCTTGTTTAATCAATGTTTACTGCCGAAATCGGGAGAACCAAACTCTCCTATCGTTCTTGGCGGACATGGTCCTTGATCGCGACCTGCCCTTGTGGATGTCTCACATAACGCGGGCACGGGAAGGGCTACCGCAAGCAATACTAGCGAGTATTGCATTTGCATGGAGCACAAGCTTCTCGCTCGGCATCTCCCTAGAAAAGGCAAGAAGGAGGAGGGAGGTGCCAGTCGATCTAAAAGGTTTCCATCATAAAAAGCTGAGCAACGCCATCCATCCACCCTTCTGGGCCTTCTAGATGTCTCTCTTTCCCTCCCACCACATCTCTGCCTCATTTCCTCAGCCTCGCGTTTTCGACAACACAAGATGAAGTCGGCATTGCTCTGGGCGGTGCAGCTCTCGCTGCTGGCAGGCCTCGGTGCCTCTCGCAGAAACGTCGAGCAGGTCTTGAGCATCCCTACAGGATGGACAAAGTTCCAGGATGTCGTCAACCCTGCGCGTCACATGCGGCTGTCGATTGCCCTGCGGCAACCCAACATTGATCAATTGGAGGCCAAGATGACAGAAAACGACAATCGGCTGTCGTTGGAGGAAATCCAGCAGCTGCAGGCCCCTGATCAAAAGGATGTTGACGCCGTGCTACAGTGGCTGTCTCAGAATAACCTCAAGGGCGTTGTCGACAACAACTTCATCCACGTCACGACGACCGTGGCCCAAGCCGAGCCCTTGCTGGGGATGAAGGTGAGCCGCTTCGCGTACAAGGATAAGAAGCCGGTGCTGCGAACCACAAAGTACACGGTGCCCGACTCTGTCGCCGGCTCCATCAGCTTCATCCACCCCCTGGCCAACTTCATGACTGCTCGCCACGGGCCAGAGCCGCTGTCTGCACCGCCAAAGCCTGCGTCCAAAGCCGCTGCCGCCGACGAGGATAACATCATATATTGCCCTGGCAGCGTCACGCCCTCGTGCCTTTCCCAGCTCTACAACATTTCATCATATAAGCCTGCCGACAACAACTCGCCCGTCATCTTTGGCGTGGCTGGGTTCCTCGAGGAAAACGCCAACCTCCAGGATCTACAGCAGTTCCTCAACTCGACCGCGCCCAACGTCGCCCAGACAGGAAAATCCATCACCGTTGAGCTGGTCAATGGCGGCGTCAACTCGCAAGACCTGGCCGAGTCTGGCCATGAAGCGGCGCTGGACGTGGACTACGCCGTGTCTGTGGGCTTCCCTACAAACGTCACATACTACGCTACAGGTGGACGAGGCGTCAAGCTGGACGACAACGGACAGCCCATCTCGGGCGAAGACGACGACAACGAGCCCTATCTGGAGTTCTTCAGATACCTGCTGGCCAAGCCTGACCACCAGGTGCCCCACGTCCTGTCGTTGTCATACTCTGACGACGAGTTGTCCGTGCCTCGAGAATACGCCAAGCACGTCTGCAGCCTGTTTGGCCTTCTCACGGCCCGTGGAACGTCCATCATCTTCTCATCTGGCGATGGCGGCGCTCGAGGCGGCCGCGACTCATCTTGCCTCACCAACGATGGCACCAAGCGCCCCGTCGCAATGGCAACTTTCCCTCCTACCTGTCCGTGGGTGACTTCTGTCGGTGCCGTCACCAATGGTGCAGAGCCGCCATCCGGAGCGAGCTTCAGCACCGGTGGCTTCTCCCAGTACTTTGCCCGGCCGCATTGGCAGGACAGCTCTGTCAAGAACTACGTCCAGGCGCTCAACGGCCGACTGGACGGCCTGTACGACCCATCCATGCGCGCCATCCCTGACATCTCCGCGGTTGGCACTTCCTTCATGATCATTGCGGGCGGAATCCCGCGCTTCTTGCAGGGCACCAGCGCGAGCGCTCCAGTGTTCGCCTCGATGGTTGCGCTCATCAACGATGCCCGTTTGCGCGCTGGCAAGAGATCGCTGGGATGGCTGAACCAGCATCTGTACTCTAACAAGGTCAAGGGCGTTTTGCAGGACATTACGGTGGGAAAGAGCCTTTCGTGCGTGTTTAACGATACGGAGGTGCCAGGAGGATGGCCGGCGGCGCCAGGATGGGATGCCATTACTGGGCTGGGCGTACCCAAGGAGTTTGACAAGTTCTTGAAGGTGCTTTATGATGCATGATGGGTTGTGGATTCGGCATAGAGGGAGTAATTGTACGAGTATTGGCGGCTTCAGTCTAGTCCTATGTCGATGCTGTAGTTTTCTTGCCTACGAAATGTAGGATCAATATGATGGTATACAGTAGTCGCTTGATTCAATGGGAATGCCATTTGATGTATCGCCATTCCATTCCAGGCCATTACAAGTAACCATCTCGACCACTCATATTGACCCTCTATACCGATATACACAAAACTCCAACGTGTCTACATGAAGATCAAGAAGCAAACAGCACAGTCAATACAGATATCTACAGATACATTGATGTTTCATCGGTAACTGTCCCACGTGGCTACCGACGGCCGCGTTGATTTGATGAGCTTGAAGGAGCTTCTTGGATATACGACCAATGATTGTGCAGCGTAGATGGGTCGACGGCTTCTTTGGCGCATCTACATCAAGTTCATTGTCAAATTCGTCAAAGAGAGCTTGCTCGCGACGTTCTTGTTGTGACAAAAACATCTCCATCACCGTTCTGGCATGCTTGTCGAATACTCTTTAGCTTCATTGCCAACTCGGCATCTTGGAGGAAGAAATTTCGATCCAATGCAAACCGAACAGCGATCTGTACGTTCAGCTTCTTCAAGAGAAGCTTCTCAGCATTTGAGCAGTTGGTCTCGTACACGCTTTCAGTTGTTCAAGTCCATCTAGGGTTCATGTGCCGAGGCTCCTAAACTTGACGTGCCGCCAACCATCCATCCCGCCAGCCCAGCCCATGCCTCAACTGCTCTAGCGGGTTCAAACAGTTACAGGGCATCAAATGCATTCAGCACCTGCCGATGCGCCAGTTCGTGCCCGCCCACAGCACTAACGCTGGCAACCCCCGACCCGCTGAGGGTCGCTGGCCGAGTCCGCTGGGTCAGCCGCTTCAGGGCTCTAGAAGCCACCGACCGAGTCCGCTAGCCACGAGCTTCAGGGCTCCAGCAGCCACTAACGGAGCCTGCGGATCCCCCCTCGCGCCTCAAGCCGAGCCGCTAAGCCCCCCTTGGCAATGGAACAACATCCGCGACCTCGAACCTCTCACATCCAAATCACTTGCGCGTCAGATTTGATGCTTCTCACCGACAACGAACCAGGGCCCCCTCGGATTGACCTCACTTTCGCGCGTTTGTCTCTCCAAGGACATCAATCCCGGTGCTTGGTTTCGCCTCTCTGCTAAACCGCGAGCCAATTTCGTTTCCAGCTTTGTTTTCTTGCATCGTCTTTCTCATCTTGTCTCGTCTGTTCTGGGGGAGCCTCGCATCAAGGTCTACGGCTTCTTTCTGCATCTTTGACGCCCTTCTTGGTTCGCGCGCGCCAAAAACGACTTTATCCTCGGCCAATGCCGCTCGCCTACTCATCAGATCATCGATAACGCCCAAAAGCAGAAGCTGCGAGATACTTTCAGATTCCGAATCACGCCTTTAGCGGGAACAATCTAGCCGGCGCAGCTGCAAGGGTCCTTCCCACTTCCGCCTCCTCTCTCCGCATTCTCGCAACAATCATCACAATGCCGATTCAGGTTGTGCGCTGGATCAACTTGAAAGAGATTTAAATTTCTGAGAGAGAATCAACCTTTTTCCAGGCGCGGCGCCCGGGCTCTGTTGCTCGGACGGCCTTGGAACGTTGGCGTCTGATACTTTCTAACCTTATTTTCCTGCATCTATTTGGCCCGTTGCCGTTCATTGTTTTGTTTTCTCTACCAGTCGTCATCTCATCTTTTTCCTCCTTATAGATTCGCAATTTTTCACAACTGGCGATTGGTTTCTACTCGGTTTTTATTTCATTTTCAAGATGCCTACGCAGCACGTAGAACCCGAGACTCATGGCCTGCTGCAGGAGGTTGCCAACTCGCTGCTCAAGGCGCGAAAGGTGGTGGTTGTCACCGGCGCCGGCATCAGCACCAACTCAGGCATTCCGGTTCGTCCTTGGACAAGGCACAGGCAGCTTGAGATTGGGCGCATGCTGACTGCTGAAAATTCAGGATTTTCGCTCCGAGAATGGGCTCTACTCACTCATCCAGGCTCAATTCGACGCTGCCAGCCAGCCTACGCGATCGACCGACCGATTCAAGACCGACGGCGACGGCAACGGCAACGGAGACGGCGGAGAGGAGCCTCGCCCGACGAAACGTAGGAAGGTGTCGCGGGAGCCCTCTCCGGACCTGGACGAGGTTGATCGGCAGCTAAATGAGGACATCAAGGCGCGCGCCGAGGCTGAGATGCCGGCAGCGTCGAGTCAAGCCGCCGACACGCAGCAAGCCGTGGCCGCATCAGATCCAAACGCGTCGGAGAATGGATGCTTGAGCACTCCGCGTCCCAAGCCCGCGCTTCCTTCCACGCCCAAGCCGACAACGACATCACCTCTGTCCTCTCCGCCAAGGGAAGAGTTTATGCTTCCCCTCCCATTAGCATCATCCTCATTGCGAGCCGAAGATCGCGAACGCATTGCGGGCGTCTCTCAGAACATAGTTTCGTCTCCTCTATCTTCACCGCCACCGGTGCTTTTTGATCCATTCCACCCGTCCTCTCCTTCAGATGAAAACATGAGCCGCCGCAGCAGCACCACGCCGTCGGAAGTCGACGAGATGCGGGACTTACCAAACGCCATGCCGGCCTCACAGGCATCAAATCCCGGAAAGACGACCCTTCCCAACATGAAGGGCAAGGACCTCTTTGACGCCTCGATATGGTCGGATCCTACGAGAACTTCCGTCTTTTACCAGTTCGCAACGTCTCTACGACAAAAGGTCCGCGAGGCCGAACCTACCAGCTCACACAAGTTCATCGGCCACCTCAGGGATCGGGGCAAGCTGGTGCGGTGCTATACGCAAAACATTGACCAGATTGAAGAAAAGGTTGGCCTGTCGACGTCTCTGCTGGCCGGGCCGGGCAGTCGAGGTCGCTTCTCGCGCAAGTCAACAGCAAACGCGGCACAGCTAAACAAGATGGTGGAAGAAGTATCATCCAGCGGTGAAGGCGGAAACGCTGGCGATGTTGGCGCGTCTAGCCAATCACCACCAAACGGGTCGAGTGAGCAAACGCCTGCAGACCAGCGGCAGACATCATCCCAGCCCAATGGTAAGACGGAAGAGGACGAAACTACTACTAGCAGTACTACTACACCGCCAGATCAACAGCCCAAGCCGGCCCCGAGAAAGGAGGTGCCGCCGCTGCGGTCGGGTGTGGAGTGCGTCTTCTTGCATGGCTCTCTGCAGCTTCTACGATGCTTCCTCTGCGGGCAGGTTTGCTCTTGGGACGATGACGACCGCGAGGTGGAGACGCTCTCTGGCCAACAGCCTGAATGTCCTCACTGCGTTGGCGCGACGGAAGCGCGCCAGGAAAGGGGCAAGCGAGCCCTGGGCGTGGGCAAGCTGCGTCCCGACATTGTGCTGTACGGCGAGGAGCACCCAAACGCCCACCTTATCAGCCCCATCGTGACGCACGATCTCGCCTTATATCCGGACATGCTGTTGATCCTGGGGACCAGCCTCCGGGTCCACGGCCTCAAGGTTATGGTCAGGGAGTTTGCAAAGACGGTGCACAGCAGGGGCGGCAAGGTTGTCTTTGTCAACTTCACCAAGCCACCAGAGAGCTCCTGGGGGGACATTATCGACTACTGGATCCAGTGGGACTGCGACGCTTGGGTGGCCGATCTCCAGGTGCGCATACCAAAGCTCTGGCAAGAGCCGGAGCCGCCAAAGCCCAAGAAGAAGCGCGACTCGGGAGGAGGGGCTGCTGAAGAGGGCCGGGAAGAGAAGAAGAAGCCTCCCGCGCAGAATCCTGTTGCGTTGCGAGACACCAAGGTGAATGGCGCCTACTGCACATTGAAAATCCTCAAAGAGCTACGAAGGATCACGGCCACTTCGCCTCCCCCGCCGTCGTCCCCTCCCCTCCCTATCATCCTTTCTCTTCCGCCTTCTCTATCAACTCCTCCGCCTCCGTTGGAACGCGTCTCGGCTGCCGTCGCCACGGAGGCCATCCCCAACCCCGACCCCCCGACTCCCGCTGAAGTGGCCCCCCGTGCCGCCGCTGTCATGGATCCTCCTACGCGGATCAGCACGCCACGAAGCAAGGCTAAGCGACCACGCAAGTCAGCCCCGGGAGCCCTGGAAAGGCCCAAGAGAACGCCGTCGACACTGAATCCTAATCACGGTCGCTCCAAGAAACCTATGGAGGAGGTCAAGGAGCAAGAGGTGCCCGAGACGCCTAGCCAGCCGCCAGTCAGCACGGTGGAAGAGTTCAGCTCCATCCTCCACTCTGTCAAGTCCAATCCTCGCATTCGCAAGAGAAAGATGATTGACGGAGAGGAGTTTGTATTCCCCACGATTGGAAAGAAGCGTGGCGCGGTGGATAGCCTGTACAAGGGTGCTGAGGACGACAAGAAGCAACTGCCCCCTCTACGTCCGGTGCCCGATCAAGCAACCGCAGTGGCATCGCTACCAGCCGAAGCCGAAGCCGAAGATGGCGTGGAGGAACCTCTCGCCTCGATTTCGGTCAATGTACGGGCCGCAACGACATTTACGCGTCCAGAAGCATTTTACATCCAGGATCCACTGGTGACGCTGCTTGAGAAAGCGCCCCAATGGAAGGCGATGGAGGTGAATCACGGCGAGCTTCGACGCAACAAGCGCCGCATTTCCAAGAGATTTCTTCCGGTCCAGGTGCAGATGGAGACCAAGGCCCAGGCCGAAGCTAATGCCGCGCTTGCGCTGGCCGGCCTCAGGACGAATAGTCACATGGTGCCACAGGTTGCTCATGCAGTGCCCGGCAATGGCTATACAGAGCTGGCCAACTGGGCGGCCACTTGGAGCTGCAAGAAATAGGAATAGGAATGCAGGCGGTGTGGTTGTGACAACTCCAGATGGTCTTGAGTCATATTTTCTTCTGCTTTCTTTTTTCGTTATTAATTCTCTTCATTTGCTAGGGATGGTGATTTTTTGATAGACACCGGGCAGCGGTATCATAGGAAGCCGGCATATATGATGAGCATTTACACAGGTGTTAGCGGTTATCATGATGTTTAATAAGGGCTGGGCTAGGGATACAGGACTTTGTGCCTCTTTTTCTTTCTTCTTTTCTGTTCATCGGGCACAACAATCAGAAGTCATGAACCAAAGGGGTGAGGATGGATTAGATGACTGGTTTAGCGTGGTGCATGCATTACACCCTCCATTATTTCTCTTAACGGATTATATAGACTTGGCAAAATCTATAATCTTGTCTCTCAATGCAACGAGTTTCACATGTTCTTTGTCGCGCTGATTCAGCGGTTACTCACGGGCTTATGGGCCAAGATTCTCCCCCTCACTAAAGGGCGCCGTTGATGGGCTTTTTAGCTTTAGGCTTAACTACTAACAGGCCCGTAAACCGATCCATTCGCCTATCGAAAACGCGGACTCGGTGCCCGGATTCACCTAGCAGTGAGCCAAACAGTGCCTGGTGGTGTGAATTCGGTCATTGACGCATGATAATCTCTGGTGGGGGTTAAGGCCGAAGCCGCTCGACAGCGGGGCAGAAGGAATGAGGGAGAGAAAAAGAGTCAGAAAGTGAGAATCGACATGGAGGTTTGTCATTGTCGTCATTTTTTGAATTTCTGTTTGAATTGTTGAAGAGGTGATTGGTGCATAGACCGGTTCTCGGAAGAGTGAAGTGAGTCTTTTTGCCGAATAGATTGAAAGGATTGAGAGAGGGATTTGAGATAAATACCAAGGGCGCTGGCTGAGCTTTTGTGAAGATCGTTTGAGTTTGAGGATATTCACAGCTTTAAGGTCGAATATGGTGTCTTTGACGATTCGAGAACGAGATGGGGAGGAGGCCAAGGTTGGCGAGGATGGCTTCAAGGTATTTGGCCGTGAGATGAGAAAGGACTTTTTGTTTGCTCCCGAGTGGACGAACCTCAACCACGGTGAGTAGTAACAAACTTCAATCTCAACACTCAATTCAACGTCATCACTTATACTGACATCTTCTCTCTCCATCTTCCAAGGCTCATACGGCAGCATCCCCAGAGCCATCCAAGACAAGCTACGAGGCTACCAAGACGACATCGAAGCCCGCCCCGACCCCTTCATCCGCTTCGCCCTCGCAAGACTCACCGACGAATCGCGCGAGGCCGTCGCCGGCGTCGTCAACGCCCCCGTCGAGACGGTCGTCTTCGTCAACAATGCGACCGAGGGCGTCAACACCGTGTTTCGTAACCTCAAGTGGAATCCCGACGGCAAGGACGTCGCGCTGTGCTTTTCGACGGTGTACGATGCATGCGGGAAAGTGATTGACTTTTTGTACGACTATCACGGCGAAGGGCGCTTCACGAGCCGCGAGATTCCGATTCAGTATCCCATTGAGGACGATGAGATTTTGCAGCGCTTCCGCGACGCTGTGAAAAAAGTCCAGGATGAAGGGAAGCGCGCGAAAGTGTGCATCTTTGATGTCGTCTCGTCGAGGCCGGGCGTCTTATTTCCATGGGAGCGAATGGTCAAGGCGTGTCGCGAGCTAGGCGTGCTAAGTCTCGTCGACGGCGCGCAGGGCATCGGCATGGTGCGCTTGAACTTGTCCGAGGCCGATCCCGACTTCTTCGTGTCCAACTGCCACAAGTGGCTCTTTACGCCGCGTGGGTGCGCTGTGTTTTATGTTCCCGTGCGGAACCAGCATTTGTTGCCGACGACGCTGGCCACGAGCCATGGGTATTCGTCTCAGAGCGGCGAACACAGCATCCGGCCTGAGCCGCCGTATAAGCCCAAGGACAAGAGCTTCTTCGTCAACAACTTTGAGTTTACGGGCACGAGGGACTATGCGCCTAATTTGTGCGTCAAGGACGCCGTCAAATATCGCAAGGAGGTGCTAGGCGGCGAGGAGAGGATCCTCTCCTACCTCTGGGACCTGAACAAGAAGGGCAGCAAGCTCGTTGCCGAGAAGCTAGGCACCGAAGTGCTGGAGAATAGCAAGGGCACGTTGACAAACTGCTCGATGGCCAACATTTCGGTTCCTCTGTGGCGAGGCGATAAGAGTGAGGCGAAGGAGGGAGATGTCGTGGTGCCGGCTGAAGATGGGGACCGCATCGTGGTTTGGATGATGAGCACGATGGCGTCGGATTACAAGACGATTGTTCCCATGTTTTGGCTGGGGAATAGATTTTTTGTGAGGATTAGTGCGCAGATTTACTTGGACCTCGAGGATTATGAGTTTGGGGCGGAGACGCTGAAGAAGCTGGTGGAGAGGGTTGGCAAGGGGGAGTACAAGGCTTGAAGTGGTGGTTTTGACTATTGACGGTTTGTGTGAAATAGATGTGAGAGTTATGCTTAAATTAAAAGTGTTGATTGGATGTTGTTTGGTGTGGTGAATTCGGTTGTTGGTTGTTAGGGTTACATATGACACATGGGAAGATTCGTCAGCATTGCATGATGTGCTCTTTGACTAAGTGGTATCATATAACTCTCTGCATGTGAAGGAACTATACTTGCTTACCATGGGAATCTATAGTTAACATAAATAGCAGTTTCTTGTTTTACTTGTCTACATACATGGGCACTTGTCTATATGGGCTCTTTATACAATGATGCTCATGATGATGACTGCCCAACTACCCTACACTTACATGAACAGCATCGGTAGCAATTATGAGGGAGGTTGAATCTAGATTACTAAATTGCTGTTATGAGGGATAATAACAACATTCGGTATGCATGAGATAATAAATGTCCATGTGGAATATGATGGTAAAAAATGAATCAGCTGGACAAGTCAAGTAATTCGTGTATGATGATGATGCCTCTGCACGCTTCACAAGTAACATCACTTACACCAAGGGTTTCATCATTACTTCCTCCACCGGCATCATCAATTCATCCGCCTATAAATCCAAACTATGACACACTATATTAGAAGAAACTCAAAAAGTGCCATGGCAATTCAATCCAGATGTTTAGCCCGCTGTCGCATAATGAAGCTTACTCGCATCATCCGATCCCCGAAGCGGCAGCCCAAGTCGCAAAGCATGAAAGATCACCGGCCTCACAGGCCCTTCTTAGAAGGTTGTATCGGTCTTAAAACAACCATAAGAAAGAAGGCTGCCGCTTTTAAATCACAAGCTATTAGAAAGCCACCAAGCACATGAAAGAGCGTCGAAATTGTGCCTTGATTGGATTCCAGTGTTATTCACTTGCCCAAGTGGGCGCTACGCTGCCCGTTTCAGAAAATGGGGGCACATCAGCCAAGCGCCGGGATTGTCGCTGTTTCAGCGCCTCCGCATGTGAAACAATCTGCCTAAGCGGGTTGGTTGGCTGTGGAATCTCGGGGCTTTTTATGGTCTTTTGAAACGGCCTGTTTGAAGGGGGAAGGGGAAAAAAAGAGAAACTGAATAGTGATCGTGTTCTCGTCAAATAATTCGACCTCTTGGCTGTGATTCATCCGGCGTTGCCTGGTAGAGCGGCAGGCTGTGATGCCGAAAATTCGTAAAAAGAGGGCGAGGCTTTCAATGCGTGAAATGAGGAGCTCAATGCGAATCATCAGCGTGGGATTAGCCAAATCGTATTATTATTCAAGGAGTAATGCTGCTCACTTTCTATACATGGGATTGGCCCGAAATTGAGCATGAACCGCCGGAAATTTGCACCTTGTTCATCAAGCCACGACACGAGATCTTCGTCTTAGTTAGTGCAGATGCAACCTTAATACGCACTTTTGATGAACAACAGCAACGGGTCGTACGAGGCCATCGTCGGCGTGGTATAATCGAAGACGTCTTCGGTTTGATCCCCCCGGATTCAAAACCACCGCAAGCCAAGCCCTTCCCGGATCTACGGCACAACAACCATCGATTGATCCAAGCAAGATGCCAAACTAGTACGGAGACAAGCCGACCAGGGGCTTCTCCAATTCCAGCCAGTTGCCATCGCGGCCCCACACATTGTGAGGCATCCTGTGTCTGAAGCTTGGCTCCCCAGCCTGGTCTCCACAAACCGTGAATAAAGAGGGCAATATACGGGATTATAGCCTCATCAATGCGGTGGGAAATGAACAGAGACGAGGGCCCCCGAATCTACCGGGACCGGCCAGTATGGGGGAATTCGCCGTGTTATTGGTTAGGCAGGGGACTGTGATGCTGGCAGATGCTGAGACTATCCACGTCTCCTGTCGTGTTCCCCCTGGTCCCTGGATCCGATCTCCCATCGCCAAGCAAGAATGTATGTATATATATATCCGGCCTCTCTTTTCGTTTCTGTTTCTCTTCTCTTTTCTTGGCCAACACCTCTGTGAGGGACCAAAAAAGCAAAGTTACTTTTTCTTCTTTTCTTTTCTTCTCTTTTTGAAGTTCTCTTCGTTAACCACCTGGTGTGGCTTTAATTCCTCTCTTTTTCTTTCTTTGTACATACAACAAAAAAGACAAATCAACTCTCTTTTCCTATTTCATCCATTTCTCTTTTCTCAGCATATTTTCATCTTTTACAACCAGTCACAAATTTCAATATGCACTCACGGCTTCTCCTAGCCGCCCTGTTCCTGGGCTTCATTGCCCTGGTCTCGGCGTCCGCCATCCCCGTCCAGAAGCGTTCCTTCAAGGTTGAGCGGAGGGCTAACCCCAACTTCACTGGAAACGATGGTCTCAAGGCTCTCGGCAAGGCTTACCGCAAGTTCGGCTGGGACATGCCCCAGAACTTGAAGGATGCTCTCGAAGTTCGCAAGGCTGCTGATACTGCTCGCCGAGCTGCTGCTATTGCTGCCAGGGAGGCTGCCGCTCAGAAGAAGAGCCGTCGATCATTGTTGGATATTCTGGGCGAGCTTGGTGTTTTTGGCAACAACGGTAACGCTGATGCTAACGGCGACGATGCTAGTGCCAATGGCAACGGCAACGCCGGCGCTGGCAGCGGCAAACATCACCACCACGGTCAAGGCAACGGTCAAGGTCAAGGTCAAGCCGGTCAAGGTCAAGCTGGTAACGGCCAGGGCCAAGCCGGCGGAAACCAGACCCAGGCAGCTCCCCCAGCTCAGCAGCCCGCCTCTGGCCAGACCGGAAGCGTCACCAACACCCCTGAAGGCAACGATGTCGAGTTCCTGTCTCCTGTCAACATTGGTGGCCAGACTCTCAACCTCGACTTCGACACCGGCTCTTCTGATCTCTGGGTGTTCAACACTCAGATGGACCCTCAACTCACCGCCGGCCACACTCTCTTCGACCCTACCAAGAGCAAGACCTTCCAGGAGATCCAGGGCGCCCAGTTCCTCGTCCAGTACGGTGATGGCTCTGGCGCCGAGGGCACTGTCGGCACTGATGTCGTCAACGTTGGCGGCGCCGTCTTCAACGCCCAGGCCGTCGAGATCGCCACCGAGGTCACCCAGCAGTTTGTCGACGACCAGCAGAACGACGGCCTCATGGGCCTTGCCTTCTCCACCCTCAACACCGTCCAGCCCCAGCAGCAAAAGACTTTCCTCGATAACGTCGCGCCGTCTCTCGCCGAGCCCGTCTTCACTGCCGATCTCAAGAAGGGCGCTCCCGGAACCTACACCTTCGGTGCCATTGATTCCACTGCCTTCCAGGGCGACCTGACCTTTGTTGATGTTGACAACTCTCAGGGCTTCTGGCAGTTCAGCAGCGAGTCCTTTGCCGTCGACGGTGGTGCTACCCAGCAGGCTACTGCTGGTGGTCAGGCCATTGCTGATACCGGCACCACTCTCCTCCTTGCCGACCCCATCATTGTCAACGGCTACTACTCCCAGGTCCAGGGTGCTGTGAACGATCAGCAGGCTGGTGGTTTCACCATCCCTTGCGATGCTCAGCTGCCCGATCTGGACCTTGACGTTGGTGGCAAGTATGTTGCCCGTATCAGCGGTTCCGACCTCAACTTTTCGCCCGTTTCAGGAAACAGTAAGTTCCTAATACCTTACATCTCCGTCTTTGTCCTATTTCTTGAGATTTCGATGACTGACATATATCGTGTACAGCTTGCTTTGGTGGTCTTCAGGCTACTACCCAGGGCGGCCTGGGTGTCTATGGCGACATCTTCTTCAAGTCGCAGTTTGTGGCCTTTAACATTGGCAACAACACTTTGGGACTGGCCCCCCATGCTTAGGCGAAATGGCCGAGATAGGCGAGATAATAGAAAAAGAGAGAGGGAGGGTACTTGAATAAGCATAGAAAAGGAAATATGAAAAAGAACTTTGCCCAAAAAAATAGTCCGTGTCCTTGCATTTTCTCCGTGCTGATGCTCCGTGATTGGCGGCAAATGGAGCGTAAGAAGCTCCGTCGTCCTGCAACTATTGACACCTTACATTGAAGTTACTGGCCTGATCCATGGCTCTCTCTAGTATCTCCGTCGCCTCTTTTTTTGCGGATGTCTCGGGTTTCAATCTGTTAAAGAACCACGGTTTCCAGGAATTTTATGATTTCGATTTTTCCCTTAAACAGCATTTACGATTTAATCTCGAATGATGCGTTGTTTTTCATCTTGTTGCGCTCCTCATCTCTGGGCCTATATTTCTCCCATAAGATTCGGACTTTTCTCGTCTTTGTCCGTGTACAACTCCTAAAGCCGACGGGTAATTTCAGAACCAATTGTCCCCTTACTATTTCGTGTTACGTTCCGGCGCTATTTCGCCCTACTCACCCCCCCTGAAAAGGCAAGACACACATATAAGCAACTCGATAGTCTTTGCTGAGAGGGCGCATAAGACGAGATACCAAATGGATAGGTTGATGTGCTAAGCAAACGGCAGGGTTTGACGAAGATTACATATTTGTTTCCCCACATGCCAATCTCTTCGGTTTATAAGACAAACCATGTGCGCTATCTCTGTTCTATGTTAGCCTCATCGAGCTGCTTCACTTCGAGTGATTAGTTATTTCGCCATGCAAGAACAGGAACAGTCCAGACGCCCCGACACTACGCGCGACCAGAGACGCGATGCCCAGCTAATGCGTCGCCTGGGCTACACTCAGTCTGCCATCAGTGCCGAGCTGGGCCTGTCACTGGGCCAGGTCCAATATGCCCTCTCGCATACAGAGACGCCAATCACTCGGCCCGGCAGGCCTAGCAAGCTGACGGAAGCGCAGATCCAAGAGCTCAAGGCCTTTATGGCGTCCAAGGACAATGAGCAGATGCCCTACGGCAAGATTGCGCAGGCTCTGGGCTGGGACGTGGGCGAGTACTGCATCCGCCACACCTTGCGGAAACTGGGCTATAAGAAACGCACTGCCGGCGGCCGTAGGAAAGTGGGAGCTGTCAAGACGCAGCACAAAGTATCCGACATGTCTGCAGAATCTGCAGATGATGCATCAGCTGCGTCGGAAAAGAACCCTGTCCGCGTCGACGGGGCTGACCTCGGCTCGATCCGAACAGGGACGGACTCGTGATCTGAGATGCTGACGTGGGCAAGCACTTTTCTATCTCGAGATCTCCAGGTTCGAGTCCCTTTCCAACATGGATCTGGCCCAACAGTGGTGTCTTGAGACATGCGCTATCACGGACTACTCGTGAGGCTGAACGTGTCACAGACGCCTTTTCCCTCGGCCCGTTTCCCTCTTGGCCCCGCGTTTTTGCTCAGCCCTGATGTTAGTTGGGTGAGGCGAATCATGTTGGATCGAACCAGATTGGGCTCGTTTGGGAAGCAAAATCCGGGAGGTTTATTTGGGGGCCTGGGCTAGTCGATCGTGACGTGGCCTAGTGCGTGAGGCTGAATCCGTCTATCTATGTATAGACTCGATTCCATCTGCCTCATCGCGTGCGTCCATCTATACGTGTATATGGGATAATACCCATCTGAAGTAACTGTCTTACACACAAGTAAAACCCACGACTTGCAAACAAACATCAAAGTCTCCCCAAAACAACAACAATAATGGGTAACTCCAACTCGGCCCCCGACTCAACCGACGTCGACGGCGGCAAAAAGAGCCTCTATCGGCGCTACGAAGACAAGAAGCGCGGCGCCGGCCCGACCGACGAAGACATTCTCAAGTACACGGGCAAGACGCGCGATGAGCTCAATGCCTGGGCCGAGAACCAGCCCGGCGTTGGAAAGAACCAGGCCGCTGGCAAACTCACCGTGGGAGCGTCGTCTGGATTCGCCGGGGCTGCAGCGGCAGGGGGACTTGGCGGTTGGGGAGCAGAGGGCACTAGGAAGATGAAGTTTCCGGTCAAGCAGGAGCCGGTCAAGACTGTTGATGATTCGGACGAGGAGTAGTGTGAATGAGAAAGATGAGTTGGGGTTGCCGTGGTTCTTGTTTTCGTCGTTTTGCGCTGTCATTGTCACATATACGAAGCGACATGTTGATATCCTAGGAAGGTTGACTTTAGGAAGAGGGAGCAGCAGGCCAAGCCTTAATATATCTATTCAAGTTATCGCAGCATCTGTCTAATATATCCGATTGAGAACCTCTCTCACAGCCGTTTAGTCTATCATGTGTCTCCTATTCACAGCTTGGGCTTATATGACTGTTGTCCCGGTTTTGAGGTGACCTGGAGGTGTCTTCGTCAACATGTGAAGTCGAGCCCATGCATCTCAAATCTCATATTTTAGGGACTCTTCCCATTGTCTAGGCTCTGCTTAGAGATGGTCAATGCAGTGTTGACCGGAGACTAGGAGAGAGATCTGAGGCCTGAAAGAGAAGCCGCTTAGAGGAGGGTAATCCATTGCTGTGGCTTAGAGGATTACAGTCAGATTAAAGCAGTTAAAATATTTCTTAGGGGTGTATGAAGGCTTGAGCGTTCGTATGCTAGGACAATTGGCTCGTTAAGAGATCAATTACCTATAACTTTGAGAATGTGTCAACTCACTGCGCATACAATAATGTCGATGTATTCGTTCAACGCACTCCGGAATTTTCAATCGGGATTGAAATATCTACTTGAACAATGCAATTGGCTATTAAAACCGTTTCGCGCCCGCAGTTGTAATGACAATCAAGCCATGTTTCAAACACTTACAACTTTATGTTAGTGTCTCCTGCACTCGCGTGTTGTCATGGCCAACCATCCTTGCACCAATCTCTTCGCCGAGATGAATTAGACTGCCTACTACACATGCATGGCTGGACCTAGCAGGGAAAACACTCCTTTGGCGCTATATAGACGAAACCATCCTAACGTTCTCACGGAGTAATTTATTTGTCATTAGTTAGGCTTACGGTGCGGCTAATACGACATGCATAACCTATACGAACATACATCAATTGTAAAACAGCTGTCTTTGTATCTATAGCAGAAATATGTAGAGAGTTTTATATAGTATTTAGTTTATTGCTTAAAGCTATGTAATTTATAATCTAGTTGCTGAGCTTGCTCTTGACAATCTCCTTAATCTCCGCCTCAGTCAACTGCTTCACTCCCAACAGCTCGTTATCCAAAGTCGTAAATTGCGGACCATACCGAGGATCGTTGATAGCGCGAACGAGATACGGAATAAACGTCTCTGGTCCAAGTATTCCCTTGGCCAATCTCTCATCCGCAGCGTTAGTAACATCATCAATCTTCACCACCTCGGGCTGCCAGTCGCGCTCAGGCGCAACCTCCTTCGCCACCTTGAGAAGCTGGTTCTGTGAAATCGCCGCGCTCTGGAACCGGACCGCGCGGTTCTTGGTCTCCTCGGGCTTGTTCAAGATGGCAACAACTGCCTGAGCGACGGCATCCAGAGTCGAAGTGCTGAAAACGGTGTCACCGCCGTCATACAATATGGGCTTGGACTCTGCGCTCTTGAAGATGAAGTTGTGCTCCAGACCCCAATCAAAGAACGGGCCGCTGTAGGCGAATGTGTATGTGAGAGGAGTTGTCTTGGCCTTTTCCTCGAGATATCTTGCTACGCCAATCTTGGGCTGGAAGACGGGCAGCTTGGCGGCTAGCTCGTTCTCCAGATCGCAGCCGTACTCGGACGGGATAAATCGCTTGACACCAGCAGCGACGGCGGCATCGACGAGCTTCTTCTGCTGTTCGCCAAGGCCTTCTGTGCCAACAGTAGACACGAGAGCGTCTTGGCCGGCGAGAGCCTGAGTCAGAGATTCGACAGACTCAAAGTCGACGTCGACGACCTTGACATTGTCAGGGAATGTCGAGGTAGACTTGTTGCGGCGGAGGACGGTGATGTTGAAGTTGCCAGCGGCAATAAGCGCCTTGAGGACGACTGAGCCAACAGCGCCGGCGGCACCGGTGAGGGCAATGTTCTTGAGAGAAGTAACAGCCATTGCTTCGGTTGTTGTTTACTATGTAGATGTGTATTGTTTATAAGACGAGATAGTTGTATGCGATAGTTGTATGCTTGAGTGCAGATTAGAATTGAGGCGATGTTGTGTTGTTTATATACTATGTTTTCTGCTTCTAGAGTTTCTATTTCAAAGCCCAGGAAAGGCATCTACACTATATACATTGTCGAAATACTCATCATGTTGAATCCCACACAATGATTTCCAAGCACTCGCCGAGCGTCGATGGTGTATATCTCCCCTCTCGATTATGCAATCCTCAACACTATTGCACACACCCCTCGACTATCTTGCATCAATGACACCATCCTATCCCCGGCTTACTAACACCAACACCAACACCACCCTGATTACTCCTCTACTGTCCCAGAACAGAACCGCGCACTTTGAGGGGCCATCCTGTATGCAGAGCTCCTCCTCCATCCTCCCACCCATCCCACAACTCGTCATGGTGTTGTGGACCGTTTCGGAATCCCGCTCCGAGCGTTAGCAGCGCGACTAGAGCTGAAAGAAGCACAAGCCTCGAGATGACATATCCTAGCATCGCGACTAGACTCGTTGCGGAGTGGGAGATGCCGAGGCTGCACACTCACCGAGCGCCAAGTGGGATGCCGACTTGAAGACGTGAAACTCGCATCTTGTAAGCCATCAATAATACGGAGATTTATCATCCCCTCTGCCCCGAGGAACTCTTGCTCTCATCCCACTGTTCCCAATTTTTTCCGTTTTCTCTTTTTTCAGGGAAACCCTCTCGTACTGGGTAATTCGGTGTATTCAACATATCGCCTTGGTCATTGGTTTAGTTGTTCCCTTTTGCCGCATTTCCCTTGGCCTAATCTTAGTTTTCGCCTCTCCCGTTTCCACATCCCACCGAGGCTCCGATCCCGCCTCAACGCACATTGCATTCTCACCAGCCCCAACGGTTGGTGTACAACACCAACGCGCTGCTTTGGGCTGTATTGCTTGGTAATTCGTTCAAGTCGCCGCGAGAATACTCGCCGAGTTTCCTCGCAACCCTCTTGTATTCCCGTGTAATTCCGCTTTCCGGGCCTGCGGGCGTGTCCATCTTTGACATTGCATCTCGGCTTCAGTGGGAGAAAAGGCTGCAAAGTGGGCTGAACAGCATATCGGCTTCTCTCAAAGCAGAGATCATCGTACCAGGCCTTTGCCTAATACGGGGTGTCTTTCCGCTGGATCTATCAACTGCAAATTCTGGCCAACCGGATCCCTGGCAATTGCTTTCCATCCTTAGAGTTCCACCTCGGATGGGAAGTGGGAGACGACATCTCTAGCCTCGAGAGATGGGGCCACCCACGGGAGAGCGACATCTGTGCCACTGCGGGAGAGGCTTTCTTAGAAAAGAGCATCTCCGTCGGCATCAGGCTACCCATGGCAGTCCTTCCTTCACGTGCCATGTGTGCTCTCGATCGTTCAGTCGCAGGTGAGTACAATAGGAGTCCTCTTACACCCCCCCTCTGTCTTCTGCCCCATGATCAATGTTCTGTCTGGGTGCTGCTGTAGATAAGAAAAAAGAGAAGAAACAAAGAAGAAAAAGAAAGAAAACTTTCCCCAATGAGAAAATCAACAAGACGCATACTAAAGGTTAAAACCACCCGGCGTCACAGTGATCTCCTTCGCCGCCATCTGACGCTTCACGATGGCTCCGCCCCCTCGGATTCTAAACGAGTCCGCGCGTGTGATGCATGCCATGCCAGCAAGATCCGATGCGATGGAGGCGTTCGGTGCTCTCTGTGCACCAAGCGAGGCATAGATTGTGCCTTCACCAGAGGGCCTGCCCCTAATGGTAATGTTGCGGCCAATCCGCCTCAAGGTAGCGCCTCGTCCTTGCATTCGGGTCATGGATCCCGCTCCCCAGATCCTGCCAGATCGGCCCCCACAGACGCCTCAGCCTCTACCGGTGGCTCTCAGCCTGACACAAATCATGCTGTGCCCATGTCTTATACCATGAACGGCACGGCACCGGAGAGCCAGGGGACCCAGCAACAAGACGCGTCTTCCGTTGCCATCGAAGGACTACAGTTGGTACTTGAAGCTGTTTCTAGGCCAAGATCTTCAGGGTCTTCGTCAAGGCTTCAGCGGCCACCACCCCCAGAAGTGAAAAAGTGGTCCGCGTCGTGTATCAAGTCGTACATGGGTCGATTCCATGACCGGTGGCCGGTACTCCATGCTCCCACTTTTGAGCACGAGGTAGATTCCGTTACACTACGAAGCACCGCTATTATAATAGGCTTTTGGCTGCAGAATGACACTGAAGACAATAGTCTTGTATTCGACATTCATAGCATCCTCGTCAAGCGATTACTCGATGAGTTGGTCAGTAACTGCTAGTAATGCTTGTGTGTAGTCGAGATACTTACACATACTCTCAACAGACAGAATCCACCGCAGATCCAAACGGCGTCTGGCCTCTCCGATCACTCCAATCGTCCCTGTTGAATATCATTTTCGCATTCGAAAGCGGCGTACGTCTTCCAGATTGCTGCACCCTCATACACCCTCTTCGAGACACATGCTGACCTATCTCCGTAGCGCGAGAAAAACATGAAAAGGGCCCGTCTTCTCTTGAGCCTCCTCATAACTGTATGTCGACAACTCAGAATCTTCACCGCCGATGCCATCGATCATCAAATAAGGATTCACTTCAGCGGCGATTTCCCCCCCTGGGTGTTTGCGATGAAGGAGAAATGGAAAAGGTGAGTAAAGCCAGTGGTCAAGTCGTGCAGGGAAGTGGCAAAAACAGCTCGTCGCACTAACCTTTGCGTGTGTCTCTCATAGACTCGTCGCAAACATGTTCAAACTCGACACATATATATCTCTGCTCACCCAGCAACCCCCGTCTCTGCAGCGCGAAGAATTGAGTCTCAGCCTAACATCCACGTTCGGCCAATGGAACGCCTACGGCCTCGACGTCTTCTTCAGGAGATGGCCCTCGGAGCCCATGGAACGCGCCCAGTATAGGATATGTGACCTCGCGCTGGGATCGCAGCAGCCAATCTCGCCCGTCATTCTCGTCGAGGACCTGCAGATTCGCATGATGGGCGTGACAAACTATGTCTGGATCCTCAACAAGATGCGAGGAAGCCCAAACCCAAACCTATGCGTATCCAGCGAACAAAGGGAACTGATATCAGCCCGTCTCAAGCGCTGCAAGCTGCAGCTCGACGGCATGACTTCCATCTGGAAAGAACCGGAACAGCACAAGATGCACATCGACTTCCTTCTGAGGGCCTACTCGGCCAAGGAGGAACCCTTCCACGAGGACTGGCAGAAGCCCGTCCGGGATCGCTTCTTCTCCTTCGTCTTCAGCGCCACCATGTTATACCATCTCCTCAACATGCACATCTACGCCGACGTCCACAGCTACATGCAAAGCCTCCCCGTCGTTTCATCCCCAGGCGTGACCCCAGCCAACCTCTCCACCACACCCACCATAAACAACGCCGAGATCCACGACTGGGCCACATCCCAGGACGCCCGGATCGCCGTCTCGCACGCCATCTTTGCATATCGCGTCTACGGCTCCAACATGTCGTCTCCCTCTGACCTAAAAGCAGAGGTGGTCGATCCCATCGCACACATGACCATCGCGGCGGGGGCTGCCATCCTGTGGACATGGATCCAGAACAACACGTCTGCATGTACTTGCATGAATCTGCCCGTCGGTGGCGAGCTAGACTTTGGATTCGTGCCGTTGGGTGCTGGGAAGAGCCCCGAGGTGGACCATTGGATACGGAACGGAGGCACCATCTGGCTGCACGGAGTTCACCTGTGCAAGTGCAACGTGGACGTTTGGCTCTCGCCCTTTGCGGCGATTCTATCCCACGGAGCGAAGAAGTGGGAGATAGGGAATGTGTTTGCACAGAAGCTGTGGTCACAACTTGGACTTCAACGGTCTGTTTAACTCAGTTAGTAGGAGTACTGTGAGGACAATGGCGAAGGAGATGATATACCTTGATCAGCAAATGTATATAATGGGTGAGGAAGGAAAAGAGCTGTAATCTATATGCTCTTGTAAATACTGTATATATCAACAAAGATGAAATTACTTACACAACAAGTAACCTCGACGTGCTATTTCCGTGCTGCCAACGTATAAAATCCTGGTCATTCGAGATTGATTACTGATGCGCGGGCTTATGTGGTCAACACTTGTACAGTCTGGGCACAGATAGATGAATAAGCTGCGTGATCCGAGTTCGTAAATACGAAGCGTACCTGTATATTAACAGTACATGAGAACACAAAAGTACTGTGTCCTCTAGTTGCATTGGTATGCATGCCAAGGTACAGCAGTGCATAGTGGCGAAGCTCGGAAATGATTCCTAGTAGAGAGATGGCCGGAGATGCACGGCATGCCCAACCCTAGAGTCTAAACCATCTGTGCGTACGTCGAGCTGACAACTAAAACTACAATCTTTTGTTTGCCGATATGAACAAGGAATATCCAACGCGCCATTTCAAATGCTCGCGCAATGCTAAACTAGACACATAACTACAAAAATATCCTTGAACCTGGTGAATATTTACTGGACATGTGGGAAATATCTGCAATTTTCTTCGCCCAAAAGATGCCCAAGCTTCATCTAACCTGTAGCGTTAATAGGCTAAATGACGGGTGCCTCACTCCCGCGGAGAATTGTGGCGGCCTGGCGGAAGAAGGAATCCAGCCTGAGCCTGGCAGGTCTGATCAAAAGTCTCCCGGGCTTGTGGGAGGTTTCCCCGAGGCGCTTTAGAGATTGGTGGAACTCTTGCAGGAGCTGGTACGCAGCCGCAATGTGTGTCTGATCAGATGCCAGTAGGAAGAGGTAGATGAGAAAGTTTCCACACAAGATAAATTGAGACCGAGCATCTATTTTCTTCCGTTAGCGCAGGTCCGACCGTTTTTTCGCGCCTCCCGAGGCTGTATTGCCTCTGAAATGGTTGACAAAAACTCACGACGACACCAAAAACCGCGCAAATCTTCCTCAGTAATAGAGTTGAAAAAGTCCACAAAGCCTCGAAACTCGGTCAGAGCAGAGACGAACCATTTGCGAAGGTTTGATTCAGGATTGGCTTTGGCCACTCTGGTAGCAGGATACATTAGGCCTCGGTATAAGAGGGCCTGAGTGGCGTAGTATGTGAGGTGCAGGGGGCCTTGGTTAATAGGTCAGCATCTGCTTCAACAACGTATCCTACACTCTCGCTGCAGTGAAACTTACAGTTGCTGATTGTGTCTGGGCCTCTTTCGGGACCAAGAGCGAGGCATTGTGGCAGCAGGCTATGCCAATCATTGAATTTTTCTCTCATCATGACGAGTTGCATTGTTCTTTCGGCGAGGGTTGATGGATTGGGTCGAACTTGACTGCATGAATCATCTCGCGTGAGCAATGGCCGACTAAGGTTTGATAGAAACCTGTGCAGAAGAGATTTTGACTTACAAGGCACAATCCAACACGTCCCTCAGAACAATGGTCAGATTTATAAACTGCAAAAATCGAGCTCCAACTGAAGCTTGGAAGACGGCGTCCTCGGGCTCAACCAAGTATCGCAAATCCTCAGGGACAGTCTCATCGGCTCGAATATCGTCCATGTCAGGTGGGAGTGTGCTGAATGTGGTTGGGCTTATGTGTGGAGGATTCCCGTGGCAGATTGCAGACCAACAGTCGGCAGCGTATACCGCCCACCAGAGCTTCTTTCTCACTCTCTTCTCCCAATCCTCAATGCTCCATCGAGTAGGGTCTTGATGAAGGCCTATCGTTTGGGCACACGCAGTGGTTTGTGCCGTCATTGTCCACATACTTGGCGTCTCAACACTGTCGACGTCGGGAGGCGTGATGTGATGGAGCAAAAGGCCTGCTTGTAGGCTGAAGAGAGTAGGATTCTCATGCTCACGCCTGAGCGCCTCATGAGCGTGATCTATGCATTGATGCTGCTGGAAAGGACAGGCCTCCTTGATGGTAGGGTCGCGGTCCCAGAAGACGCATGCCAGGCCGTATATTGCACCGCGCAATGACGCGGGAATCTTCATCCGATTGCTTTTATACTGGGCAAGGAAGCGGCCCTTGGTGACAACAGGGTATATGGGATGAACGTGCTTGAAGTATAAGCGTATTAAACGTTCACCATAAGGCCACACCAGCCTCTCAGTCCCATCCGATGCACTTTGCTTTGCCTCATTGGTGAAGTCAGGATTTTCATTCTCCAAGAGCAAAAAGTGGACGGGACGATCGTCTGCCGAAGGACCTCCTGGATAAACCTGGATGATGTTGGCATCAATCTCATCGTTCTCACTTATAATGAGACACCTAAAGGCATCCAAGAGGTAGGTATCTTGCTCAGCCGAGGGCCCCATGGAGTGAGCGGTCCTATTGAAGTTGTCCTCGAGAGTGTGGAGAGGACCGTTTGATAGAATAGGGACCGGAGGAGAGACACCATATGAGGGTTGGTCCAAGCCATCTGAAGACTGGCGAACCAGGCCTTGATGTACCACGGCGGCGGAACCAGAGGACTGCTGTTCCAGACTCAAATCACCAGCGGCACTCAGGCCTGCAGACGACTGGATCGTGTCTGCCGGACTGGAGTGCGAGACGCTACGGCGTGCTAGACTCGGCGAAGAGTCTATGGCTGGAGGTGTGACGAGCTCAGCATCAGAGGCTCCATTCTCAGTGGTACTGTCGGCGGCGCTCTCTTGTTGAGATGATATCTCATCAGGAGTAGGCGAAGATTTGCACGTCAGTCCCCTGCTCTTGCAGAAGAGACCTGCGACGACGGTTTTAGCATTCGGAGACTCCGTAAGTAAGGGAGATTGGGTATATCTGCAGCTGGCTGGGACGAAACGAAGCTGTGGAGGGCCGGATGCAGCAGCATCATGCATGTAGCATCGGCCAACAGGCAAAAGGGGACGCTCCCACTTGGGAGGGCAGCACACGCCTCCACGAGCCACTCACGCAGCTCCATAGCTGCAGACGAGCAGGAAGGCGGACACGTGCGCGTCATGGTGAAGAAATGTTGCAGCGTGGCATCGAGCGAGGTGTGAGGTGTGAGGCGTGTCCATCGTCGACAATCCACATCCCGCACACCATGACGCGCAGCCGACACGCACAACATACTTTGTCGACGCGCGGTGAGGCTCGGCGGCTCGGCTCGAGCTCTAGCAGAGGAGGCACCACACCCCAGATGGATGCAAGGGGCCAGGCAAGGCGACGACGGGCAGAGAGCTTAGGCCAGACTTACAAGGAGGCTCCGAAGGGATCACACACGCCGTCTTTCGCCTCCGGCAGGCGTCGCAGGGCCGGTTCTTGCGGCTCCGCGGCAGTCGAGCCCGGCCGAACTGGCTCTGGATGGTGAACTTGCGGGGACGGCCCTGGGCCGAGTCGGCGCCGCTGAGCATTGGATGGATTGTCCTGGGGATGATTCACGCTGGAAGCCAATCCAATCTGACGAGGCGCCTCTCGCGCTGGTCCGTGTCTAGGCGGGCTGGCTTGCTGCTGGCTTGCTGGCTTGCTGGCTGGTTGTTTGGTTTGCCGCGGCGTGGGTGGTGGAGTTTGTGCGATCCAGAGGAGAGACACGTTCGAGTTGCTCGGCGAACGCGGCGGCGAAGCTCCTTGCTGTCGATTCATGGCGGATGGCCCCAAGTTGGCCGACAGGCGGGGAACACGATGGCATTTGGAAGATGGCGCAATGGGTGCTAGTGTCGAGTAACGTGACCACTTCGCCTATTGGCCTGAAGCTGGCCTCCAATGCCCCCAAGAGCCGGCACTGTTAGCACTGCTAGGTGCTCGGGGACTACCGTTAGTGGCCGTTTAGTGGACGACAAGCCCTATAACGGGCTCGATTAGCACCTAAGCTCCGTGCTCTAATTTGCACCTGGGGATATCAAGGTTTCCAACGTTTCGAAATTGCAGGCTTACTCCGTTCTCCGTCGGATCGCTGCATAGGAATCCCTCACCCCAAAGAGCCGGACCCAAGCCAAAGATGGAATTGGCTTGCTGATGATTGTTCGGCGATCAAGATGGGTGTGTAAGACATCGACAGCAGGCCACCCTCGTCCAATCCGGTGTCGTTCCGTGTCTTGTTGTCGGCCAATTTTCAAGACACGGCGAGACACGGCGAGACATGGGACTTGCATCGCTTTACGGAGGATCCATGATGTTGATCTCATTAAACCCACAATCATGGTAGTATTACAGTACTGCAAGTCAAACTAGGGTAGCACTAACTTCGGACAACTCAAAGCTTGATGCTGCATGCACGATCAGCTGCCTTGGATAGGCAAGGTGCGAGATGTTGATAACATAGCAGTGATAACATAACCCCGTCTATTAAGTAGCATAAGCACCAAATTCTAAATCAGATAAATCGCGGCTCGCATATGTGACTTGTCGCTTTCAAAAACCCCTCCAATCAAACGCTTTTGCGAAATGACAGTGTCGATCCAACATATCCATCTCTAGCATCTCATCTCTTACAATGTGCCGGACAACTTGGCCGATATCATACCGCCATAACAAGTTGCCCTAAGCAAATGAGCAAAGGAAATCAACACGAGACGGGCAATTCAAAATGCCGCCGCAGGCTCAAACTTTGGGCTCACGTCTACATATTGATGCATAACGCCGGAGCCATCGTCGTCTGATAGCACATGGCTCGCCTGGGCCAGATCCACCTCCCAGCGGTCTGTGTAGTACTGTTGGACTTCCCTCGCCGTCGGAGCTGTCCTGACGAAGTCGTCGACCGCCTTGGCAGGGAAGATCCAGTGAAGGACCGAGTAGACGACGGCACTGGACACGAAGCCGTACAGGTAGTTGATGTAGTAGAGCTCCGTCATGCCAGCAGGCAGCGACACGGATAAATTAACGGCCGCGATAAAGCCAGGCAAAGTTGGAGCAACTCCCACCGCCCACTGGAACCGGTAAAGTCAGCAAAATATTCTCCTCTCACAGCTGCACTGAGAAATTAAATCTTAAAAACTTCATCCCACTTACCGCAATGGGGGCGCGGAAATTAACGCCGTAACTGTACCAGTAGATGCTGCCGCTGTGGCCATGGTACAAGTCGTCGACCTTGACCTTTCGCTTATTCACAATGACATAGTTGGCAAACATCATGCCCGTCATTGGCGCAAGGAAGACGCCGTAGCTGGACAGGACCGACAGGAACGTCGTGGCCGTGTTGACCAGCTGCCAGGGGTTGACTACCGGGCTGAGAAGAACCGTGATGTAGGCACCCCTGCGAATGTTGATGTACCGGGGAAACACGGACGACAGATCGATTCCGCCAGCCAGGGCATTTCCGGGGACATTGCTGCCAATTTGGGAGATGCACAGGGCAACGCCGGCGAAGAAAAGCGCGGCGCGCGTGCCAGGGCTGTTGTCCTTCTCCAATAGGCGAACAAAGATGGTCGGCGGGTTCCAGACGGCCTCGCCGTCGAATCGCTTCTGCGTGGCCGCGACAACAAGGATGCCGATGACGGAGGTGAAGATGCTGTAGAGGCCGTACGGGAGAAGCTGGCCCCAGACGGCGTCCATGGGCTTCCTGGACAGACGCGCAAAGTCGTTCTGGTTCAAGATGCCGGCAGCAATCGAGCCAATCGTGGACATGATGCCATACACCATCAGCCAGGCGACACTGCCTGGGCCGCCCGTGTTGGGAAGGGTGGTTCCCGAGTCCAGGGTGTCGCCAAAGCCCGCACTGCCCATGGTTGCCAGGGCCCAGATCAGGAGGACGATAAAGAAAATCATGGTCACGACGCAAGCGATATAGAAGAATTTCTGCAGGCGATGCGGCTTGATCCACACAAACGGAAGACTGATGACGAAGAAGATGATGTAAGACACAAACTGGGCCGTCGTCATGCCCGTCGAAGCAGGCATGTGGTTGGGGATGCGATCCTCGTATTTGGGATCCCACGAGAGCAGGATGAGCTCAAAGCACTGGCCGCCAACCCATGACTGGAATCCGTACCTGTGGAAACACTATTATTAGCAATGACTGTTGGGTGAAACCATCATCCGGAATCTTCATTCAACGAACCAAACTACACAGCCAACGATTAGCACAAATACACTGCATGTTATATGGAAAGAGATGGGCCATACCAAGACACAAGAATATGCGATTCCAAATGGCAAACTGGGATCCCCACATGCCCCAGACAGCACGACTGTAAACGGAGAAGCCAACTGTGAGAGTCGATTTTCAGTATGATTTGCTCTGAGAGATGAGAGATACCACGAGCAATGCAAACTCACTATGATAATAGGCACCCGCAAGCGAGCTGATGACAATCGCGGTGGTGGCAAGAATGTTTCCAACAACAATAGCTGCGACAACCTGTCAGCCAATCGATGCAACTGCATCTGTCATATCGGGAAAAATGATCGTACCAATAATGGCCTGCCACCAGTTCAGGCCCAACGGGATGAGCGCACTCCCTGTCAGGAAGGTTGCAATGTTACAATTGATCAGCAACCCTGGAACCAACAAAAGAGTCATAGCGTCTCGTCAGTAACAGCTCTCATTATTTCGCCTAATCGGGCGCGCGACTCACAGTAATTATGAAATGTCCAGAAGCCCCATGTTCGCCTGGCAGACTCTACAGGTCGAATATCCTCATTCTATGGCATAGGCGGAAGAAGTCTTTGATTAGCCAATTGCATCGCTCATCACACCGCTAAGGTCAAGAGTATGTTGGATGAAGACAAAAATTGCAGCTTTGGCGCAGACGACTTACAATCCATTGTGAGACATAAGGGAGCTTTGCGCGCTCAATGAGCTGAGCCAACCCCATTGTCGCGTTCGGGTAGACGCGTGCCAGACAAATGCTACGGCACCCTCGACTCGATGGCGGATTAGACTCTCGGACAGGGGACCGATGTCGCAGCTCACAACTTCAGTACGCGACGCTGTAATAACAGCAACAATCCGCCGCCTTCTGTTGGACCTCTGAGCAAAGTCTTCAACAGACAAGACAGGCAAGCGAAGCCCCTTATGTCGGTGATGAGAAGCAACACCTGGACCGTGACACGAGGTGGGGCGAGAAACCAGGGAAAAGGATCTCAAGCGAGGCCTCACTTTTGCAAGATCTGCCCGGCAGCGGAAGCGGCTCGACCGGGAAGAGCCGTGCAAGCTTCTCAAACCTCGAACTTGCCTGGCTAGTGATTGACTGGTGCCAGCCGCGAGAAACAAAACAGCCCTTGTGGAGGTTGAAATGGAGAAAAGGGGACTTGGAGCAGCCCAGCAAGTTTTTAGCTTTTCGACCTTGAGTCAAGTCAGCCCATGCCGGGGTCAAGAGTTGTTGGTCCAGGGACGCCGCTGGTACGGTAAGCCAAACTCCCTTTGGGAAAACGACTCCAGCCAACGTACATGAACGGAGTAGCAATAGCGCCGCCTTGCTAGCTCACAGCAAAATGCAATTGCCCACCCTTAACCAAGTTGGATGCTAGTTCCTTGTGTTATCGAGAAACAATTCAATTGCTTCCCGTCCTTAGTCAGCGCGGGCTCACTGCTACGGGCGTCGCAAAGAATGGAAAACAGTCCTCGCGGGCTTCCAGATTCAAGATCAAGGCCGACCGACAATTGCCCCCCACAATTTGGCCTGATGAGCCCTGGTCGAGCCATTTATGCGCAACATTTGATTGACAGCCCATTGATCCGGGGATCGGTCCCCAAAAGACATTCGAGATGGTGAATATCTGGTGTTTCGAAGGGGTGTGAGATCAATAAATGCATGCAGTTGGGCGTGCATGTGGTTGCATTGCTTATTTCGGCTCAATTTGACACCCCCCTCCTTTCGCTCAAGTTGCCTCGGATGAGTTTTACCTGGAAGGGCGGTGCTTCGTTTGGAAGGTCTCTTCTGGATTCGACTCTGTGTTCTATGTCTTCTGTGCAGCTGCCGCTTGGGCTTCTACTCATCTCAGACAGCATCTCTCGAGTCCGCTGGTTTGTTGTTTCTGACAACACAGTGATCGGCGAACTCTCTAGCGGCGCCATCGGCCAACTTATTTGGCCGACGTGAGTTTTCCCCGATGCTACACTCTCGGCTTTCTGCTGTAGGTGGTGTGACGCGCTCATAGGGCGCACGGTGGCCATGATTAAATGGCCATGTGTCGTGAGACCGCAGTATGTCCATATACCCGTCCGGCGGTTGCAGGGCCAGCGGCAGCCGGAATGTTTTAGCCTTGCCCCGGCTGGGGGCCAGATTCAGAGTTGGCCGTGTTTCGCATCATGGCCTTGTTATGGATCATTGTGAGGTGCAATCAATCATATGCTCCTGTTGTTCCTCTCTCGTAACGGCCATCTTGTCCCCCACAAGCCGATCATCTCCACCACATAGGCGACAATTCTACTGGGTTTGTCCGCCGGCGACTCCATCACTAGACGTTGGGCGAAACTTCGCCGTTGCGCTTCTTGCTCCATTCTGAACTTGTCATCTCGAGAAAAAAAAGTCGTAACCGCACTAACTTGCAACCGGCGCCCCCAAAATTGCTTCCAGCATGAGCCCCTCACGCCGTCTTGTTCACTTCTGGCCTTTAGCTTGCAAAGAACATTCAGATTTATTTTGCCATTCCCCTTGTTGAAAGCGTTCTTTTGGGTAACCGAATTTCTACGGAGAAAAGAAGAAGAAAATTCAAATCTTTGTCCTCCTTCCCCCTTTCGCCCTTTGGTTTCTTCACTCCCTTTGCAATTTGATTTTCCTTCGGGCGTCATGTCTCTATATCGCATCGGCGTCGATGTTGGCGGAACCAACACCGACGCCGCTATTCTGGATATCAAGGCCCTCGACCAACCCGGACGCGGTGTCCTGGCGTCGTACAAGGCCACGACTACTCCTGACATCACAAGCGGCATAGAAGCCGCCATCAGGGAGGTGCTAACACGCTCAAAGGCTGAGAAGAGCCGCATCCTCAGTGTTACAATCGGAACGACACATTTTATCAACTCTCTCATCGAGGCAGATGCGAGGAGGTTGGACCGAGTCGCCGTTTTCCGGTTGTGCGGCCCCTTCACAAAGCAGATTCCCCCCTTTTCGGATTTCCCACTTGGTCTACGTGGAATTCTCGATGGAGGCGTCCACTACTTGGATGGAGGGCTGGAGATGGATGGACGAGAGATTGCCCCTTTGAATCCAGAACAAATCCGTGAGGCCGTAAAATCAGTCGTTGCTGCTAGCATCGGTGCCATTGCTCTCGTTGGCATTTTCTCACCGCTTGATCATCATGGCATCCACGAAGAGCAGTGCAGGCGCATCATCCTCGATGCTGCCCCTGAGCTACGCGTAGTCTGCTCCCACGACATTGGACCTACGGGTCTTCTCGAAAGAGAAAATGCCACAATTCTCAATGCCGCTATTCTAAGGACGGGAGAGAAGGTTAAGCATGGTTTTAAGCGTGCCATGGCCAGCTTGCGGCTGACATGCCCCCTGTTCCTTTCCCAAAACGATGGCACCCTCATCGACGTCGAAACAGCCGCCAAGTATCCCATCAAGACGTTTGCCAGCGGCCCCACGAACAGCATGACTGGCGCTGCGTTTCTCGCCGGCCTCGATAACAAATCTCTACCAACTTCGAACGACACTCCCAACGCTGCAGTCGAGCCTCAGGTACTCGTGGTGGATATTGGTGGCACTACAACCGACGTGTGTGCTCTCCTGCCCTCCGGCTTTCCACGGCAAGCCCCCGGGTTCGTCGAAATCGGGGCTGTCCGGACAGCTTTTTCCATGCCGGAGGTTGTGTCTATCGGGCTGGGAGGCGGGAGCAAGGTCGAGGTTGAAGAGGACGGCACAGTCCGTGTTGGTCCCGGCTCTGTTGGACACTTTCTCAAGAAGCAAGCCAAAGTCTTTGGCGGTTCCACACTGACAGCTACAGATGTCGTGGTTGGTCTCGGCAAGGCGGATCTTGGAGATGCATCTCTCATCAAGGATGTTCCGGAGCAAACTATCAATCTTGCCCGCATGGAGATCAAGAGGAAGCTAGAAAGAGTGATCGACCAGATGAAGGTGTCATCTGCGCCGGTCCATGTACTACTTGTCGGTGGTGGCGCTCTTCTAGTGACGGAAGAGCTGGCAGGAGTTGATAAGTGTATCCATCCAATTCATCACGGGGCTGCCAATGCCGTCGGAGCTGCCATCGCTAAAGTTTCCGGCGAGGTCGACACTGTGGAGATTCTCGGAGACAAGAAAGAAAAAGACGTTCTCGATGCTGCATGCGCGCGAGCCATCAGCCTGGCAGTCGAGAAAGGGGCGTCTCCCGATGACGTGCGCATTGTTGAGGTAAACAAGATGCCCCTGCAGTACATGTCCCAAACCACCATCAGAATCCAGGTCCGCGCAGTGGGTAAGCTTGCTGTCCCTGACGAACCGACTCCGCCCCCTACTCCCCCACTTGGCGGAGATCCAGAGTATAAGGAGGAAGAGGTCGAAGGGGAGAAGGTCAGCGTACCGAATGCCCTAGAGCCCACTACGAAGCCATCTTTATACGTGGACTTGGAGACATACCGCCCAGACGTCCGAGATGGTGTCTGGTATGTCTCTGAAGTCGATCTGGAACTTATGTCTACGGGATGCGGTGTTCTCGGTACTGGTGGGGGCGGACCTACTCACTATGAATTTCTCAAGGGCTTGCATGCACTACGGAACGGGGGCCAGGGTAAGATGAGGATTGTTTCCCCTGCGGCATTGAAAGATACCGATTCTGTTTGCTTTGGTTCGTGGTACGGCAGCCCGAGCGTAATCAATGAGCGACTATCTGGTGGCAACGAGATCCCCAGCGGCATTGAGGCAGCAGCTAGGATCGTAGGAAAGTCTATTGATGCACTGCTCCCGGATGAGATGTAAGTTGAAGAAAATCATGTCTACAACTTTCAAATATGTGACTAACGGGTGAATAGTGGTGGTGGTAACGGATTATCGTCGTTTCCTACAAGCGCCCACTTCGACGTCCCCATCGTGGACGGTGATGCTATGGGCCGAGCATATCCTACAATGTATCATGGTGAGTAGTAGATGAAAACTCTCCAGATACTGGTTTACGAATGACTAACGAAATCGATTGTAGTCACCTTTAGTGTATACGGCGTCTCGTTGGTCCCCTGTGTCCTCACAGATGCTCGTAACAATGTCAGCGTCGTTATGGTACGTTGTCTAGCACTCTTTTCGTAGATTTATACATGCGTGAGAATTCGTTGTGGCTAACTTTCAACCACTTGATAGAGCACTGATACACCTGAGAGATTGGAGACAATACTGCGAACAACAGCCATCGAACTTGGATTGAGCTGCGCAGCCTGCTCTACTCCACTCTCTGGGTCGATTGTCAAGCAGTACGGAATCCCGAACACTTTGTCTCAGACGTGGTATTTGGGCCGTGCTATTCACCAGGCAAGAAGGCGGAAGACGAGTTACATTGACGCCATTGTGAGTTGAAATGCACCCCTTTCGCACACTCTTTTTCCATTGTTATTTTCACTTATTCTGACTTTAAAAACAATAGTTCGCTGAGAGTGCTGGAAAGCTGCTCTTTAGTGGCAAAATTGTCGATGTGCGTCGCCATCTTGGTGGAGGTTACACCATGGGAGCCGTCATCATTGCGCCTCTCGACGACCAAGAGCGCGATGCGATGGCCGTTAGTAAACAACAAACAACATCAAACAGCCGGCACATGTATATTCCGTTTCAAAACGAGTATCTTTATGCTGCTCTTACTGATTCCGAGGGATCCGAAGCGACGCAAGAAGTTGTGTGCACAGTTCCAGACCTCATTTCGATTTTGGGACAGGATGGTGAAGCGATCGGCTCGCAAGACCTGCGATATGGGCTGCACGTCAATGTCATTGCTCTGCCCGCGCATCCTCTTTGGAAGAGCGAAAAGGGCATCAAGGTGGGCGGACCGGAAGGATTTGGGTTCAAGATGCCGGTTGTCGAGGTAGACAGGGAGTTTACTCAGGCGAGGAGCGTTATTGACGAATTTTCGACATAGAGCTGGAGTTTAGGGTTACAGGCATATACACGATGGGCCTCTGGCGTTTATTGGGGATTATGATAGAGCTTTATGTTCGAATTAGCACGCATGGATACCATTTAATGTTTTATTTATGGCAAGACATGGTCACGTATGAGACTTGAATTGGTCGAGAGATGCGAGTATAGCTGCAGTTTTGTATTCAATCTGGTTGGCAGCGGAATAACTAATTTTTTTTTCCTTTTCAGATTTTACTTCTTTCCATCAAATGAGCGACCAGTCATACAAAGAACTAGTAGCAAATGAATGACGAGGTTGGTGGTGCGTATCCCATAAATCACATTTAGATGGCATTCTCCTTGCGACGAGTCTCAAAGACCTTGAGAGCCTCTTCAGCAGCCTTGACACCGCTGAGAGCCATAGCACCAAAGGTAGGGCCTATACATCATCATGTTAGACAGCCTCTTCAACAGACTGGATGTGCTTTTATGTTTCAACATACCCATACGGTTGGCTCCGTCAATCTCAGAGAGCTCCATGCCTCCGACAATGAGGCCGGGAACAACCTCACGAGTGTTCTTGACAATAGCATCTTCAGCCCTGTTCATATCGAGGCCGCGCATGCCGCCCAGCTTCTCGATACGGCCCATGCTGACAAGACGCTTGACGCAAAAGGCACCCATGGGGCCATCGTGGCCGGTGGTGGAGATGACAAGGGGAGCATTGATGGTGTTGGGGTCCATGCAAGACTGGTCATCGTGATGCATCGAGACAAGAGTCCAGTTGGTCACAACACCAGCAATGCGCACTCCCTCAGCAGAAGGACGAGTGATGAGATCCTCGACGCAAGTAGCGTTGAAGAGCTTGACGTTGGGCAGCTGCAGCACCTTGGCCATGATGGTCGAGGTGAAGAGCGCCGCGTGCTTGACGACAACGTAGTTGCCCTCGTCCTCGTACGGGACGCCGATCTCTCGGAGGAAAGCATCGGCCGGCTTGCGCATCACCATGGCGGAGAAGAGCTGGCCTCCCAGCCAAGCACCTCCACCAGGCGAGACAGAGGCCTCGATGATGGCGATCTTGAGGTCCGGGCGCTGCGTGCCGAGGACGTACGCGGTGCTAAGACCGCAGGATCCGGCGCCGATGATGACAATGTCGGACTCGGCGTAGTTGTCGAGGTCTTCGAAGTAGCGACGAGTCATGGCGCGCGAGACCTGAGACTCGCGGATGGGGGCAAAGGTGAACGAGTCCCATTGCCCGTGCATCTCGGAGACGGTCTTGGCCAGGGGGCCTTGGTTCTGAGCAACGGCTAGCTTGGAGACAGGCTTCACAAGCTCAGCAGTGTGCTGGGTGGGCGAGACGGCGGCGGGAGGACTCATGATGGACCTACGAGGGTTAGGAACCTGGACAGGATGGTAAGGGGGACAAGCATGATCCTTTCGCTGGTATTATCCAGATCAAGTTCAGGGCCGTATATTCTCAGCCACGCTCCCTCCTCGCACTCACCAGCCTCAGACGCCTCTCTTCATCTATCGACTCTTACAAGAAAAGAGTTATTTTCTTTATAAGAGGCAGATAGAGAGAGTAACGTGAGAGACCTGTTGGTGAATTCAAGGAGAGAGCGGGCACCGGCTCATGCGATACACATTACCTGAAGAGACATGATCCCGTCTGGACGGACTACCACCGAAAGACGCCATGGCGACTGGATGAGGTGTACCGAATGATGTAAGTTGGTACCTGGCCATGGTTAGATGCATTGAATGATTCAATCGGGTTTGTGTCAATGACAAACTATGAATTAAATCACTAAATACTTTTGGTTTTCAATTGGATTTGTTATTCGATTATTTTTATCGAGAAACGATTTGTTGCGTAGTGAGAAGAGGAAAAAAAAGAGCTCGAGCTCTGCGCCATTTTCAACCCTCAATTTATACTCGAGTTTTTTAAAGCTTGTCTCAAAGGAGGGGTAAATGACAGTCGATCGGCTCTCGATAATATCATAGTGACGGCGATGTCGGCTCCTTGTCACAACGTCAACCGGGCGGAAATGGGCCGGGGGTATCCGGGCTTGGCCCGTCACGACCCGGTTTAGCGATTTGAGAGAATTTTGTTATCGTGGGATGTTGCTTGTATTGAGGATTGATGCGAGAAGTGAGATTATGATGTGGGAATATGTGGGTTGAGGGTTCGTATTGTGTATTCTGGAGAATGCCCTAAACCTGAATTGAATGAATGGGTTGCTTGAAGGATTCAAGATACGGGCGCCAGATGAAAAACTCCCGTAACTGAATGTTTTGCCAAGTTGTTGAGCTCAGACTCAATAACGGGGTTGATGTCATTTTTATTTAGCTCTCACGGGCCAAGCTTATCCTCAGTCTATAGCCCAGTATTAAAGAAATGGATTGTAGGATATCCAGCTCGTAATTAGACCTGCAGCCGTCCACAAAGAAGCACAAGGCATCCTCTCAGTTTCACGCTTCAGCTACTTCCTGTATCGTCTTGATAAACTGCTGCGGATCGTGTCCAAATCTTCCCAGAAACAACCCGTCTAGTCCGGACTTCAATTTCTCGTAGAGCCCTGGCCCTGCACTGCCTCCATACAGCACTCTCGTTGTCCCCGTCCTCGTCTTGACGGAATCTAAGCCTCGAATCCCAGAAACAACATCGAGGACGTGCTTCTCTCCAGCAGGTTGACTGGCTCCAATTGCCCAAACAGGCTCATAGGCCAGGACAACCTCTGCTTCATCGGCCACAGAGCTCATAATGGCGTCAACTTGCACGCGACACTCATCGACAGCAGCATACACGTCACCATGAGTCCTCTCTCCAATACACACCAGCGGTATCATGCCATTGCGACTTACCGCCGCAGTCTTCTTCGCAACCATGGCATCATCTTCACCAAAAATCCTCCTTCGCTCCGCATGTCCGACTTCCACGAGCTTGACGCCTGCACTGCTTAACACTGATGGACTGACTTCGCCGGTAAAAGCACCTTGGTCTTCCCAATGGCAATCCTGAGCGCCGGTCCATATGGGAACAGGGCTTGATTCCAATTGCGCAATTGTGTTGGTAAGGGATATGAAGTCGGGGATAATGAAGATGTCGATGTTAGACAAGAGCTCTTGCGGCACAGCTGCTAGCTTGGAAATGAAGCTATCCGTAAAGTCTCTTGTTCGCTGGAGAGAAAAATACATTTTGGTAGAGAGGCCGACGAGGCGGCGCCTGGGCGTGGGATTGGACATTGTAAACGGACTTGCTGATGCACGACTGTCAAAGTAGCGATGGCCAGATACAACAATATCTATCTAGAAACAACAACAGAAGCAACAACAGCTGCAGCAGAAACAAACAAATCCAGAGCTAAGCTTCTGAAGATCCAAGCTATTCCATCCCACGCCGCCTCACCGAGCGGGTCAAGCAAAACTTCCCCCGCGCAACCGGCTTCCGTCCCGTCCATTCCACTTCTGGGATGCCGGTAAGGCGGCGGCTATTTGGCATCATCTCCGGTTGCGGGTGTGCTTACACCAGCAAGAAATGTATACGAGGACACGACTCGAACTTTTTACTCCCACTTACAAGATTCCGATTCGCCCAAATAGGCTGGGTCCCATGAACATTTCGTCGGAAACACCAAAGCAGCCATGCCCACGAGACTTGCTCATTTCTCATTCTTATCCACCAGTGCCTCGTTATAGCTCGGTATTTGCCAACGCCACAAAATCAGTTAGTGCTCTCTGCCTTTGCTGAAACAAGTTTAATGTTTTCCAGGCTCGGATTGTCCCTGCATGTGCAGCGTTGCCGCATCCAGTATTCCAGTTTACTTTCTACCGAACCTCCAGTCTCTTACACACATCTGCCCCTTTATGGGCACCAATTGAACGAAACGGAATTACACAATTAATCATTTCTATTATTACACTTCCAGCTGTCCAATCTCCTCCACCTTCTTAGCACTCGCGCTTAACGGATCAAACTCGTAGTCCAGCCACTCCGTAGCTAGCCTCCTCGCGACTTCCAACCCAACGACCCGCTCTCCCATACATAATACTTGTGCGTTATTGCTCTTGACACTGCGCTCGACACTGAAGCTGTCGTGTGCTGTGACCGCCCGAATGCCTTTGACCTTGTTGGCCGAGATGGCGACGCCTAGGCCGGTGCCACAGATAAGCAGTGCACGATCAGCTTTGCCCTCGGCGACGAGGCGAGCGGCGGCGGCGGCCCGGAGAGGATAAGGTGTCTTGTCGGAAGTTTCGTCGGATCCTACGTCGATGACTTCGCCTACCCGGGCATCGACTTCAAAGTCCTTTTTGATTGTGTTTTTGTAGCTGACGCCAGCGTCCTGTGCGATAGCCATTGGTGTTAGTTTGGTGAGCTGGTTTTTTACATAATTAAAGTATAGTATATCTATGATATAGATGATGGTAATGTCTTCTTTCCGATAAAGCTTCATCTTATCTTGGTTCGAAGAACGATCGTGTAAAATAGATGCACTTACATCGCAGCCCATAGCGATCCTCCATTTTGGTGCCATTGTGAATCGGCGTTGAACTCTAGAAGACAAAAACAAAAGTAATCAGAGAGACCAAAACTCGAATTCTTTTTTCCCAAGAATCGCAAGTTTTAGCCATCTCAGTAGTGATCAAAGAAACGAGCTTCATCCATGTCTTTATGGCTTCAAGCCGCATCCGAGAGTCGGTCAACTGACATCGCCTCTGCTCACCCAACAACCCCACACCAACTAATCCTCATCCCATCCGAGTTTCCTATTCCATGAATTACATCTCGGATTCATCCAGACTGCTGTATTTGCGGGGTTGCTGCCTCTCAAGTTGAACAGCAGCATCGCTCTCCGTGGCTAATATGTTCGGTATTTCCCGATTAGGAAATCCGATTGGGGTCAGACGGGGAGGGCAAACGGGGAAGCTTGAACACGCAGGGCCAACTCGATAGCTCTGGATTTCAGGGTCTACAGCAGTGGAGAAAAACGTAAAAATGCGGAGAAGGTGTATTTTTATACTGTCGTTTTACAGTCGAGCTTGTTGGTGTGGAGGCGGAGCAGTTACGGGGTAACGTCAAATCATGGTTCTCGACCTCCTTGGCCACAAAGACGCTGGATGTGGGTGGTACAGGTGCTTGGGTGAGATCACGATGATATGGAAGTCTTTTTTCGTCCTTCCGTAGCCGAGGAGCTCCGATGTAGGAGTGAGGTGGGAGTGTGGTGGTCTTCGTAGCCTGCATTCTGCTTATATCCTCTGCTTTTGCCCATGTCCTTGTTGTGTTCCAATCGGACGGCACGCTCAATCCCCCCTAGAACTCTAGCACAACCTCCACACAATGTCAAATAGGCATCTCTTCAATTCAGCTGACGGTCTCGTCAACAAGGCCTTAAGAGGCATCATCACCTATAACCCGTCTCTGAGCTTGGATGAAACTAACAGAGTGGTGTACGACACAACCTATGACAAGTCCAAAGTGGTTATGATTAGTGGAGGCGGCTCCGGACACGAACCAGCATGGACCGGCTATGTAGGCAAGAATATGCTGACAGCTTCTGTCCAAGGAGACATCTTTGCTAGCCCCAGCACGAAGCAAATCGTTGCAGCAGTTGACGCTGTCCCGAGTGACAAGGGCACCATTCTAGTCATCACAAACTACACTGGTGACTGCTTACATTTTGGACTGGCCAACGAAAAGGCCAACGCCAAGGGCCACAACTGCCGGACCATCATTTGCGGTGACGATGTTTCCGTTGGCAAGAACGGAAGCATGGTTGGTCGCAGAGGATTGGCTGGTCAGATTGGTGTCCTCAAGGTCATGGGTGGTGCCGCTGGGGCTGGAGGCTCTCTTGATGAAGTTTACAACCTCGGAGTGGCATTCTCACAGCAGATTGTGTCTATTGCAGCAACTTTAGACCATTGCCACGTTCCGGGTCGCGCAGAGCACGGCATGCTGCAAGAGAACGAGGTTGAACTCGGCACAGGTCCTCACAATGAACCCGGCTATAAGAAGCTATCACCCGCGCCATCAGCGTCTGAACTTATCGGACAAATTCTAAGGCACTGTTTAGATGAAAAGGACCCTGAGCGCGGCTATGTGAAATTTGCCACTGGAGATGAAGTCATGCTACTTGTCAGCAACTTTGGCGGCATGTCACATTTGGAGATGGGCGCACTGGTGGACGAACTCCTGGAGCAGCTGTCAAGGGATTGGAAGATTGAGCCTATTCGGATATGTGCCGGATTTCTCGAAACATCTCTCAACGCTCCTGCATTTTCCGTATCCGTCATCAACGTCACGGCGGCAGCAAAGAACTGCAGCTACTCTGTCGAAGAAATCAAGTCCTTCTTTGACGTCAGGACAACCACGTTCTGGGAATCCATGGCTGGGTCCCAGGCTCATCGACGCACTCGACAGCAACAACTTGTTCGGCCGCCAAAGGAGGAGATCAAGACAGTTGATGAACGAAGGGATTTGGCTATCGATCCTGTTCTTCTGGAAAGCATGCTTCGAAATGCTTGTGAAGCTCTTATCAAGGCCGAGCCTGACCTGACCAAGTGGGATACTGTAATGGGCGACGGAGACTGTGGAGAGACGCTCAAGACTGGTGCCACATCCCTTCTCACGGCACTTGACTCTGGGCTTGCTAAGGCTGGATCAGTCGTCAAGGTTCTCCTTGAGCTCGAAGACATTGTGGAGAGCAAGATGGGCGGTACTTTAGGCGGCATCCTAGGCATCTTCTTCGTCTCCTTGCGCGCAGCTGTTGAGAAGAATATTGGCCTGGCCCAGAACCCAGTCGCTCTCTGGGGCGCTGCTCTTGGAACTGCCCTCGAAAACCTCCGGCGGTACACCCCAGCTAAGGTTGGCGATCGTACCGTCATGGATACTCTCATCCCCTTCGCTGCGGTCATGGGGGAGTCTGGCTTTAACAGCGGCGTCAAGGCGGCTGAGGATGGAGCAGACGCAACCAAGACGATGAAACCTAGATTGGGCAGAGCAACTTATGTTGGCGTGTCGAACGAGAGCAAGGAGCTGCCACCTGATCCGGGCGCTTGGGGAGCCATGGTGGCCATTCGCGGTTTGCAGGAAGGACTGGTTGTAGCAACTTAGATTGAAGCGAGAGATGTTGGTAACATGTGTATTTGGACGTCAAGACTGTTGTACAAAAAGCGATGAAACAAATTAATGAATACAGTTTATAATTATTAAATGTTACCGAGCAGCAGTGAAGACGCTGGAGAATTCTGTAGCCCAAATATTCCCAGTAATATATATTGATATACTTCTATTAACAGCATTTATCGTTATACGCAAGTGCTCTGTAAACTACATCCCACAATGATTTCTGGGCCGATTTGAAAACTTTCAGCTGCAACTGCAGCAGAAGTTTCGTGTCAACTACCACCATAGTCACCTTCTGTCACTCCCAAGAAAACTTACCCAGCTTTGACCGCCGGCGAGTTTCGCATATCTGCTGAGCAGACACTTCGTCTAACAAGACCTATGTTGATACTGATGGAGTTGATGAAGCAATACTCAATTGGTCACTTCAAGAATTGTTCTTCAGTTTCACCGGCTGCCGCTTACATGCAACTGGAAGTTCCAAACCTTGGCTCCGTGGCTATTGAATGAACCAACTCAAGCCACGTAGCACAACGAATAACACAAAGAACGCCACCAAGATTCACGGTCGAATCTTGACTCGATCCGCACCTCTCATCACCCGAAAAGGGTGATACAGTCAAGTACCCCCATCACTTTCACCATGGCCGAGGCCCATTGGCCTTGTCGGCATGTAACATGAAATCCTCTGTAGTCATCGGTAGACGAAAACTCCTATGGAGTTGCCGTTGCCCCTAAGCCAAAACGCCCTACATGCCCTCCCTGCCTCTACCTGACGTGGCGTAGCTCTGGGCGATGCTTATTAGGAGTCCCTTTCGGAACCTTGTTCACGTGTACTCTCCCATATCAGCAAGCATCCAATTCTATATCGGACTTTACTCAGGCGCGCTTGAGGCGGATCCGGGGGCCGAGGAACTCGGGAGAGCTCCCCAGCTGAAATAACGAGGCTCATTTTGAGCTTCACCGAATAAGATGTCACCGTACAAGCACGGAGAGTTTCTACCCTTCCTTTTCGCCGGCTTCTTAACGAATACGCGAAATCTAATCATCTCAGGCATCCTTGCCAGCTTACAAGGAGATACGGGGTTCTCCATAATTCATCTCTAGGATGCCCTTTTCCCCCTTCCCAGCAATAGATGGATGGCGTCGGAGAGATCCAACTAGCAAGTTTAGCGTCGCCGATGCTTATTGCGGAGGAAATAACTTCGCGAGCCGCTTTTCGCTTATTCCCCCCCATCCCTCACATTAATTGTGAGAACATTAGGTCAGTAAGGTGAAAAAAGCTTGACGCGAAAAGCCCCGTAGACTAGGACTGGCAATCACTGAACTAGGGCTATTAGTCGATGGAATTTGACGGTCACCACTCGCTCCCTTGGCGGCGGCCGAGGTAGTACAAGCATTCCTGTTGGTATTCGATCCGTCTGGTCCCTTTGTAGGCATGGGTACATGACATGCGAAATGGTTCGTCGATATTACACCATGTATGTATGTGATGGTTGCCTGCCTGCCGTCAAGAATCCTCCGGGGCCGCACGGAGGTCTCCGGATCGTATTCACCGCCAGATGTTCTTCATAGCATGCAAGATTACCCCATTCTGTCTCTCATCAAGCCGTGACAAAAGGGCGAGACACCACAGGTCCAAAGAGACCAAAAGGGCCTGCCTCTGGTCTAGTGGCTGGCTGGATTTCCAGAGATGGATGCTCACGGGCCCAATTGGGATGCCCTGAGTCAACTCGTATCGCCATTTACGGCGTGCCTCTCCCTCCAAGAGTCTCCTTATGGCCGCCGTCCGTCCTGTATTGCGGACCAGAGAAGTGCCAGTGGGCTCTCTGAGACAAGCGCTGGCCTTGTTTGACAGTTCCGTGTCTCGCTCGGACGCGGCAGAGGCCGCTGTAGGGCAAGACATGACTAGTATAGTGAGAGTTGTAGTAGTATTGCCCTTTACTCATTGGGGCTTCCCACACTCACTTACTCTCCTTCTCCCTTCAACTGAAGGGAGGGCATTAGTATCCACAGGCAGCGAGATGGACGTAGAGACTTCAATGACTGCCGGCCCTCAATGATTCAACACACCCCTAGCCCCCCTGTTCACTAACACGACACACCCCCTGCGATCATCTGCCTTCAATCCCACCCCTGCCAGCACGATGCGGAAGTCATCATACACAGCCGGATACCAATGGCCTGGTCCCAACATCAACCAGCGACCTGCGCTAGAGCAATTAGGGGTCCCTTGTCGTCATCCGCAGCGCGGCAAGGATCGCACAGGCTTGTCTACCGCCCACGAGCCCACGATCACGACGAAAAGATCGCGCGCGCTCCACGCCTCACCGGAAAGGCCCCCAGCCTACGCACGCCAGATGGAGGTACTCTGGACCAGGTAGCAGGTACTTGCTTGCGCAGGTAGTCGTGGCATTACGTGCTCTTGCGCAGGCTCGAGCCGCTCCCAGTCCGCACCAGACCCCTCCTCATATCCTGGTTACCCGTCCGTATTGCACGAGTATTGGTTCGCGCTTTTAATTCAAAGGCCGAAAATGCCAAGTCTTAACATGGGGGGAAGAATTGAAGCTTGAAAGAGGAGCTTTGGTCGTCGGCGTTATCCTTCTCTAAGCCCGCCAAAGGCGCCGCCCGGCTCGATCCTTCATGTATTGCTTCTTGCTTCTCCTACGACCGACGAGCGGCGGCCGACATTCTTGCCCCCTTCCTTGCCTACCGCCGATGGGGGCGATATGCGCTCTGCCTTGCCTTGGGCAACTTGCCTACGGCTTTGCGGTGACCTTGACCTGCCGTATAGAGTACAACCACGTACATGTACTTTGTGTCTACGGCGTAATAGAGGCTGTACTAATGACGCAGAGAATCCTACGATCTTTCCCCGTGGAGCTCCCATCTCTATACTTGTACAAGCACTCTTATCGTTGTACCCGGGATGGTGCCAAGCAGATGGGAGACCAAGAGGGTGACAAATTCTGACCCAATGCCTCCCCGCCCCCATCGACGGTGTCCAATCACTCTCCCCCGGAATGGAGCCCGAGGTGCTTGGTTGGTGCAAAAAGAGAAGAGATCCCATGATGTGTCTAAGGGTGTCACGAGGACGCTTGTACATCTGAAGCGGACAGTACTCGTGGGTGGAAGACATGACCTTTGTCGTAGGAGCCATGTGAGTTACGGCATATCTCTCAAACGACGATATCGGACGGCACATGAACTGCTATCTACTTGTACGGGGTATCGTCTCTGTCGATCTGTGTACTCTGCTCAGAGTGAGACTTGACGAGGACCGTGTTCATCATCAAACTAATTCCCATTTTCTTCATGAGCCCCCGTCTCTATTGTTTGTCCCTTACGTGAGACGCATATATCGGCTCCGTCCTACTCTAGATGTTGAGTGTTAGTGCTCGGCTGTCGCAGAATGGACTCCGCGAGCATCTTTGTATCTGCATGTGTGTGACAAACCCTACAGCAGATCCGTGCGTTGAACACGTCCCAGCTCCGTTCTCTCCCTGCAGAAGAGACGTGCACAGCCGCGGTCTCCCTGCTAGGTACTAGACCAACAGATGCCCGTCGGCTTGTACATACCGATACTACACAGCAGAGCCAACCATGTTTTCGTCCTAATCTGTATTGTCAAAGGTAGACTATTCTATAAACTGTGATAACAAAGCCGTCTCATCAGTGAACCGATATGGGTTGGGAAGATACGCACCCCCTTGCAAGATACCTGCAGCATAGAGTCACATTTCCTTGCTCATCATCTTTCAATCAAGTCTCGATCCCTATTTGAGCCGGGATGTAGTCAAAAGGCGGCACGGATGAGAATACCGGACCCATCACCGTCATAGTTGCGGCAGAAGTCCAGTCGACCAGTGACATTGCCTCGAGATGTAGGTATGTAATGGGGCCGATGATGGACCAAAAGATGTACCCAGCACACGCGGATTATGTAGCCAATATATCATATTTCCTGGTTGATATGATATATGACGAGCGTCTTTCGCGGCTGTTGATTCGATAGCCTTCATTGCAACTGCATAGCACCGTCCTCATCTCTTCGGGTATAGCCTGTGGGCTCCCACCTGTCCATGTATGGGTACTGCCCACAGTCTAACTGAATACTAGCAGCCACATTTCGTGCATCGGGATCCTTTTACTCAAGGATGGCCCGCTACGGGGGAACGGGGCTGCAGTTCCAGGTTCTTTGGGATGGCTCCCCCCCTATCATGAGTGCATGTATGCTCTGCCCAGTCAACGGCATCAATATTGAAGGACGCGATTTGCCACATGGTAGTCACTACCATTTTATGAGAGTTCCGAGAGAAGAATGAAGGCTCGAATACTGTTCATGGGCCAGTTCACCAGGCTCTCTCGACCGATGTTATTTCTCTCATAGCCGTAGAGCAGCCTAGATCCATCACGATGCTGGCTTATATCAGCCCTATTTCTTATCCGCGAAACGGAGAATTTGATGCCAAGTAAACCTACTGGGAAGATGCTAGCACCGGGATAAGGAATTGTGATCCGCTTTCTTGGCATGCTTAAGAGTGAACCTTGAACTGGCTCTAAGACGTGGTATCTCGGCCTCCACTTGACCGGAGTGCCGGGCGCAGAGGTCCGGACATGGACATAGACATGACGACGATGAGTAAATCCAAGCGCCAAGTGCATATCTTGGGCTACCCTGTACGATTGAGGTAGTTGGGCATCAATTGGAAGCTCAACGTCCAAATCGAGTTGTTGTTTGCGCTGCCCATCTCGAACATGATACCTCATGTTTATTAGTAGCTCTATTGGGATTGTCTCAACCTGGAATGGAACCATGATATCATTGATTAGAATAGATACATGTCTTGAATTGATGCCAAACTACAACCTTAACACGTATAAAGATTGGGGGCACTTTGGGGGTACCATACATCCGCTCACCACAGCTTGGTTCCTCTAATCCACTGTACAAAGCAGAGCCGCGTCAGCATTCCCGTTCACACAAGCACCATCGTGATGGACTCGTATCGTACTTGTAAGCCTCAACTCCATCGATGTCGGAATTTGCCCGATTGCATGGTAATAGTCAGCTGCTTCCCCACATACCGAAAGTGTGGGAACTCTTCCACATTACGAGTATGGTTGGTCCCTACGCGTATGTGTATGCCTCAAGCTGCCGGCGATGGAGATTGCACCTGTCCATTGCATCCAGACTGCATCATCCATGCCGGATATAAGCCCTCCCGAGCGTATGGTTGCGCACGGATTCTTCATCCCAAGGGCCGCAGAGGGCCGGGCTAGCTGCGTTAGCCAGCCGGGTCGTTGCCAATAGGAACGTTGCATGGAGCGAGAAGTCAAAGCGTCCCGTCTATGATATGCCCAACCGGGACGCAGCATCACAATCTCTCATCTCATGTCACTACTAGGCATACGTAACTAATGTGTCGCGGGAATAGTCGATATCCCCTTTTGCTGCTGCACCCCTCCTCCTCTTCATCTGTTGATATGTAAATCTCCCCCGCTCCTCTCTGTCATGGATACACTTTCAATGTAGGTTCTTTTGACGGACGGAGTAATAATATCTTCACGTGTAGTATACATGTACATAACATGAAGCTCAGCTATTTGCATAACAAAGCATTACGATACCTGTTGTGGATTATACCCATTGCTCTCTCATACTCGCTGTTGCTTCCCAACCAACACCACCCACAGCAGTTACTGTAAGATGCGGCTGATGCAAACTAACGGGAGGGGTGGGCCTGCTGCCCAACCAATAAATCGGTGACTACAGGATTGGCGTCACATAGCCCTCCAGCCACAACGCACGCACGCTCAAATCTTGATGAGATGTTACAGATGCGTACGTACATACATACTCGTGAGGCTATCTTGTCTCTGGACCGACAGAATCTCGGCGAAGCGTGAGGGGGCAGCATGCAATGTAAGGCAACACCTTCAGCTTGTTTTGGCTCCGGCCGCGATGCTGCAGGATCGAGACAATACCACGGATGCAGGAGATGATGTATAATTGCGAGTGGTCAGGCAGGCGTCCCGGCCGCAGGAACTGCACCCGCATGGGGACAGGACCCTAGGGGGAAGAGAGATGAGGAAACGTACTTTGTCGTAAACAGCGTTCCGGGGACCCAAGATAGGCGACGAGGACAAGCTTGGCCTTCAGGGCTGGGCGGCCGGGATGTTGACTAGCCCTTTGATCTAAGCGCCTCTTTTTTCGCGCCGGCACGTGGTAGGTCAAATCACGGACAGGCCTCTGCGAACAGGCGAAAGATGCAAGAGTGACAAAGGGGATGTGCTTCGTATATCTGCATCTTGGTCGCCGAACGGGTCCGGTTAAAAGAGCGAGTCAACCTCGACGGTTCCCCACCCCCAGCTGTTAATTAAGACGACTGGAGCTTCATGCCGTACAACGGTGGCGGTTATGTTGACTCTCTCTGTCCTCCCCCCCAGCTCCCTTTTTTTAGATGATGGTTGCATACATGTAAGCTGTGCCTCGTCAAGACCATTTTCCCGGCTGTTCGGTTGGGGCTGCGACAGTTTGAATCAGCTAGCAGGTCCTTCTCGTCTGTGGTTTCAAAACACGGAGGATTTTGATGCTACGAGTGCCCGTACACCCGTAGAAGCATTCCCAATGGGGAAACTCATGTCGACTGGGGCTTTGACGCGAACCAAGCAAGGCCACATCAGCTACTAAGAGCGAGCTCGAGGAGAGAAAGCAGAAGCAGAAGAATTCGTTACACCATGTACCTTGTAATCCGCAGAAAAAAAAAGCGACCAGCGCTATACTACCAGAATTTGTCATCGGCATGCAAAGTGGGGTAATACATGTCCTTGTCCATATACTGGGACTTGTACGTGAGAATTCTTTGGGCATCTCGTCCCCTCGGTCGTGTGCCGCGAAACAGTGCCTCGGCATCGCGCTTTTCGGGACCCTTCTCATCTTCAGCTAGAGCCGGGGGGGATCGAGTCAGTGTATGACCAACAAGTGAATGTTGACGCTCTCCCAAGCCTTCAGCTCCATTCAACTTCAGCTTGGGCGGGATATCCACCCCCTGAAAGCAATCTGCTAGCCCACCACCCACCCACCCACTACAAGCACCAAAACCCCATCGATGCAAGGGTTCTCGAAAATGGAATTGGGTCGACAGGGATCTACGATTCCTACCGCAAATCTCGATTCGTCCTAGGCCTGGACAGTAGCATTTGCTAGTGCGAGGAAGCTCCCTCCTTGCCCCTACCAAAGGCCGCCAGCCTTCAGGTTAGATTAGGTTGGAAACATCAAAACACGACTGGCCCAGGGAGAATTGATGCCGATGAATTATGCCCACAACCGGGCTAGTTTAAACGTACATTCCCAGGCATCATGACGACACTTCCAGCATGGGTCGGCACAGGGGGACAGACAGACCGGCCGGTTGGAGGGCGACCTTGCTCATCCTTCTTCTCTTTCGGGTGTGACGGTTCACTCGCACTGGCTCAGAACTCGCCCGCCCTTTCGCGATTCGGTACCACCCATCGTTCTTTTTTAAATTTTTTTCCAGCTCCTAGCGATCTTCCCAATGCCCCCAATGACACAGGCACTGTCCGACCCGGCGCACCGGTACAACACCAGCCAATCCACCCCATTGGGAGGACATGCAAGGTGCAGGACGGCCAGCGTGCCAATCAGACAGTGGGCGCCAGGGAGCGCGCGAGATCTGCGTACAAAGATGTGCGTACGACTTCAATGTGCATGATCTGTAGAGGGCAAAGAGCCTCATCCATGTTGGTATTTCCTCATCCATGCCCTCGCCTCGAGGATTTCGGGTTGCTGCCGTGATATGAATAGAAGCGGTTTTGGTGCTCTCGCGTGGAGAAGCGTTGGAGGGGTGGTTATACAAGGAATCTGGATTTTATTCTGTCAACGCTCCGTGTGTCGAGAGGGTTCCTATCAATAGCCTTGCTTGGTTGAAAGAAGAAAGACGAAGAAATGTGAAGAAGAAGCTGAGACAGTATCATATATTTAGATATGAACCGGATGAAAAGTGCACTCTACACAGTCAGTCGCAGTATTCAAAGAAGGTGATTTCCCACTACAAGTGAGTGTAAGGTGTGAGCACCACCTCCACATGCATTACCATGGGCACTACAACAGCGAGCGCTGATGCTCTCTAACGAATAAAAGTAAAGCGTATATGTACTCATGGATAATACAGAGCGTTAAAACTGTCTTGCAAATGGGGGGTTCCTATGTATCTATCTCACTAGTGTGGCAATATATAGCACGCAGTTGCTTCGTGGGGCCATCGGCAATATACCACATTGAAGTCTAAAAGCACAAATGTGGCATAACGCTGCTGACGATAACAAATCAGTCATCATATCTATAATCCGAGTGTGATGCGTCGTAGACGATGTCTGCAGAGCTACTGGTCAATAGAGCAAATGCTAAAGCGCCCTCCCAGCTGAGCAACCCCGGCCTCGTTAGCACCACCGGCCATCCAACCAACGACAAACACGCATTACTTTTGTAGGAATGGGTTCCTATAGCATTCTATCTGCATCCTACTGCATGCACTTGGCCAGCCATGACGGTTCAAGTAAGGTTTCGATCCTTTCGCCCATCCGATAGCCCCTAGTGTATCCAGTCTCCTCCTCTTCGTTGAGAGCCTGGGCGCCCCATAATCTTGGCCCTATCATCAACGGATGCTCCAGGGTTGGTAAGAAACACGGCCCGCATGGCCACGCAGCAGTGTGTTACAATCCCGAGCATGGCGTTCCTGTTTCCTCATGGCGAGTGAGCAGTTTCCAGCTGAGGCCGCCCACCCGGACCCAGAGCCCGTGGCAAGGAGAGAACTGTCCTGCTCGCACTGCCTCGTGGAGGGTTAGACAAATAAACGTTGTGGAATGGCAACAGGCCGGCATGATTGGCAACAGGAGGTGACTTTTGTCGCGGGAGGTTTTTCGGGAGGAGTGGAGAAGCCGTGTGGATGGCCCTCGGGAGCATCCAGGTGCCACATACATGTACTAACTGCTGGCAGTGTGAGATGGAAGCCCGGTGCGGTTTCATTGACGCTTACTGCCTTGGCCGGAGCATACGAAGTACTATAAAGGCAGAAGAGCAGCGGTATAGTGGCATCAAGCACGAAGCTGGGGGGAGGGGGTTGGCGTGCCCATGGGGATACACAAGGCGCGACAAGAGACAGAGAATGTCAGACGGCGACGGTTTTACCAGATTGAGGCATGGTTGAGAGCCAGACAATGAGGGAAAGACACGGATTGACGCCAGAGACCGACGACTTACCCCCCTTTTCGGGTATCTGCTTCATCGCCGCGGCCGTCTGCGTGGGAGGGGGGTGTTTGTGCTCGGGATCGTGGAGATGTCTGTCTTTCATGGTTCCATGGTGGAGGTGGATGCAAAAGCCGCCACTGCTTGTGATTCAACACTTGCATGTGCTCGCGTACACGTACAGGGTAGGTGAAGATCCTTGAGAAGCTGGGATAGAGGGATGGAGGGATGAAGCGTCCAAGGAGCACATGTTACTGCTCGGTGTCTTCCCTATGAGGAGAGACTCGCGTGTATGCATCCATGTACTCTGCAAGACATCATCCCCGGTCTTGATCCTGGTGAGAACACTTTCCCCAGATCTTGCGTGTTATCTTGAATAAGTAAATAGTTGCATTTACTTTGATATAGATCTTTCTCCTAATGAGTGTAGTGCTTGCATCTCCGAACTTGGGATGAGCTGAGCACCCTCTATGCTACCGAGCCCACTAGCCTACCAGCAGAGCTGCCACCACTCTCAGAGTACAGTAGCTTGTTATGTTGAGGCCCGTAGCGTGAAGCTCCATCTTCATGATGCATGTCTCTACCTTCAATAAAGTTCAGAGCAATAATCCGGCGCTCCAAGTATCGTGGTAGTGTACAAATGCAGCACCTGTCGTCCATTCCCCAGCGCTGCAGTGCTAACCTAGAGCTCACTGGAATTCATTTGTGCCGGGCAAGTGCCTGCCCACCGCCCACGCTGCTCGCCTACCATCTTCCGAAACGGCAAAGCTCTGCGATTCTCTTGTCCTCTCCTTCACCTGCAATCACCGTCTGTCTGTCTGACGCCCTTCTCTCCTCTTCTCTCCATCTTGGACTGAGCACGGCGTCGCTACAAGCGCGCAAGCTTCGCGCCGTCATTGGGCTAACGAGGCCCCTGCAAATTCAGGTGCCCGAGTCCCCGTCCCCTGTGTCGATCGCCGTGCTGCACATACGCCCCCTCCAGCTCTCACTCTCACTCTGGACGCCCATCGTCACCACACTCCCCTCTCGCGGGTCAGGACGAGAGACGGCGCGAGCTCCAACTGCCGCCCTGACATGGCGATTCTCCACGCTCAGGGCTCACGCTACGAACGCTCGATTATGATGCTAGCAGTTCCGCATTCACCGAGAGAGAGCGCGAACCCAGATTAGTAGGAGCCAGCTCCCTTTTAGCCCTCTTTTCTCGTGCTGGGATCTGCGAATTGGTCCCTGGCATGGCTGACCCGTGACTGCAAAATTCCACTTGGACTTGTCAGCCCGTTTTCAAGAGCCGAAGTGGCGCATTCGTGCTCAGCGATGCGTGTGCCGTGCCTGGTCGATTCTCCTTCACCTTGACGACGAGTGCTCGTATACGATGTTCTGGATGCCTGCCTCGCTCTCGTGGGACTAGTCACCGACTGCTCGCAGGACCGAACCTTATCATATCCCTGCCATGGATTCACATCCTCGGATGCGAATCCGCGTGCCACCCTTCCACCGTGGTAGCGGCACCAGTAGTCAAATTCGACTATGCTCTTCACACCTCTCACAACATCAGATTAGGGTCCGCTTGTAGTCTTCTCACCAGAGCGGGAGCTCAAGTGAAGACTTCCATGGCCAGTGTTGTCTCCTCGTTGTGCACATGGCAGGTACATGTTGGGTCTATTTACCGCTAAGTTGCACCCATCACATCGCTCGCTATGTTTGGTGGCCGTTGAGGTCAGATATGATGTACACCCAATTGCTCCACACATGCATCGTCGATATGCTTCAGAGGTACCTGAATTCATCTATGGGAGAGCGGTAGACTCTCATTACACGCCCATTTGCTGGATTGGCGATGAATGAGGTTTCGCAAAGTCAAGAGGGCTACGGGTATAAAATGTTCGCTGCCAGGCAATCTCAACATTGTGTCTAGAACCATTCCTATCATTCTACGAACGATTATCTCCCAATACAACTCTGTCTAGCGTCGAATATCCAGGTGACTACTCCAGTAAGCGCGACGGCAGGGAAAGAGTTTAAAAAGAAAGGGAATAGGTGAGACATGAGCGTCAATCAACATGAGTAGATGCCTCACCTTATACTAATATTCTTACTATTACCTAGATAGACAACAAGAAAGCGCGAAATAGGCTGCCAATCGCTGGACGAGCGAGACTTTTGCAGTGGTATATCCGCCATAGAACTCTAAGCCGCCAAAGTATGTCTGCTTCTTTCTCTTCTCTCTCGCCCAGGATGTCTATTACATGCCCATTACAATCTGTATTGTTTCAAAGCTCGTTATTCCTCGACGCGTTTCCTTTCCATTATTCCTACTGTACCATCCCATTGATGTGCCGAAGACATCGGAGAGGCAAGCTAGTCAGAAAAGATTGGCCAATCTACCATTGGGCGAATGAACGTTCAAGCCGATGTCTATGTTGGTGCTGTCAAGGGGTCTACCTTTACCTTTTGGTCCGTGCAGTTGAAACAAGCTGCAGAAACACAGGTGAAAACAGGCAGCAGGTTTTGGATAGCATGTCATTTTGACGGCGGGGCGTGGACGCATGCTTCTAATTGAACGTTCATCGTCCCCCTGCTGCTGCGGTTGAAGTGATGCAGATATCACAATGACAGATCTCGCCCGCACTCCAGGGTGATAAGCCGTTGACCGATGGATGTGATTAGGGAAAAAGCGACAATCATTAGCCGACGACGGCGATACCAAACAGGAGAGGGGTGAAATTCTGTTGCCGCCGATCTTGGCATAGAAAAATCCTCTTTGACCCTTGGCTGGGTTTGATCTCCCCTAGACAGTTTCCGATCGCAGGAATTGCACACCACATCGAATCACACTACCCCTCGTCAGAACGCTGCAACTCCCTCCGGGCACGCTGCCGGCCGCTCCGCTTAGCTCAGGCCGATTGCTAGATTGCCTGTCAGGTAGATTTCCAAGGGATAAACGGTGGCTCTGCCAAGGGAGTCTGGAGCACAGACTACGGGTAAGTCGCCAGGCTGAGCGTTTTCTTTTTCTCCCTTAACGGCGAGGCTCAGAGCCACTTCCCCAATCCCTTTTTTGCCTCGATGCGCATAAGTATCAAGTTCTCGATGAGAATAATCCACTTCAGCTTCCGGAGGATCCAGTACCAAAGGAGTACTGGTGCTCATACAGGTACTTCGTACTACTCGTACAGGTACTGCCCTGCCGCGACCTGAGCAAGCAGATGAGTGCCCAGGGTCATCCCTGTCCAGCTGAGGCGCTTGAACATCTTCGGATCCCTGCTCTCGTAGCCCGCTGAGCCGGTCTTCAGGTGGCAGATGGGCGCTAAGCTTGGCCTGGCGAGAGCACTCCCCAGCTCTGATCTCAGTGCATCTCCTGGCCGCTGATCCCTTTCCCAGCCAGCGCTGCAATGCTACAATGCTGCAATGCGGTGCTGCCGAGGCCCACCGCTACCGGTGACCCGCCGCCAAAGCCCGACCAAGTGGCTCTGGCTCTGGCTGTGCTCTTGTTGGAGTACCACGACCCAACACCAATCATTGGCCTTTGCTGACCACAACAGGGCTGGGAGAGAGCTAGGATAGACGGATACAGCCACACCCGGCAAGTCGAGACGACACGAGAGCGAGAGAGCCCGCAGTGTATACCTGGACCGGTAGTAGCTTAATTGCAGTAGCGGCCGTCACGACTTACACGCAACTTCAGCATTCTACGGCCGATACAGGGCCACATTCAGAGCCCAGAGAGCTCTTGGCGCCCGCAAGCCCGAGGTGAGCTGGTGACTTTTGACTTTACTACAATCTTATTGCGTTCTGCGTATTGGTGTTTTGGAGCAAGGGATAGCAATGCCACGGCCATTGCCGGGATTGTCCGAGTCTTTGCTTGTCACTGCCCCGACCTCCTATATCACGACCTTGGCATACGAGCGGACATTACAAGCCCTGTCAGAGAGGCTCGAGGAAGTGAGATTGCGGGTTGCAAAAAGGTGAATGCATGATGACAGCCTCTAATGCAACCGCGCCTACGGAAAGGGACCCAGCGATCAGTTCCCATATGGAGCACCCGCCCATAGCTGGCCATCCTCTCCCATCCGACCCTTTATGGTGTCTGTCGGTATAGGGCTACCGTGCTTGTATGAGTCCCGTCCTCTCCTAGACCATCGCCGAGCTCCGCTTCGCGCATCTGGCACCTTGTGCACTACACCCCCTCCCATTGCCCGCTCTGGCCCATTGCTCTTTCATCCTTGCCGGTTCCACCCTTTTGGATGTGCAAATCTGGCATACCAAAGGACAGAGGACGAAGAGAACAGGCTACTGTCGCTTTTGGTCATGGTCTTTCTCTATCCCTGCTATCCCCAGATGCGCGTGCTTCTTCTTTTCTTTTTTCAGACCCACAACCACCCATGGTCGGCCGCTGTTCAAGGTGCCCTGCCCAGATGCGATGCTGTTAGATCCGATCCGAGCATTTTCTGTGTATCTTCAGACAAGCCTGATCTATCTGTTGGCGTCAGAGCCATCTCCGCTCAATGCGACCTGCCTTTGCCGCTGCGGTTCGCAGGCCCCTATGAACCTGGGCTTGGCGATAACCGGCGTCCACAAGGGAATAAGAGGAAGAAATTATAGCCCCGTCAGTCGCTATGCTCTCCCTGAGGTGGCACCTCTCTCTGACGTGCCCGCCGCCCAAGGGAGACTGCCCTTGTGGAAGCAATCAGACCCTCCAAGGTCTCATTGATTGGCCCATCTGCCTCGCAAAACCCCCAACTCCCCTTCCCTTGCCCCCCGTTCACGCTCACATCGCCCTAACCATCCTGCCTTTTGGTACCCGGCTCTGTTTGGCGCCGATCAACTGCCGTCGAGAAGACGGCTCGCAGGTACCATCCGGCCTTCAAAAAGAAACGCCTCTCGCATCTTACATCTACCTCGTTTCCCACTTTGACAGCAGTATCTAAGTGGAAGCCTGAGACCTTGACTCTCCCCAATCTTACCTGCATATGTGGCTCGCCCTTCTTCTATCTGCTTGGTTTTGCTGTCTCTGCTGTGTTTATGCCCACACCTCCCTCTCGTTCCCTTTCGGACTGGTACTATCATCGCATCGACTAGACTACTGCTCTGAGTTCTGCTATAGAACACTACTGATATTCATCTTCTTGACGACAAACAGCCCGTGCGCATCAGCGAATCTCGCCACAATAACTCCACTGCTGTTAGATACACGCAGCGGTACTCAGGTTCCATCAACTCACACGTTACTGCCTGTATGTTTTGATCGTTCCGATGGCCAATTTCGGCGTCATTCTCCCTTGCATTGGCGCATCGCTATGCATGTCCCAGCTTATGTTGATCGCCAATACCTGATATTGACTTAGCACTGGGATACGAAGAATGCTAACTTGCTGGATTCGGTCTGTAGTGAAACCTCATGACGAGATATTCTTCGTCGCACACTACTAGTTCAACATCTTCCACGCCAGTAATCACGTTTTGCAAGGCTCTGGGGTTGACATCAGCTCTTCGTGCTCAGCAGAGCTCTTTTCTTGTCGATTTTGGAAACTTGATGCTCTTTCCTCCGCTCTTGGCTTCTCCCCAATCGCCGATAACCAGCCGCTCACTCGTCGGACTCTGTTTGTATTGACAGGCATACGGCGGAAGAGGGAAAGCAACGTCCCCCTCGCAGCATACCCGATTGCTATCTCCTTGGAATGCAAGTGTTTCTGTGTAGGATCGGAACACTTCTCCGCCATTGCTAGCACCTCCTGCCTCCCCAGTAAGATTCCTTCGGACCTAGTGAGTGTCTCACTTACACCCTACCCCCTTGGCAGGGAAAAAAACAACAAGTCACTCACAAGGCAGCATCAGTTCACGGGTCACTGCGAGTCCCAAAGCATAGGCCTTCTTCAACTTAGCCTCTGGGGTTGTCGCATAGCAAATCTCCGAGTCCACGCTACGCGAAGGAAGGGAGCCCCCATCCTGGCTCCATGATCCTCGCGGGATAAAATCTCGTCAAAGACCTAGTTTAAAACATTACTGTCATCCAGGGCCTCTTAGCTAAGACAAAGAGGGCCTGCATACTTTACTTTTCCTTTGATCAGTCCCCCCTCTTCCGCTTTTGTTCCATCTTCCAACATCTTCATGTCTACTGCCAAGTTCCAGTCTCCATCCTACAGACTCTTTGAGGTGAGTCGCATCCTAGACTTTGTTCCAATATCCGTCTTGTTGGAGATACACTACGAGCAAAAGATTCAGAGTCTTTTGATTCAATTGTCTTTTACGCTACTCTCGTTTTGTACATGGCAAGAGGCCGGCAAAGTCGAGTTGAAACCTTGGTTCATTGACGAGGAAGCTGACAAGATATACTTTGAAGCCGGGCTTTCTACCAAACAAACCCATCATTGTCGACGTCGACGACGAGTTTGGATCGCCAGAAACCCTGACTCTTAGATACGAGGAAGCTGTTCAGGCAGCACAAAGGGGGGATCCAAACCGGGACTCCCCACCGAGCGATTTCAACATGGCCTACAGCAAAGCTCAGCTACCTTCCATGAATGGTGAGTCTTCAGCGTTGGCGAGGTAGAAAGGAGAAAGTATGCTAAGATGGCTATAGGCTACGATGCCACCCGATACCAAGATGCGGCTGCTTTCGAACCGTATCCCACTCAGCCATTCTCAACCTCACAAACGGACAAATATGCACAGATGAATCAGCAATCGTTTGCAAACAACAACACCGTAGCTCATTACATGGCTGCAGGACCCACTGTGGTCTCTTTCCATCCTACGTCTGGAGTTGGCGGAACTGCTGTCAGCATAAAGATCTCGTCGCAAGATGACCTCTTTAGCCTACCCTCTACACAGCCACTGATCACGTTTGGAGACACAAAATACGCTGTGAATCTTATACGCGATACCCAGGATAACACTGGCTACGTATACTCTTGCAGTGTTGATGCGCCGCCGTCAGGTGGTAATAGTAGCGTGTCTCTGTCACTTGGTTTCGACTCCCCTGCGGGAGGAGGCGAGATCTCGCGCATAGGGACCTTTCATTACATGGAAGGGTCTGGGGATGACATCACGCGGGCAGACAAGTTGCCCAAAGATGACACAACGACACCTGCTGCCGAGGTGGATCAGGCGAGTCCCTCACCGAAGACTGAGGTACAGTCTGCAGCGGCTACAAATACGTATGAATACCCGCCGGCGCAAGGCCAATACGGCAACACATTTGCCCAAGGAAATGCCGATATGATCACCACATACCGAACGTCTAGTTTTACCGACCCTCCGCACTACCATCACCATCACCGGCGTGCTCACCATGGATTGAGTGGGAGTTCGTATGGGAGCACGCTGGCGGCGGTGGGTAGGAGTTCGTCCACCTATGATCCCATTGCGATATCCGGGAGATCTGCCGGACACCACCTTCCCATCCCGTCTTCTGGGAGTAGCGGAACGCCTCAGCTAGTGCGCACTAGCACCATCACCAACGGCGGTGGAAATGGCCCCTACCATTCCATGTCTCTATACACTCCCAAGGCGGTTTTGAACATTCGCGGCAAGCTCAGCGAGATGGCGAGAGACTGGAACCAAGACGAATGGGAGAACCGTCGTCGGATCGTCATGTTCAAAAAGACTCAAAACGGAGCAGTCTTGAACGTGAGCTTCAAGCCTGTCGCTGTCAACGAGAGACCCACCAATAGCATCTGCATCTCGTGCATCTGGTGGGCAGAAAAGTCCGAATGCTACGTGACCTCCGTCGACACCATTCATCTGCTTGAGCAGCTTGTGGCTGCACCAAACCGGTTCAGTGTTGAGGAAAAGAATCGCATCCGCCGCAACCTGGAGGGATTCCACCCGTCTACCGTCTCCAAGGCCAAGGCAGACAGCGAAGAGTTCTTCAAGATCATAATGGCTTTCCCTCACCCAAAGCCCCGAAACATCGAGAAGGATGTCAAGGTGTTTCCTTGGACGGCCCTCGAGCCAGCACTCAAGAAGATTATTGGCAAATATAGTGCCAGCCCCAGCAGCATTCTCCCGCCTGCTACCACGAGCGCCTCGTCATACGCCACATTGCCCACGCCGCCCAGTCACCACGGCCTTGGGTCACAACACGGCCTCTCTTCAGCGCATGCAGATCCTCACAGCCAGTACCCACTGCACTCTGCCTACGGCTCGGCTGCCCACGAAGCGATTCCGTCACCTCGCTCACAGTTATCCTCTTGGGCGCCTTCTTCGGTATACTCCACAAGCACGGCTCGAGGTCTCAGCCCTACGCTTCGCAACCACCACAGCCCTCAGCAGCCGCCTTCCATGCGTATCAATACCAGCACAGCACAGCTGCCCGCCGTATCGGCTTGGGACAACAGAGGAGTGGCAGCCAGTCCTTATGGCAGCACTGGTTTACACACGCCGATCAGCCACCACCCTGCGGCCGCTGCCTATACCGACAGTGGTTATGCAAACCTCACTTCCCAGCAACCGCCTGGCGCATCATCAGTGTATGGCACTTCTGCATATGGTGACAACCCGCAGAGAGGGTAAGAGGATGAGGGCAACCCGTCTCTCTTCGTCATGGCTGTAGCAGCTCTTCGTCCCGAGCATGACGACTTTAGCACAAGCCTTATTTCTCGTGATCAGAAGTCATCATCGTCGCAAGTCGCTTTTTTTTTTCTTGGAGTCATCGAATCCCATGAACATGTTTTGACGTCGTGGGTCTAAGTCATGTGGCTGCATCAACTCCAATCAGCAGCCCGGTCCGCTACACCATCACCCGCCCAATCGGGAATCGGCTACCCGAGAGCGCAAATATGGAGTCGTGGCGCTTTGGATGCGCTCGAACTGCCATTACCGGGAACAAAGCTTAAGGTTCCCTTTTAGCAAGTGCCGATTTATTTTTGCTATTTGCAGTCGGCTTTATTTGCGTGTGCAGGTTTGCGCTTTTTGATGCGCCTCTGCGACATGCAATTCTCTAGCTCATTGGTCATGGCCAGGCTCTATCTATCTTTGGACTGCTTGGTTATCTCACGGCAATGAGATTACGGCTTAAGGCTTCTGATGGAGTCCCTTTGTTACCACAGTCAACGCCAGGGAGCATAGAAAACGCTACTTGCACTTTTCTATCGCGTCCCTGTCGCCTTTTGTTATTTCTTTTGTTTAACTAGGCATTATATACCCTTTTGTGAGCAGAGGTGTCTGGATTTATTGGGCGACGCAATGGTAGGAATCCGTCGGCATTGGTAGTATATGGTAATGGACGCTTATGGTTGGAAAGCCGGATGGGATCTCGGCTCGGAACGAACGTCACGGCCTCAAAGGAAGGGCTGGGGAGATGGGTTTTGGAAACGGGATGGAAATGGACGGCTACACCACCTGCTTTTGCTTTGTTGGTTTTTGTTTTTGCTTTCATTTGTCTTGGAGTATGTATGGCATGAATGTGTGTGTATATATATACCCTACCTAAGGTATGTATATCGGGTATAGGGATGATGGTTTAATGGAGCTATTGTGGCTCATATGGTCTCATAGCGCGCTGATAATGACAATTACCTGACTTAATCTTTCTCTTCCTGATGGTGATTCAATTAAATATTCATGGATTTTTATACCCATCAGAGACGCGTACCTGTAAGAACTTGTCCACCTTGGAGGCGCAGTTTGCCCCTCTTGGTATGGCGTAAGCCCCCAAAATCCCACCTCCAGCTCCTTCGGCCATGTTGACACATATGATGAGTCAATTCGCCGTACTTTATAGTTGAGCAACCCCGTTTAAAGGATCGATTAGATGTTTACGATGGGCGGCAGGTTTCCCAAATGGGGGTTGCTCCGTTTCGTTGGCTAAGTGGTACGATGCCGAGCGATGATCTGCTTCAAAAGCGACTCCTCACTTGGAGACTTCTGAGTTGTATATTGCCCATAGGCCAGACTTGTTCTCATATAATAACCACAACTCAGTCTTTTTCTTGTATATTAATCATTTAATCAGTCGTATACATACAAGGTCTCAACATAGTCCGTAAATAAGGCATCCACAGCAATCAACCATGGATCTTTTCAACTCTCCCGCCTTTTCCGCCCGCGCAGAGGCCCTCATCAAGAAATTCCACGTCCCCGGCCTCGCCATCGCCCTCGTCCACAAAGATGTCACCGCCTCCAAAGCATTTGGCATGGCTTCCATCGAGCCAGCAAGGCCAATGACCACCGATACCTTGTTCGACATTGCTTCAGCATCCAAGTCCCTCACCGCGGCATCGATTGCACTACTAGTTGCCGACGAGAAGTTTCCCGACGTCAAGTATGATGCTGAAATGGCTAAATTACTGCCGGGCGAGTTTGTCATGCCTGGAACGGGGTATGAAGGCGTTACTGTCGATGATATATTGAGTCATAGGAGCGGATTGGCGCCGTGAGGATGATTGCCCGCCTTTTTGCTGATGCGGTACTAACACGGTTCTTATAGCAATGATAACTCGTATCTCGGTCCTAGGGCGAAGAATACGGATAGTGCGCAGTCTATCACGCGAAATCTACGGAATCTAGCTACTGCGGCTCCCATCAGAGCCAAGTTCATGTACTGCAACATGATGTATACCGTGGCAACTTATCTGGTAGAGCAAAAGACTGGCATCAGCTTCGCCGACTTTCTTGATCAGCGTTTCTTTCGGCCTCTGGGCATGACTTTGAGCAACTTGCAGCCGGAGCGAGCGCGTGCCAAGGGGCTGGGAGACCGTATCAGTCCTGGATATTGGTGGGATAGAAAGGCCAAGCAGTATTCGACGTTCGTCATCCCCGATGCACCAGAGGCTCAAGGCGCAGGTTCAATCATCACCAGCGTTGACGACTACGTCAAGTATGTCCGGGCCATAATGAACAAAGAGGGCCCGTTTACAGAGGACGTGTACAAGGGAATCATCAGACCACGGTCCATCATAAGCCAAAACTACGACAAGCTTCTCCCCTTTACATCTCCATTACTCTATGCCGCTGGCTGGGAAGTACATCATTACCGCGGCTATTTAGTCGTCGCTCACCACGGAGGCATCGCCGGCTCCTCCACAATCCACTTCTTCGTCCCCGATCTCAATTTTGGCGGCGCAATGTTTGGAAACTCTGACGACGCGAGCTTCGTCGCCGAAGTCCTAATGCAAGAACTCATCGACGAACTACTAGGCTTACCCCAAGACCAAAGGCTCACCTGGGACAAAGTCCTGTACGAAAAGAACACGGGCAAAAAGTACGACGAATACGACACCAACGCCAACGAAGACGCCGAAACCGAAGCCGAAGAAGTGGAAGCAGAGCGACAAAAGCTATGCCCTGGCATCAAAGAGTCGGAGCCGCAAAAGATGCCGCTGAGCGCGTACACGGGCGAGTACTGGAACCCTGGGTGGCGAGGCGTCGTGGTCCAGGTCAAGGATGGGCAGCTGTTTATCGACTGCTCGGATCGGTCGTACGTCTTTACGGTGAAGCTGCAGCACGTGTGCGAGCAGACCAAATATGTTGCCGTCATGAGGGAAGTGGTGGGAGGCGTTGGGACGGCGATGAGGGTCGAATTTCGGTTTGAGAATGATGTTGCTGTCAAGGTTGGGATTATGTTTGAGGAGGAGCTGGATGATTATATCTGGTTCGATAGGGTTGTTGTAGCTTAGTATTTCTTAATGCCAATCGCGCTATTGGTATTGATAACTATCCCTAGTTACATCTACCTTGAATATTCGCTTCAAAGAAAAAGGAGCAACTACAGCTACTTCATTATGATATAGGGGCTATATGAAGAAACTAGCGCTTCGGACTCTAGTGAGAGCGCCGCCGCAACATTGCTTTCCATCCAGGGCAGTTTCTGCCGCCATGCCCGACATCACCACATCTGTAGCACCTGATGGGGTTGACATGGTCGGTATCATCTCGCTGCTGCTGCTGTCCTTGTTGATATTCGAGGTCGACTTGAGGTTGGGATGGTTGCTGGCTCTGCCGACTCTGCCGACTCTGCTGGCTCTTCCGACTCTGCTGGCTCTGCTGGCTCTGCTGACTGTTCTGGCTCTGCTGGCTCTGCTGGCCCCATGTCTGCTGTCCTTGTTGAGATTCGAGGTCGACCTGAGATTGGAGTGGTTGCTGGCTCAGATGGCTCTGCTGGCCCCATGCCTGCTGTAGCTGTCTTTGTTGAGATTCGAAGTCGAATTGAGATTGGGGTGGTTGCTAGCCCTACTGGCCCCATGCCTGCTGCTGCTGTCCTTGTTGAGATTCGAGGTCGACTTGATATTGGAGTGGTTGCTAGCTCTGTTGACTCCATGTCTGCTATACCTGGGTCTGCTGGAGCTGGAGCTGGACATGTTGGACCTGTTGGACCTGAGTCTGCTGGAGCTGATATTGGACTTGCTGGAGCTCGAATTGGGATTTGTGGATTTGCTTGATTTTTTGGAGCTCAAGCTGCATTTCGTAGATATTTTTCTGTTGTTCTCCAACCTGCGCCTGCAAGACGCCCACTTGATCCTTGAGTCGTTTGATCTCCTCGGCTATAGTTTACAGAGTCAGTTGTTGACGCGGGGGCGTGGTGGAATGGATGCTGAGACTCACAGCTCATTGTTGTCAGGTATGCTTTTCTATAATAAAAAGGTACGGAGGTAGTGACAGACGAGCTAGGTGTCTTTGGTTTGGACGGCGATAATTCGACGTGTGGAGCGCTGGTGGCAGAAGATGGAAGTGAAAATTATCTTTCGACACTCTCGAAAATGTCCTAGATCTTCTGAAGCACTGAAACGCATTGGCAATAGAAATAAGAGGTAAGATAAGATGCTGGTGGCTTCTGTAATGACTGGATGTTGGAGGAGAAGCTTGTGGATCGGTAACTTCGTAGAATCTATATTGTTGAACATAGCAGAGGCCGTCAAGAATAAAGAAAACCTGTTTGGGAGACGAGTGATTGATGGTATCATTGAAGGCACCTGCCTGTCAGTAGCATCAATATTGAGGAGAAAGCGCATCTTGATTGCCGAGGTGTACCTTGGAGCCGGCACAGCAACTACCTGAGCTCTAGGTGCCTTTGGGTATCCAGTAATTGCACACAATTAAGGCAGCTGGAGTCTTGAATCGGATGAAGTTTTGCTGTTGCTTTTCTAAACTTGCCCAGAGTGAAGAAAACAAAGCATAAACGAGGATGCTGATCCCGATTTGAGGCCGATACCGCCATGGCCGACGACAAGCCCGCAAAGTCCATTGCTCAAGATATTTGATATGTCTCTTCGATGTAATCTTCTGATAGCTGCTATTGTAATTGAACAATCTTAGAAATGGAGACTGCTTGAGAAGGCTGGAGCAGGTGGTATGGATATCATGTAGCATGACGTTCGTCTTGTTTCTCTGGATTGCAGCATTCGCGGATAGTTCTGTTTTGGTCCCCAGGAGAGAAAGATCCCTAACTGCTCATATATTGAGGAACTTCTTCGCCTCTCAATCTGTTCTCACTTGTTTCTCACTTGAATCCATCCTCCCTTGGTACAGCAATGGTTACGGCTCGCGGCCATCTGGCAGTCACCTGACAGCTGTGGTCTACAGTGGGCGCACAATCGCCTCAACCCAGGCCAGATAGCCTCGGGGTACTTGCAGCTCAGGCAATTGTTATACTAAATTTAAGGTACCCCGAGGCAATCAACAATATCCTCTCTCTTCTGCTCGGCCAGCTGCGTGCATTTGGCGCGCAGCATAAATTTCTCTTTTGGCCCTCTCCCATTTCTTCTCTTCTCTTCTCTCTTTTCTCTCTCCAGCTACTCTCCTGCATATTCGTTGACACCAAGATTTCCACTGCACCTCCCATCTTCAAGCTTCCTCTTCAAGCATCTGGTAAGCACATGAGGCTATCATCACACAACGCCCATCGCGATACTGACGCGTTGCAACAGATCCGCGAACAACCCAGAGGTTCAGGAGCGATCTCCGTTTCTAGTCATCTGCCATCAACACCCTCTAGGAGTCCGTCGAATTTTCTCTTGTCACTCACATCAAGGATACCAGCCTATCCGCGATCTACGCCAAACTTGTCACTCTAGAGCAAGGCCATCCAGCTGGTAAGCATGAACTCACTCTCTGGCTTCTTGCCCCGCGATGCCCAATCTCTTCTATCATTTTGTTCCCCCTTGCCTTCTCACACTCTTTACCCGTGTTTGACTCTTTTGTTTTCTTGCTCTCTTACTCTTTTGCCGTCTCTCACATCTTGTGATAAACCATTCCTCCCAACCTCCTCTGTTCTCCTTATCCCTTTTGGCTCATTCATTTGGCTGATACACTCAACAGTTAGGATCAATGTAAAATGTCTTCCAAAGGTATGTTACACCATACTTCAACCATGCCATTATTTCTGTGTCCATAACTAATGTTACTGTCTATAGAAATCGAAGAAGCCATGGAGAAACTCCATCAATGCATAGAGAAAATTAGGACCCTCGAAGCCCGGTTGGAGGAACAACAGGAGCTTACCAAGACGCTGAAGAGCCAGCTGGAGTCTCATGAGCTGCAGATGAACATAGAGCGGAGGGTGCAGGATAGCAGATTCCACACGCTGGAGCGGCAGCTCAACCAGCTCCAATGCGAACAACAGCGGCAAGCAAGGTTGGCATTGCCTCCTCCAGCACCAGCTCCAGCACCAGCTCCAGCACCAGCTCCAGCACCAGCTCCAGCACCAGCTCCAGCACCAGCTCCAGCACCAGCTCCAGCACCA